CTTGGATCATCACATCGATAAGCTGGATTTCCTTGAAGCATACCCAAAAGCTCGTACAGAAGCCTTTAAATCAGAGAATATTAAAAATGGCTTTGCAGCAACTGGATTAGTGCCATTTCAACCAGATCGGGTCCTTCTACAACTCAATATACAGCTGAAGACCCCTACACCACCTGGGAGCCGTGCCGGTACTATACCAACCAACTGGGTGCCAGAAACGCCTCATAATATTGTCGAATTACAGCATCAGGCAGCTACGATCAAGGCCTTACTAAAACGGCGTACACAGAGCCCTCCAAGCCCTACAAATGCAGCTTTGAATCAGCTTATCAAGGGCTGTCAATTAGCCATGAATAGTGCTGTCATTCTTGCAAAGGAAAATCACGATCTACGGGCTGCAAATGAGAAGCAGAAGCAAAAGCGTAAGCGATCGACCAATCAAATATCTCATGAAGGAGGTCTTTCAATTCAGGAAGCGCAGGCTCTTATTCAAAGTCAAATTTCAGATGAAAATCAGGTGCCGCTGGTTATGGCTACTACGGCCGCGGAGGCGGCTTCTGCACCTCGTACGCGCGCGCCGCCAAAGTGTACTAACTGTGGAACTATTGGGCATATACGGACTCGATGCCCTAATCGCTCTAATTCATAATTTTTGTAAATAATTGCTGTTTTGGGTAGTAATAAAACTTCAAATTCTGCACAGTATTTGAAGGTGCGGGTGGGTGATCGGAGCGACCGGGTGATCGGAGCGGCCGGGAATTACGTTACTGTAATTTAAAAAAATACGAACATCGATTGGTCTATTCGCTATCTGCTTGGCTGTATGAATCAATTTTAAACATAGCCCTTGATCACGGCCACCTCCGCATTCAAAATCGACGAGCCTGCAGCGCCAATGACCGTGTTGTGGGAGAGGCAAGCAAACCGGATGTCAAAGTAGCCTCCCGGCTGTCCCTCACGCACGCGGCCAACACTGACGGCGTAGCCGCCGGAGATATCCCGGTCTAGCCTGGGCTGCGGCCTGTCGGGCTCGTCAAACACCACGATTGCCTGCTCAGGCGCTGAATGGCAACCCAGCTTCTGGGCCTCCGACTTGTACTCCCTCAGCGCCTGCTTCACCTGCTCAGCACTGGGAGGCGGTCGGTTCTTGAAGCGCAGCGACACGAATGCCATGTGGCCGTCGGTAACTCCCACTCGCGTGCAAGTGGCGCCGACCTTGAGGCCAGATTGCTCTTCGAATGCTGTCGCATCGGCGTTTATCGAGCCCAGAATCTTCTGCGCCTCGTTCTCGAGCTTATCTTCTTCGCCCGAGATGAAAGGAATCACATTGTCCATGATGTCCATGCTGGAAACGCCAGGGTAGCCGGCGCCAGAAATGGCCTGTTCCGTGAAGACTTCAACTTCCTCCACAGGTCCAAACTTGGCCTGAAGAGCGGCAAATGGAATGACAATGCCGATGACGGCGCAGTTCGAGTTGCACACCAAGAAACCTTTCTTCAGGCCAAAGTGCTTTCTCTGATGCGGGATCAGTGCCAGGTGGTCGGGATTGACCGTAGGCACCACCAGCGGGACGACCGGGTGTTTGCGATAGTTCTTCGCGTTCGAGAAGACTGGAATTTCAGCCTTGATGAATTCCATTTCTGAAGGGCGTCAGTCAGATGTGCTGTCATGATGATGACTGGAGCCAAGTAAGCATACCGACTTCGCCGGCGACATCACTGTCCAGCCCGGAGAAAACAATGTCGCAGTCGGTGAAGTTCTCAGCTTTGCATTCCTGGACGATGAGTTCGCTGAGCTCTTTCGACATTGGGCGCGCTTGCTTCCATTTCACAGCATCCTTGTACTTCTTGCCAGCGGAGCGCGCAGATGCGCCCACTTTGTGGAGTACCAGGAAAGGATGGTCTGCGAGAAGCAAGATGAATCGCTGGCCCACGGAGCCCGTAGCGCCCAGGACACCTGTAGATCGTAAGCATGCTGCTGGATCTTTGAATTGCAGCTGAAGTCAATGCATACCGCACTTCTTCTTGGGCGTTGGGCACGACATCTTGTCGAATAGGACTTAAGATGAGTCACCCGCTTTGATCCCGTTCTGTCGGCAGAATTAGTGAAATACTTTTCAACTAGCTGAATGGTGGAATTGAATTAAAAAAATTTTGTATATCTCACACGAGAAAAAAAAAAGCAATACTGAAAGAAACTATATGGCAAACTTATAAAGTAAGAGGCAGCGACGGAATGGAAGTCATAGGTTGAAAGTTCATTTCGCAGCAGCAGACGCCGGTCCCGGCGGCATAGAACGAACAGGCAAGACAACTTCGAATCAGCGATACAAATCAAATGGCTCACTTACTGCAAGGATACAGCAAACAAATTCGATTACCCGGTCCTCAACGCCAAACACAGCGTCGGCGCTGTCCTTTTGCAGGATCAATGGGAGACAAGTAACGGAGTATGTCTTTTCAAAGGCCGGTCCTGTGGCGCTGCGATATCGCTGCCCGCGGGGACTCGATCAACGGGGCCCCTCGCTTAGTCATGCACTCCACTCCACGTGCTTCACACATCACTTTAAACACTCTTTGAGGAGTCCTCGTTTTACAGCTCATCCATGTTCAAGACTTCTAATCCTGCCATTGAGGAAAAACCAAAAGTTGATCGAATGGTTGAACTTAGTATGTATGTATGTACTTCGAATTAATATCGTGAGAATCAATAAATTTCAAAACTGGGAAATATTCTCAAAAAAAGACAGTTCTGTCATGAATGACATCAAAATTAGGGTTTCAAATTTTCAAATCAACTATACGTATATCAAATCCTGGCCTTATTTCGCGGTATAACCACCATCCGCAATGATGCTGGAACCAGTGATAAAGCTCGCCCGATCACTGGCTAAAAACGTCACGACATAGGCGACTTCTTCAGGTGTTCCCAGCCGGCCCATTGGCGTGGCAGAGATTACAGGCGAAAGCTGTAAGCAGACGAGTCAGCCATTTTTCTTTGCTGTCTAGTCGAGAAACTACAGCATGCGTCAGGACTTACCATTTCCCACCCCTTCTCGCTGAGGAGGTTCGTCTTGACGAATCCTGGACAAACGGCATTGACTCGGATACCCTTGGTGGCATAGTCGAGGGCATCTGTCTTGGTGAGTCCAACCACGCCATGTTTCGATATCACGTAGGGCGAGGCAAAAGGCATGCCGATGGTCCCCAGCATCGATGCGATGTTCACGATGTTCCCTCGAGTGGTGAGACCTTGACCAGTTCTGTATAATTGGATTAGTCAATTCCACTCGCCATCACACTCTTTCTTTCCATGGACAGAGAGAGCACCTACGTGACCGGTCTTTCTTCCTGTGTCATGAACTGCTGAATCGCCGCCTTCTCGCACAGCCACAGCGCCCGGAGGTTGACGTTCAAGACCTTGTCCAGATCCGCGCTGCTCAACTGCTCAATCCGGCGATACGTGCCGGGGATGCCCGCCGAATTGACGGCCACATCCAATCTCCCTAGCTGGCTGCGGATCTCGGAGAAGACGCGATTGACCTCGTCCTCGTTGGCCAGGTCGGCGACCAGAGTCAGCACCTTGACGCCCGGCTTGCGGGCTGAGAGGAGGTCTGAGGTCTCCTTGAGCGGCTCACTGGCGATGTCGACGAGCGCGAAGTTCTGCACCCCGTCGGCGAGGAATTGCAGCGCGCAGGCGCGGCCGATCCCTGATCCGGCGCCACTGATGTAGACGACACTGTTTGCTTGAAAATGGGTTGGTGAGAAACAACAATCAGCTTCTTGTTCTGCTTTACATCGGCATGGGGTGGTTGGTGGTTGTTTGGTGCACAGCGACATGTATGTATGTACCTATCCGCTGGAAAGAGCGCCATTGCTTGCGAAAATGACTACAAAAGAATGTTCTATAGGGGGGTGTACTCCGTATGTAGGTAGGTAGGTATGTCACTACGGGACGAACGCCGTGGATGATATAGAAACAATAAAAAAAAAGTATATTTTTTACAAGTCACAGTATTCTATCAAACAAAAGGGACGAAACAAGATCGTTGGAGCAATTTTCCATACTCTCCTCCCTCCCCGCCCTCTTATATACCTAGGTAGTTCCCAGCAAGAAGCGGTCTGATGCCGATCTTCTCTTCCTCCGTCCGTCCCTCATCGACCGTTCCACCCCTCCCCCTCCCCGCTCTCCTCTCTATTCTTATTTTGTGAGCATACTCCTACATGAGAAATTTACCTAGGTTGATAACGATAGGAAGAAAAATGCTTGCTATGGATTGGAGAGATGGTCTCCAAGTCCACAATGCCACGTCTATCCTGCATAGCCTAGAGTTTTTAGTTTGAAGAACTTTTGACGTCGTTTGGCTAGTTGGAGGGTGTGCGCGGGTCCTCCTGTAAGTATGTATGTAGGTGCTAGGAGGACTCACTTCCTGCTTTGCAGACGCGAGTTGCTGCAGTTGCATAGGTGCCTGAGCCAAGTATTTAGTACAGCAGTACGCACCGTTTGTGATAGTTGGCGAGCTGTCATCCTAGGGGGGTGTGGATCCTTGGTGGGTATGAACCTCGGGATAACGTTCATTCGCCGTTTCACCGTTTTTAGTCTCGCGAGATATTGTTGTCTGTGCTCTGGGAAGGATCATTGTGTGCGATGAACAGCTGTATGCTTGAAATCGGTTAAAACAGACGGTAAAAGTCGCATAACCTGCTATTTATTTACTTATTTTACGTGCATTCTTCTTCGTTCTTGTCAATAGATTGTGTAAGACTTAAGTAACTTATGTTGGGAATACAATATTCTATTCCGAGCTTATTTTTGACCATGCAATGATCGTTGGGAAAAACGGAAGCTATACGGAGTATACAATCTCTACGGCAAATTAGGTACCCTTCTTCGCTCCCGCCAGACGTGCGGCTTCCAGGCCAGACGCATCGGTGGGTTTGCTTTCTGAAAAGTCGAAAATCTTTCCCGGGTTCAGCAGCCAGTGCGGATCGAGAGCGAGCTTGATGCTGCGCATGACATTGATCGTGTCCGGTCCGAGTTCCTTCAGGAGAGATTCCTTCTTACCCAGACCGATGCCGTGCTCACCCTAAAATCTATCAGCGGAAGTCTTACTCAACTCTCCGGCTGACGTCTCTTACCGTGCAAGACCCTTCCATTTCAAGAGCGCGGTCGACCATATTGTAGACACATTTCTCAACCCGTTCCTTTTCTTCTGGGTCATGGCGGTTATACATGATGCTCTCGTGGAAGTTGCCGTCTCCAATGTGCCCAAGGAGGCTCGCAAAAAGTCCCAGATCATCCAATTCCTTCTTCGATAGTTCTATTGCCGTTAGCAACAAGAGAAGCATCATCAACGACCAATGGATACCCACCGATCAGGTCAGGAAGTCTGGAGATGGGAACCGAGACGTCTGTTGACCAAACCTCTGACCCTTCCTTTCGCAAAGCGAGCATGCTCCAGAGTGATTGCTTCCGAGCAGACCACAACACGTGGGCCTCCTCCTCGTTCCGGGCAAATTCAAATGAGCTGGCGCAGTTCTGCTGGACAACATCTTTTGTAAGTCGGATGCTGTCTGCCACCTGGGCATGAGTACCGGAGAATTTGAAAAACAGCGATGGCGACTCCTTCCAGGTTCGGCCGGTACCCCCTGCACGGTTTATCACATTCATCTGAACCTCATCCAAAATCTCCATCGACTGTACCGGCACAGCCTTGCGGATGATCTGCATGGCAGCTGATGCTGCGTCACGCATCGTGGGAAAGGTTACAACTCCAACCCGCGTCTCCTCTGGAATTACAGCCAGTTTAAGCGTGATCTCGGTTACGATCCCAAGGGTACCCTCAGAACCCACGAACAGTCCTGTCAAGTTATACCCCGCCGACGTCTTGCGTGGCCGTCTCCTCGTCTTGATGATCCGACCGTCCGCGAGGACGACCGTCAAATTGATGACCCAGTCTTTCATCGTGCCATAGCGCACAGCGTTGGTACCGCTGCAGTTGGTCCCAACCATGCCTCCGATCTTGGCCGATGGACCGGGGTCGACAGGGAAGAAGAGGCCGCTCTCTTTCAGTTGTTCATTCAGGTCCATCCATTGTATAGAAGGCTGCACAACAACATCCATATCGTCCGGATGGAGTTCCAAGATCCGATCCATATGGGCAAAGTCAATCGTCATCCCCCCATACGGAGCAGAGAAATTGGCCTCCAGGCTGGAGCCCCCTGAATAAGGCACCATAGGCATGCGGTACTTGTGACAGACCTTGGCGATCTCTGAAACCTCTTCGGTCGATTTCGGGTACGCAATAGCCACTGGTAGCCGATCTGCATTGACAGAGGACCATTCAGAGTAGCCATGCTCGTGTAGGTCGTCCTCGTCGGTACTGATGGCATCTTCACCTAGTTTGGCTCGGAGTTCCGCAATCGCCTGAAAGACTCTTGTGAGCCCAAGAGACTAAAGCAAGGAGACAGCAGATCTCCTACCTTTTCAAAGTCCTGCATGGAACCATATTGAGGCTGCTGGCCAGCGGCGTTGATCTTCAATGGCGGAGTCTCGCGAGAGCTGGCGAGAGCATAGGCGGCTGAGCTGGCCAGCGCTGCCAGGATTAAGGCACGACCAGTTGTCCAAAACGGTCCATTGCTGGGATTCGCATTGGACTCAGGACCCGACGCCTTCTTGGTAGAGCTGCCATTCCATCTGCGCGTGGAATTGGCAAAAGGTCGAGGTTGGCAGGCCCGGGGGAGAACAGGACGGAGATAACAGCGAGATTGTGCGGGGAAACCCCGACAAAAGGGAAGAGCGGTCTTCATGGCTTATTCGCCCACAGTCTCAGGACACATAGAAGGCTCAATCCAGATTCAAGAACATCGTAAAGAGGACAATTCCCATGAAAGAACTATATATAATAAAAGTAAGAAAACAAGAAGTACGGAGGCAAACGTGCGGATGGCAATTGCCCGCCTCGCCCAGCTCGGCCTAATGTTCCCTCCGGCCTCTCGGCCGATGGGCGAGAGCTAGGACGTGGAAGGAACCACCAAAATGGCTTAAGCTTACAGAGTAAGCGTTCAGGGCAGCTCCAGCGATTATTATTAATTTCCAGCTTGCCATTCAACAGCCCAATCGCGAATGGCCTTCGATGCGGTCAGCGAGGTTTGCCTCCTCCCCGGCCTCTGCGGAATGCGGGCCCCCGCTAAGCAATCCGCCTGGCTGCTTTTCGGAGTCGAGCCGACCCTCCGGACAAGCAAATCGGCTACACAGTGGATGAGTGACCTATGTATTCAATAAATAATATTCGACGTGTATCCGAAAATCAAACCTTCAATGCCATGCATCCAGAAAACTGCAGAATCAATGGGCTTGTCAGCTGCGCCATGGACCGTCGACCGATTCCTCTGGGACGATACGGTTGATGGGGCAACCAGTGCGGCGTGGGAGACATCCCACGCACTCGCCTGGCCGCAGAAATTGAATTCAGTTAACTTCCAGCTGGAAGTGGCAGAAGACATAGCTATCCAAGTACGATGCACGCAAGGATTACACGGGAATCATGAAGGACCGCATCTTGCTCATCGTCCGGGAGGTGGAGCGCGTCGTGACGTCGCCGTATCCCGCGTCCCTCCATGTGTGTACCCCCACTTTCAGCAACTACGCATCATACACGATCAATGCAGCTGATTTCGTTCTCAGGACCTTGCAAATCTTGTTATCGGTAGCTCTCCTGCCGCCATTCGCCAATGGGCAGATTCCAAGCCTTGCCAGGTTCCTCTCCTGGCCTCTGCGCTTCTCGAACAGCTGCCGCACTCATCAGGCCTGCTTGCCAAATTCGGTATGTGCACTGTCACAAGCGATCAAACAACTTTAGCTGATAAACGTAGCGTGTGTACAAGAGTTTCGTGATAGCTTATTGAAGCAGGAGCCTACCGTGCTGGATCAATTTCTTCAGCGAGCCATTGAAGATGGCGACTCTGAGGTCAGTACAACGTCGATCTTCAACTTACATCATCAATGATGCCACTGGTAGTAAAGCATATATTACTGACTGCCGAAAGGCGTTCCGTACGTGCATCTCGTTGTTGTCCTGTCCAATTCCACAGTCGGTTGTGGCCCCTGCCCGGCTTGGAACTTTCATTATGAAGCTCGTGGAGGAAATGGTGCGTGAACCGTGTGCAAGGACCATTAGCCCTCTGTACCAAGTCATGGCGGGCCTTCTCGGCAATTCCAACCTTTTGGAAGCTTTACCGGAGGCGATTATGGCAAATTTTCAAGCGGAATGTACCAAGATCTTGCGCAATCTGAACGACCATGTGGGCAGCTTGTTTTGCTTAGCCACCTTTGCCCGCATCAAGTTACTTTGGACCCCAAGTCATGAACGTGAAACTGGGGAACATGCCTGCCCGGTGTGGTTTCAGAATCTCAGTCAGTTCTTCGGGGCCAAACGTGCGCAAAAGACGCTCGACCTCGTTGTTATGTCGGTGATAATGGCTTGCTCCGCGACTTGCAGCACGCTTTCAACTGCGGAGGCGGTGGAGTGTGTGTCGCTGGCCATTGAAATCTGCGAGAACGTCGACCAAGAGCAGAAGAACATCTGGCTTAGGAGCAATGCATCACGAATCGCCAAGCTTTGTGAGAAACTGACTAGGAATGGGATAGATGCCGACCTTCAGATGACGGTATGAAAGTTTCACATCTCTAAACTGATTTGCTGCTAACCTCCACAGGGCTTGACCTTTTTGTTTACGTTTTCCTCCGGTCTACCACTGCCAAGAGAAATTCATAGTCTGGCACAGCAAAAATTGTTGTCGGAAGATGGCTGGAATGCACTAAGCGCATTACCGGATAGAGTCTCAGCGTTGCTAGTCGAACGAGTATCTGTATGCTTGCCAATACAATTGAGTCGAAAATCGCTAACTATTGCAGGCTTCTCTTGATCAAGTGGGCTTGTCCAATGTGATCTCCTGCGCTATTTCTGCCATCCAACTAGAAGATATGTCGGACTACACTGCTCTCACAAAGATCAAAATTGCCATATTCGTCCTCTCAGCAGTGCAAAGGCTACATTTACCAGCATCGTCCGAGATCATTCTCCAATGCCTTTCTGCTTGTGAGAAAATGGCAATTGAGAGGCATATTGAAAATTATCCCATGCAAACAAGCCAGGATGATTGCAAAGGGTCCGCAGTTTGCTATGCGGCTTGTTGTGCTGCGCGCAATTCCCTGTTGGTCGAACTGCTTTCCTTGTCCTACAAGGCTACCATCTCCAGTTATACTGAGGGCCGCGATTCTGCATATTCCCATGCTCATGAGATGTTCCTCTCGTTCATGAACACAATAAAGCGCAGGACGTCTTTGCACACCTTTTGTGGCTTTTCCAAACGCGAGACACCGGAGAGATTTGGTGCTCTACTTATCCAAAAAGTGCGAGAGCCTTCCCCGTCTTTGCCCATCAATGGCTCCAGCAGAGAGTGGAGGGCGAAAATGGCTGAGCTTCTCCTCGAAAATGCCCGTGTCTCCCACCAATCTATTGTTCAACAGATGGAAGAAATCTGTCGTGACTTAGAGTTCCGCTGTCACAATGTTGAGGCGCCGCTTAGGGCAGTTGCTGAAGAACGCGATAATCTCCATTCGCAGCTGGAGGAAATGAAACGACTCAATGCAGAATTAGAATTTCAGGCGCAACAGTCATTGACATTAATTTCCAACTTAAAAGCGGACATGGCACGGCTGGAAGAGAAGGCAAATAGTGCGTCGACTCGGGCTGATAACTTGGCCTCTCAACTTGCTGCAGTGCAAATGGAACTTGACACGGCAAAACGAGAATCTCAAGAAAGCGCAGAATTGGAACGGACAAAAGCCAGGACTAGGGAGCTTGACCTCATGGCTACCCTCACCGAAAGGGAAGATCAGCTCGATGAACTGCAAGAAGAGATGCAGAACTTGAAACGGGAAATTTCAAAGCTGCAAGACATAAGAGAAACGACTTCGAACGAAAGGAATGCTGCAATTCAGGAGCGTGACCGGCTTCGGCTTGAGGTCACCCAACTTCAGAATTCTCTGGACACTCAAACTACACTGTGTCTGGAAAAGGATAGTCAGATCCAATGTCTAGAAGCAGAAAATAAGAATTTGTCTGCCGATGTACAAAACCTACGAACTAAGGTATTATCTACCGGCTATCTACTGTCATTGGAATGCTAACTTATGGATATAGTATGAACAAGAAAAGGTGGATGCCGATGCGTTGAGGTCTGCCTTGGATGCAGAAAGACGGAACCAACAATTTACCATTGCTGAGCTCAAGACGGAATTTGAAGCTCAAATCTCCAAAGCTAACACAGATGTATGTCTTCTGAATTCGATACTTTCTTCCCATACAAGTTCTAAATTCTCCAGGCCCAGCAAGAAGCCGATCGTCACAGAAAAGAGGTTGCTGCTCTTCGCGCATCCTTGCAGGACGCTGAGTCTAAAGCCACAAAGGAGCTCCAGTCTAAAAACAGGAGAATCCAACATCTGGAGAGGAAGGCATGTCTTCAATGTCTCCCGTTCCATACAAAGCTAATGATCTTCCAGGTCGAATCGTTACGGAATGAGAGGGCCAAGAAAGCGCGCGAATTCTCTGAGGCGCAGGAACACATAAGCCGCCTTATGGCTGTCATGGGCTTTACAAAGGATCGTAAAGACGATCATCGTCCCTCTGTCAGAGTCAGCGACAAGCTAGCATTGGAATCGAGCAGGCAGGCTGGGCTGCAGTCGGACTACCTCCATTCACAAGACAATACGGCATCCTTCCAGACCCAGTTTTCCATCCAAGACCCAATCGCACCGGCATCGTCCTGCAACAATAGAGATTCTCCAAAACGGCCAGGAAGCTCACGTCGATCAAGAGGTCTTTCCTTGAAGTCTGTTCAGGATCTCGTCGAAGACGAAGAGACCGAGACCGCGATTCACCCACAATACGAAGCAAACGGTCAAGAGCCCCCACGACAGCCGCTAGGGGATGTCGACAAAAACAGCCAGAGAAAATCACCGCGGCGCAGTTCGAAAACAAGCAGCTATGATAGTGAGTCCACGCAGCTCGATAGACAGCTCGGCACCAGTATGGAGAGAGCCAGTCTTGACGAGATTGACTTGGAATTCAATGATGAAGACATTTTCATGAGTACAGCGGCCAGGTAACCAGGAATTCAGATAATGACCATCAAATAAGAGGATGCAAAGGACACCGATTCCTCGGCAAAAGCAACATCGATGTAACGGCTATGTCAGGGGAAGTGAACGGGATGCTCTGAACATTCATTTGAAAATAACGGCTTGGTGAACGCAAGGGTCATGGAAAGTGAACGGTATGTTTTTGATGGTTCCTTTCACAAATAACGTCTAAGTAATGGGGTGATGATAAAGGAGAGAGTGAACGGATAGCTTGATTTTCAATTCAAAGGCAATACTAAAGAGATGACGAGTGAACGACATATCCAGTATCTCTTTGAAAGAAATGACTATCTGACGGCTATCTAATGTGAAAATGAATCGTGATACCTTTTATCATTTGCATCTTACGCGTCATTGGCTCAACACGACCTTCTGTGGGTATTTTACAATACAATTTCATTGCTCTCAGTGAACGACACACCTGCACCACTGAAACCGTGCACTGAACGCCAAGAAAATTGTATATAGAACAGTGAGTACTACAAAATATGTTCACTTTGGAAATATTAATTCTATGATCTCGTGTGAATGAGGAGGCTCTGCTCAGGCATAAATACAGGCTTCTTGCCCACTGCTGGCTCCTTTCTTGCTCTTTCTTCTTCTTCTCTCATCCTTATGAGCTCTTGATGTTATAACATAACTATATACTCAAGCTCAACCAACTCTTATTATTCGTTACTTTCCCGTCACCATCCTTTCATAAGGGATCATCGAATTATCCTAAACGTGGAAGATCCTCGACTTACTCGGTGTCGATCAAAAGAATCCCGGATCATACTACAATAATATGTACGATTACGCAAGCTCTCGGGGAGTCATGTGGCTTCTTGCCATCCTTTTATACACCTCGCCGGAGGTACTGGTACACGCAGTCTGGCAAAAACCCAAAACATATTGGTCCCTGTGGCATTGTGGCATCCCACGTGCTCATGCTGCGTCCCCGGAGCTGAATATCATTATCGACCCTATCATCTCTCAGCGATGAAACATCTTCGAGTGCGTCAAGAGACGGTTGCCCCTAACAATGGAACTTCCCCAGAGTGACGATGAACATGATGCCGTTGTCCTGCGCCTAGCAGCTCGAGGCCCTCTTTATTTCCTATCATTCAAAATGGGATTGGAGCCCTCATATCCTCTGGGGGGAAAAATGTCATTTTCGACTAGAGAATGGCTCTACCAATAAGGTAACTTGCAACTCACATCATCTCTTTGTCCTTGACACGCCGACCAGTTTGAGTTGTTAGAAATGCGAATCACTCGATCATGTCCTAATGACTCTAGGAATGATCGCTGACATGACGCCTTCGTCCTGCCTCAGGCAGCTCGAAGCCCTCTTTAGCTGCGGTCATTCAAATCGCGATTGCAAATTCCGATATCCTCTGGAACATGTCATTTTTGGGTACCTCGCAGGAGACATCTTCGGCTTCTGTGAGGCCACCCGCAAGAAAATCCCAGGACTTTTGGAATCAGATATCGGAAAATTACCTTATCTCTTTGTTCTTGAGATGTTTGTCGATCTGGGCTGCCCCATTGCTCCACGTCCGAGTGAACTTATCGACCCCTGCATATCTCGCCGGCTGAAGCAATAGACACGACTAAATCGCGGCCTCACCCAAACCGCACCGATATAAAGTGATGGGGTACTACCAGAAGGTTCTGACGGTGCTGAAAAGAACCTGCAAGGGCTTATGTTCACATGCCATCCCGTTCCTGGGCAGAGGAGCTGGAACACTGTTATACTCAACATAGGTGTTGCTCACTCGCATTCATCACGATTGCGTTCTTTTCCCTTGACTTGGTGAGCGCGAACCGAACCGCAGCTACTCGCGACGGAGGTTTCACAACCGCAACAAAGGCTCCTGTCACCCGAGGGTCCCATCGTCTTCTGTTGGGGCTGATGACAGCAGGTTTCTGTTTGTAAGTGAGATTTATTCGACTACATTTCCGTGCATCACTAACATCGCCATGCGAAATCATCCCCCCAAGACGATCCAATTCCAGACGCCGGTGTACGTACGTGATAAGACAGACCAGACCTCAACCTTATACAGTACAAAACGTACTGAAATAACAACGCCTGGTCCAGAGACTACCAATAGGTGGATCAAATACTCTCGACAGTGGTTAAAATTCGTTATTTCGAAATCGTTAAAAAAAAGTTAAAACGCCTCGTTAAAAGAGAGTGCCGACCTGCAAGCGACCAGACCTCGAAAACTAGGAGAAGACGACATCCTTCTTTCCACAAGGAGTCGCTTTGGCACCCCGTCGCCTGTGACTGCAGAGCAGGAGATATAATCATCATTATTATCCTCCCATAGATTGACACAACTGGCTCTTCTCTGTCTCTCTAATGAACCATCTGCTCCTAATTTTCAGAGGGCATGAGACGACGATGTTTCCGTGAGGATCGAAATTCCCCGTTGCCCGATACAAGCCAACGTGAAGCCGGGCATAGGACTTGAAAACCTCGGATTGCTTCAAAAGCTGCAGAACTGGAGTCGGACAGCTCTCAAAGACCTCAGATTTACAGCTTATGGCTGATGACGGTTTCTTTACTCCACCAAATAGAGTGAGAAGAGTACGGCCGTCGATGCCAGAATACACCCCTCCTACAACTAGATCTCGAAGGCAGGAACTGCTGAGAGACAGCGTGTCGGCATCAGAAGATTCTGACGGTTCGAACGCGACGAGCACCCGATCCTCTGCCAATGAACCTTACTTTGAAAAAAAAAAAAGAATATATATTCGACGAAATATAAATATCGAGCAATCCGGACCGCGTCACTGTTTCCCAGCGGGTCCCCGAGAGGCATCTTCTACCTCATTGATTGTTCTCGACATCGATGCGAGAAAATATTTCGAGGCGACTGCAAAAGAAGATGCAGCGGCCAGAATTGTTAAATGTCGGAAAGGAAAGGAAGGAAGGGGGCAACAAACCAAGGGGAAGAGATTTTTCATTGGGATCCTTCTCTAACCTAACGTCCATGTCCGTATGCGGCAGCCTCTTCGATGTATTCGAAGGAGAAGTCAAGAGCCTCATGCACATTGACAACAGACGGGGAAGGACTGGAAAAGTTTCACTTCTGTGTCCTTGCAAGATTACCGGCCGTCTTTGTCGCCTTGATTTTTAAACCGTCTTGATGTACGGACTGGACTTACACCAGCCACGTGCCAGAACAACCCTTAGTACGACCGTCAAATATGGAATTCCACAGAGTACATATATGAATTGCGAAATCCAGCAAGATCGCCGCTCCATGCGAAGACCCAAGAGAACTTCACCTGTCCGTTCAGCGTCTCATAGCTTCTGTGCTTGAGTGGAATTAAAAAAAAGTGATCAGTCGCAAATTTACTTCGGGGTCTCATATTATCTCCATCAACATCAACATGGCATTCCACGGAGAACACAGACGAATTGCAAAATCGAACAAGATCGACGCTCCATGCAAAGATTCAAAGGCCACTTCACTTATTGATCCGCCTTATATCACAGCTGATATGTTCCCCTGCTTGGAGGATTCAGATCATCCCTCATACAAAATTCAGTCCATTCACAAATCTTTTATCTGTGTGGACTTTGACGATGAAATGGCCCAATAGCCGCGGTTTGATCTACAGTTATTACACTGTATAGATCATATCTATACAAAAGTAGTCGCCGCTTCAGGCTTTCTCTGCCCACCCAGCAGGGAAGCAAAAAGCGCGCTTTAATTGCCGGTCTTTCGACACACCTCCTGGGAAGAAGAAACACATGATCTGCTTCGTCAGCAAGCGGCGCCGGTGATATACGGTGCTTCGTCTCCAGCTTTTAACGGCATGGTGTCGAGATATTTTTAGCTCCGAATGACAACAAACACAATATCGGAGATAGCTGCTTAGTCGACAATTGCGAATTCTTCCGCGATCTCTGTTGTCATCAAAAAACTTGTCTATCTTTTTTTATTTCTCTTTGCCGATGGACATGTTTCGATGCAGAGATGGACAAGACGTTCCGGTATCGTCTCTCTTTCGTCCCATAAAAGGGAACATCATAGGCAATAGCACTATGATTGCGCAAAAACGAGGAACATCTCCATAAGCATCGGAATTCGATCTGGTATGAATTTCGAATTACACTCGGGGAGCCTACAGAGGTCAATTCCAGCGCCGCAACACCGGTGTACCCTGCTCCTAGAGAGTCATCGTCCTGTGGGTGTCAGCTCAAGACTAAATTGCTTAATGTCGGACAAACTTATCTCGTTGTTGGGCATCAAAAAGTTTGGACCGATGCTCCACGTGCGTTCTACGGTCCTGAGGTCCAGAAGGCCGTATACAAAATACATGTATCGGCCACAAGAAGGACATGCCAAGACTGATGATAATCAGATCTCAGATCAGAAAGCATCGTTGGCACGACACCTATCAACATCAACATCACGAGAGAAGCGCCATGATGTCGCGAATTTGCGTGACTCCACCACCCCAAACGTACTGCTCTGTACGATTAAACTGCGGCAATTTTCTTATCTTCAAAGAATTCACAATGAATTCATAATCTTGCGGTGGGATTAATCTCGGTCGATATCGACGGTTATCCTGACCGTATATCAGCTGGTGGCTGTGGATCCCGTGGATGATCAAGGGATCTTCCCTGGGAGACTTCCACCCGTGAAAAAAAACATGTCGAGCAACCTACTTCAACTTGTTCAGCTTCCTCCCCCTTCTCCATGGGAATGATACGACCAGTTAACTGAATGTCAAGAAAGAGGATGCTGTTGACGATCATGGGTGGGACGGTTATACGCTCTTGAAACCAAACCTCGTCGTCAAGTCCAACACGATGAACATCGTTCTTTGGTTTATAATATTACTTTCATGCGGCGAAGTTCTAGATCTCCTTGTTTCCTCGCAGGCCTGCATGCTTTCAGGGCAACATGCCTTTCTGGCAACAAGGCCAAGAAAGGAGATGACTGGGAGTTATCGCAACGCGGCGTTCAATCAGCCTACGTCAGCCGGTAGATCCGGTTTCGATAGATCTTGGGATCTTTGAAATCTTTATATCACAAATCTTTTGCTCATTCCATTGCATGGCGTGCGCAGCAGGCACATAATGTGCGGGCAAGCCCCAAAGCAGGGCACTTCGACAACGCCGCGGTAACACTCCGAGTCAAATGGAATTTGCCACATATCTCTGCAGTATTCCTCGATATCGCTTTTCATAGTGATGATATATGCTTTCATGAAGCCGTGTGGTTCTTTCAATTACCACTTTCATCGTTCATTAACCCCGAATGGACACGACCTCAACACGCGGTCCGTTTGAGGAAGCAGCCGGTTCAGAAATGCCAATGAACAGACAAATTAATACAGGATTGGCCTATGTCTGCAGGAATGCGGGAGATCCCTATGAGAGTATCAGGCTCGACAATATGAAAATGACTGCAACTCGGCTATTCCTTCCCACGTGTCCTGTCAACATTTGGCGAAAGCAATTGCAGCGTCGACCTGATTTAACGCAACAAGAGAAAACATGAAAGTATACAGTTTTCGGGAAATCAGTCGAGAAGGTTATTCGTTTTTCGCGAAATCTGTACGAGTATCATCACGCCTTTAACCTATCTAGCATACGAAGCTGGTGGACAACAGTAAGACAAGAAACAAGCGACTCTGTTGCACGATCTGTCTTCCTCTCAAATCCGATGTTGTTTCTCGGCTGAGCAGAGATGGACAACTAGCGCTTTCTGAATCCACCGAGCTGACAATGGAGGATGGGGAGATTGCTACGAATGTCAGATTACAGAATGACAAGCGAATATAGCCGTTTCAGTGATCATGACCAGCACACGATCCTGCGACGGTAAATGTTCCATTGCTGGGACAGAGACCCCAACCAGCTCACTGTGTTTTGCAACCTAGAGAGTGCCATTTATGATAGGAGGCAATTTGCTAAACCTGTTTACCTGCTCCTCCTCCAATTTCGGGGACCCCGCTATGTGCACTGCCAGGATCGTTGTTAACATGACCTGGTCGAGAATGACTTCAGTACTCATCGCTCGTGCCAATTTTTCAGGTGATGTGGGATGGACACAAAGGCTGAAGGCAAAAAAACAAAACGCAGAAAGGAGATGGTTGATTGATGGAAGTCTGCGTCATATCAGACTCAAAGAAAAGGGGAAACAGTAAAAAGACAAAAAGAAGGGAAAATGGGAAATGGGAATGGGAATGGAAAGGAAAAGAAAGACAAGATTTTTTTAAAAAAAAAAACAAGAGGGGTTCCAGAGCCAGTTCAGGAAGCTATCTAGGGATCTGGTTTATCTTCGCTTGTTGGTTTTGAATGCTTTTATCTTACAAGGCTACTTGGATGTACATACTTATGGAGAACAACCTGTACGGGATCAGAGAATAGATGGTGATGTTTAATGAACAGGAGGATTTTAATAGGGGAAGCAGGTGACAGTGGAAGATTGACGGCACCTGCCTTTGTTCAGTTGTGGGTGGTCTGGCTGGGGGTCTTATATATACTGGCTTTGTTTGTCTCATTTTCTATTCTGTTTGTCTTATAACATCCATCTCTCTACTTTCAAAACAAACTCATCAGAAATCTCTTTGGAATTCCGCTTGAGTGCATTATTACTTGAGTACAAAGACTCCTTTCTCCAAGAAAAAAAGTGCCCAGAGCTAGCCTGGCCTGGAGAAAATATGGACGCAGAACTAGTTAGTATACCTGCTGATCTTTCATTTGTTTCCCCATGTCTAACCACTGAAACACTCCTTATATTTTCTGATCTCTGCAAGATCGGCTACACGCAGGTTCTGTCTGAGACGGGCCCATGCAGCAGAGTCAGGGTTTGGGGTGCATAATCTATACAGCAATCTTTTTTTCTTCAGAAACAAACTGGATTCCTAGAGAATTAACCTGTAGTCTTCTACCATGAGCCTTCCTTTGAGTCACCCACTTTGTGGACCCCAATTTCCTGGATTATGATGAGAAGTATCCTCGCCTTTCGACGCAATTATCCCAATCGTCCCTCGCTAACTCTACCCTTCGAATTGGCAGGCGAAACCCATTATTCCTATTGAAAATCCGCAGCGCGAGAACCAGACTGTCCAGCGGGAGCAAAAGCAGAAGAAAACCCATCGAGGGACTCGGGGCCGAGGAGATCATCGTAATGCGGCGATGAGACGAGAGCGCGCACAGCGAAGGAAGAAAGAATTGCAAGGCGTTTCTGCTGTCAGCCAACCTCGATCTCCTGTCGTCATTACTGGTAGGTCATAATCTGTGCCTGATGGCTTTTTCTTTGTTTGTTGATTGTTTTGTTTTCCCTTCTGCCCATTACTCTCTCCTCCATTCTCCCGAGAATGATGGTTGGTCTCATCTTCACCAAGCCCACTGCCTTTCCAAATAGCATATGCATCAGACAATCTCCACAATAGATGCGCGTCAGATTTCACTCAGAGTCTGTCACTGCACTGTCATAAGAGAGGCCTCAATGAGGACTTTCATCGCTTCTCAGTCTCCTTGCACCATTCACTGCTGCCACCCACATTGAGAAAGACCACCTTGTGCCTTCCCTACAAGGTCGACTTCAACCTTCATCCTCTTTTCTCTCACACCAAAATATCCCATCCCATCTCTTCATCGAGTTCAGCCAGTTCATTTTCTTCATCAGCTCGCTTATCCTCTTTATCTACCATATCCCATTCAACCCTTCCGTCCTCTTCGTCTACCTGATCTGGTGTTTCCAGGCACCTCTTCCTCAAAGATGACTCTTCAGCGTCCACGCAATACGCCTTTCCGAGGATGTGGTTCATTCCAGGCTGTCTTCCCTCACTCGCGTGCCGCTCCTTCCTCTAACCAGTCTCCCTCATCTTCAGGACGGTCCTCAGTCTCGCCTCCATCGATCCACAGCCATGATCCCGCCTCCTCTGTGATTGTCCCATGGACTACCTGGGACACGGTGGCAGTCAACCTGTTCAATGTCCCAGAGGAGGCAACCACGTTTCTCATATGGCAAGCCTTCAACGGAGAAGGACGGGTCTTCTCCATTCACCTGTACGAGGACAACAGCGGGAAGAGAAACCGCAAGGGAAAGATCCGCTTCAAGTTTGTTCAATTATGGCTTGTCCACTTCATTGAGAATCATATTGACCGCTGATAGGCCGCCACCCCGAACGGACTTCTGGAGGACTGGACAATACCGAATTGCTCTTTCGGACGGCCGCCAGGTCAACATCACCATCCACTTGGACACCCAGAATAAGCAACACCAAGTCCCCAGTCCCTTGCAGGCCAATGTCCGCTATCCAGCCGAAATCGTAAGCTTTCCAACTCTTCTCGTTTTGCCCTCTTTATCAGACGAACATACTAATTTTAGTTTCTTATATTAGGCTGTCCCAATCCTGGGACTAAATCTGGGGACCTTGGAGGGCGAGAAGACGATGCTGTCGCTGCGAACGATTGGGGATGGACTCCGGGAGTCCCCTCGGGTGGTCCTCAACTTGAACCGGCGAGAACTTGTGGTTTTCTTCCAGCTCGCTATATTCAATCATCGCCGCGCTGCCAAGGACGTCGAGGACACCTTTCATGAATATCGCTTGAGGGTCCCCTTTGCCCAGTTAACTCGGCTTCTCCAGACAGAGAACAAGTCCTCAGAGTCCATCTCTCACATCATGACTCTGGATGCGCCTCCTATCTATCACCGTCGCCTGAAGGATCTTTCCTCCACGTTCTCGGAACCAGGAAACAGTTGGAGGGATGCGGATACGTGGTTTCGCCAGACAGATATTGTCCACGTCCCGGAAGAACTGACTCGACTTCCAATCAGCTTAAGAAAGCACAAGGCTATCATAAATATCGGGCGCTGGACCACTATTCAAATCAATTATCCTCCGAAAGTCGATGAAAGAGAAAGTTTCACTCTTCTGTGCCGCGTGTTACGGGACTTCAACGTTGATATTGATGTCTCTGATGACTTTGTTTTGAGAACTCCTAAAGTATCCCCCGTGCCTATCATATGGGACATTATCGATCCTCCTCCTGAGGGGCAGGCGACGTCTTTCTTGGATGAGTTGAAAGGCGACGGATATATCAATCTACCGTTTTCAGTCCGGTATCAGCTTGAAGTATGTCTCTCCCATGGATACATCAGCGAATATGCCGCAAGCAGGGAATTTGTTGAAAAGCTTTTGGCGATGGGAGAGAGGAAGGCAAAGATTCTTCTGGAGCATATTGCGACAGAAAAGAAGACCTACTATGATCCCATGGCCATCTTTGAGCTCAAGTTCGTGAAAGGCGTGACCACAGCCAGAATTCCACCTTATTGCTGCTACATGCGCTCGGCCACCGTTACACCCAGTACGATTTACTACAATACTCCGTCGGTCGACATATCGAACCGAGTCATCCGTCATTTCATCGAATTTTCTGATCGTTTCCTTCGAGTGAGGTTTAAGGACGAAAAGCTCGAAGGTAGAATCAATTCGACTGAGAGAAATACGATGGACGAAGTCTTCACTCGCATCAAGAGGACGATGACTAATGGTATCACACTTGGTGATAGGCATTATGAGTTTCTTGCCTTTGGCAACTCCCAATTTCGTGAGCACGGGGCCTATTTTTTCGCTTCTCTTCCCAACTTGACAGCTGCGAACATTCGCGGCTGGATGGGCCAGTTCAACGACATCAGGAATATCGCAAAATATGCCGCAAGGTTAGGTCAGTGTTTTTCGACGACTCGTGCAGTTACAGGATGTTCCGTGCAAGTTCGTGAAATTGAGGATGTTGTGCGCAATGGATACACTTTTTCAGATGGCGTTGGGAGAATATCCAGATTCCTTGCGCAAATGGCAGCGAACGAACTCAAAATCAAAACACCACATCGAGATCCTCCGTCTGCTTTCCAGTTTCGCCTTGGGGGATGCAAAGGCATGCTGGTCGTTTCATCAGAAGCACAACGGCAAGAAATCCACATCCGCCCAAGTCAACACAAATTCCCCGCTGATCACAACGGTCTCGAGATCATCCGTTGGTCTCAATTCTCCATGGCAACGTTGAATAGACAGATTATTATTGTTCTCTCGTCTCTCGGTGTCTCGGATGAGATATTTCATGAGAAACTTCGAACGATGCTTGCGAACCTCGACGAGGCGATGACTAGCGAAACTCAAGCTGTGCACTTGCTCCAAAAGTACATTGATCCAAATCAGATGACCCTCTTCATATCTCAGATGGTTAAAGATGGTTTCCAAAAATCGAAAGAGCCTTTCGTGACCTCTCTGCTGGCTCTGTGGAGGGCATGGCAAATCAAATACCTTAAGGAAAAGGCGAAGATCGTGATCGATAGAGGAGCATGCCTTCTGGGTGTTATGGACGAAACGGCCACTTTGAAAGGTTATTCGCAGAATAATATTCCCAGTGGAAACGCATCTTATGAAGACAAAATCTCCGCATTGCCGGAGATATTTGTGCAAGTTTCCAGAGCAGATCAAGGCGGCAAGTATCAAGTCATCGAAGGGGTCTGCATTCTTGCACGTAATCCTTCCCTCCACCCCGGCGATATTCGAGTTGTGAGGGCAGTGAACGTTCCACAATTGAACCATCTTAAAGATGTCGTGGTCCTTCCGCAGCTGGGCGATCGAGACATTCCCAGCATGTGCTCAGGCGGAGATTTGGATGGGGACGATTACTTGGTGATTTGGGATAAAGACCTGTTACCAAACGACTGGTTCCGGAAGCCAATGGACTATACTGCGACCAAGGGTCTGGATTTGGATCGTCCTGTAACAGTCAACGACGTCACCTCTTTCTTCGTCACGTACATGAAGAATGATTGCCTGCCACGAATTGCTCATGCGCATCTCGCGTGGGCTGATTATCTCGCCGGAGGAGTTGAAGAAGATAAATGCATACGCCTCGCCCAGTTGCATTCAGATGCAGTTGACTACAACAAGACAGGCAACCCTGCTAAGATGGCTCAAGATTTGAGACCTCGAATGTGGCCCCATTTCATGGAGAAAAAGCACCAGCCGAAAGAGCGAATCTACAAGTCTCGCAAGATTCTAGGTCAGCTGTATGATTCTGTCGAACGTGTTGACTTCGTCCCGAATCTCGAGATGCCGTTCGATGACCGGATCTTGAATTGTGAAATCAAAGTCAATGAGGACTTGGTGGAATTCGCAAAGCAGCTGAAACATACGTACGACGTTGCGGTACGGCGCATCATGGCTCAGCATGAAATTAATACCGAGTTCGAGATCTGGTCGACTTTCGTTTTAAGCCACGCAAACATGAGCAAAGACTACAAGTTCCATGAAGAGCTTGGAGGAATCTCTTCTTCACTCCGTGATCGCTTTCGCAACGAATGCTATAACAAGGTTGGAGGACGCAAATTTGAACTTGTGGCCCCGTTGGCCGTCGCGATGTACCGGATTACCTACGACGAGATAACTGTCGCATTGGCAGAATTCCGCAAAGACCATCCCACCGACCCAAGATTATTCCACCAAGCGAAGCCAAATCCCGATCAATTGCCTCTAATCAGTTTTCCATGGATCTTCCCAGACATCCTTGGCAAGATTGCTATGGGTTATTATGATGAGAAGGATGAAGCCTTGGTCGTCGGCAGGGAGAAGGAGAACAAAGAACCACAACAAACTGAGGATCAGCTGCAGACGTCGCCGGAAGGCTCGTCCGGCTCTAAGGAAGCTAAAGTGGAAGATAGAACTGGTGTATCACCAGAGAATGAGGGTACCCCTGTCACAAATACCTTGCCTCGTCGTCCAGAAGATCCTGTCGACGTGGAAGAAGAGGGTGAGGATATCGTGGAGGAGGAAGGAGATGTGAAGCCCAGCGCGCTAGACATGCTCGAAAACCTCCTCGAGAGCTCTAATGAGGATTAGACAGCCAAAATTGGATATCAATGGGGAATTCAGCTAAAGGATCAGTTCGAATAGTGCGCTATCTATGGCATTTGACTTTTAGCTTCAGGCAGAAGAATTTGGAATTGAAAATAGAAGTGACTTGAAGTTGCAAATGGCCTAAATCTAGTATTTCGAGTTGATCACAAAAAATTCATCCACATCTTGCGTTGTATGAAAACTAAATATTGAAACAAAGAAAAAAAATGATAACGTACCTAGATTCGCATCCTAAGTTTGACAAACAATCCAATGCAGAGCTCGCAAGTGGGTGTTCTTGTCGCGTGTGGACAGTTTCCCTAGGGAGTTAGCCAATGAATGAGCCAGAAGAACTTTTTATACAACGTCATAAGTTAGATTGCATATGTCCCACCCATCGGGTAACTATTTTACAGACGGACATATGTACCTGGCATAGCAAAGGAAATAAATGGGAACGCATAATAGCCTCTTCAAGGATTCTGGATTGTGATATCGTGACAAATTTGCGACCACAAACGCAAAGGAAAAAGAAGGCGAGAAAGAAGGAGGGGCAATGCCAACGCAACCACCCCTCCCACCCATTCTAATCCCCTACGTATCTCCCCCTCCTCGCTCCTCTCTGACACTAGTCACCTCTGTTATCGGGGCGACCAGCAATTGGCTGGTATTGAGATTTCTGCTTGCAACTTTAAGTTCAGGTTCGAGTCGCGCTGAAACAGCCCCTCTTGACGGCAATGGCGATGATGGAGTCAAAGGCGGGAGAAGAAAAGTCGTCCTGTTGAGCTTCCTGCGCAATTGGGAGTTCTGGAAGAGTGAGGCGAAGAGGTTGGTAAGACATCCATCCATCGATGCATACCATCATCATTCATTCATTCAAGAAATTTTTGGAGTGCTTGTGGCTGCAACCGTTGCATGGGCTTTTCTAGCTAACGAAGTTTGCGACGCAACCCAGGGCCTTGATCTAGCCCGTCTGTCAGAACAGGGCCGGTTTGCTTTCATCGACGGGTTGTCGGAACTATTCTATTCCTCATCCTCCTCCACGTCGCCATCGCCATCTCTGTCGCAGTCGGGTTCTTCTGTGCCTCCTCCTTCTCTCGGCAGAACTACGACACTTCCGGTCCGATCACCTCCAGGCACGGTGCCGGCACGAGTGCCTGGGACAACAACACCTGCCACAGCTGGCAGCAGCAGCAGTCTCAACAGAGCTTCTACCGCGTCGGAGTCCACGATAAAGCGGTTGCGTTTTACAGGTCGGGGGACCGCGGCGCTTGATGCATTGGAGAAGGATGTCTTGGCCGTAGTCGAAGAACTTCAGACGAAGGGACGAACGGCTGCGAGCCCTGACGGCGGCAGCGGCGGCGACGATGACGAGAATGGCGTCGTGCTGGTAATTGACCAGCCGGATTTGCTACTTGCTGCGACGGGGCCGAGTCAAGGAATCGGGGCGACGGAGATGGGAGAATGGATCATGGGACTGGAACAGGTACGACAAGCTACATCGCACATTTAACCAAGCCTGCGTTTGATCCAAGTCCTTCCAATTTTTTTTCTTCCTCTTTTAAGACTCCTGCTAATCATCTACAAAACTTGGATAGCGCGTCCACTCCACGATCCTGACATTATCCGCCGATTCCCCACTGATACACAACGCCGCTGTATCTACTACTTCAGTAGAAGGTACTGTGACGCCTCTGGAGACGGAGCACGCCGCGTTCGTCATCGGACTCGCCCACAGAGCGTGGATGGTCATGCAGCTGCGAAACTTGGATACAGGCGCAGCGAAGGATGTCAGCGGAGTCCTGAGAGTCAGTAAAGGCGGAGGCGCGTCGGATGACGAAGGGCTCGACTGGGAAGAGAAAGAGGTCTTGTATTTTGTCCAGAGGGATGCTGGAGTTAGGGTCTTTGGGCGGGGTGAATAGAATGGTATTAATAGAATGAGTTAGGACCTAGTTTGAGCAGGGAGAGGAATAGCGAGGCTTTTCCCAACTCCTTTTCCCTTAATGTGTAAGGACCAGATGTTAATAGTGTAGTCTCCTAGGAGAGGCCGACAGAAGCAAGCAATTAGTTTTCGAAAGTAGCTTGAATTTGTAATTTTTAAGACAGTTTCCACGTGGTTGGTGAAATTCCCACCATCACGTCTGTCCTCTTAATTGACATGGACAAATTTAGCCAGCCATTAACAAAAGGAAATTCATGAGCGCCGTCCTATGTTTTCCACCGTTTGAACCCATGTGATCCTTTTCATTTTTTCTTTGTAAAAGAAGATGATGGTTGTTGGGAATAATTGGTGGCAAACAGGAGAGAAGCAGCCCCATCAAGCAGCCTGCCCCCCTCTTGTGATCATCACATCACATCACATCAAATCCTGCCATCCCCGCCTTTTCGGATTTCGCCCACATCATTCCCCAACCCTTTGACTCCAGATACGACAGAAAAGGGAAGTTTCACGATGTCGAATTTACTGGGTCTGGGGGCCGCGGGCACCCTTGGGGGTACCAGTCTGGAAACCGTTACGGAATCGGCGGTGGACTAGCTTCAGGTACCTCATGCGGCCAGTGCCGGTGGTCCGTCGTCGCTTGGCCTTCTCGCTCCAGTTGTCTGTTTGGATTTCCCCAAGTCAGCGTCCGAGATTCGGTCATTCGTAATATTTCGCGATGGTAATAAGTAAGGGTTTCGTACACTTCCGCATCTTAGCAGCAGGGTAGCCGCAGGAACCGCAAGTGCTCTTTTGGATGTGGAAGGCGCGCCTGCCTGTTAACCCAAAAATCACCGATGTCAGCGAATTTTCTTCACATAATCTCTTTTTTTCCCCCCATTGCATTCACGTTGTTGTCGTTATTCGCCCATCCCCAATCAATCGCCCTCGCCCTCGCGCCTTTGTGGAATTCATTCGGAAAGGGTTGAACTAACCGCAGCGTCTGCACAGCGTGTGCGTCTTGTTGTGACGCTTACCAAAGCTGGAGGTACCCTTCGCTATTCTCGTTGTCAGTTTCCTGAAGATCGAACGAAAAACAGATTCGAGGTCGTTAAGCACGTACTCATCTTGAATCAGGGGGATCTACTATCAATGACCACTGGTTAGTAGACAATTAAAGAAAATAAGAAACAAAATTTCAAGACGGCAGGTCCATGCAGGGACTGCTCACCAGGCGATTCCGTTGAAGGGCTGATTGTCGGTTGTCGTCGTCGGTCGCTGAGCGAACGTATCGAAAGTTCGGCTCCGTTTGGGTGTCGCTTAGCGAGTTGTGGTGTTCAGGGCTCAAGCCCTGTCCCGTGACCGCTGCGGAGTTTCAGCCAATGAGAGGTTGGCGTCGTCGAACAACGGATCTCAGCATCACGTGACTGAAGAATACTACTCCGTACTACCGGACGGAATACCCCGTAATACTCCGTACAACAGCATAAATCGCGGCGCATTGGCATCGCATGGAGTTTTGTAATTTCTCATCAGATGCCTCGTCTGATATACTGGCATATTATATGCTTTTGTCTTTGCATAAGTAATGTAGATAGTTCGGATAGGGTTATTAGTACTAATCTATCTCAGCCAGTGCTCAAAGTTCTGTTCGCGTACATACTAGTTTTGATACGGGTACATATTTTCTAGCCACTCAACGGTCAGACCACAAATCTATGAATTATTCCATTTTTCATTTAGTCTAATTGGATATTAAAGAGAAATAAATCGTCCCAGTGGGCAAGGTCGGGGATGAGGGCTGTTGTGTGAACCGAATGCGGTCGAAAGCCCGGATTATATATACTGTCTACCCTGATGCCTCGCAAGTCGCGACAATCAAAGAATGTCATTAGTTTACAACCTTACTTCCACACGTTTCCTTCTTTTTTCTTTTTTTCCCCAAAAGGAGAATACGCTGTCATGATTACTCGTGTTTAAAAAATTTTCACTGGCAAAAAAAAATTATACATGAATAAATCGCTATTCCGGGGTATGTAATTGCAATACTCATAGAAAACGCCTCAGACGAAATGTCCAGTGACGAATGCATCCTGACCCAAGAACAGTTGTATGTACACCATATGCGCCGGGAGCCATAGAAGGAAAACCGAAAGAAAAAAGGGAGGAAAAGATAAGAGCATCTCATTCAATCAGTTCGTCCTTCCCTAAGTATGCGGCCATGGGGTCTTCCTTGGCCAAGCGACTTCGTTTATAGGATTCAAGTTCCTCCTCATCAACTCCTAGTTGCATCGCACGCAGATCTCGTTTTCTCGTGTCTGATTCACCCTTTTTGGTCTCTTCACTTGCTTCCTCTTCTTGCTTTCCCGAATCCGCTGTACCGTTTGCCTCGGGTTCGGGTTCTTCTTCTTGCTCTTCCAGCAACATCATATTCGATGCCTCTTCAAACGCCTTCTTGCCCTCCTCGCCTGTACAGTAGCTGTTTTTCACGGTAGAGTGACAGCAAGCGTAGCCCCATTGGAAGTTAGACCACCAGCTTCCCCACACCGACGTGTGGTTATTGATGAGCACGTCCTCTGCATACTTCGACTTGGCCGCTCTCTTTGGCGCTCCCTTAATGGCTCCTGTTTCGTCGTATTCGACATATCGCTCATTCTCGATAACAGCAGCGTCATGTGACGGAGCCGCCTTCAAATGTTCTTCGCCACCATATTTCTCAAGGAGCTGTTTCCGTTGAGCCTCACGTTTGGCTTCATTTTCCGCCTTCTCCTTCTTTCTCAAGATTTCGCCAGAAGTTGGATTGGCTTGCAGATGATAAGATTTGTCTCCCCGTTCCTGCGCCTCCCATGCGAGGCGTTGCGCTTTTTCGAATTCTGCAGCATCACCAGATGCCCGTACGAAGTTCTCCTCGGCTACAAGTGCTGCTGCTTGATCTGCTTGCGCGCCCATATCAACCATTTTTCTTGTCTTCGGATCATACTTGGCTGAATCAAGGTCAAGGTTAAGGAGATATTTCGCCGTATCTTCGCGAATTCGCAGATTCCGGGTGGCTGTACTCTGCTTTCTTCCCATGTCCGATTCCTCGGCGTATCGGGCCTCTTCCTGTTCATCGTCACTCTCGTCCTCGCCATCCTGAGATTTGTTCTTTTTCTCAGCTTCCTGCTTCGCCTTGCGCTTCAAGTTCTCCAGCTCTTCGTATTCCTCAACGACCTTCCGATATTCTGCGGGGTCATATCCGTTCCAACGGTCCCGCTTCGCATCCCAACCAAGCTCGACCTTCTGAATCACTTCGTCTGGTTGTATATCCTTCCCTGTCCATCGAGCTCCGAGTTTCCGCGGCCGACTCAAGCATTCCTTCGTTTTGTGTGTCATTGCGCCGCAGTTCTCGCAAGCGCCCTTTCGGTATTTCGTAGCAGCCGGACCTAGCCGTTTGCCTCTTTCATACCATTTCGACTGATCCGATGTCGACTTCTGTAGACGCTGATGCTCTAGGTAGTCATTTGCTGAGGAGTCATCGTCGACGTAGAAGGGCTTCTTCGAAATGAACGAAGGAATGTATTCGTTGCGCTCCTTCGACGCCACATCGGTAGGCCTTCGCGACATCGTGGCAATATTTGAGGAGCCGATCTCAAAACTCTCAGAGATAGCTCACTTGACACTCACAACTAGGAGTGTCTCTAGTCCAGGCGAATAGAAAAGATGCGGTTTGGAGAGCAGAGGTCGATGGAGAGGCGGTGGTTTGGAATCGCCGACGTCCGAGATAGGTAGTTTTATATCACGTGACCAGGAGTCTGTCGTGTGGCGCGGCAACTCGGCGGGGCGCGCCTAACTAATGCACGTCATGTTCGCCTTGTTGATAGCGGTATGCGACGCGAATATCGAGTAGATTAAAGGCAAAACGATGCCAGAAACGCTTTTTCTACACAGTCTCAAGTCGTTATATAACATTTGCGTGCATTAGCCGTTACGCAATGTTTTTCAGATTTTTATCTTTACCATCCTGAGAGCCGGGATGGATATCTTTCGAGTTCGTTTGAATTGTATCGATCATTATCAGGCAACTCCAACGGAATTCGACCCTCCCGTGCCATATGGCGTCGGTATATCGCAAAGAAATGAAAGGCCAAAGGTACCTGTCATTCGCGCCTTTGGGGCGACTGAAACAGGCCAGAAGGTCTGTGCCCATATCCATGGTGCCTTTCCTTACCTCTATATTGAGTACAAGGGAAGCCTAGAACCAGATGAAGGTCGGTACGATTTCTCTAGTATGCAAATCAGTTTTGCTTAAAGCTATATTGTTTTAGTGAACACCGCCATTCGTAATCTACATCTCTCAATCGACCATGCTTTGGCTGTTAGCTACCGTCGGAACGCATACGAGGGGAAGACGGCTTACGTCGCCCACATATCCCTGGTCAAAGGGATACCCTTCTATGGTTATCATGTGGGATATCAGTTTTATTTCAAAATATACCTGTTGAACCCACTGAATATAACCAGGCTCGCTGATCTCCTACGTCAAGGGGCTGTGTTGAAACGTCCTATGCAGCCGTATGAAAGTCACCTTCAATACATACCGCAGTGGATGTGTGATTTCAACCTGTATGGCTGTGCGTACATGGAGTGTGCGAAGGTCAAGTTCCGCTCGCCGGTTCCAAGCTATCTCGAACTTTCCAATCTGGATCATCGTTGGCATGATCGCTCAATACCTAGCGAACTCATTTCGAACGAATCCGAATTACCGAAGCAGAGTCATTGCTCCTTGGAAGTGGATGTCTGTGTCCAGGATATCATTAACCGGCACGCTATAAAAGAGAGGCCGTTACATCATGACTTTGTTGAGCGAATACATCCTCTATCCCCCGAAGAGAAACTCGTTCACAGTATGGCCGGTTTGTGGCAGGATGAGACGCGAAGGCGTAAAAAGAGACTTGGAATTAAGGATCCTGGAAGCAGCCCTTTCGGCCCGGAGGAGCTAGTCTCGATGTCTGCTAGCCCCAGAGACCAGAACACAGGTGGCTGGATCCACGAAGACGAGTTCTGGGAGAAATTGCGTGAAATTGTTGAGGAGGAAAAGCGGAAGAGTGATGGCACAAGCGTCTCTTTCGAAACATACGTGAAGAAGGATCCTCTCGAACATACGGTCAAGACTGCACTTGAGAGTGTCGAGGATTTGTTTCCACAGAAGCTGGAGCCTCTGAATCATGAGAGCAATCACCTGCAGGATGGAGCTATGGATACTGGTATCGAGGTTGATGAAAATACAGCGCTCTCATTTGAATCGGATGATCGATATGACTATTCAGATGACGAGGTCTCTGTCCAGCCAGATTTCGGATTTGTGCAAGATGATCCTGCTCTCGAGGAGCTTGGTGTTAATTCAGACTCAAATAATGACGGACCCAAACAATGCGATGGAAACGGTCTACCCAAACCTGACGGTTTAGCTCGTCGCAGAAGTACCACAGCCCGTATCAGAGAAACAGATGGGATGCATAATGCAGAATTTGATCCCGGCGCCATTTCACGACCGCAGAAACGATCAGATGGCGAAGAAATAAACGTAGGACATGTGGCAAAACGATCGAAACAACTTAATGGCGAATATATTCACAATCGAGAAACTTATTCAACTGCCACTACGGACACAGGAATTTCCCCGTTTGACACTCCCGCAGCTTTGGGGGATGTTGCTGCTCAAACTAATCATCAAAGTAGTGCAGACGGCATGGTCAAGCCACTTCCCCAACCAAAGCCGTCTTCCTCGCAGAGGATGCTCCCGGGTAGAGCCTCGAGTCAAAATCAGCGGCTTTCGTTTCCGGTTGTCAAGGACCCTAATGATCCTTTAACACTGTTGCGCTTTAGTCAAAGTCAGAAAAGCATTTCTTCGAAACCGACTTCTCAACTCTCCCAGGAGACGGAGAAGGTTTCCGCACAAGGACATCGTGAAGACTCTCAAGCTAGGTCGTCTTCGCAGTTGCATTCAACAAATAGCGATCAAACCCTGCAAGATTTCAATACAGATGACCTTCTGACGGCCTCTAAAATTCATGATGCGTTTCACATCCCTAGGAATCGCAAAATCCTGTGTTACTGCCACCCTTGTCCCCGGCCTAGTGAAATAATGTCAACGATCAATGACGAAGGACGCCCGACAGTCGTTTATCAGAAGGCCTACTATAGTGACGAGAGTGATGTTCCTGAGCGGCAGCGGGAGTATGCGGGACGTGAATTTCGTCTGGGGAGTGATACCTTACAATACCTACCTGAGTTTGATAGAACAGGCAGGTCGCCTTCACTGCTTGGAGAACAGATTCCTCCATCCGCTACCAACCTCGAAAATCAGAGAAAACAGGATCAGAAATTGCGCGAGCTGTCTTCATGTCGTATATGGGAATTTGCTCAGGTGCCACCACGTCGCTCAGAAGTCGTAGAATGGTTCGAAAGGGAAATAGCGCATCCAAAACAGGACTCATCAAATGGCTCCCGCCGTCTGCCTGAAACGAAGCCAAACGTATTATGGCAGATTGAGGGCGCGACACAGAAGGATCCACACGGGTTCAAATACTCCCAGAAGCAGGGGTCCACGAGTGTGGAACACCAGACTCAATACATGAGCGTAATGAGCCTTGAAGTGCATGTCAATACTAGAGACTCTTTGGCTCCAAATCCGGAAGAGGATGAGATAGCCTGTGTTTTTTGGTGTCTCCAGTCCGACGACGAAGATCTCGATGTTAACAGTGCCCTGGACGGCGTTCATGTTGGAATCCTTGCCCAGTCGGGATCTGATGCCCTGGGAAAAGTAGCGCGGTCTATAACTGTCGATTTTGAACGGGAGCCAACGGAATTGGATTTGATCACTCGCCTGGTTGATATCGTGCGATACTATGACCCGGATATTCTTACGGGCTATGAGGTGCATAATAGCTCTTGGGGATATTTGATTGAGCGGGCGCGGTACAAGTACGACTTGGATTTATGCGACGAGCTCTCTCGAGTCAAAGCACAATCCCATGGTAGATTTGGTAAAGAAAACGACCGCTGGGGTTTCAACCACACCTCTAGCATTCGGGTGACTGGGCGACATATGATCAACATCTGGCGTGCAATGAGAAGCGAGCTCAATCTCTTGCAATATACGATGGAGAATGTTGTCTTTCATCTGCTACACAGGCGAATCCCACACTACCCGTTCAAAGAGCTAACGGCGTGGTACAAGAGCAGCAAGCCGCGGGACGTGATGAAAGTCATTGAATATTTTGTCTCCAGAACCCTGATGGATCTGGAAATTCTCGAAGCGAACGAGCTAATCCCCAGAACTAGCGAACAAGCTCGTCTGCTGGGCATCGACTTTTACTCTGTTTTCTCTCGTGGCTCGCAGTTCAAGGTGGAGTCCCTGATGTTTCGAATCGCCAAGCCCGAAAATTTCATATTGATCTCTCCAAGCAAGAAGCAAGTCGGTCAACAGAACGCTCTTGAATGTCTTCCTCTGGTGATGGAACCTCAAAGTGATTTTTACACCAGTCCGCTTGTGGTCTTAGATTTTCAATCTCTGTATCCGAGTGTCATGATAGCATACAATTATTGCTATTCAACCTTCCTCGGCCGACTTGTCAGCTGGCGTGGGCGGAACAAAATGGGGTTCACTGACTACGAGAGGCCACCTCGTCTGCTGGAGCTCCTTGGGGACAATATTAATATTGCTCCTAACGGAATGATGTATACCAAGCCTGAGATACGGAAGTCACTTCTCGCCCGAATGCTAAGCGAAATCTTGGAGACTCGTGTCATGGTCAAAAGTGGTATGAAAGTCGACAAGGATGACAGGATTTTGCAGCGCTTGCTCAATAACCGGCAATTGGCGCTCAAGCTGATTGCCAACGTCACATATGGCTACACGTCTGCCTCGTTCTCGGGACGAATGCCATGCTCTGAAATTGCGGATAGTATTGTCCAGACAGGACGAGAGACCCTAGAAAAGGCGATTGCCTTAATACACTCTGTCGAACGCTGGGGCGCTGAGGTGGTGTATGGCGATACGGACAGTCTCTTCGTCTATCTCAAAGGACGTTCACGGGACGAAGCATTCACTATTGGGGAGGAGATTGCCCAGGCCGTCACTAAGATGAATCCTCGTCCGGTTAAACTCAAATTTGAGAAGGTTTATCATCCATGCGTTCTCCTGGCGAAGAAGCGATATGTTGGCTTCAAGTACGAACGTAGAGAACAGACAGAACCCGAGTTCGATGCGAAGGGGATCGAGACTGTTCGTCGAGATGGCACACCGGCTGAGCAGAAGATTGAAGAGAAGGCCCTCAAGATTCTTTTCAGGACGGCAGATTTGAGTCAGGTCAAGAGGTACTTCCAGAGTCAATGTTCGAAAATCATGCAGGGCAAGGTGTCCATCCAGGATTTCTGTTTTGCGAGAGAAGTGAGGCTGGGAACGTACAGCGAGAAGGGCTTGCTTCCTCCTGGAGCTTTGATCAGTGCCAAGAGGATGCTCATGGACCCTCGTTTGGAGCCCCAATACGGCGAGCGCGTGCCATACGTGGTGGTCACTGGTGCTCCCGGGTCGAGACTGGTTGATCGCTGTGTCGCCCCCGAAGTACTTCTTGACAACCCGCATCTTGAGCTCGATGCCGAGTATTATATAACCAAGAACATCATTCCGCCATTGGAACGTATATTCAACCTGGTTGGGGCGAACGTCCGCCAGTGGTACGACGAAATGCCGAAGTTCCAACGAATTCGACGCATCGAGGGCGTGGCTACTGCTGCTGGGGAGGCCGGATCCTCCAAAAAGACCCTTGAGTCGTACATGAAATCGTCCGCTTGTATCCTCTGCAAGGATAAACTCGACGATGCTGAACTCCCCATTTGCAGCTCTTGTGCCAATCAACCTCACATTTCCCTTTTCACCCTAACGTCTCGCCTCAAGCAGGCCGAGAGGAGAGTCAACGATCTTCTCAAGATCTGTCGGTCATGCATGGGCGTTCCATTTGGCGATGATGTCAAGTGCGACAGTAAGGACTGTCCAGTATTCTACTCGAGGACAAGGGATATGGCCAATTGGAAGCATTCGAATGCCGTCCTCGAACCCGTCATCAGGATGCTGGAAGAACGGAGCGAGAGCGTCTTGGAATGGTAGCAAACGACAGAAGACACGGAGGGAAATTATAATATGATCAGGAGATAGGTTTCTTTTAGATAACCGCTGGCATGTGTATTTGGCTGTTGCATGTTGGAAGGGACGGTAGGCAGTGATACCCCGGCGTCTATTTCGGAGTTGTTTGGTTACCTGAGTTAGTCGTGCTTTCTCTCTGGGACGAGCTTGGTCTGCTAATCTGATATGGTTGTTCCTTCCTCATTGGTATGTCCGTATGATAAAGTATACAGTAAATAAAATTTATCACGTGGCTCTAGCCTCGTGTACTGTCTCCGGAGCACTCTTGTCCGGACCAATGTGAGACATGTCCGTACTTCTTAATCATCTCGTGGTTCTCCATAGACCTGCAGTCTGGCACCAGGACAATGGGCCGGGAACAGACCATCCCACGGGGTGGCTAGACTCGGAACAGGGCCGCCGGCGCTAAGTCCTCCGGTACGCCGTCCTCCGTGTTGAGCACAATTAATTGCAGAATCCCTGCACTCCACCCCTTACAACCGGCCTTATTCCTTCTGATCCCAATCTCATGATGGCGTGCGTATCAAGATTGACTAAACAACTGGGTAAGTTCCTTTTTTCTGGACAGGCTTTGACAGAATCGTTGGCTAAAGACATCCAACTCCGCAGCCTGAGTCCAGTTCCGATGGGTCTCGAGTCGGTCACACACGAGCCTTATTCGGCAAAGGATCGCCGATGGAAACTTCCATCCCCCGCAGGAGGAAAAAACTGGGGAAGCCTCGGGGTTTCCCCCGCACTCTTCAGCTACCATCCCGAGAACCGACCAATCCCGGTCTCATAACAGGCCGGAGTACAGTACTCCGCTGTCATCCTAGATTAGCTTGGGCCTAATCTTAAAACAAAGAAAAGCTCCAATTCGGGAAGGACGGGGAGCTGTGTAGCCCGGGTAATTGGCTCGTGCGGATGAAGTATAAAATGGAGGCCGTTGGCACTTGCAGGGATCCTGCATATTCCGTCTTTACATGGGTGTTGAAAAGTGCCCGCGACAGACAGTTGCATGGCAGTTTGACTGTGACGGTTAGTTGAGGGAGACCTGACCATCGGCTTTGGGAATCCATGATGGCGTCCGTATCGGACCTGGAGGGCCAGGCCTCCAAGGCTGGCGGCTTTCAGCTTGTATACAGGAATCCATATCTCTTTGGAGTCGCGTTGGTAAGCATCTGGGCAATTTATGGACGATCTAACGGCTGTACCTCGCTAACTTGATTCTGCACAGTTTTCGACCTTGGGTGGTCTGTTGTTTGGCTATGACCAGGGTGTCGTGTCCGGTATCCTGACGATGGAATCGTTTGGAGCTCGATTCCCTCGGATCTACTCTGACAGCAGCTTCAAGGGATGGTTTGTCTCGACGCTTCTACTAAGTACGTCCGGCCGATATCCAATGATTATACGTTCTGTTTTCCATATCTACCCATCTTCATCCGACTAACAGAGCTAGATAGCTGCGTGGTTCGGATCTCTTGTCAATGGTCCTATTGGGGATCGCCTTGGACGCAAGTGGTCGATGAACCTCGCCGTGGTTATCTTCGTCATAGGCTCAGCCATCCAATGTGGTGCAGTGACTATTCCAATGTTGTTTGTCGGTGCGTATGACACGTTTCAACCAAGACAGCCTCCGAAGAGAAGTCATACAGCTGCTCACACGATATCTGCACGCCAACAGGCAGAGCTATCGCAGGATTCGCTGTTGGGCAGTTGACGCAGATCGTTCCCCTATTTATTTCTGAGGTAAGTGTGTCATGCATCTACCAGGAGAAAGCAGCTCTTTTATTCGATACTCAATCTTCTTAGATCTCTATTGCCGAGATTCGCGGCGGTCTGGTTGTCCTCCAACAGCGTAAGTCCCCGAGCCAGAAACAATACGAATGGTTCAACAGAATCCGACTAAAGAAATCTTGATTAGTGTCAATCACTATTGGCATTCTCATCAGCTACTGGATTGATTACGGCTCCAACTACATCGGAGGCTCGCGCTGCGCTCCTGGTGTCCCGTATACCGGAGGCACTCCGGACAAACCAGCCTTTGATCCCTACCATGACGTTCCCCCTGGTGGCTGCACCGGACAATCGGAGGCCTCATGGAGGTTGCCCTTTGCGCTGCAGATTCTTCCCGCCCTGACGTTGGGTATCGGAATGCTCTTCTTCCCGGACTCGCCTCGATTGCTGCTCATGAAGGAACGCGACGACGAGGCCCTGGCGACCCTGTCGAAGCTTCGTCGGACATCTCGTGATGATCCCGTTCTCGTCAAGGAGTATCTCGAGATCAAGGCCTCTATCATGCTTGAAAACAGCTTTGCAAAGGACCACTGGCCCAATCTGTCTGGCTTCAAGCTGCACCTTGCGCAGGTACGTCATTGCAATCAAGACTAAACGCGACATGATCTCTTGTTCTGACAGATTCTTTTTTCTTTCGTTCTTTTCTGCAGTACTTCTCCCTTATCAGCACTTGGGCACGGTTCAAGCGCCTTGCTATCGGCTGCTGTGTCATGTTCTTCCAGCAATTCATGGGCTGTAATGGTATGTAGTTACACATAATTCCTTCAGCCATGGAGAAAATAATCGGAAAATAACTTGCTAATGTCGATTGTTCATTCAGCCATGATCTACTACGCTCCCACGATCTTCGGGCAGCTGGGATTGAATGGATACACGGTACGTTTGTCCTGGTCTTCAGAGAGAAGAACCTGTCCACCTAATTGCTTTATTTCCTGTCGCTTAGACTTCCCTCCTTGCCACTGGCGTCTACGGCATCGTCAACTGTCTCAGCACCCTTCCAGCCCTGTTCTGGATCGACAAAGTAGGCCGTCGGGTCCTGCTCATGGCCGGCGCCATGGGAACCTGTATCTCCCTCGTCATCGTCGGCGCCATCCTCGGGGCTTACGGGTCCCGACTGGTCGACCACAAAGCCGCTGGATGGGCTGGTATCGCGTTCATTTATATCTACGACATCAACTTTTCGTACTCGTTCGGTGAGTGAGCGACTTCAAAGACATGTGGACGGAAAGTACGACCATTTTGGCATTACTAGAAGCTAATCAAGTTATGTGTACATACATACAGCTCCCATCGGCTGGGTCCTGCCCTCTGAGATTTTCAATCTGTCGATCCGGTCCAAGGCCATCTCCATCACCACTTCTACGACTTGGATGTGCAACTTGTAAGTCTCCATAAAAAAAAGAACGAAAATATGACAATGAAGATAAAAGCTAAGATTGCGATCCAGCATCATTGGACTAGTTACCCCGGATATGCTCGCGGCCATCACTTGGGGCACATATATCTTCTTCGCCGCATTCTGCCTGCTGGCTTTAGGGTTCACCTACTTCTGCATCCCAGAAACCCGAGGCAAGGTACGCATCCGCCTTCGAATTCGCTGCACATCAAATATTGCCGTGGTGTCTATTGCTGACTTTCTTGGAATAGACTCTCGAGGATATGGATCTGATCTTCGGCGACACTGCTGCTCACGAAGAAAAAGAGCGCATCGTTCACATCGAGGCTCAGCTGCGTGGGACTCCCCTCGTCAGCGAGGACGTGCTGAAACAAGACATTGCGCACCAGGAGAACGCGCACAATTTGTGTTGAAATCATATCAGCGGATAATGACGGCTCACAGCAAAAGTTGCCTTGCGCCGATCAACAGTTTTTGTACGATGTTTCGTCAGATCCTGTCCAAAAAAATATTCAAAGCGACAGGAAAGATATCCCCATCGTATAGGGGACACGGTAGCTGGGGGGAGAAAAACTTGTCGCATAATATCCATCACCGAAATAATTTTTTTAAGACGATCTCCGAATCTTCATGCTGTATCTCACTTTTTTTTTTCGAATGACGGATACGACGTTAATAGTAGGAAGACTTGTTCAGGTAAAGTTGTCCTGAGGAGCAAAGTTAACCCATTCCGAAAAGTCCACGCCCGCTCCAACTCCTCCATAATCATTTTGGAAGAGCCCGAATGCAGTATCGTTGAACAGCTGTCCCGATGGCTGCATCAAAAACTGCTGCTGTGCTTCCGACTGCTCGGCGCTGCTCTGTGCGTAAACCGGGGAGCAGAGACGATTGATAACTTCCAAACAACGGGCAGCCAGACGATTGTTCCTCAAAGATGGGTGTGTCAGGAGCGCCTTTGTGGTTTCAATGTCTTGAAGCCAGGAAGGCGCCTCCGGAGAAGTAGGTTCTGTCATGAGGAAGATGATAGGGATGGTCACAGCTTGGAAGAGGAAATATCTGCTCGAACAAAAAGCGTTAGCTCGAGAAATCAATACATTACCATGGCCCGGGAGGGGGGAGGAAACAAGGAAATGGGAGTCGCGTACAGCATATACCACGCCCCTAGCCGAGTGCAAATGTGGGTCTCCATGAATTCCGAGATCGAAGCTATACTAGACCTCGCATTCTGCAAACATACAATTCGGCACTCTCTCTCAGCTGGATCTTCTTCGCCTTCGGGAGGTGCGTCCGATGACCATCTTTCGGATGCCCAACGCAGGAGGATGGGCCGACAGAGAACAATTCGAAGATTCCAGTCGCGCCACATCAGACGGTTACGAACCAACGCCAGCCAGTCAGGCTCAGCCGGTGAGCCTTGTTTTAGGTATATGGGCAGTTCGTTGTACCAATCATCCATGGGCTTTTGCAACTGCAATGTCTCTTCTGCAGTCAAAGTCGGGCTTGAAATTAGACGCTGGTAAACCTGATTTGTTTTAAGGTGAAACTTCGATTGTGCGATCAGGCCAGTATACAACGTTGGTCCGTCCACTTCCGCGGGTAACGTTGTAGTCGCCGGTGTCAGAGACTTGTGCCAGAAACAAGTCAGCTTTCGACATTTTTGTGACAGAAGGAGCCTCGATAAATACCTCGTCATGAATATTAAGGACTTGTTTGCAATCCATTATGCAGTCTTCGGGGAGGAGAATTGGACGCCCGAAAGTCTTCGCTGCGCCGCTGTCAAATATAAACACGCCCCACCAAATTCTTCGTCTGAACTCCCTCTGGAATAAGCTGATTTTCCAATACGGAAACTCCTTGTGGAGAGCCAGACTCATAGCCATCCGAACTGCCAGCCCCAGATAGTTCCATCCAGTGTTTGGCTTGTCACGTTTCTGTGCATAATTGCTGAGGAGGAGCAGTGCTTGCACCAGAGTGAGATTTCCGGTCTCGAAAACGGACGCCTGCTGCAAGCACTTTCGGGCTTCCTGGTAGAATGAGATGTCTAAGTCTGAAGTGTCATCGCCGATGCTCCACGCCCCAAGCGCCAATATCGTATTGAGAAGAACCTGCCATGCGTGGCCATGTGGGCGGGGCACCTGTTCGTGGTATTGCGCCCTGAAAGTAGCTTCGTGGACGAAAGGATAGCTACTATGATAATTCAGAAAATAAGCATCTATGAAGGCTTGTTCAACAAGTCCCGATGGCGCAGAATTGAACAGCTGGGCTTTCAACGGCACTCTGTTGGGCACTATATTGGGCTTGGCGCCCACCGTTGGGATATTGAGATCAAAACCATGTTCGCGAAGGGCGCGAAGAGGCACCACACTGGATGAAGATCCTGCAACACAAAGTGAGCACTTGTTGAATAGAGGATTCCGAAATTATATAATTCGATGACTTACCGAAATATCCTGCCCCCTCTGGCCGAATCGACAGGGCAGCCATGCCGTCAGTCAAGTCACCGACTGCAAGTTCCTTTTCCGCCCAGTCAAAGCCATCCGCCTGTTGCGGTAACGCTTCTGATGCTGGTTCGGAGCGTTTACTGTCAGGCCTAGCCTGTGATGAATTTCGAGTCGAAGACGGCGGAGATGAAACCGTCTTCGGTTGGGATCCCTGATCCTGAAGAAGGGAATTGACAATGCTATCCAGATCGCCCCCTGGAAATAGCCTTGCAAATGCTTTCTCGAACGCACTCAAGCGCTCCTCGACATAAGTAAGGTGTCTGATATGGTGAGTACTATGAAGAGGACTCCGGAAACTTGCAAAGAGAAAGTCTTGGTACTCACTGCCTTGTCAGAGGACTGCGAATTACTTTTGGACTATAAACGCATTCCTTCTGCAGCTGCCTGCACTGAGCACATGCAGGGCGCTCTTTTGAGCACTGTGGGGAATAGATAGAATCAGGCCGTGCTCCTTCTGATAAAGACGAGGAGGAGAGAAAGAGGGATCTTACCCTTGATTTTCGTGCTCGACATTCATCGCACTGAATGAGTGATGCCATGTCAATCGTGCTGTCGATTGTGATGGAGCCACAGCAGAACTTACAGCGTATGAGTGCGAATCACGGGAAGAGCTCATTTTCCTAGAATATAGATGAACCTGCTAAGCGAGTAACAGGGAATACCTCGTCGATAATAGCAATTTCGAGTCATCTATAAATACATGTCAGCAATGATTACCAGGATACAACCAGATACGGAAAAACGCATGGGATTTCATGTCACGAGGAAACACATATGTTTTTACATCAAATCGCAAGACATTTCAGATAAACCGGAGAAACAATCTATATCAGATCACACTTTACGAGACGAAATAGAGCGGAAGGGGAAACGGAAATACGAAGACACGAGCTTAATAGTACATAACCTTCCCAACGACCAGAAGCGACAGAAATACTGAAAGAACTCACAATTTTGAAGCGACAGCAGATCACCTTCACATGAGGAATATCAAAAGGCTCAACACGAGTTTTCTATCGGGTGCAAATGCTCTGGACTTTCAGTGCAAATTAATAATAGAGTTTCTCCACGATGTATCCGTGAAGTGGAAGTGGACTACGGAGTAGGTACAGACAGTCGGATCATGTGACGCTTCGGAATAACGATCATCCCTCCCCTGATGTCACGTTCTTCTCCCGAGGTCCGCCTCTCCGGTTCTGCAGTCTCCTGAGCTCCGTGCCGGCTGCAGAAGTCTGTCTAATTCATGAATTTCCTCTTTCGGCATCCATCTTATAGACCTCCAACTACCCATGTTAATCGTGTGATATAACAAATAGATGTGCCCCTTCCCTGCTGAGAGAACACTAGGAAAACTTAAAATTAAAATCATATGTATGTTCAATCCGATACTTCGCTCTAGGGTCCCCTAAATCAATTTGGCTCAGGTTCTAGATTTAGCTGCTTCGAATAAATTAAATTGTTGACCTAGCCATTCGACTCCGAATGATGCTGCCTATATGCCGTACATACTCTGAACGTTGCTGCCTGCATCACACATGTCATATTTCTACTCGCAAAATGTAATTTTTGGTTATGAATTAGAAGTTGTGTTGATATATATATTTACCGCTGGATTCTACTCAAATCCTCAACTAAGAAATATAACCAACCTGCTTTGATATCCTTTCTACAAGGAAAGCCTCCTGAGTGTTTTCTCTGTCGTCTGAGATAACGTACTCACACCCCATGTCCAATGGCTTCTAAAAAACTGCTGAAAGTCGGGGTGCTTGTCGCAAATCCTGTTCAGCTACTAAATCTGGCCTGCGTTGATATTCTGAGCATGGCCACACCGTGACTGCATGTGGGCTGCCGAGCTCCGTGGTGGAACTGGGGCAACCATGTGACTTTTACTACATCAGCACATCAGGCAGCGGTACATTGCAAGAGACTATACTTCCAACGTAGCCATCCGCGTCACCCATTCGATCGGAGACAAGGCGGTGGCGCCTGGGAAACTTGACATCCTAGTCATACCTGGACCTGATCCTAGGAATACACCTTCTAAAGAAGCCCAGAGATTCGTTCGAGGGCACAATGACGTTAAAACAACAATCTTCGCAATCTGCACGGGGGTGCTTGTATCTTGGCCATTGTGGGATATTGAAGGGCAAGCACGTCACAGGGCCCCGAGCAATGATTGCCAGTCTGCGAAAGAAATTCCCGGAGGCCAAATGGGATGACACGACGAGAGTTGTACATGACGGCAACCTGTGGACATCTGGTATGTTTTTATTCTTGTCAATATCGACAATTGCTCCCATACAAGGATAGAGCTGATGCGTATTTCCCAACAAAGGAGGCGTAACCAACGGCAATGATCTCATCGCAACTTACATCAAGGAAACATACCCCGCCCCCTTGGCGCAGACTGTGTGTGCTGTGGCTGAAATCGGAGACAAGCCTTTAAAGTATGAAATAGGGTCAAGCGCAGTACCTGATTTTTCATGTGGCAGTCCCTGAAAGCTTTTCCTGCATCTTGGTTCCAGAGCAATTACCTCCGTGAATTAGATGGTAGTTGAAGCACGGGTGCATTAGTGCATTATATAGCATGATTTGCTGAGACTTCCAGAGCTTTGCTGCATATTGGATACCAAGAATCTCTTTTCTTATTTTCACTCAGCAGGCCGTTCTTTTGGGCACGTTTGTCAAGTATTTTTCAAATGTTCATATTTGATGTACCTGTTGTCAGTATCGTTATTCGATTTCATAATCCTATACTCTTGAAGCGCTCACAATTCCATGAGAAAGGGAGTTTTAAGTGTCTTCTCTCAGACTAGATGGAAGATCTCGAGATGTAACGCTTTCTCTTATCACATCCTCCGTACTCGAGCAACCGCGGACGGATAAATATCGAATTCGATAATGAGCGAAGTCAAGCCAATACAAATCTTGTCAGGTATCTACCTAGGTATATTCTGGGCGAGACAATTGTCCTTTTCTTTCTCATGTTATGTGAGTTGAGTGCCCCTTTATTACCAGCCGTTTTGTACTGACTTCTACTTCATTTCTGCTATCAGAAATATCTCACATCGATGATGATCACTGGCACGTTCTCTCTTTCTTATGCCCCCCACTTCTTTTCACATTCTTCTAGGTTCGTTTTATGGACAACCTCTGGGACCATATGAACTTCTATGAAAGTTCAATTCTGCTTGTACTGGATACATGCGAGTTTATCCCATTTGCCCTGACTTATAAGTACCGATCTGCTGACAGTTGACAAGATGTCAAATCTTTCTCACTGGAGTAGCAGTTATTGCCTCATTACATGAGCGGACCCTTTACCATACCATGAGAATGGTCTATGCTTGATATCGAGCACATTCTTATCCCAGTTGATGGCATTACTTTACGCCATCACAACTGCAAGGATCCTCGGTATGTCCAAAATTTAACTTCTCAAGACGAAAGCCACAGCTAAGGCTCTATGTAGCTTACAAGCCTCTCTCGATTGCTCAGACACGAATCATTGACATGTTACAGTATGCACGGCCACGCAAATAGTATCAAACCTCCGGAGACTGGAAATAACCTGATGGAAGTTCTATTACTTCCTCATGTTGACTTTTAAATTACAACACAAAGGAAATGCACGAAGGAGAGCAAGTTCAATGGTGAGTTGGAGCCTTGTCACTTCGATTCCTCGAAACTATCACTTCCATCTCTCTATCCTTGATTCGTCTCAGGTAAAATATACAAGTGTCCGCAATCACAGGTCAAGAGACTAGGTGAGAAATGTACCAGACATCAAATTCGAGAAGCCGGGTTTAAGTCGTCTTGTCCTTGTTGTGGTAGTTGACCTTGTCGTTCCAGCTACATCATCGTCAGCACATTGCGACTGCATCAATCTCTCAAAGTGCCCAAGTATCCAAAGCGGGGGTCATATTATGCAGGTAATCGGAAGGAATCTTGCATATGTTTGATATCCCGCTCGAATAGAAGGTGGGGGATTTCCTATGCTTTCCGGGAGGATTCAACTTACAACAAGGTCTAAACAATGAACACGTCAGCACTGAATTTTATCAATGTAAGTGGCAGAGCTCACCTTGTCTCCATCTCCCCAAGGGAAGTTCTTGACACGAATGTTCTGGTAGGGGTATTCGACACGCTTCTCGAGCGGGGGAAGGTGGTTCCAGTGCTCCCAGTGCTCAGTCCAGAGGTTGTAAGCATTGATACCTCCAAGGATCAGAGCGGGAATGACAGCGCTGCAGAATTGGTTAGCGTTGTGTTGCGTCGAAGCTCCGATTGTCCTGTTCGAAGACATACTAGATTGACAGCTTTCGCCAGAGGTCTGGAGCCATTGAGTCAGCATTGGGCATCGATACACCTTTCAAGCCAATATGAAACTTCCGAGTCATCCGGCAAAGTACGTACCACTCGTGCCGGCTGCGTGCTCCTTGACAGCGGCTCTTTCGCGGTTGAACTCGTTGTCGACCATCCAAGAAGGCTTCGTCTCAGTGCTGTTGAAGCGGCGCTGCACAGCAGTGCGCACCGGAGCGCTGCGGAGCTGCTGCCCAGCACGCTGGGATAGGCGGAAGATATTGCGTTGCGGAAACATTGTTACGGCAGCAATTGGGACTCGAGAGATACAACCTGCGTGGGATCTCAAGAGGTGAGTTGAGGTTCGGAGACGACGTTTTGACGAAAGCCGTTTAGCGACCCCGTGATTCGCCGGCGGTCCGAGATGTGATTATATAAGCTACGTGGCGTGATGTCACCCGCTAACACCGTTCCGGCAAGGCAAGCAGTCACGGGACTTCGTGACATCGTGACCCGCAAGAGGCGATATCTGTGACGCGACGAGGTCACGAATACGATAAGCCTAGTCTGCATGATCGGAGTGTTGTTGTTGTGAGGTTACAGCAAATTTCAAGGCCGACGAATTTCTGTTGTCGTCGTTGGCGAACTATGTACAGAGTATAACGGCGGCTGACCGCAGTCGCAATGGGCTTCCGCATAACGACATGGAATGGTATGTTTATACACATCCTCGATCTCTGCCTCTAAGACAAGACTCACAAATACACTGTTAACAGTCAACGGTATTCGGTCAGTTTCTCAACTTGAAGTCTCGAGTCGCTTCAGCTATAGTACTGATGATTTGGTCAAACAGAAACCCTTTTGGGTATCAGCCATGGAGAGAGAAGCGAACTTTTAATGTAAAGACCCGAACTTCCTTTCAACATGCAACTTGCTTAACGTGGCACTAGGCTATGTTTGATGTCCTGGAGGCAGATATTGTTGTCTTCCAGGAAACCAAGATACAAAAGAAAGATCTCCGAGATGACATGGTACTTGTTCCCGGGTGGGATTGCTATTTTAGCCTTCCCAAAGTTAAAAAAGGTCCGACGTCTACAGATCGCAACACAGAATGGGACTAACAACGTCAAGGGTATTCTGGTGTTGTGATATACACCCGAAATGCGACTTGTGCTCCCATTCGCGCAGAGGAAGGCATCACGGGAATTCTTTGTCCTCCGAATTCTTCCACTTCTTTTCGTGATCTTCCGCCTGATCAGCAGATTGGCGGCTATCCAACAAAAGAACAGCTTTCAGAGATCGAAGTTGATCCCGCAACACTTGACTCTGAAGGCCGATGTGTTATCCTGGAATTCCCAGCATTCGTCCTGCTTGGGGTCTACAGTCCGGCGAACCGGGACGAGACACGAGATGGCTTCCGCCTAGCCTTTGTTAGTGCCCTCGATGCTCGCGTTCGCAACCTAGTTGCAATGGGGAAAAGGGTCATCCTGGCAGGCGATCTCAATATCGCCAAAGGCGAGATAGATTCCGCACATTTGGCAGAGGCCATACGTAAAGGAACCGCTACTGAAGACGATTTCATCTCGAACCCGGTGAGACGGATTTTTAATCAGTTGGTTTCTGATGGCAGGGTGATTGGCGAGAAAGACCCAGGAAGGGAGCTGCCCGTCTTGCATGATATCTGCAGAGCATTCCATCCTGATCGAAGGGGCATGTATACGTGCTGGGAACAGCGAATCAATGCTCGACCAGGGAACTATGGAGCTAGAATCGATTACGTCCTGTGCAGTCTTGATATGCAGGATTGGTTGTTGGATTCCAATATCCAGGAAGGACTTATGGTACGTTCTGTCTGAAGAATCGAGGGCCTTGCTAACATACTCAAGGGATCCGATCACTGCCCTGTTTATGCCGTCTTCAAAGATAAGGTGCCACTGGATGGTACTGAGGTTGACATTCGTGACATTGTGAATCCGCCAGGGATGTTCAAAAATGGCGAGCGCCAACGCGAATATTCAACGAAGGACTTGTTGCCTCTGTCAGGCCGCCTGATTCCAGAATTCGATAGACGCAGGAATATAAAAGATATGTTCTTTCGCAAGTCATCTGTCGGAAACAGCGCACCTCCCGCTCTATCGAAAAGCGATAGTCAGAGTTCGTCAGTAGCCTCTACATCTGCTATTGATGATGGAGTTTCCGTCGGTAAGAGTGCGCCAAATAATTCAGTCCCTGAGCAAGATTCAGAAGCTCGACCGGCCAGCACTCCGAAACGGCCTCAGAAGAGAGAGAGTTTTGCACCGCCTCCAGCGAAAAGGGCAAAATCGACAGGAGCATCTACCAAAGGACAGCAAAGTCTAATAGGTTTCCTCAAACCGAAGCGAGCCACTGACGATACAAAAACTGCAGAAGACTCCTCGCAAAACGCGGGCATAAATGCGACCAGTACATCATCCCAGGCTCCCTCGGAATCCTCCGCATCTTCCAACACCATTCCGGGTCCGCCATCACAGCTCCCAGCGAACACCAGCTCGGATCCAACAGTGGAGAGTGAAGTACCGACAACAGGCACTCCTACAGAAGCTGCTCAAGACGAGTTGATTGTCGATCCTATAGCTAGCAAGGAGTCCTGGTCAAAGTTGTTCACCAAGAAGGCTGCACCTAAATGCGAGGGCCATCAAGAGCCTTGCATTATGTTGACTACGAAGAAGCCGGGAATCAACTGTGGAAGGGCCTTCTGGATTTGTCCAAGGCCAATAGGTCCTAGTGGGAACAAGGAGAAAGGGACTCAATGGCGATGTTCAACGTTCATTTGGGCGAGCGATTGGAACGGTCCTGGTTGACGTCTGATAGGAGTTGTACCAGGGTGATTCGTTTACCGAAAAGATGTCTGGTTTTTGATGTACTGTCTGAAGTACAGCTTTGACTATCCGTCAGGAGCATCGTACGAGGTGACTCGAGGCTTCTTTGGTCGGGAACTACAGATTCGATGAGAAATATAATTACCGACGACCCTCATGGTATCGAACTCCTCCTGAACTCCCCCGGACGCAATGTTCTCGTGTGTATTATCCCAATCAATCCAATATAGCACCGCCATCTGGATGGCTTAACCTCTAAAATGCTTAAATGAATATGTGATGTCGGGGCAAATTCGCATCTCTACAGATACACTGCATGTCAGTTACTCTTCTCCAAAACGAAGCTGCCTTCATGTAGAGGGATTGACCGTAAACGTACCAGGGTCAACGCCTTAGAGAATTTCCTTTTTTTCGGAAATACGTTGTAGGAATCTAGGCGTATTCATTTTCTCGTCGATATACCACGTTTCGAAGTCGTCAACGTCCTCGATTATCCTCGAAATGTCTTCGCCTGCTCTACAGTACACTCCATCCAGTTGTAAACGCTGCAAACATTGGGGTCCAGCAGGGTATATCAAGCTGGGCCCAGACAGGCCTTCTAGGCGATGATGATGACGACGACGACAACGACGACAAGTGGAGTCCTTTCGTCTGGTGTGTTCCAGAACAACATATTCACTGGCCATGGCACCGGGCGTGGCAACTGAGACACCATTGTGAGACACCATTGTGGAGCGACGACTCCCAGCCTCCTCGTCTCATAGCAACAAAGACATTGTGGGCTCTCAATTCACCGTTGCCAGGCAGCAAGCGACCAGCCACCCTGATTACTTCTTTGTTTAACCATGACTTAGTGAATACTCCCCCAGGCAACCATGCGGAGGGGAGGCTGGGGGTGGCGACTTGAGTGGAGACTGGTGGTGAAGACTTAGGAGGAGGCTGGGGGCAAAGTTTATCGTCTGAAAAATTTTCGAGACATGGGATGAGAGGGTGGTTGGGACGAGAGGTGGCAGCGGACATTGAAAAGCCGGTCTTGAAGACCTTTCGTCCCAAGACAAGACGAATTTTTTTTGAGAACAGGTTACCTATACCAATGAATTACTTTTTACCTTTTTTTTGTTACATAACTCCTCGAATATGCTTCCCATCAAACTAGGTATTAAATATGGTTTTTATAATAGTGCTATCTTTAACTGAAGCGAAAACACCCCTGAGAGCAAGATCTTCGGGAAATTCTGGGGTCGAATATGAAACCGTCTTCTTATTTTGATTTGCTCTCGACATCTGGTAAAAAGACGAGTTCAAGTCCAGCGAATCCACGGAAGGCGTCATGTCGCAGGCCTCGAGATATGTTCTAAGATTGCTTTCCGTGAGCGGACTTGTAAGAGATGTCTCGTAACCGGATATACTGAGGGGCGGCGGAGGCTGATTGAATTGTTCATTGTAGTGATCAAGGTAAGGAGAGTCGGGGTTGATAAACGTCGTCTCATCAAGACTCCTGAGTGATGAAAGAAAGTGATGAAGATGGAATACAGCACTTTTTCAACGTTTTGTCAAAAAAGACGCGTTTTTGTAAAGAATATTAGGTCCTCGAACCGAATGTCAACGGTCTCGCCCGGAGACGAGCCCGCAGGCACTGTAAGAGGTCCTGAGACCCCAGGCGCCGTAAAGTAAAAGATACTAAGATTTTTGTAAGAGATCCAGAGATCCTGAGACCCACGAGGCGATTAGGCTTGCAGCGACCGGGGTGGGAGTCGTCTTGGCTGGCGCCGGCGCGACGGATCGCGCCAATGACGGCGAGGGAGGGTAAATTTGATATGTAGAAAGAGGCCGGGGCCTAGAGATGACTGTAGAGAGGTTGTTTTTGATGAAAAGAAGCTATCCGGGCTCATAACCTGATGAAAGAAAGTGATGAAGAAGATGGTTAGATTTCTAAGAACTGAGATTTCTCTATCGTACAAACGGTGGGAGATATAGGCCCTGAGACCTTAAGTGAAGCGCTAGTGCGAATTAGGAAAGAGGCGGCAGTTACCGTACAGGTTTACCTGCAACACTGAGGAAGGTTTCCATCAAGATTCTCTTTTTAGCAGGCAAAACCTGCAGATTCGCCCCTGCCATCTCGGCACGATAACAGAGTGTTTGTTCGGACATCCTGTAGCCTTGGACACCGTGTATGTGATACTTGAAGATTGCTTAATGCGCTCGACTCGGTGAGTAAAAACTAGCAATGATTGTATATGGAAACTTCAAAAGTCGGGAAAGGACATCCTTAAAAACCTTCCGGTGTTGGTCGACAAAGGAAAAAGTAGCTGGGAAGGTGGTTGGGTAAATGCAGGAATACACAAGTTGAACCGAGCCGAAGATGACGCTCGCCGTAACAGTCTACGGAGTAAGGGTGCCCCGGTGAACTAGGCGGGCCGCTTACAGAGTATATCGGTAATCTTATAATCACAATATTAAATAGGCTTAGCGCAATTTCTTTAGGTTACCAGAGGGGAAAGGACGCAGCTGACGCCCAAGTGTTTTCGACTGAACACATCCTTTCCTGCTGCTTGCGGTCGAGCCTTCAAAGGCAGTACAAAGGGATTCAAAAAGAATGTTGATTATGAAAACATACTGAAAGAAAGGGAGGAGGGAAGGAGATTATCTTGATCCAGAAAATGAGGAAAATGTGTTGACTTCAGATATTCATGGATCAACGGCGTGATGAAGGGTGCGTGGTTGGGTACCAGGCTCGCATTCATCGGAGGACACGATAACGCCAGCAGTGTAATTGTAGTGCACGGGAACATGGTCTTCATTCTCAAGGCTCGCTGGTACCACAAGTTAATTGCTGAAATACTATGGCAAGTGAAAATAGGTCGTCATACCGATCAACGAGGATAGGTAGGGAAGATTATCCGTCTTGATGAGATTCAGCCCAGAAGGCCGCTCAGGAAGCCATAGGTTCGGCTCGAACATAAACTAATCATTGAGAATGTCAGAAGACGAAAATGGGCAATTGTGAATATATTCCCTTACCGGAATGGTCTCATATCTAATGTTGAGCGGACTCTCAAATCCTTCACTGGCCTAGAAAGGAGGGAAAGGTAAGAATATGGACAGTGATTCCCAGCTGAATTGACTCACGAAACCGGCAATTTGCTCGGAATTGAAATGCCCGGGAATGGCGGTCTATATGAAGGATCGTCAGATAGAGAATTGTGAAAAAAAAGGCTATTTTTGTAATTACCTGTCTGCATTTTTCCTCAAGTTCTTCGTACTCTTTGCACCAATCTGCCCACAGGGCCATTCCACCTGGAGGGAAAATATGAAAATCACTGTCTTCAGAAGCAGTAGACAATTCGAAATCGTCACTTTCAGGAACTTTGCCAAGGAACTTGGCTCTTGGGTTCATTCCGCTCCCTGGTGCATCTTCCATCATGAATTGCTGCCATGGTTTGAGGTGAGGCTGGAAAGTCGGATGCTTAAGCCAAAGCTCAATGACATGCTCAGCCTGGTGGATTTTCTTCCAACAAGCTTCGTTTTGCATTTTGTTTGCGGCATCTAGAGTCTTCCGATGATTATCCTGCAGTTTCATCCGTAAAGCCGTGTGGAACCTCTTCATCGCGACTCTTGTCGGGTAAAGATCCTGATAGCGTTGCAAGCGACGGACCTCCTTGGCGACCTCATTGAAAATAGATGCAGCATCGTCGATAGCGAGGAGAATATCCTCCAGAACAAGCTCCAGCTCCTCTGAAGTTGGAGGAGGGACGTAACTGTACAATTCATCTTCCGCGTCTTCTTCGGAGACATTCTTGAAGACAAATTGAAACGCATTTTGATAAGCTTGTTCCATCTCCAGAAGAAGTTCGATCAGGAATCTCTCATCGCAAGCTCGAAGAACCTCTCCGTTGTCTAAAGACAATTGTTAGTTGGCATAAGGTGCAACTCAGCCTTGGGACTCACCATTGACTTCTCCTTTGCTAAAAAGCCAGCGACGTGAGCTGCCCGGATAAACGGGCGCCTGAGGATTTTCTTCTACCATTTCCATGGCTTTTTGATAGTAAAGGAAGGTCAGGATAATGATAAGAGATATGATGAATTGAAACGACTGAAGTCAGTGTGTCAGGAGGATAAAAGAATCGAGACGGTGTATGATGGGGATAATGGAAGTCAGGGTAAAGATATGGATCGAAACAACGGAAATAAAACAGTCTCAAACTCCAGCCAAGTCGTCTTGAAGAAATTTGTGGCTGGGAAAACCCGTAAAGAGAGTAACTAAACAAAAGTGAGGGAAACGCTGGGCCGCTTCTTTGTTTGTGAATATCAATCCCCAGCCCCCTCCCCCCCAAAACGACACTGAATTCACTTCAGTCCTAGGCAACGGAAGCACTTCAACACACTCTCAAAGCTTTCCTTTCATCTAATAAACACCTTCATAAGTTTTTCTCCTCTCTCTTTTCTGAGCAGACTACCTCACACTTCTTGCTTTCCCCTCTCATCTCCAGTTCTTTTCGCATTATCAGTCTCATCAAAAGTTATTCCTGCTTCATCGAGTCACCATGGCTCAAAATCTCATCCCTTTGGCGGATCTCAATCCCCTGCAACGGGCTTTCAACTCGTTCATCATGGGACTGCCTCCAAGTGATCTTCAGGAGCTGCTGGAATTTGCTCGCCGCAATGAAGAGAACATCTTTGCGCAGAACAATTTCCTCCAGAAGATTCATGATGTGCTTACGGCCATGAACCCGGCTGTCAACGGCCATTCTCAGGACGATATAGCTCCAATCGGAAGGGCTCGCACTTCCCGTGCAAAGAGACTCCGTGAGAGGAAGCTTCGGCCACTCAACAGCTTCATCGCCTACAGAAGTTCGTAAAATATCCACTTCGTTTCTTTTCGTTTTTCTTTTCTTTTTTTTTTTTTTTTGGCTTCAGATTTAGAGGACTAACGATCAATAGGCTATTATTCCACAATGTTCTCGGACATGACTCAGAAGTCGAAATCTGGCATTATCAAATTTCTTTGGCAGCACGATCCCTTCAAGGCCAAATGGGCTATTCTCGCCAAGTCGTACTCCATCATTCGCGACAAACATGGCAGTGATGTCTCCCTGGATACTTTCCTTAACCTGACTGTCCCCTTCATCGGACTTATTGAGCCTCCCGACTACCTTGACACTATGGGCTGGCAGATTGCTATGGATGATGACCATCAGTACAATGTCGTGCGAAACACCTCAGTTGAACCAGACGTCTCAAACACCGCCACCAATTACTCAGTTGCAGACGTGGTTAATTACTGCTACGAAACCGACTATGTGAGGGATGATCATCGTTTCGAAGAAATTGGAGCAGGTCCTGTCGTGACTTTTGCAGCCCAGCCTAACTTTACTGTCAATGCGGACGATTCGGTCGTTGCTCTGGGTGATGCGGACACCGTCATCACCGAAGACGAAGCCGAATCTATCGACGGCACTCCTGAACTCGAAGAACGTCCTGCCGAGTTGCTCCACGTCCACGACGGTCATCATACTCAGGGAGAATTTTACACTGAAATTGACGATGCTATCGGTGACTTGCGCCATGAGAATGAAGATGACAAAGAGTTATTCGCGGCCTTCAACCCCGCCATGCAGAATGATCTCCCTCATTACGATCCCCTTTCCCAAGATCCTTTTGATGCTTTCGATATCGAGGATATGGATTTCTAGATCATCAAATCAATTCCAGGTCCTTTAATTGCTTACGACAGCCAGGACTCACTGCGTCTCATTCCCCAAGTGGATGCTTCAGCATCGAACGCCGGATGGACCCGTTGCTCCAACCCGTAATCCAACACTTCCCCCAACGCCATTTCTCCTCCGCTTTGCGATTCCCTTCATGTCTTCATCTGTTTTTGGTTTCCGTTTCTTGTTCCCTCTAATAATGAATGGAAGTGACGGTATTGCCAAAACGGTCGTCTATTTTTTTCTTCCTTTTTGCCCCTTCGCTTGCTCCTCAGCTGTTTGTTCGTTCGTGAACATAATAATTAATCAACAATTAATCCACCAGTACAGAGTGGTTTAGTTTAGCTAGTTAGTTTAATAACAACGAGGAGAAATTGGCCCTTTTATTTCTGTCTTTATTCCAGTTCCAGTAATCGATCGATCGAATGTATCTGTCAGTCTGTCGGTCTGGCTTTCTTTTTATTATACGCTTTCGAATCACTCAGCTGAATTACTCCAAAAAAGGGTGTTCTTGCGGTACTCAAACACGCAGTGCATGAATCCGAAAACAGCCGTGAATGCGAAGTTCAAACAAAGAACTGCGGTCTCGATAAGGTTACTGGTGGATCATTGGATCGGGCAGGCGCAGCGCTACTACCTACTCTTCCCGTCGGCATGTAAATTTCAACCACGCTACAGGATAATACCAACGGGCATTTTCTTATATAATTTTTCGCCTACACTGTACGCGTACCTACTTTTCAAAACCTGGCCTAGTACAATGGGAAGACGTTCGGGGAGGACGTGATATAAATAAGACACGATGAACAAGGTCCATTAAAATCCTTAGATACACACAGAAGAGTAGTTACAGGAGTTCCAGACAGCTATAATCACAGGACAACTGGACAGACGAAAGATTGTGCGGTCATAATATATCTGTCCGAGCTAGAAAACACGCTGGGTATACAGCGGTAGACGGGAATATCATGATCGATGCGCAGGCGAACAAGCATGGGAAAGCGCATACAGTGTACGGTACTGCATAAAAATTTTCAAGCATAACATAGGGACTGTATACACCTTCATAATGCTCTTCTTTAGTCTTCCTGGTAGGAGATCTTGCGCATTTCTCCCAGGCGTGTTCGGGCTCGGGCAAGGGCATTCTCGAGTTGGAGGATCTCGACCTGTAGATGGTAAGTGGAACGTGAGCATCATACACAAAAGCCAAGAACCATGGCAAATTCGAGAACGGAGAAAGACTCAGCTCAGGAACGCTCGCGAGAAACCACATGGATACCCTCGTACAAGGGCTGACGCGTTCTGAGACTGACTCCAAAGCGCACCGACACGGCTTACGATTTCACCGCATATGATGGACATAAAAGAAGATCGACTTACCTGTTGCTCCATTTCCCGAACTTTGAACTCGTGTCCACTGAGCTTCGAGTAGTCGACGGCTTCGCTGTCATCCTTGTTCTTCTCCGCAATGATATCCTGTACCTGACGGACGAGACTTCTGCACGCGGCGCCAACCGCTTTGCTGGCGTTCTCAAGACGATCCTGCGTCTTGCTCATAAATGTGGCTTTGACACGGCTAGCCGCAACAAGTTGTGCCGTACTGGCAGCGACATCGTTACTAGCCACAATGAGCTGTTCGAGGGAATTGCGACCAGAAATGACACCGTCCGCGGTTTCTATCAGCGTGTTGGTGGAGGAAGCCACGGCTTTGGCAGCAGAGATCAACCCCTCCGTCCAACGGTTATTCTTCTTGTAAAACGCCGTCCTAGACGAGCTACCACGTCCTTCCTTGACGATCTCTTCTTGTGAAGCGGTTGCCGCCTTGATAAGCTCCGCGATCGCATTTGTAATAGCGAGTGCAGCATCAAGGATCGAGTCATTGACTCGGAGTTCGTAAGTGGTATATCCCTCGCGAGGCTTTTTCCGGAGCTTGGCCAGACGTTCTGCTGCGGCATCGATGGCATTGGCGGCCTTTTCAAGTTCCTTGTCCACAAGGTCTCCAAGATCACCAGTGGTGCTGATCTTGCTGTCCTTGGGAGCAAAGGTGTCAACGAGTTTTGACAGGGTCTGTAAATCCCTCTGAACCTCCAGATTGTTGTTAATAACCACATCAGTCTTCTGAAGCGGCTCCAAACCATCCAGACGGAATGACTGCAGCGCACGGAAAAATCGGATGGTGGCCTGCGCAGGTTTGCGAGCAGCATTGATCAGCTGGTCTGTGCTCTTGTCGTCGATCGCAAAACGCGTCAAGCCTTTGGTATTGCTTAAAACGTCGGCGATCGAGCCTGAGAAGATCGAGACGGTACGGATGATCTCGGCGTGCGAGCTATTGGGACCGTCTGCGATGAAATTATTGAAAGCTGTCGAGAACTCGGTGGCCGAAGCAGAGGCCTTTTCAATCTGTGACAGAACATATGGGGGGGATGCATTCTGGTTTCCAGCCTGCATGGGAGATTCCAGCTCATAAAGCGCATCATCCACGCGCTGAACACCGCTCTGCAGGACAGAATCAATGATATCATTAATTTTGGCTACCGTTCCACGTAAGACATCGTCAATTTGCGAATCCAGCGCCCGGTCGGCGGCTCCCTGACTCTGCTCACGGTCAATCAAAACAAGGACGTCCTAGACTTGCATACGGGAAAACATACCAATTTTAATTCCTCCAGCTCCATAAGTGCTTGCTCCATACCGGACTTGTACACTTCGATTTCTTCGTCTTTCTCGCGCAAAGCGAGCTCATGCTCTCCATCCCGTTCATTGTTTCTTGAAGATAGCTCTTCCAAGGCCCGGGTTTTCTTCTGCTCGACGATTAGTTTATTTGCAACACTAAAGGGGGAGGGGAAAAAAAAGGACGGATGGTAACAAACCCGGAGAGCCTCTTCGAGATCAGCCATTTCACGGTTGTATTTGGCCAGCATCGAGGACAACTCGCTGCCCTTCTGCTTCTCTGCGTTTTCTGCGCGCTCAAGAGCAAGTCGAAGCTCTCGCTTCAACTTTTCAACCTCTTCCTTGTTACTTCCAGTTATACGATCCCTCTCGTGCAACGCCCGGTCTCGCTCTCTGATCATGTCCGCAAGCTCAAGGTTCTTGGTCTTCATCTCCCGTTCCAGCTTCTCCCGCTTTTCGATGGCCTCTTGCGCGGAGGCTGCCTTCAACTTCAGATTCTTTGTCGTTTGCAGGAGATCAAGGTGCTCTTGTCGGAGTTGTGAGTAGAGTTTGGCGAGGGCTTCGTACTTGGTTCGCCAGGTGTTCACTTGCTCCTGGAGAGCCCGGATCTGCTCATCTTTCGAGTTGATTTGAAGATTGAAATTGTTATTAAGCTGGTTGTATTGCTCTTCCAGATCCTTCATCCTCTTGTCGTACTGCTGCAGCAAGAGTTGGTCCCGCTCATACTGCGCACGCGCGTTCAAGTTCTCTCGTTCCAATTCGGCCAAGCGGCCCTGGGTCTGCGCCTGGAGTTGATCTCGTAGTAACTGCTCTTGTGCCAGTCGCTGCTGCTCAGCCTGTAACCGCTGCTGCTCTTCGAATTCTCGTTGCGCTTGTTGCTGAGCAAGGAGCTGCTGGCGTTGTTGCTCTTCCCATTGCTGCTGCAGTCTGCGTTGTTCAGCCTCGAATTCCTCTTGCTGACGCTTCGCTTCATTATTCCAGAATTCAGTGATTGGTTCAGGTTCGGGCTGAGAGACCTTAGGCGGCGGTGAAGGCTCCCGCTCGGCGTCTTTCGTCGGTCGTTTAGGAAGGGCGGGACGCTCCTCGTCATCAGCCAAGAGATTCGGAGGATCTTGCGGCAGCTTTGGGACAGTGATGAGGCTGGTCAAGTATCGCAGGTTCGAACATTCATAATAAAATCTGACGAGGCGGTAGTGCTGAGCATTATAACGGTTGCGCAGAGGCTCAAGGGCCTCTTCATCGCCGGTAGCTTGCACTAGTCAGCATGAAAATACGAATTTGTTTCTGGACAACATACTCGTATGCATCGCCCTCAGCATGCTAGTGACAAACTTGTAAATTCCATAACTTTCTTGCACCAGAGGCACCAACGCAGATATCCTGCATTCATTATTGGTTCCGGTTTGGAAATGAGAAAAAATGAGCTTCTGAAAGGCGTCGATCTGATCCTGTAAAGTCATAAGATCGGTGATCGTCTCGTAGCTACAAGTCGGGTCAGTAGAAACGCAGGTGGATGGTCGAAGTAATCGGGAGACTGACCCTTCATTTGGATCATTAATGGTCTTCAAACTGATGTATTCCTCGTATTCAAAGAGACCTGAGAAATTGATTAGATCAAGGCCACCGCAAGGTTAAGTCAATGAAAAGTTAACAAAACAAAGCTCACCATTGAACTCAGGATGGTGGCGATGAAAAGCCAGCTTCGACTCCAGGAAGAACACATATTCCCTGATCAAGGGACCATAGCCTGTTGACAAGCGATGAGCAAATAAATGATCACACTCGAGTCACCTGGAAGACACAGAAGACAAAAGAAGGATCTTATACTGCACAGTCATCCATACCTCGGATTCCGTCCCCTGCAACGCCTCTCATCAGGCTGTCCAGCCAGCCCACATGGTTCTGGGCTTCCTTGACCACGATCGGGTGGCCCTCTTGTAGAACTTTATGTATGGTTATAAGAGCCTTAAATGTCTGCACTTCGTCCGCGAGGATAGGTTGTCTGTGAGAGCAAGAGCGCCAGGTCAGCTTCCAGTCACAAATGAACCAAAATGATAACCAGGAGATAGCGTACACTTTCATGCCAGCCCAGAAGGCATTGGAGGACTTGTGGTCCCAAGTGTAAACAATGCAACTCCGCACATGTTTTCCTAATGAGCAGTAAGTCACCACCATCCTCATCGATAAGTGATAAGTGATCCAAGCTGGACCGCGCGGGTGATTCAAGACACGGCACATACGTTTAGGAGCGGTTTCGTCTGCAAATCGCCAGCTTATCAGTAAATGCCACTAGAAACTCTCCAAAATACTCGGCAATATAAAAGAGTCATGTGTCTGTAGGGAAGCGTACCAATGCTGGTGGCTTTGCGAATATTTATCGCGAGATCCGCCTCGGTCCTACTTGGGAAATGTGAACATCTCCTTGCATAGCTACGCCAGTACTATTGCTTCCAATCGCATTCTTACCTGCTCATCTTGACGATTCCTTCGGATCCGAAGTTATAGTAACAGAGACATGCAAGCGGAAGCGGGGTCGAGTTCTCGACAGAGGCGTTGGTAGCAGCGTACGGAGTAAGCGAAACGGAGGCTCACGCCTGGGCAGACTGACCAGACGACGGCCCAAGTTTGAGGCTGCGATGGGTGACAAGAAAGGAGGCGAAGGTCAAGTCGCAGGAACCACTGGTTGCGAAGGCAAGCGATAATCATATATGCGGGAGGAAGAAATGACGTTCCAGTTTTCGGTACGCTGGAGCCTGCGCCTCGTGCAGGACGCGTTTAATGGTAGAAGTTAATTAGGTAGCTACTGTAAGCGTTAGGCAAGCAAAGGCGGCAAAGGCAATTGCCCCGGTCTTGGCACCGCCAGCTTCGCCGCCCGCTGCCCAAAACAGTGGCTCAGGGACACCCGCTGACGCGCAAACCTTACGAGAGCGGCGTCGCTGGAATTCTTCTGCCTGAGAACCTGCACATTTGTGGCGAATCTGTCACTTCCTTATATAAATGGCCAGATACGTTGCTGAGAGTGGTCTCAATGGTCACGTGACGCAGGAAGGCTCCGACAACTGCAACTTGTGGCATAAAGCCTACATAGCTAAGTATTTCTACACAATTACTGCACCAAGTATTCCGGTATGTAAGCAGTGCTGAACCATACAAGATTATGGATAGTCATCGTGGACAAGAAATTCCTGTTGTTAAGGACCCTTGATAGCGCCGCCATAACTCCTGATAAGACATTCTTTGCAGATATCCACTGATCTGCTGCCGCCAATGAGACAAAAACAAAATCCCAAAAAAGAGTGTGTGGAATATACGACCGGAGTGTTGAAATTTCTATTTGAATTACAAAACCACATTCTGTGGAGGGCGAAAATGATCATTTACCGTCGCCATCGTCTCGCGGTCTGGTGGAGTAGAAGATGAAGGTTGCATAGCCCCAGCTTCTGAGAGACTCGGTATCTGTTCGAAACCAGAGTCAGACTGAGCATCCTCGAGGGACTGTTGAGGATGAAGCTGAGAATCTGAGGCAGATGGTGGGAGATTCTCCGTTTTCATAGTGTGAACAGCATCCGACTCGCCGTCTGGAGCCGGACTACTGGGCTCGGAGTCCCGAGGAGCTTCAACAACCAACACTTCATCAGTAAAGATGACCGTGGATTCTTGGGATGGTGGGCTTTGCCGCTTAGGCAACGGTGGTTTGGGCACCGGTCTCATGTTCTCCTCCTGAGACCTTTCGGGCAGTACTGGAGGTGGAACGGGTTTCCTCCGTGGCATAGAGATGGGATTTGACCTGAAGCCGAACCTCTCCGGAGGGGGCAGAGGAGTCCCGGGAGGCGGCAAGGGACGCCCACGCCCAATAGGATGGTCCGGCGTACCGGGTCGTCCAGCCGCATCGATGGCCTTGCCTTGATCTCCTTTACCAAGCACGTTCCAGCCCCATTTTTTGGCAGCAGCAGCAGTAATTGACCCTATGGAACCCATTCCTTGGCGTTTTTCTCCAGACAAGGATGAAGTGAAAGATTTGGTAATGCTCTCCAGAGGGCGACTGCGTTTCGTTTCATCGTTTACGGTGGAACTCCGGGAGATACTTTCCGGACTTGGCGAGGTAGGGGAATCTGCCCCTGTGTGACCAGAATGGGAACGTTGAAGGACATCGGGAAGACTCTCAGACCCATTTTGGCCGTCTATTGGATCTGTGGATGAGGAGTTTTCATTCTGAGGAGTCCGGGACGTGAGGGAAGATTGCTCCTTGGGCGGTGAACCAGCTGGCGTGGCTGCAAGTGAACTTGACTGGGAACGACTCGAAATTTCAATCATGCTACTGGTAGCATTTTTCTTCTTATCGTTCTTTCCAGACTCATGACCCGCCTTATCAACCTTCCCATGATCCGGCGTTACCACAGGACTAGCGACATTCGAGAAAGTCCGCGACCGGATCGCTGTAGGGGGAGGTGAGTTGGTGCGCTTGTCCACAGCCGAAGAAGAGGCGCTCTCATCAATTTGAGAGCTTGAATCTGATTTGGAGCTTTTGCGAGATTTCAAAGCAGGGGATGGGGATTCGGAGAACTCAGGCGTGCTCATGGTTCGATTATCTGTAGTCTTCAAAGCGTCGAAGGAATCACCCTCTGAGGGTAACCCTGAATCATTCTGTAACTCCGATTCGTCTGGAATCTCAGTCTTCACACTGGCTTTCGAAATCTCCCGCTCCCATATTCCACCCCGGAAGGGTTGGGAACTGGTGTCCAGGAAAGGGACATCGTCCCAGAAGGGATAGACAAGCGATTCCGCGACAACTTCCCTGATCCTACTCTCGATGGCACGAAGAATGATGCCGTAGGTGATTTGCCTCGAACTAACAATCGGTTCGATGGACATGACCATGTCTGGCATGGTTGCGAAACAGAACCAAATTCGGTTGCTTGGAGGAGGCTTGAAGCGTACCAAGACGTGACCGGCGAGTTTCTTAAGCACAACTGCAAGAACAAGGTCGACTTCTCTCGTTTTGAATCTCTGGCCCAAGTCGATTCGGGCTGTAGCGGAGATTTCAAGGCGGAAGTGGCCAGTGTAATTGATATCTGCCTCCACAGTGCAGTCTCCGTCGATCGTAAGATCTTTGAGTCTGGGATTCGTAATGAATGGTGCTTCATGGCCCATATCGATCTTCTGTAGCGAGATCTTGGAGATAAACGTCGGCTTCTTGACCCGAAAAATTTTCTTGGTGACCTTTTTTCTGACGAACTCATGCATCTCTGGAGTCTTATACAAAGCCAGAAACAATCTTCCCACCATTGCGTTGATCCACCGTGTCTGCAGTTGCTCTTCGGACGAATGAAGCCGTTGCACCAGCGTAACGATATCTTTGACATCATAGTGCTGCTGCGTAGGCGGAGAATTTGGCGAACCTGGGATCTTCTCCTGATTTTTGAGCAATGCAAAATAGAAGTCTTCCTTTGCTGATTGACTTTCGGAGAACAGATAAAATGGTGGTGTCATTCCCCGAAGATCTGCAATTGAGTCCTCTCTCCTGCTAAGACAGATTGCATTTCGCTTGATCCATAGTTCCCCTTCTGGTATTTCATCGCCTCCACCGTAAATGCTCACATCATGGTGTGCCAAGGAGATCACATATCGAACTTCGAGCTGTTCAGCGTCGTCGTAGAGCATCAGATGGCCATGTCTCAAGAACCGAGTCAGCCGTGAAGATACAGACCGTTGTACTAATCATGTTAGGCATACCTGAGAACGATATAAAACACATTCCGTGCCTTCTTGAAATTCTTCCCGTTGGTTTTCGCAGGCTCGATACTAGGTGGCTGCTTGCGGTCGAATATGCTCCTGTACATGGTCTGGTATACACTGGGACTTTCCGTCGCCACCACCTCCCCTGCTGGAGTTGTCCTCTCCGGTGGCTTTCCATTGACTCCTCCAGGCACGTACTCCCGACAGACAGCGAAATATCCCGCGGCCACGTCGGATTCATGGGCGCGTTGAAACTCCTCTGCCAGAACATCGATACCGGTCTTCAGGCTGTACTGGTCATCGTTCGGACGCTCGAGGACGTTCTTCGTGGTCTCCTCGTCCTTTTCATCGGAAAAAGACGTCGAAGGAGGTTTGAGCGTCAAATAAGCATGGAGGGCGATCAGCGCGATGATGAGAGGAATGAAAGTGAGTCCGCCGAGAATGTACACCAACAAGAAGGCGGCAAACGAACCCATCGGGAGCTAGATCAGAATGGATGCAATGACGGCTCCATGGAGGGGAGGAGTAGGGCAGGGACACCAGGAGAACAAGACAAACCCGGATTCCTGGAGGGAGAAGAGTGCTCGGCAGATCGAGGCGAGTATCGAGCGGGCAAGGTTGCAGCCGCAGTAGGAACTACTGCTTAGCTGTGTCCCTGTTACAGAGCCGGATTCAAGCACGCCCGCGGCCAGCCCGGCCCCATTGTCAGGAATGGGATGTGACTATGACGCGCTGACGGCAGACTGCCCGCAGGAACAACGTTGCCCCGCCGATCGGCTTCCGATCCACTTCAGCGGAAGCTACCACGCTGCCAATCCACCTGATTATCCACCAAGAATCGTTATCTTATTAACTACGGAGTAGATCCGACGTTGTTACCGAGATTATCCCAAAGGAACTCCAGCCACTGAGTAGAAGACATCTAGGACTGCTGACCTCGTGCTGCATCAAGCTTCTTCTAGGTATGTATGTACTGTATGTACAAATGCATTTATGTTGTACAGGATCCAGACTATGTGCAAGAAACAGAATAAGGTATACCAGAAGAAACAAAAGGCACTCAAACCGTTCTGCGAACACCAGACGGCGACGCTGCAAACTTGATAGGGTGCAACCATTCCAAACCCTGAGTAAATCGGGAGATAGGGGATCGTTTCTGAAAGCGAATGGAATAATGATTGACGTAGTAACATTGTGGTGTCATTCGTATAGCCCACATATGCAAAGAGCATGATGCCAGCGTCATGTTGTCTCGCTGTTCACTATAGAAACAGATGGCTGTTCATCTGTAGAAGACCTACCAATCTTTTTCGCAGTGAGTTGAATGTCATTGCTGGCGCCGTCATCTACACCAGCCGCACGGTCGTCCGTGTCTGAATCAACGACCAGTCGAACACTTCCTTGTGTCACTTTGCTGGGTGATTCAGCACTCCCAAAGGCATCTTTAGCCCTCGCCTGTGCAGGTGATACCGGCGACATCCGACCAACGGGCCGGTTTTCCTCTGACGCGACCGCCCGGGCCGTGTTGAGCTTCAACTTCTTCGTCTGCTGGTCATCCACCTTCCGCCTCTCCAAGTCGGATACGATACTCTGAAAGTATTGCGCAGCTTGTTTGGTAATGGAATAGTCCAGCGGAGTGTGATTGGCTTTGTTGAGAGCCAGTGGAGGGGATCCCGCAGAGAGTAGGACCCGGACGGCCTTCAGGTTTCCCCATGCGCTCGCATAGTGGAGTGCTGTGTTTCCCGCGTTGTCTACACATGTCACAGATGCGTTGTGTGAGATAAGGGTACTGATCGTGGTCGTGTCCTCGGAGGCGGTTGCGGTTCCGGCAGACAAGGCTCGAAGTCGAGCGCTTGGAGGCACATGGGACGTACTTGATGGCGCGTGGGCTGGATTCGAGCTTTGTGCTGCGAGCATCAGAGCCGTCTTTCCGTCCTTATCTCTCCAATTGATGATGTGCGGAAAGGTGCGGCAGAGATAGTCCACGCAGAGTGCATTGGAGTGAGCAGCAGCGAGGTGGAGTGCAGTGGAAGAATCGGTATTGAGACTGATCCCCGGGGCGGCATCGTACCCTGTTTGATCGATAACAGGAGTACAAGAGTCGTGACCAAAGGATATTAGAAGTTTCTGCGTGTGGATCACGGCAGTAATCAGCGTTAGTTTCTAGAGTACCACAGATTCAGGTTCAAACATACCACTACGTCGATATGGCCCTTGATTGCTGCTAGGTGAAGCGAAGTGTTGCTTTTATCTGAAAAATCCGGATTCCTAAGGTATGATGGATTGTTCTTCACGATGCGCTTGACCAGCAAGACGTCGTTCTGGAGGATGGCCCGTCGGAGACGCACGGGCACAACAAGCTCGACCCTGAATACCGTCAGCAAATCGCACAACCCAAGCTTAAGAAAGGGAAACGGACATTCCGGCTTCATCTTTGGAGACAGATTTTATGACTGAGCATCGAGGTTGGCGTTGATTCCTTCCATGGTGTTGTTCAGAGACCCGCCACGTAAGTGTTAGGTAGGTATGGAGTAGTTGTCCACAAAGGCTAGTGACGGGGGATGGGGTATATAAACAAATGGTTGTCATCTACGACCCACCTTTGTTCTTGCCCATCCGACGACTATCTTGACAGCCCTAACCGGCCAAAAGACAATCCTACTTCGTTAACTATGCCGTTGAACTGTCCACCGCGGACCTCCCTCCATCCTTAGTCACACAGAGTTTTGACTATGATCCCTTGCTACAGCCACTGTAGCCAACTTTTGCAAAAATGACATTATCTTTTGTACGTAATGTACTGTGTGTACATACGATGCACGTAGGAATCATGACCGAGCTATGCTCTGTGATGATGTCTCCAGAAAGAAACACATCAAATTCCAATTTATCTCCGAAGAGTGTTTGGTTATTGCTTGGTGTTGTGGCAATGGCACATTTTTTATCCGTCAATGTTTCCGAACTGGAAATATTTTGCCTAAGGTTGCCTCATTATTAATCGCATAGTTCCCGATTTAGGACTGTTCAATTTTCCAGCGATCTCCCTCCGTTTCAGCAACTTGGTCCTTCTGGAGACAGAAAATGATGGCAAAACTGCAACTCAACGACGGTATCCTGCAAACAAAAGCAGAGAATGCAATAGAGAGAAAAGAATAAGGATCCAGGTATATGCAGACCAGAGTGGGGGAGTACGGATACCACGAACACCCATGCAGGGATTGTGAGTGGATTGGAATCCACGAGAAGAAAATGGAGCGATGTTACATCTACCAAACGCTGGCAAGACGCGTAAAGATGCAAAGAGATCCGCAGAGACGCACACTTGCAAACAAGCAACTAAGCACACGCAAGGTTTTCATTATAAAATTCGTGATCATGCTCCGAAAGCGACCGGCGAATGGGGTCCCTGTCTATTCTTTGCATTGGCCTCATCGATCTGCACCTAACCAAGTTATTTCCGTGACTCGTTCGGTTCCCAGTGAATGGGCTCGAAGTCTTGGTTGAGAAAGTGAGCTTGGTTGTATGGCGAGCTAAATGGCGTGAGTATCACTTCCAATACTTTCTCCAGAGTCGTGACTTACTTCTTGAAAGGGGTCGTAACAGGAAGTGAGTGGCTCAAGTTTGACTTCATAACCAGCGGATTTAGTCTGATCTGAGGTCCCTCAGACGATTTGCTCGATAGCGAGCTCAGTGGAAGAGTCGGCGCAATGGGAGACGACAACGTGACTGGAGCTGGGGAACTAAGAGATGGAGAATAAAACTCGTTCGTTTGGGATGCCATGTACGTGGGCGGAGAAGCCGGCGTCAACGGACCGGTTGCTGGGGGGAACGACGGATCAACCATGAGATTTGGAACCGCCATTAAGTGGGGATTGGCGTCGAAAGGCAATGCGGCTTGATCCCAAGGGGAATAGTTAGTGATCATTCCATACTGATAGTTGACCACAGGTGCCATATTCACAGGTGCTTCGGCGGAGTAGAGGAGATCGTAATGCCCACTGCTGATCAGTCAGCCGATTAACGCATGTCTGGTCTGGAGACCCTTCGGACTTACGGGCGATATAACAATCTGATTGTGGCGTTGCTGGGTCTGTTGGGAGACAAGAGATGCGGAGTCACGACATCACCATGGCTTCGGTCGAGATAAAGAATTTCCACTGCGAACCCGGACCCTTCAATAACTCCGTCAACCAATGCCTGGAGGCCCACTTCATCAATTTCGCTTTTAACAGTCTCAATTCTTGTCGCACAATATTGGTCGAGTGGGATCGACAGGAAAGCTTGGTAACGATGGGGATTCAGTTTCATCCAGGCACTCGTCAGGAGCTGTAGGAGTGTGGGTCATGTTAGTCACGCCGAAGACCAACGCAAAATGAACAGGTCGTGGTAAAGAAATATTAGGAGAGCAAACCCTGAAGTGTGTGATGATGGCATTCGAGTTGTATTCTGAATTGAACGCGTTCACTAGGAAAGACTCGTCTGTCACTCCATTTTGTATCGAGTGTATTATTTGAGTCAAGAGATCCTCGGTAGCGTCCACAAATATTTCATAGAGATGCTCTTGCTGGCCTACTTGATCAAGCATCCGGCTCAAAGATTTGATTCGTGCGAGCTCTTGTTGGACTTTAATCGAGTCGCGGAGAACGAAGAGGTTTTCGAAGTAGCCGAATGCCACAGCTGAGATGAATAAGCAAATCCTGAATTTCAGCTACTTGAAATGGTTCATCATACCTCGCCAACCACAGTTCCCATCGCCTTTCATAATCCGCGAGAAAGGATGTGTTACAGCAAGCGCCTAGGAAGACGTCAACATCCACTGATCTCCGTAGCCTGTTTTTTTTTCTCGGCGACGTACACTAGTTTTTGCAGCAAGGATGGGATCGGCATTGGCATATTCGGCAGAGATTGCTTGACTGGATTGCTTCGCCGATACCAAAGGGCCCTACAACGGTCTGGTCAGCAAGAACGGAGAGCTATTCGACAGCTGGGATTCCGCACTTGGATGTCTGGTTCGTATTCATTTGATAGCTTCTGGAATCGTTCCAGTTCCTCTCGAGATAAAGGTTCCATTGTCAAAAACCTGGGATCGTGACAGACAGAAAAATCTAGGAATTGAAGGGGGTTATTGGTTGTGGACGGTGCAGCAGAACTGATATTATAGATGTTCGCTGTCAGATAGTCTCTCGGTGCTATATGAGGGTATGAGCCGTTGTAACTAAATGGCGCATGAAACAATTGCATGACATCAAGGGAACTCTTGTGAATTGGCTTGAAGTAGGGACGACGTGCTGTCGCTGAGAACGGCATGGCCAAGGAGGTTAGCAATCGATTGCGAATGCGAAAAGTGAAAATGAGATGAAATTTGGAAGACCACCCACATCAGTGAAACATCGTCGACGCGCTCACAGCTTTTCTATAACTATATGACGGGTTCAGAATGCTCAGTTTCCCACAGCAATACCTCTGTCGAGATCAGCTGAGGTTTCCTGCAGGGAATGACAATTTCTTATACCGTTATGCTGGTACCCGCCCTTCCCGTCAAGGGAAGAAGCTCGATCAAGACCGAGAAATTGTCGAGACTGATGAGGAGGCTGAAGGAGGCTGACAGCGCCCACCTTCAAAGCTGCAGATGATTGAGGATTCCCACCTCATTCAATGCGGCTTCCGTCAGTAGGAAACACCCGAAGGTATATGCAGCTCCGTTTATCGGGTAATTCTCAATGCACGCAACGTCTTTGTTGGGCCGGGGGTCTCTTGTATTTGCTTTTGCGCTTTCCCACTAATTGACTGAGGCCAACCAAATCATATGCTAGACCTACGGACTCAATCGGACCGTAGCATCCGGGGGACCGGGACGAAATCAAATGGGAGATCTTGACGGACAGTACCAAGGACCTGGTATTGTAGAAGGGGTCCTCGATCGTAAACTAGTCAAAAGTGCATCCAGATACCGAGGTGGAGAGCTGGTGGACTTGAGCTGGTCGTGTCTCCAATGCACCCACTAGCAAGGTGGACAGTATGATGCCGGGACCCGCGAAATGGGATTTGAGGATGCGACGGGACCGGTGATTGCAGACGACTGGGAGTCTGGGACAGGGAGAAAAAAAAAGAAAAGAAAGAAAAAGAAAAGAAGAACAAATTTCCTACGTCGTATTTTGGAGAAGCCAGGACTGGGGATCTCACGATCCGCTTTTTTTAGGCTTCTCGGATGAGTGCGGGGTGACGTGAATGTTGACAATCCAAAGCAGATTAGGAAGCAAAACGCAACCACCTTTCCATCGAGCTAAAACAGCTTGCAGCGACAATGATTTGTCCGGGACGGCTTTATCAAGATTTCCCGACGTCAAGACGGCTGCTCAATTTTAGCCTCAGCCAAGCCCTGCCAGAGGGCAGTCTTCTGTGTGCAGGGAAGAAACTAACACAGGAATCACGTCGACCTCAAGGCTCAGGCAGTCCGGGGTCGACGTAGGACGAGGGGTGTGCTGTTGCGACTCGCGAGGTCGAGTCGAGTCGAGTCGCCGTGCAGCTGCGGTGGTGGGGAATGCAGAGGGAAATGGAATGATTAGGCGGATCGGCGTGGCTTCCGGGCAGGGGCACGGCACGGGCACGAGCGTCAGCTAGCGGGCAGGTGCACTCAGAGACGAAGAAAGGAGAGACATTGCCATGGTGTACGGGGTACCGAGGACTACATGCTAGACTGCATTCTGCTGTATGGACAACTCAGTACCGTTGTTGTATGTACGCATGCACTGTATGTACTGGACATTATCCCTCGACACTAGTACCGCAGGACATCTAATTACCAGCCTACCCAGGAGCAAGCAGTGAACCGGTCCCTGGCTGTGCCCACCCCTGCCGGATGTGATCTCCGCCGGTGAGGATGAGGATGCTGATGCTGATGAGCGTGCGCGGACGAAGCTCAAGCACTCAAGGGTCATGGACTTGGGGCCCTGCAAACTGCCGGTGTTGATGGCTGCTATCGATTCGCATCCGGGCCAGCCTGGGTCATCAGATGCCCCTTCAGACTCCGACATCGCCTCGTCTCGCCACGATAGTCTGGACTCGACGAGCCTGCAATATTGTTTTTTCTATTTATCTCCTCCCAGCAGCGGAACGTGCACTGCGCGTCCACGATTGGCCCTTCGCGTTAGCCTTTCCGTCCTTACCTGGGAACGTTGCCTATCAGACAAGCAGAGCGATCGCGATGGCGCATGGATCGAGGGCGCCTAAATCACTCTGCTTGCTGCACGGTCTCGACACAAGGGATCCAGCGCTGGCCATTTTTGGAGCCCTGATTCCACGCAGTCGAGTGCGGCCACATGTCACGACCACCTCCGCCAAGCCAGGGCCCTGCTGCAGTATCCCATGCAGCCGACATCCGCTGCAAATTATCGCCTCGCCATCCTTCAGACTCCTGTCTCCGTCCATAGGCCCAGTCGTAGTGAGGAATTTGCTATTGAGTAGACACTCTGATTTGCCCAGGCGCCCGGGAGACGCATCATCTGGCTTGAGAATCCGTCTATAGAACAACATCAACACCTTACAAGAGTATGGTCTCGGGCATCTCGGGAGCGGCAACAGGCAGGGTCACGCTAATCACGGCAGCACCGCTGCGGAATCTAAACCATGCTTAGTCGAAGCGTGGGAGAGATCAGTCATCAGTTAATTCCCAGAGTTCACGCAGTTACACCATGCGATTGGAGATGCGACAGAGCAACCCAGAGCCTACAAGGCTGCAGCGGCCCGGGGAGTTGTTTCGCCCTGACTGCAGCTTTCCCGCAGCTAAATCGCAATACGGAGTATGAATGCATCGCCAGCACAACCCTCGCTTGTACAGCTCAAATGTCCGTGGTCGATTTTCTAGATTAATAAAACTCGACGTGGTTGTGACATTTCTCATTATGATTATCATCATTTCATTGTTTTGTTTTATTTCAAAAATTCCCAGTCACTCGATTCTACCATCACAATTAAAGACTTGAGAAGACATCATTATCATCCAGAATAGATCCTTCGAGTCAGGTTGCTTTACGGAGATCGAGAAGACAAGGAGGAGGAAAAGATCGCACAAATACTCCATAATACGGCAAAGAGGCAAAATCGACGGGTAAATGCGCCGCCATACTTATAGCATGATTGGCGTACTCCGTGGATAGACAGGGGTTTTCGGAAAACGAGGCTGCATCCTAGCCATGGGAAGGGTCAACACTACTCTCCAGATTGTAAGAATGCCGTCAGTGCGTAAAATTCCTTTGTTTCAAAAGGCCTGGCCCGTCAGTTACTAGTTATCGTATGCCATGCAATAATAATAGAAACAAGGTCCTGCTGGGTAGTAGTTTTCTCAACCCCTGCCAATTACAACAGCGAGTGGCTGGCTCAAACTACATACCCTGATTTAATTGCCCATTTCAACATTCTTCCCCATCAACGACTGGTTCCTGTCTCCCTTATGTTGGCGTCCTGGTTCGTATCACTACTTTGCAGTCAGAACGGCAATTTCGAACACGCCTTGTAGAAATCTAGAATCCCCATCGCCATATGGATGAGCGTCAATACCCGTCGTTAACGCGCGAGGGCAGATCGCTTTATAAGTTTGTCGATCCCCGCACCGGAATTTCGACATGCGTTCAACAGACACGTTTACTTCGGGGTGGAGACGGGGCCCAGTTGGATGCTCATCCCAAATGCTCCAGGCTAGGAATCTTTATGACGACTAGTGAGCTAAGAAAAAAAAATTAAGAATATTGCCCTCTTGTGGTTGGCAGACTGCAGATAGATGAATTACGATAAAGTCCCACTTAGACATGGCGTCACGATATTTAATCCTAATATCAGCGATCGAAAGTTTTTCAGAGAGGATAGTGACCAAGTTTGCAAAACATGACAGGTCTGGTTGAGCAGTTCCCTGTATACCTATATATGAAAGGGAACCTACGCTCCATCTTAGTCGTCGTGGGTACTGTGCTTCCGATCCGCGAAATACGAGAATTCGAGGATTACTTCGAAGTCTATTCAGTGAGATACTAGCAAAATCGATAATGTAGGAATGGCAAACATCAAACTCTTAATGTGTATCGTAGTAAACGATTTAAGGTACCCATTTCACGGCATGAATGGCTGTGTTCTGCTGACTACGTAGAATCCAGTGGTATTCATTTTTCACCAGGTATCATAGCGCTATCTCGTAGAAGATCTCAAATTGACCGATCATGCTCTTCGACAGAATCATTCGCTGCTAGACAGATAAATCAAGTCACCTCTGCAAATCTTGGCATGTGGGTTTTTTTTTAAGCGGTCTTTGGCCGTGTCATTGCTGTGTGACTGGAGCCAAGTTCTGCATGGTATGGAGGCAAGAATGCACGACTTGGGATTAACGAAGCTCTGCAAAAGAAAATTTCTGTCTCTGCAGGTCCTTGTTGACCCGAGATCGTATATCAGGAAGCGGAGGTCAGAGGATTACGCTTAGTAGCCACCTGCAGCTGCCTTCCCCAACCCTGGCCTTCCCTTCCAACCAGCCCGAGCCTTGGCTCCCGTTGCGCGCACCTCGTCTCCGTACCCAGGTTGATAAGCAGCAGAGGCGGCAGTACTGCCCAGCTGGGAAAGGGCGACATCGTCGACTTTGAATCCTTCTCCGTCGTTCAACGCTGTACGCCAGAGAGACTTCAGAGAGGATGTCCATTCCTGAAGAGCTCGCAACCGCTCCAGGTCGCTGGCACTTTCCACCAGAACAGTTCCATTTTCTTGGTCGATCTTGGCGTTCAGTTTCTTATCCATGATCAAAAAGCCCAGGATGTCCTGGACCTCTGGAATAGATATCTTGATCTGCTTTGATATAAAGCTCAGTGTGAAACGGGTGTACGGCGCGATGAGCTTGAGGACAGCCTTGGTCCGCATATTGCGGCTCACCTCATCGATATTCTCGGCAATGAACGGATCGGCCAAAACGTCCGGATTCTTCCTCAGGATCTCTTCATATGAGTGAATGTCATCTCTCTGGAAGGCATCCACGAGATCGGTCATGGCCGAAATACGGGGATCGTTCCTGTATGGCTTGGTTTCTTGGGAGTCGAAGGGGTTAATGTCCGACTTCATGAGCATGGTCGTCAAGACAAGATACTTGAGCACTTGAATGCGCTGCATTGATCCCGCCTCGTCATAGTTCCGGAAGGACTCAAAGAAATCACTTTGCGCTTGTTCCCAGTTTTCTTCACTCATATGCATCTTCCCTCCACACTCTCGAATGATACCCATGATTTTGGGATGCGGAACTGCAGACCGCACCCGGAGGGCCCGCTGGTAAAGGGCTTTCAGTCGTTTGTTGTTCTTTGTTTCAGCATACATTTGGATTTCCAACGCATAAACTTCAAGAGAGTATGTCCCTTTGCTCGGATCATCAGAACCGTCTTCCCGCTGGCACGCGCGATGTAGCTCCCGAAGTTTTTTGCTTAGCTGCCCGTACTCTTTGCGATCAAGCCAGAGTCTTGCAAGCTTGATGTTTGTTTTTAACCATAATCGCTCGTTGTTTGTGCTCTGGAAAGAATTGAGGGTCAACCGATAGAACTCCTCCATGCAATGATACGCCTTCTCGTCATCAGAGCCTTTCTCGATAAAGTCTAGCATATTATTAATCGATTTCTCGGAGTAATTTCGTGTAACGGCGGATTTCACGTATGTTAGGAGTTCTCGATAGTGTTCGATAGCCTAAAGGTGATCAGTTGGATGAGCAGCTAACCAAAAGGCATAGAAACTTACATCGTCGTATCTGCCAAGTTTGAACTCAAGTTTTATGGCTTGTTTCAATCCTTTGAATCCCCTTGGAGCTTATAAGTATTAATTGTCCTTTGCATTCAAGGACTCGGTTACTGACCAGTCTCCTTTCTCCGGCTCCAGAGCCGGTACGCCCAGAAATTCATCTATAGCCTCTTCCGGATTATCCGCTTTGATCTGCTTTGCATTATAGTATTTGTTCTCGATGCCAACGTCTCCAGATTCATCTTCATCTGCATCCTCGTATTCGAAGTCATATCTACCATCACATCAGTTACTAGGCGGAGAATACTGACTGTAGAGAGATGAACTTACTCTTCATCGCCAGAGTCTTGCATGAAGTCATCATCGTCCGACATCGTGGCGATTTATTGGAGAAGATTCCAAGCTTCGTGAGAAGTCCGTTGCAGAGGAACGATAAGACTTTCGCGGGCAAAGATGAACTATGAGAGAAATGGTCTTCGTGACATTAGCTGTTGTTGATAGGCAGCTGAGGGAGCTCCGCGTCTATCATTCCGGGGCTCCCCACGCTAGTGGCTTAGCGTGCTGCGCGCCACAGATTGCCACATCCGATCAGGGAGCCCAATCTTTTCCGATCAACTTCCCCCCTCCATCAGCGACGCCCATTTACTATCGCATTCAGTGGGTTACTTTACTGAAACTGATTGATAAGGGCCCTTTGCCACATGATTTTTGCTATTATCATCCCACAAAAGAGGCGCCTAAAATCGACACATTGAACCATTACGGAGTTTCCTAAACACCCCTATCAAATCCAGCCAAAATGGGTGGTGATCTCAGTAAGTAGATTCCAAGCCATCTTGCTTGAATGACTGTTTCTAACTTTCTTGACAGACTTGAAGAAGAGCTGGAACCCCGTCTTGCAGAAAAACCAGGAGAAAACATGGCTTGCGGAAAGGAAGGCTCTCGAGGAGCGCAAGCGCATCGAGCAGATGATGCGCGAGCGCCAGGAGGAGAGACAGATACAGGAGCTGCAAGAGATGCAAGAAGCTGCCGGCGGTAAAAAGCGACCGAACCGAGTCGACTGGATGTATAACGGTCCATCAGATGGACAACCGGGCACTACTGAAGAGATGGAAGGCTACCTCCTGGGAAAGAGACGCATCGATAATCTGATCAAAGGCACTGAAAATCAGAAGTTGGAAAAATCTGCCACTGAAGATTCGTTCATGGCTGTGCAGAATGCCAACACTGCGAGAGATACGGCAGCGAAGATCCGAGAAGATCCCATGTTCGCCATCAAGAAACAGGAACAGGCTGCTTATGAAGCGATGATGAATGATCCAGTGCGGAGGAGGCAATTGCTCAAGGCTGCGGGAGTGGAGGACGCGACTTCCGAGAAGGAGCGCAGGCACCATCGGCACCGACACCGACACCGAGACGAGGAGGAAAGACATTTGCGGCATAGGAGCAGACGATACGATGATGAAAATGACCGGCGAGGCAGGCACCGTCGTGAGCGACGCTCAGACAGCACCTCCAGAACACGATCACCGCAAATACGAGATTCTCGCTCCGGGAGGTCACCTTCGGTTGACAGACGAAAATCACGAAGGTCTCCCTCGCCGCAAAGATACAGTTCTCGACGTTCTCGATCACCGTATCGTCGTGAGAGGTCTCATTCTCCCGAGTCACGCCGCAGATCGCATTCACCGTCGCGTGAAAGAGACGATAGGCGACACAGCTTATATCACACTCGACGTTCACCGCCTTCGACTCGAGAGCCAGATCCGCCGGCGATATCAAGCAGGAGAGATGAAGATCGAGAGGCCAGACTGGCTGCAATGCAGCAAAATGCTAACGACCTGGACCGGATCCGTGCGGAGAGATTAGCTGCGGCCGATGCTCGTGAACGAGCCGAGCGCGAGGCAGACGAAGCGGCTCGTGCCCAGACCAGCAAGTACGGTGGTAGAGGAGCTTTCCTTTCCAGCGTCAGCCGTCGTGCAGGGGAACTCGATCTGTCGGAGAGACTACGACGAGCTAGAGGGAATATTGAGAAGGAGCAGGAAGCTTATTGACGAAACAGTACTGGAGTTTTGGAGAGAGCTTTATGGGAATACGGTGTAGTTCTACGAAACCACGGACACTTCAAGCACGCTTTTTTCTTCTTCTTTTTTTTTTCCTTTTTTTCTTTTTGTTTGTGGTATCACTGTCTCAATTTTGAGGGTACGGGGTAACATGTTTCATTAAGGCCAGGGCTGGTTCCTGTTACTGTAGGTATAATTCATGCTGTATGTACTCATACAGATTCAGAAGGTCAACTAGTGACTGCGATGTCAATCTGACGCACGAAGTCCCTGGAAACCATTGGACGAAGGAAAATTTCCTTTTCTATGAGCCATCTGCTACCTCGTTAGATGGAAATTGGGGATGTAATAATCCTTGCCGATCCTGTTGGAAGGATCATACTACCCCTCTGGAACATGAATTGTAAGTACTGTACTGTACAAGGAGGCCCCGTAAGCGGGAGTCGCTGGTAGCAATTTTACCTGACAGCTGATCATCAACAAAACACTTTTGTACACTTGAATCCTCTCGCATTTGCTTAGTAACGAAGATGTGGGGTCTGTAAGCCTAGTAAGTTCACCTAAGGCAGCGTGGCATTGCCGTAATCATACGGAGTAATAAGCCTGAGCGCATTCCAGCCCGCACGACGGTTCCCGATTCGTGGATCTGACCTGTCAGCTGGCCGATGTCATCGACTCGACACGAGATCGCTCTCCTTTTCCATCCTCCAAGAACAGCCAAATCGGCAGTCGAAGCTTATGCCCTGAATTATACATACATATATTTTCCTTCCGTTTATACCAAGACTCCTTGAGTGTTTGTCGCTGTGATCGTAGCTCCCGCTCAGCTATCTACCCTCCTGATCATGCCCTCCAATATCATGGCCCTATGCGGCCGCCAAAAAGTCATTCAGCGGAAAATGGTGCTATTGTCAGTTCTTCTTGGTGGTTGCGATTGCAATTGCAATTGAATTGGATTGCTTTTCTCTAACAGCAAGATGCAGAGGAGACGGTGCTTGCGGCAAGACCTCCGCTCTGAACGTGTTTACGCGAGGGTATGCGCTCCCTAACCGGGTTCCCTTCTGATGGCTACTTGCTGATGCGCGCTCTCTTCTTAGGTTCTTCCCTACTGTCTAGTAAGATCAGACCCTACCAAAGTCTAATATTGTGCGGCATTATTGACCGAAGTGCTCTCCTTCGCCTACTGCAGTGAGCCAACTGTTTTTGGTGCGACACAACTCCTTTCTGCGGCTTGGTGTGGATATACATGGCTGACTCTGCTTGTACTAATAGAAAATTATGTCCATGGTAAATACTGATCCTCTCTGCGTACTCATCTTCCGGCGCTGACGTCCTCCGAGATATCTTCGTTGATAACGTACATATGGAGCTGTCGCTATGGGACACCGCGGGTCAAGAAGAGTTCGATCGCTTGCGCGCCCTTTCCTATGAAGATACACATGTCGTAATGCTTTGCTTTAGTGTAAGACACACTCCCGGGAAGCTTTTTGTTACCGGGACAAATGAGGCTGATGGTGGGCTACTGTAGGTTGACAATCGGGATTCGTTCGAGAACGTATCATCAAAATGGATGGCAGAAATCCGCGAGAACTGCCCAGGCGTCAAGCTAGTCTTAGCTGCGCTCAAGTGCGATCTGAGAAAAGACGAAGACATGAATGATGACCCGAATGCAGTCTCTTTCGACGAGGGTCTGGCCAAGGCCAAGGAGATTGGCGCCGTGAAATATCTCGGTACGATTTTTTTTTTCGCCTATCATACGCCTTCGAACAGGACAGCTGACAGACATGATTTACATCAGAATGCTCTGCTGTTCAGAACCGCGGAATTCGGGAAACATTCTATGAGGCTGCCAAAGTCGCACTCGAGGTTAAGCCCCCGGGGTCCAAGGGAGGCAGCACATGCGTGATTCTGTGAACTCGTCGTGCTCAATGCATATCGACATTATCGCCCTTACTTCTATGCCCTCTTCGGTCTTTTCATCATGCACATTCTTCATGACACTCGACACGCAGTACACACCCGAAGTGGGAATACGCGAACTAAGCTACTGCGAGAATTTTTTTTCTGTTTCTACTTACACACTCTGACTCCATCGCCTACGATATATTTACATCAGGGCCTCACGGGATCAGGCGATGAGTCTTTTTACTTTCCTAATCTTTCTCTTTTCTCTCTCTTTCACGCAACGTTTGGTGTTGGAATGCGGCGTTTCTCCTTGTCTGATATGATATCCACAACCATGGGCGGCAGCACTTTTCTGCAGGACCATCATCTTCGATTTCGCACATTTGTTTTAATTGTTTTAATTCGTGGAGAAGGGCTTTGGGCATGTAACTCCTTATTTTACCTATACATTACTGGTTTGGAGATATACACAGGCATTTAATTCATCATGTGACATGGCAATAATGAGGAAGTATTTTCAATTTGAGGCACTTTTTTTCTCCACAATGGGTGGGTAAGAGAAGAATTTGTTTGCTTTTATAGGTTTGAGAGATTATATAGTGAGTTCATGATTTCTTTAGGTATTATATAGTTCTTTGCGGAACCCTGGCTACGTTACAGAATATGTATTATTAGAATACAGTGTATCCGTCAAGAGATTCGTAGCGCCGTCGACGGATTTATATATATAAGGTGATCTTTCCTTCATATCGGAACGTTTCATTCAAACAATCTCGCCTGTTCTTGCTTCCCTTCCTGCAATATATCTTCTACTTGAATCTTATACACTTCGTCAATGCCTTCACTGGCGCCTGGAGGGCCTGGAGGGAAGTCCGTTCGTAGTCGTTCCACAAATGCATTGACAAATCGGTCGGCAACCTCCTCCATGGTGACTCCCTTCACGCCCTGACCCTCAAGACTGGTCGCCTCACGCCCTTCGAGCCCACAGGCCACGATCTGTCGGAAGAACCACATCGGCTCCTCGGTGACATTGAGTCCAATCCCGTAGCTACTGATGTGCCGGCGCAAATGGACTCCAACAGCAGTGATCTTCTTCGGATCTTGTTTGGTCGAGTCAGAAGAATCGGAGACCCAGACCCCAGGGTCCTCGGTGACGAACCCCTGGATGCCGAATCCACGCAGTACATCAATGACGCTGTTCTCGAGCAACCGGATGTGACATCGTGGTGTTAACCCGAGACGGCGAAGATCAAGAATCGTGTAGGCGACTAGCTGGCCCGGACCGTGGTAGGTGGTTTGTCCGCCGCGCAGGGTCGGGTGGTACTCAGCGACGGGACGGGCAGAGGAAGGGTCATTAGCTGCTGGTGGGGTAAGGAGGGATCTTATCGGTTCGAGGGACGGAGGCAGAGACAATTCTGGGGAAGGCTTAGAATCCGAAGGGGAAGAGGTATTGGATGGAGGTAGATCGCGACGGCCGGTGGTGTAGACTGGATTGGGTGTGAATGTGATAATCGTAGGATCTGGAGGTTTTGCTAGCGGGTAGATTGATGTCACTGAGGATGCGGATGATGGAGGAAGAGATGCTGCCTTTTTGTGAGCAAGGAGACGTGTCGTGAGAATCTGTTGGATGTTCGAGACGCGCGTGAAGGGCGTGATATTCGGGAGATGGAGATGCGCGAGTCTCATCGCGGAAGGCAACAAGCTATCGGCGGGTATCTAGGGCAAAGGGGAGAGGAGGGAAGAAGAAAAGAAACAATAGCCAAGGTCATAGATACTCAGCTCTTGTAATTGAGCTGTTCAATCAATACCAATGGAGTATGGAATCTCATTTCCGCGAAGGGTTGGAGGAGCTGATGCACTAAAAGCTTTTTGCGGTAATGACGCCATATATATAAGCTTGAAGCTTCAAACGAATCTACCGGCACGTGATCATGGTTACAACCCCAGAAAAGGCCTGCATCAGCATGCATAATAGAGAGCAGAAGCTTTTGAGTTGAAGAGATCGTGCTCTGCAATTTGAAGTGTCCATAGCCATAGAGAACTCGATTTTGAAATGCATTTGGCTGTTTGGGTAACACCCTGACAGAAAGCACTGTCCAAATTGACGAAAGAGTTAAGCTTCATAGGTACTTAATAAGGCATTTCACGAACCCTTCTCTGCAAACTGGAAAGATGAGGATACTTCCCTGTTGTTTCTCCATTTCGCTTTCTTCCAACATCAGCCACAAATACTCGGTGCTGACACTACCTGTCGCTTAACTGCATTAGCTATGACAAGGCTATCACGATAACTTGGCCGGATGCTGACAGTAGGTTTTCAGTGTTAATTCGAGCTCTCGCCATTTCTTTCATCGCAAGGATATGCTCGTTACGAGGATACCACGCCATTGAGGCCGACTCTTGCTCGAGCCTCCTGTTCCTCATCCTCACTAACTAACAACCAGTCTCTGACCCCGCCTTTCCAGTCCGCAATCCGGCCTTGTTTTACCTGTACCGTGACGACACGGCTGCTGTCATCGATGCTGGGATATTCTGCCACCCCACTACCGCGCCGCTGCCCGAATAGAGGAATCTCCTCTCCAGGGGCGGTCACAAACGTGTTGTTCTCCAGATGTTTCTCTTTGCACCACCGCTCCTCCTCCGAGCCCGGCTCCACGAACCGTGCAGTACCTGTTATGGTAGTTGAGATGCTAGAGAGAGCACTCGTATTCAGGTTGAGCAACAAACTGGCAAGGGAGGAGCCGGTGGCTGCCGGGGGCGGGGAACCGTCCCGTGCCCCCGCAGGATTGGGACTCCGGGTAGGCGGACGATGCGAAACCCAATCGTGGACGAGAAGAGACACACGCGGATTGGATTCGAGATTGATAGTCTTACGGGAGGCCGGGTTGGTGGTCATGATAATGGTTGGATGCGGGTCAAAAGGAGTGGCGGGAAGGTAGGTATAGGACATGAGGGAAACGTGGGGCGTCAGACCATCGCATGTTGCCAGGTGCAGCTAAAGGAAATAAAGTCAGCTTGTAAGATTCAGCAACCTGTATCAATCGTAAGGGATAGTTCAATCCAGTAACATACAAAGCGGGAGTTTTTGAGGCAGGACACAACCTCAGGCGGTAGAGTGGTTGCGATATGAGGATGGGTCGTGGTGGCCGATGCCTCATAACTGAGCGGGGGATTGGTGCCGTCCACCATGGGTGCGGAGTGGCAGTGTCAACTGCAGACAGATTGATGATAGCCAGCTAACTGGTTGTGATCATGAGAAAAATTAGCACGATAAAGCAAGTGATATTGAATGGGATCAATATTGTGTCTAAGCTGAGTGTTGGTCTGATCTGAAGGCGGCGGGGACATACTCCGGAGTAATAGAGCTAAGAACCAAGGTGCAGAATTGACTAATCACCCGCCTTCCAAGTTCCACGGCTGAACTACCTACCAGGTACCTAGGTAGGTAATCTACCTAGGTAATCGTCGTGCCCACTAAGAGGGTAATGTGGCCTACCTGACAGCAAACTAATTACAGGAAAACATAGATGAGGGGAAGCAGTCAAACGGAGTAAATGGAGAACAACTACATGGCCGATTTAACTCGAGTATTCTCACATCTCAGACAAGGTATAATCCAAAAGAGAACAGACCTAACATTGCAAGCACTTCATATCGGATATTCAACCCTTAAATGCATGTAAGTCCGGTTGGAGGGGAAAACGCAGTACGAGAGGAAAAAAAAATCTAATCATAAGACATTCTTGCATCTTGCCCTTCTTATACTAACCCCTCTTGGTCCATCAGTGACAGTCACTGGAACACATTCTTCAGCAACCTTACATGTAGTCTAGCCCTATTGCCGGGGCTATCCCGTCAAGTGGTCATTGAACTAAGTTGCCTTCGGTCCAGGCTTTCTCCCGTAGACAGCATACCTGGCAATTATACAGTTAGCGGTTAAGCTTGGCGGAAAGATATCAAAGGGATAAAAAAGACAAACAATTTGACATAGGCATGTACAGTCCTGTCACGAAGCTGCTGCCTGACAAGTGCATGATGAATTTTGGCCTCGTCGGAACTCCATCCCAAAACTTGAGTATAAAGACGAAGACCGTAAGCCTCGACAGATTCAGGCGCCAAGATATACTCCCATTTTCCCACCTCTTTGAGTTTTGGATCTTTTGGCCACGGCCCGAGAGGGACCATATAAACTTTCTCTGTTACATCCTCAAACCCTGCATCGATCATCCACTGCTTCAATTCAGGAGCAATATTTATCCGTCTCCCAGACTTCTCACTTGCTTCGTTCAGCCATCGAATATATTGCATGTAGGGTGAATCATCTTTGAGAGTGCCGTCATCACTCCATGCCCAGGCAGTATGTTCAACGGCCTCAAAATATCCACCTGGTCTGAGGTGTTCGAGCGCCTGTTGCAGTAGCTGTGGCCAGTTCTGAACGCAGCTGCAATCCAGTTAAAATTGCCCATCATATCTTAGTACATATAGTTACTTATGGCCATACCCAGAGATCGTCCGTGCATGGATGTAATCAAAATAGTCCCGCTCATACATCCATGTTTTCTCGAAGTCATCGATAACAAATTCAAGATTTGGGGGAACCCAAGACGGTTGAATGGCACTTAGGTCATTACCGATGACACGAGCTGAAGGGAATTTGCTGTTTATCTATTAGTATACTCATAGTTAAAGAAGAGCGTCTCAGCTAACTCAGCCATGTCTATTGCCCAAATCCCGTTCCCGTTCCTAAGTCCAGAATGGCCTGTGGATTCTCGTTTATAGGTGCAGTATAGAGTTCTCCTTTAAATAGTAGCAAGAATCTGGAATCGACTGTCATTTTGACAGAACTCATGCAATATGGTGTGGCGACTTACACATGGTGTGCCTGGAAGCTGTTAGCTGTAAATCTATTTGCAGAAGAGCTCAATCATACAATATCAAGACGTTTTTGCTCAGTATCGTCATTTGGCATTCTTTTTTCCAAATATCAGTCAACTAATATCGCAAAAACAGAACACCTTGATGGCGGGCATACATGTATCTTCCCTTTTAAATTGTCAGCAAATATGAAAATTGTTATATAGTGATATCTGTGATTATGGCCTACCTGGCTGTATGCATCGTAACGTCGACCATTCTCATATTGATAATCCAAAACGCTGGATGTAATGGAAGTAGTGTCTGACTGTGCAGTCTCGTCATAGACACTAAAGTCATCCTAAAATTTCTGGAATGAGAAACAAGAGACTTAACCAAGAATAGAAAAAAGAAAAGATTGACTCCTACATCAGCGACAATTCCTGGAGCAGCATTGACAAATGTTTCAGCAGTGGGCTGAGTGGCATCGGGGGACTGGGAAGTTTCTGCCATGTTTCAAATTCAAGAGGACTGAACTCTAGGAAGCAGCTGATCTTGGTCTGATTCTACAAGGGTCAGTCAGAAAAAAAAATCAAAAAGACACAGTCTGTGGTTTGGGGAAGAGCATGACAGTTCGTTCATATACTATCAACCTGAACAATAACGCTTACCTCCACCTTTGCAGTGCACCCAAGACGCCATTCTGTTAAAAGCTCTCGGTTAATAGTGAAATACCTACTCTGTACAATCAGAACTTTAGGTACAGTGGCGGATGCTGTTCCAAATTGCCGGCAGGTGATACTAATGCTGCCCACTTGCATAAGAGTGATTTTGCGGCGCAGCAGTTGCAGCAACAGTCTTTCAAAAATGACACTAAGAGATGCATGTCCACATTTTGGGGTAATAGTAATAGCACACCCCAGTAAGATTCTCACACTCTTTTCAACTGTTTCTCTTGCAGTGACACTGATAGAATACAGTATGCTGCAATTACAGAAATTATCCAAGCACTGCTCTGTTCACTCCGCACTTTGCCGTGGCTATAAGCTGGCTTGGTTGGGCTTTTTTTTTCTTCAAAAAGTGCGCTCCCTTTTAGAATTGTTGCGAGTCAGTTCTTTGCAGGGATGTTAGATTCCTTTCCTCTTTCTGCTAGCGGGTTCTGCTGCGCTCCATCCATGAATGTTGGCACCTTGTAGCAATTTGGTCCTTAGCTTGAACCAGTAAGAACAAATTAGAGAAAATGGAGCCCTTTAATACGCTACAAGGCCACATGGCAGACAAACCAAGAAATGCTTTACGGAGTACTCTGTACTACTCTGTATTATGCAGACGTGCAAAAGTAAAGCTCTGCCACTTAGCATTTGAAAATGATGGCGTCCTAGATTCTTGTTCATCGGATGGGGTCAACATTGAGAGACTGATCCTATTTTCAACCTAGACCTTCAGCATTATGTCGCGACAATAATCAGTAATAATAACTTGAATCAAAGTCTTGTGTACTCTAAAGCTAGGCAAGAAGCTTCTCAATGTTATTGTGAGAACTAATGCCGGGCTTGGGTAGGTAATTTCCCAACTGGGCCAAGAAGACCACTAGGTAGAATACTCCGTAGGCTTCGCAAGCCTACCAAGGCTACCTCGTATAAGCGGCTGCTGGGCTGACTTAGGTAGGCTGTGGAGTCTAGGTAGTCATGGGGTTCTTTTGGGTCCAGTTGGGAAACTACGGAGTAGTCAAGCCCAGCGCTAGTTCTCACAAGATAATAGAGAAGAACCCGGAAGATTTCCTTACGGAGTACGGAGTACAGAGTACAGATAGGAGAAGATAGGAGATAAGTTAATGACCCAGTCACGCGCTTACCTAAGCATCACGTCACAGTTACGTCTCCAAAATTTCCTAGGTAAAATTAGATCGGATTGTCTGAATCCACGCTTGCGAGGCTAGGACAAACATCAACTTAAAGGCGCAAAGGATTACTCCGTACGGCAAACACTAGTAGTTAGCATAATCTCCTCTTCAGAGGAACCACTCATCATGACGCCTCCCGGGCTGCAAGCTTCGATATCACCCCAGTACAGTGTCTAGATACACCCACGTAAGTATCAACTGTCAGTATATAGTATAAATCACGTGTCCAAGACTTGCCATAAGCTATTGTAATGATCTTGTAATACCCAAAATTGCAGATAATCGCTGTAAAATGAATAAAATGTCTTGTTAACCAAAGCATGATTTGAAATTTATTATGTCTGGCCACCATCCAAGATACATGTCCTAGTTCACCTAATACAAACAACTTCCAAGTCAGAAATGAGGTTACATTTATAGAATTCATCTTCTCCTGTTTTTTATGGGTATCTAAGCCAAATATCACTTATCTGAAAGTGCTATATCCATAAATTTGAAAATGGATTAAAAGCAGAGCATTCCGTGTGCCAGATCAAAGTCAGTCTGCTCATTATGCCGGCCCAAAGATAGGGAAGATCTTATTATCTAGAAGAACTTATTATATACAATATTTTTAGGGTTATATTTGTTTTAAAGCCATTTCTGACCAGAGCTAGAAAGATTTTTTAAAGATTTTTTGGTGCAGCCCACACATTAACATTATATTGGAGTGCCAAATAACAGGGGTGCAAGCAAGGACGCCATTTTTGCCATTGTCCTTAACACTTTTTTTTTGGAACAGCAGGATAGCATTCTTCCACTTTTATCTTTTCTTCTATTCTACACAGGAATATCTTGATTAGAAGTCACTAAATAACTGGAGTAGCCTCAATACAGAATGGGGAAGGATGACTGGGTGAGCTGATCACCTGACTCTATCTCATAAAAGAGGCAATTTCCAGATGGTGAGGTGCCCCAGAGGCCACAAGATTTACATCGGTACCAGGAGGTACGTACCGTAAGACGAGTACTCCACTTCGTTCTGGAGATAACGTCACTATCTTAGCTCTGAGGATAGTCATTGCCAACAGATCTTTGAATAATAACATAAAGATAGAAAGGAATAATAAAATATTAAATGTGGAGCTGATCCCGCTTGTATTTTGATCAACAGAAGAGAGAATAACTGTGTTGGCCCGGCCTAGGCTGAAGCTGAGTTTCCAAGTTCCCACCCCCGCATTGCACTAGTTGCAGCTTCCCCAGGTGTCGGCTGCCTAAGCTGCTTCCGTCGCAACGCAACCACCTGCCGATGCCCTCACATTTCTTCCCCCTCCTCGTCTCCCTTCCCTGCGTTGACCAGACCACTGTCACTCTCCGCTTTGACACTGGGTCTCCGATCAGTGGTGGCTCTCGCTCGATCAACGGCCACTGACCATACCGACCACCTTCGACCAATCCCGGCTTTGACGGCTGGGACTATCCCTGGTTTGCCAGAGAGTCACTTACCCCAGACTTTCCAGCTTGCCTGGTGCTCCCACCAAACACTGCTCTCGCTGCCGTCTCTATCCTCCGTGGTCCCCTCTTTCGCATTCCTTGGGGTACAATCAAAGCATCCGACCGTGCTCCTCTATCTTGCATACACTGTCTCTGTACTTATCACATTGAACCTACCAATCTTTCTTTGATATACCGGCATCCGAGAGCACTGCAGTCTCGAGAACGGCACCCCTCTCTCATCGTTTCTGTAACCCAAGAAACAGTATCTAACCACCCATCATGTTGACCCCCCGTGTTCTCCGCTTGCGCCCCACGTTCTCTGTCGTCCGCCTTTTCAGTTCCTCCACTGCCCACCACCGTGCCCCGTCTATCCGGGACATAACTCCCGATAATGCTGCCCAGTTCAATGCCCGCCAGAAGGAATTCCGCGAAAATCTCGAGGCGGCCCGGAAGAGAAGAGAAGAGCAAGAGAGTCAGTCCGTCAATGCGTCTACTTCACCCTCTACCCCTGTTACCCCTCGTGACCGTCTTCGTGAGTTCTCCACCGCTCCCACTGCTCCGGATGTGAGCAATGCGAGCAGCATCTCTGCTCCCTCCATTCTTGACGCAGCCGCAACCCTGGATCAACAGGCCTTAGGCTCACTCTCCACCAACCGTTTCTTAGGAGACCAACAAGAAGCCGATGCCGCCAGTCAGTCCCAGAAGCGGGGTCCTTTCTCATCCCTCATTTATGGCACCAAAGAGGGCCAGCATTTCGACAAAGACATCGAGCGTTCCTTCTCGCAGATACTCGCCCGTGGCAAATACGTGCATTCCATCGTCTTCCACGAGGTGAAGCCCGACAAAGTCGATGAGTATGTGGAGCTTGTCGGTCGATGGTACCCTCGTATGGCTGCCATCGAGGAGAACAAAGTCAAACTGGTGGGAAGTTGGCGGACTGAAGTGGGAGACAATGACACGTTTGGTACTGGATATAACACACACTCTCACCCCCTCACCAATTGAATTGGCAGACTAACGACTTTGCTTTTTCTTTCGCAGTCCATATCTGGGAATATCAACGCTATGCGGGATACCACGAGTCCCTGAATTCCATTTCTCGCCACCCAGAGTTCCCGGAGTTTGACAAGAAACTCAGATCCTTGGTCAAGAGTAAGAAGACATCCCTTATGCAGGAGTTTTCGTTCTGGCCTACAACCCCGCCACGTCGCCTCGGTGGATTGTTCGAGCTTCGATCTTACACCCTCCACCCCGGCAATCTCCTTGAGTGGGAAACGCATTGGCGTCGAGGCCTCAAGGCGCGCCGGGAGGTCATGGAGGGCGTGGGTGCATGGTTCGTCCAGATTGGTGATCTCAACACCGTCCACCATCTGTGGCAGTTTGCCAACCTGGAGGAGCGCAAGATCCGCCGTGAGCAGTCTTGGAGCATTGAGGGGTGGGCGGAGACGGTTCACAAAACAGTACCGCTCATCCAGACGATGAAGAGCAGAATTCTCATTCCGATGCCTTGGAGCCCGGTTGGATAAAGATTGCTTGTCCTCCAAGTTGCTGTTTCGATGGTGTCTGGTCGGCCCAAGACCTTGATCCAACAGCTGCCACAATCGGCAAGCTTGGACTACATAATTTGGCGCTATTTGTCCCAGGATTATTGTCACAAGGTGCATTGGATGTGGTTGAGTTTCGTGTCAGCTGCCTTTGCCCAACGGAGAAGCTTTGAAGTTTGCACCTACTTGGGAACGCCGACCGGTACAGATTTATCCTGTAGCTTTAGTCGTTATCTTTACAGCGCCGCAAAGCTACAAAGGTGTTTGTACCAATTGAATGATAAATTTACCTTTTGAGTATAAGTAAGAAATACTCTAGTAGCTTTTTAATTCTCTGCGCTGGATTGGACCATTGGAAATGTACGTCGTTTGGATTAGACCTGTTCCCCCAAAGTCTGTGACCCACGTGCCAGTCCAGAGGTAAAATAGTAGTGGACGGAACTAACTGATGACGTCGGGAGTTTCCCGTCTAAAAATTGGAGAAGCGCGTTTCTCCGCAGAACCCGGAAAAAAAAATCAGTCCTCGAAGCAGACATGAACATCATGATCTCGTACTCTGTCACATACCCAGCGCACTCTACGTTGTCAAATTCATCTTGATTATGCATTGACCACTGTGGCAGAAAGCGGACACGTCTGGTCGTTTTCAACTCCAAACCACACGCGTGCCTTTTTTCTTTGATCCGCTTCCCAACCCTTTATTTCTCACGACTTCGTTCTTCAGACAGGTATAATGGACAAAACCCTATTTCTCACAAGCTCTTTCCCCTTGAACAGGCTCATTGACTTTGCGAGTTTTAATAGTATCTGGGCTAGACAAGGTCAAGATGGCTTGGATACGCCAGCATAACCTTCCCGCACTCCGGTCATACAAGTACTCTGGTGTCGACCACTCGTTGGTCAGTCGCTATATCCTCAAGCCATTCTATACCAACTTTGTGATCCGATTGTTCCCCAGGAGTATGGCGTAAGTGTCACTGCTTCTCTTCTCCCTGCATCTGTTCTTTGTATCTTCTCTCCATCTGGTGAATTCGGGCTCTGTGGATAGCAAACCGATGCTAATGAGACTGCGACTGGGCAGACCCAACGCCGTAAGTAATCGACCTATACCTTGCGACTTTCTTGAGCCGACAACATAATAATATGGGGGTGGACCTTAGATTACTCTTACCGGCTTCCTCTTTGTCGTCGTGAACTTTCTCACCATGCTTTATTTTAATCCAACTCTCGATCGGGATTGTCCACCTTGGGTATATGCTAGCTGGGCTCTCGGCTTGTGGTTGTACCAGACATTTGACGCCATCGACGGCATGCAGGCGTACGTATTTTCCGCGAGTCCTAGCAGTGAACGCGGCCTAACTCGCTAATGTCTAACGTGAAGGCGTCGTACCAAGCAGAGTGGTCCATTGGGCGAGCTCTTTGATCATGGTAAGCCTTGATCTGATTTGATGTGGTTTTATTTCACGTACGAACTGACAATACTAGGTGTCGATGCCTGCAATACGGTCTTGGGTGTTTTGATTTTTGCGGCTGCGATGAATCTTGGTCAGAGCTGGGCAACTGTCTTGACGTTGTTCGGATGTACGTGTGATGAGATTCCCATTGCAGAACTTTACCGCGATGCTAACACGTAATAGCGATGATGACTTTCTATGTCCAGACTTGGGACGAGTACTATACCCATGTGTTGACCTTGGGAATTGTGTCCGGCCCGGTCGAGGGCGTATTAACTCTCTGTGTTGTCTTTGCCTTTACTGCCTACATGGGCGGTGCTAGCTTCTGGCATCGTTCCATGTTCGAAACGATCGGCATTCCCAAGTCTGACATGATTCCGGAGAACATTTACAACATGCCCTTTACCTCTTGGTACATGGTTTATGGCGCCGTCGTGCTTTTTTTTGCCACTGGCTCCAGCATTGCAAACGTCATCAGTGTCCGACGTCAGCGAGGGCAGGATCCATTCAAACCATTGACTGGTCTCCTTCCTCTAGTTGCGATGTGGATCTTGACCCCAGTCTATCTATATCTGCAGCCGACTATTCTGGAGAACCATCTCGTTCCTTTCGTGCTGTACGTGGGGATCATGAATGCCTACGCCGTGGGCCAGATCATCATCGCCCATCTTCTCAAGACGGACTTTCCCATGAATAACGCCCTCCTTTATCCGCTCGCATTCGGTGTTATTGACAGTCTCGGCCCTCATCTTGATCTCTGGCCAAGCCTCCTTGGCGATGGCGTCTACCAGGTTGCATTTGTTTTCACGGCCCTCGGCGTCGCTATTGGGGTATATGCCAGTTTTGTGGTACGTCAGAAGCGCTTCTTGGAACTCTCGTGGCCGATCGATTACTGATATTATTCTCTTTGCTAAGTTTACTGTTATCGTTACTATTTGCGACTACCTTGACATCTGGTGCTTGACAATCAAGCACCCCTATGTTGAGGAGAAAGATCATGCCAATGGCATTAATGGACTCAAACATGCTAACAGCTCCAATGCTACCACCAAAAAGTTTAATAAGGCAGTGAACTAAAATAAAACAGGGGTCCCGTCAGACATGACGAATCAATAAAAGGTACCAAAACGGATGGACCGAAGCATTAATTAAACAGCCACGTTCATAGCTCATGTCAACTATCATATCTGAGGTATCAGGACTCAAATATGGATTTGGTCAGGTCGGTGGAGACAGCATCCTAGATGCTCTTCCCTGCTAGCTAGCCAAAGGAGAACGCTATGTGTTTCATGAGCTGGTCATCGTGACCCTGCACGCGTTGAGGCACTCGTTGGCTGATGCATGATGATGTTCTTGATATGGATCAATGTAGCAATGTCCTTAGTATAATAAATAATAATACAAATTTATGGCATTTCATTGAGTGTAACTTTCACAATCTTGATATTGGTGCCTCTCGACATTTGTCATGACCGTATCGGAAAAAAGACGGAGCGGAAAACGGGTAGCCGCTGGTGGTTCACTAAGCGAGGGCACAAACCCTATCGTTGTTGCTTCAAACCGAGCCTGCTTGGCGGCTCCACTGAAACTGGATTTCAACCTCCATTTGCATCGCCACGAGACCATCTCACCGTTCCCTACGCCATCCAGACCATCTCTTTCAGCGTCGATATTCAAGTCAACTTCGCTGATTGCATCTCAAGTTTATCAAGATGGTGAGTTTTTCTACGTTCTCCATTTCCAGATCCTATTTTCCATGACTGAAAGCTGCTCTCCGGTCTGCTGTTTTTTACTTGAGCCTTGTGATCATCTCCAACTATGTCATTTCTCTCCGAAAATTTGACTAACGAGCATTCTGCCATCAAACAGGTTCTCGCGGTCGATCTCCTTAACCCTTCGCCTCAGTCCGAGGCTCGCAAGCACAAGCTGAAGGTAGGACCTTTGCAACTTGATCATCTACCTACTCAGGTTGACAGACTGACCCGAAAATCTAGACTCTTGTGCCTGCTCCTCGCTCTTTCTTCATGGATGTCAAGTGTCCTGGTTGCTTCACCATCACGACCGTCTTCTCGCACGCCCAGACTGTTGTCATTTGCGCCGGTTGCTCTACCGTCCTCTGCCAACCCACTGGTGGCAAGGCCAGACTCACTGAGGGCTGCTCCTTCCGGCGGAAGTAGATGGTGACGGAATTCAAAATCATGTATTAAAAAAAGCAATATGACGTTCTAATTCTTCCGATGCTCGAGTCGCCATGTGTTTTTGTCATGTCATGTGTCTGGGCAGAGAAACAAATAGAAGAGGGAATGATTCGCCTCTCGGGATGGAGAACTCTCAAATCAAAAAGCAGAAATGACTTTTGAATATACCAACCAGAAAAAAGATTTAAAAAAAATTAAAAACTTTTCACATGGAGCGGAGTTCCTGATATTTCACAAATAACCCCTTCATTTTATCAATCATATTGCCTTTTTTTTTTCATTGTCTGCCGCCATTCTTGTTGGACTTGTGCCTTGACATTGTATTTGTGACGCCTCTACAGAAAAAAAAAAAGAAAAGAGGAGACATGGCGTCATATAAATGAGCCCATTGCTTTGCCGAAAACATGACACCCTTGTGCAAGTTTGAAAAGCCGATGGAAATGAACTGAACGAACAAGACAATGTACGACAGTACGAGGAATGTGCTAAGTAGCCTTACAAGACTTTCCAGTTGAGCATGGAGGAGTTTGCCGGGAACATACACCCATTGACCTCTATGCCAGCGAGCCAATTCAATCAAGCATTTAAGCAATGTACCCATGTAATACATTCACACATCTGCTTTTAATTGGGATGATGAGGCTTAGTTGAGATTGACTTTTTTTTTTCGGAATGTCAAAGTTCGGCTGTGAGCCTGTGATCAGATGCCTAGGTAGTAGTAACTGCTCAGACGCATATTATCAACCAATAGAACACAAAATAAGATTTTTCAAGAGAGCGAAAACATGAGCGTAGCAGCCTGAAATATTTGTCCTTGAAACAAGTAATATTATGTGTATATATGTATCATTAACAGATGATGATCTATACCTATCTATCACCATATCTACCATAAGTGCTTACTTCAGGTACCTACCTAAGGTGGGTAGACGGAGGCTTCTTATTCGGTCTGATTACAATGTGATTTATTGATTTATTTCGCTTCAGTTAGGCATTCTTACATTGACCTTCTAAACAGGTAATGCGGTCTCTTCCCAGTTCAACATTCTATATAATGTCCCTATTTATATCTAGCTTTCTTGCTGGACTGGGCTTTTTCTTTTTCTTTTTCTTTTTCTGTTTCTTTTTTTATTTTTTTAGATGCATGACTTTTGTTCCTTATAGCCGTTGTCTAGAATCATTACCATACTCCGTAGATAAAACTCTCTATTCTCCTTGCAATTATGAGACATGGAATGGGGCTTGGAGTCTGTCTACTATAACATGGTTTTTATGTCTAAAAATGAGTTATGTATTAAGTAAACCCATTAATTTTACTTTCTGATAATAGTTAGTCTCTGTTGATTTTTCCCATATCTTCGACTTTCTCCCTATATAAATAGACGTATACCGATACTCCTATAGACTCTACCATCTTTGCTTTGTTGTTCTATCTACTTCTTCCTTCTCTATTAAGTTCTTCATGTTGTCTATCAAACTCTCTGTCACATGTCATGTTATTTGTCTAGGGCGTCGTACCTAAGATTGCCAATGGCACATATCCCCGCCGCCATTTAAAACAGAAGAAGCCAAATAGCAAGGGTTTCTTGATATGACTTGTCTAACACTCAAGAGAAGACACATCCAGGACAACCCACGCCGTCCCATCTTTGCGTAAACCTGTTTTGAGAGTGCCTGATGGAGGATGCCTTAGCCGTGTGATATTTGAAGCCATGTATCCCTTACGGGATTCCGGGGTTTCAAACTACCGTCAAGTAACGGTATTTAAGGGTTTTTTACCATTTTATAAGTTTTCCAACCATCTTTCATAAAAAAATATGTCTAAAAATAGTCATTTGACGGTTTTCCATTACAAATTGTTAGATTTTTATAAAATGTTATATTTTAGGGAACGTCAGATTTTAGGGAAACTTTAGGCTTGAGTAGCGCCGAAGTATGGCTTTATAATGTCTCTTAACTACAACTCTTGAGATTTAGATTAGCTTAGATAGTTAGATTAGTATAAAAATAATAAAAACCCTCATTTACTTCTTAAAAAGTATAAGCTGTAGTTTGAATCCAGCCTTTATCAAATAAATCCTTCGTCGCGGAAAAATTTAGTGGTCGTAAAATAAGAAAAAGGTTATATTTTTTTGAGGCGTCTGACTTTTTTAAGACGTCTGATTTTTTTTTTCATATGGTCTAGCAAGTATCTTTTATTTCCAGACGTCTAACTTTTTTTCATACGGTCGATAGACCGTCGATCAACGGTAGTTCAAAACCCCAGCGATCCCGTATGATCAGGTAGCGTCGGGTTATTAGCGTTATTACCCGATTCAGAGGTACCGATTTCCATCCAATTAGCCTTGGTTTCCCCACAGTAGCATATGGATCAGACGATTTTTCCACTGAAGCCTCTAATATTCCTCAGCTCAGAAACGAAAGTCTCTGCTGACGCTTCCTTTTTCAATAGTCGATAATAGAAAATTCTCACTTCTTTCTCTTCTAAGAGATTCTAAACTGCTTGAGGCGAATAGGATTATCACAATTGGCGCAGTCCGAAGTGAAATTCCAGCTAAGTAAACAATGAATTGCTGCTATACTACCTAATGTATGGAATAACTAGGACACATGCACAAAGCACATCACCTGCATCGACAAATTTTGCAACAAAAAAAAATTCATAGTTATCAGCTGACTGAAAGGAAAAGCGGGTCAACATTCAAAAACAATAATCATGTCCTTATCGACCTCAGCTTGCTTTCAATGTGGCTCATACCTTAGGGGATCACTCAGGTTTTTTTCTTGGCTTCCGTCCGTACACAACGTAGCTAAATGTTGTTAAGATTTTGCACTGATCAAAAACACAATGGGGGCAGAGAGAGCCGCTTACTAGTGAAACATAGAGTGAATTTTAGGATTCCTTATATCATTCCTTGACTTAGCAGACAAAATAGTCACCTCTTCTTTTGACCACCCCTCGTATCGCGTCAAAACAGCCAATCCCCCGGCTTCAAAACCGGCGGTTTCGGCCTGCACCAGATTCCATGTGCCAACTTTTTTCTGGTTGATTTGTTAATTTTTCAGCATTTCTTTAGACAGAAATGATAATATACGTACCAAATGTTTATCTTTTGGCCAGCTTCCCATAGGGACCGTATACCTCTGCTCATGTATGTCCTCAAAGCCTATTTCACGAAACCACTCTTTTAGATGCGGCCCTGGAGAGGTTTCAAATCCCGCCTTTTTAAATCCCTTGAGGATAACGTCATAGTACTGTTCAATCGAGGTACCCTGGGTGGAGCCATCATCAGAACGCAACGTGCCGTCCCAGTCTTGAATTTCCACCCATCCCCCAGGGACGGTATTGCTACCCAAGTCAGTAAGACTTGATTGGCAAAAATAAAAAAAAAATAAAAAAGAAAAAGAAAAAGACTGAGGGGAGTAGGTAGGGTGGGTGGTGGATGACTCAACTCATAGGCCTGCTTTAATAGCTTCTTGTAGTCCCTAATAGAAAGCGCGAGGAATCGGGCGTGAACAAAATCAAATGGTTTGCTATAAACCCACGGCTGTTCTATATCATCGATGAGAAATTTCACATTTGGAGCAACCCTATCGTAATAAGGCTTTTTAGCAGTCATTCACAATGGAGGAGGGGTATTTAATACATGGATGGTTGAATCGGGCTCAGATCAACACCAATGACCTGCGTGTAGAAAAGTTAGCGCATACACAGTAATCGACATGGTAACAGCCTACCTCCGCAGAAGGATACTGGTCAGCAAAATCTAGGGCCCAAATTCCTGTCCCAGTACCAAGGTCGATGACGTGCTGTGGTGAATCACCAATGGGAGCCAGGAAGAGTTTGCGATCCATCATTGTCAGTGTCATTTCGTGCAACAGGTCTAGCCGATCTGCTTCATCCTCGTCATTTGGCAGGAGGTAATCTTTTCCGGTCAGCAGGACCCCGACTCTATATAGGTGATCTCAGGAAGACTCACTGCCATCACGATATCCATGATAGGTTCTGCCATTCTCCTTTCGAAAATTGCGGACGGATGAAGTCAAAGAAGCGGTGTAGCTGGAGCTTTAGAGATGTCAGTCTTTTGTGTACCTAAACGGGGGTTGAGAAGAAATGGTCTGCGTACAGCTCATCACCATATGTGGAGTCGTTCGCCGTAGACTAGAGGAGGATTGTTAGGTATATATATCACTTATGGACATGAAATAGAGATTATGCAGACCTCTTCATCAACCTCAATCAGATTATGAGTCTGTTCAGTGGTATGAGCATCTTCAGCCATGGCTAATTGCCTACAGGCTAAGGGATCAAGGGCTCGCAAGGAAAGAGTGTATTTCCAAGGTGTCGAGTCAGAAGGTGAGATGGACGAGAATGAGAAGAGGATGTCAACAAGTTATCACTCGAATTGAAACATGGGCGGGACATCCTTGTATTGAAAGGCGTACTCCGGAGTAAGGGCTGCCTTTGGTCCATTGCTCTCATAACCCTTTTTTGGTCAATTGCAGATGGCATCATTATCAACAATGGTCGTGACAGCTTGTTGGTGTCCCGAGGATTAGTGCTGCAGTCAGTGTTCATTTTCTCGCAGCTGGTCCTGCGGTCCTGTACGGAGTATCTAGCCATGGAATGATTGGCATTGTTGGCAAATAGCTTGCGACCACTCTGTACTATCAGGAAGCCGCTCTTTCCTTGTGGGACTGGTGTGGGACTGGTGTGGGACAGAGTCTTGGGCGGAACTGCTGCCGCTTGCGACAGGACTGCTTCGTACTCCATAAGTCTAAGGACGCAATCGCGGCAATGGTGGAATGGCCGGTGCTCTGCCCAGCCAGGAACCAATTAGGCCATTGGGTTGACTTGCTGTTCTCATCTTGGATAACGGTTGGATATCCGATATAGAGCTATATCCTATTATAGCATCTGACATCTGTCATCCCCACCTTTGGCGGATACATCCGATCAGCCCTGATAAGCATGTCGCGAGTCTCGAGTCCGCGACAGAAATTGACATCGAATCCTGGAAAGCAATGTTGCTTCAACTCGCTTGTCATTCTTGCTATCTCTATCTAAAAGCCGACTCCTATGGGTTCGTGGATGCTAAGCGATAGCGGTCTACTCCGTACACCGGCAGAATCTATCTGAGAAGTGCCGACATTGATGTTGGTCCCACGCCCATCGGCATCAAATTCCAATCCATAGTGTGGAGTAGTTACCTACTACGGAGAACTTACGGAGTACTCCGGAGTAGGTAGGTAAGCAGTTAGTTCGGTGGGAACGAGAAGATGCGAACGCAGCTTAAGACTTGTGCCGCATGCAGTTACCAACTGACCATCACGTACGGAGCACTAGGTAGACTCCGGAGTACCTGGTCGTACATGTCCATCATAGGAAAGCGGGAGGGGAAATTGGTGCCTGCCATTGCAGTTCTATGCAGCGCTTGCATCAACTTGCTTTCTTAAAGCATTATTGGGTATCATCCGAGTGGAGAACCTCTTCCGTGACGTGCAGAATGGATGGCCACGAGGTAATTACAGAGTTACCTATGCCCTTTTTATTTTTTAGTTGGAACTACTCCGTACACGAATCATTTAGCCTTTTCCACATGAGTTATTTACATGTACTCTACGGAGTATGGACGGGTGATTCCAAAAAAAAAATCCTTGTAAGGAAATTTCGGTAAATTTCACCTGATTCTCTTGAAATACAGAATTTCAACCAAATTTGATAAGAAAATGAATCAGGCACTCAAGCGAGGTATCTGGAGTATTACCTCCCTTCCCGATTAGGTCTAGCTCATTTCGTGCCATGAGATGTCACCTGTCAGCTCCTTCTACAATCAAGTCAGGCTTCAGATCCTCCAGTGTCGTCCATCTTTTTCATCGAGTCAGTAACACAGCTTCACCATGTCCAACAGTATCTCTTTCTTCTCACAGATGGTTGTGCCGGATCCTCTTTTTTTTTCACTTGGTGAGAAACCATTTCGATGTCGGTCGGGGATGGCCATTCTTCAAAGGAACAAGTTGCCCCCGACCAAGCGGACCCCGTTCATCCTGCGTGGTTGAGATATTTGCTAGGATGTTGTAGACTCGGCTAATAGAAAATAAAATGAATTTCATGGGCCTATGTTTTTAATGAATCTGCAGCATGTTAGCGTCCAACACAGGCTAAATTAGGATCGTGTCAAACTTTCATCATTCCCGAGCGAAGCGACCGACTCAGTGACCAGTTCAAGGCTGATTCCTTCCAGTCTAATAGCCCTAGATGGCTAGAAAGACCGTACTCGTACGGAGTATTGGATGTATGCGGAAAGCACCTCCTGCACACTACCTAGATAGGCAATGTTGATGTTGCCACAAAGCCAAGTGGTTGACCCTTCAGCTAGAGCTGAACCAAATAGCAGTTGCTTTATAGGGGCACCCTCCCTCAATGGTTTCAGTTACTGCTTGTCGTCTCGTCTATTTCATACTTCTTTGCTTGAGCATCCACTCCTCTTCCCCTCGACGTCAACAACTAAGCCATGGCTCAAAGTTCCCCAGCTCAGAGTCCACCCCCGGCTCAGAGTCTCCTGGCTGGAAACACCCTGGAAGTAGATGTGAGCATCTGAAACGCTGCTGAGCTACCTATGAGAGATAAGGGATATCCTACTAACATAATTTTCATCAGGAGGGTGCATTCGCTGATACTGATTCGACTTACAATGAATCGTAAGTAGAAAGCTACCCAGCTATAATTATACTTTGCCCAATTTGTCTGATGATCTGCTATATAGGATTGGCACAGCTAGCTATGTGTCATCTCTCAGTTCAAGCATCAAAAACTACAAGTAATTCAGTGGCCCTATGTTTATACTGAGCTTGCCTCTTAGTCCAACAGCCTGCTAACTAGATGATTTATGATTTTGTTGATAGATATGAGGTAACTCTCTGAGGTATACATACATTCGATTAATAGGATCTAGTATTTAACACTTACCTCTCTTCTCTTAGAATGGGCGTCGTTACCATGCATATCACGAAGGAGCTTGCATTCTGGTATATCTATTCAATTTTCAAAACCTTTGTTGGGACTACAACTGAGCTAGTCTAGCCAAATGATGAGGAGGAACAAGACCGAATGGATATGTGGCATCACATATATCTCCTTCTTCTAGGAGGAGAACTTTACCTCGCGCCAATCAAGAATCCTCAGCGTGTTCTAGACCTTGGTACGGGAACAGGGATCTGGGCCATTCAGTTCGCTGAGTAAGAAAATTCTTTTTTGGTATCTCCTTATAGGTTTGTTACTAACATTGAAGCTATAGTGAACACCCTTCAGCACAAGTGATTGGTACTGATTTGAGCCCTATCCAACCAAAATGGTAACTGCCTTTGCAACCTTATATAAACATTTTCCTAATATGAACATTAGGGTCCCAACTGTGTATTTGAAGTTGATGACTTTGAGACAGACTGGCTATATAAGTCCAAGTTTGACTTTATCCATGGCCGTGAGTTAGAGGGGTGTGTTGCTGATGAGGACCGGCTTTTCCAGCAAGCATTTGAACATCTAAAACCTGGAGGCTATTTTGAATTCGATGGTGGTTATGCTTGCTATTTTTCTGATGATGGCACTGACAAAAAAGGCCGAGAATCTTCACTTTTTAGCAAAAAATCTACGTATTGCTGGGGATATATTTGGAAAGAGCTTTGAGAAGGTGTTCTTTTGGAAAGAAAAGATGGAAAAGGCGGGCTTTATTAATGTCAAGGAGACCGTTAAGAAGGTTTGCCCTTCCTACTTCTGCTCTTATTCTAATTTATTCTGAATTCTAGGGACTGGCTAATGGCTCTATTAGGTCCCAATTGGTACATGGCCAAAAGATCCAAAGATGAAGGAGATCGGAATGTTCCATCTGGAAGCACAGTTCCAGGGAATCGAATCCTATACCCCAGCCCTCTTCTCACGCGTCCTTGGCTGGAGTAATACAGAATTACAGGCATTGTTGGCAAAGGCACGAAATGAGCTCAAGGATCGATCTATACACCTATACGCCAATATCTACTTTGTCTACGGACAGAAGCCATGACAAATCTCCTGCTGTGCTTGTCTGATTCTTGGAGTTTCATCTGGAAACTAAACAATGTCGCCTTCAAAGCGAACGGTTATGATTTGAGAGAACAAGGTGGGGCAGGGATGGAATCACATCGTCTAAGCTTTCGAGAATGATGGTTTTTGCTTTTAATCAGCCTGGATTCTTATGATTCTGATAATCTCTAACCATCACCTTTTATTTTGTCACCTAGTTAGGAGTCCATGTTAGCCATCAACTTGATCGGGTCTTATTCGCATTGACAATGCTCTTTTTTTTTTGCACTGTCTTCTGTGAATAATAAACAGGAATTTCTTTTGAGTTTTTTTTTTTGTTTTTAAAGCATCCATGCTCCCGTCAGTGGACGGAAATGGAATTTGGTGAGCTGCATTTTCACCTACAATTATATGGGTAGCAAGCTATGTTTACACACTGTTGTTATCAATAGATACATGTATTTCCGGTATGTATGTACATGCAATGGGTTTGTTGCTATGATTTGACTATTTCATGTCACTTTATATAGCCAGTGAATCCTATTGTAAGTCTCTTCGAGCTCATCACATTGCTGTGAATCGCATTATTTGGAAGCCTGACTGAATGGCCCTGTCAAGCGATACCGAAACTTGTACGGAATGTAGGAGCAAATGCGACGTTGTGAAGAACAATCTGACAACCTTCCTTTCTCTCCATGGACTGAGCTTTGATTTCAACGGTACCATAACCTTGAATCGGGATTTTTTGTAGTTCCCACCAGTAAATGATCTCCTCCTCCTGCTTCTTGAAAAAATGTCTGAACCCATCTCGAATATTGCAAATATGGAGAGTGGCATTAGAGTCCAGCAAGCTCTTCTGCAAAGGACAGGGAGTCTCCAAGGGTACCGTTGATACAGTAAAGGTAATCCCTAACTTTGGAGCAGAACGCTTCTCCATCCCCTGCACTTGCTTCACTGCAAGACACATTCTCTTGACTCTTTTCAGTGTACCTAAGGTAGTATTAATATACTCCTCAAATAGGAATAGTGTGTCCAGTTTGGAGGCATAAAGTCAAGTGCTTAACAAAGAATAGTTAGAAGGACTAGAAAGATTAGGAAATAATACTGCTTTTTACAGGAGTTACCATCGTAGTTGTATGACGAGGGTAATTTGAATGCTTATATATCACGTGATCATCGCGGAGCAGGCTGAAGCGGCCTTGCGTTGTCCGCCGCAGCACAGGAGCTCCAAAGAAACGTAGAGCGACAGCTCCCTTCAGACTCCGCAACACTCCTTCGCTTTCATACAACCCTCTTCTCTGTCTACACAGACCGGAGACAATATTTGGATTGAGGAATCCGGTAGTCCCTTTGTTTTATTCTTCTAATCCAGTCGTGATTAATTCCCTGGGCAAGGTGACGGTTCGACACTCGTCATGTCCGAAGGCGCGCTACTCAAGCCTGAGAAGGATTTCAGCAAGGATGCAGACAAGCTGATTCCTGAGGCGCAAGAACTTGCAAAGGTTTGAAACGCAAGGACCAATAATGATGGTAATTTTGTTGACAAAGCTTTTGGACAGACCAATGTTCAAGCGGCTATAGACAAGCTGTCAGCATTGGAGAAACAGGCAAGACAGGTACGGAAGCTGCGGGCTGGAAACTCCGCTCGACGTGTACTGATATGCGATCGTCTTTTTCAGGCCTCTGATCTCGCTACTACCTCCAGAATCTTGGTTACTATTGTGACGATCTGCAAAGACGCCGGCGACTGGAGCCTGTTAAATGACCAGGTCCTGCTGTTGTCGAAGAAACATGGCCAGCTCAAGCAAGCTACGACGAAGATGGTGCAAGTCGTCATGGGTTTCCTGGACGAGACGCCGAATTTGGAAGTGAAATTGTCTGTGATCGAGACTTTGCGGACTGTGACGGAGGGAAAGGTTGGATCTACTGTGTGACTGGCCACAGCGCGTGCAGTACCACTGACTGTGTATTTAGATCTTCGTCGAAGTCGAAAGAGCTCGAGTTACTCGCATTCTTTCGAATATCAAGAAATCTCAGGGCGATCTAAATGCGGCAGCGGATATTCTCTGTGAACTGCAAGTGGAAACCTTCGGCTCCATGGCCAGGAGGGAAAAAACGGAATTCATCCTGGAGCAGGTTGCGCTGTGTCTAGAACGGGGTGATTGGACCCAGGCGGCAATTCTGAGCCGCAAGATCAACAAGAAATACTTTGCTCGCAAACCGAAGAAGACTCCCGAACAAATCGAAAAGGAGCAGAAGGAATTCGAGGAGAGAGAAAAAACGCGTGCACCTGACGAGCCGCCGCTGGAGAAGGATGAGGATGTGACGGACTTGAAACTCCGATATTATGAGCAGCAGATCATTCTCGCCAAGCATGATCACAACTACCTCGCCGTTTGCAAGCATTACCGGGACGTTCTGGATACAGAGTCCGTTGAAGAGAATCCCGAACAATTGCGTGCTGTAAGTACTGCATGTTTTTCTCTAATTGCCAGTCTTATTGTTGTTTTTTCTTTTTGTTCGCATCCATATTTACTAAATAGATTCGAACTGACGACGTTACAGGTCCTCGCGAGAATCATATATTACGTAGTATTAGCTCCGTACGACAACGAGCAGTCCGATCTTCTACACCGCATACAACAAGATTCCCGAATCTCACTGGTTCCCGTCGAAGCGCGGCTGTTGAAGTTGTTTACTGTCCACGAACTGATGCGCTGGCCCGAAATCGCTGAAACCTTTGGCCCTCAGCTCTGTAGTACTGATGTCTTCGACAGCCAACCTAATCCGGCTGACCCTGATGCGTACATAAGATGGCAAGACCTCCGTAAGCGTGTTATCGAACACAACATACGCGTTGTGGCTCGGTACTACACTCGCATCCAGATGGGGCGCCTGACGGAGCTTCTGAACTTGAATGAAGACGAGACGGAGAAGTACATTAGTGACTTGGTGACCTCGAAGACCATCTACGCCAAGATCGACCGTCCAGCTCGGATAGTCAATTTCGCAAAACCGCGTGATGCCGATGATGTGTTGAACGAATGGAGCAGCAACATGAAGAGTCTCTTGGGCCTGCTTGAGAGGATAGACCATCTGATTACCAAGGAGGAGATGATGGCCAGGATCCTTCCGTCCAAAGGCGAGAAAGTAAAAGCGTAACCGCTACGTGGAAATGCCATGAAGGGTTTCTCTGCTGTGTACAGTAAATCTGTGGACTAGAAACGATCAGTTGTCTCTTGATAGCAGCCCTATACGTTATTGTCTCACTTTCACAGTCTTAAAGTATCTGCGAAGGTCTATTATTCTATGCTCTATATTTATTACATTTTCACTAGATCTGGCATGAGTTGCCGGGTATTCTGGCCAGAATAAAGATCCATCCAACATATATATACACCCATGACGGAAAGGGAACAGATAAAAATGACAGCTGCCCCGCAAAGTATTGAGCATCATAGCTCGTTGCCCTTTTAGAAGGGCACATCCATGTCTTCGACTTTCTCTTCCTCATTCTTTGTTTTGTTGCTATCGCCGTCTAGGCATTTTCTGACGAACACAACCGCTGCATCCAAATATGCCCTTTGACCAGGCAAGAAGTGACCACCAGGATGCCACACGACTTTTCCTTCTTTTTCCGGATCTCCGGCGCATGCATTGATCAAAGCCCTGCTCCTGCTCTCCTCCACCACAGCGTCCAAAGAACCCAGGACATGAAGTACGGGAGTCTGAATCGGGGGATTCTCATAGAACCCGCGGTATCGCGGTCCCGGTGCACGGAATCCACTGTAACAGATGGCGAACTTGAGAGGAGGATGGGAGAGATTGGAAGGGTCAAAAGATGAAGGAAACGGAATCCCCGACACGAGTTTATCCTCCGGGAGATCGAAGCCATCCGATGCGGTTTTTGCGTCAGTGAAATGCGCAAATGCAGCGGCGCGGTTAGGCTCGAGGAGACTCGCGATCATCGCGGCCATGCTTGCGCCTTGCGAGAAGCCAACCACTCCGTCGAAAGGCCCTTCGTCCCGGAGGACCTTGGCGACTGTGTTCAACCCGTCTTCCAGACCGATGTACTCAGGAGGATCTGTTGTGTTAGAGCGACGCCACCACCCGTAGGCTTCAATTTCCTTCTCTTTACTATCTTCACCATCGTTCGCAGGTGTATATCCGGGGATATCGGCCGGGTCAAGACGAAGCGGGCCGGTGGGATACGAGAACGAAACTTCATGAAGAGGGAAGGACTTTTGCAGGGATTTGGCAAGAGCACCGCTCTTTGCGCGGAATAACGAGCCGGACTGTGTGTAACCATGGAGCATAAGGATCTTGAGAGGTTGTTTTGAAGTGTTGGACGCGCTGGAAGAGGAGTTGCGGGGAGCCATGGCTGTCGACGAGGGGGGCAGGGGACTTGAGCGAGGCAGCAGATCAACCTTGGGAACGTGTCTTAACCAACAACCAGGACGTAAGGAGCCTGAGACCTTGTGCATCAGCAATAGGAACCCTAGAATTAATCGTGGTTGTTGTGCTGTCCTGGTGCACGCAATCCGTCCTGACCTCAGTGACTCTGTGGACAAGTTCGGACTAGACTGATAAGATAAAAAGACGTGACTGCGACAAACAGTAACCCGCAACTGGAACCCGAGGAGTTTAGACCAGACGCGTCTTTCTTTGTGTTGCATATCTCCAACAACAACTTCGTAACAACGTCTTCGATTCACGTCAAGATCTCTCTTCTCGATCTATCTTTACATACATTCTTGAAAGACCATCGACCATCAATATGCCGCGTGAAGAGCTCCTTGATTTCAACGCCGAGCGGCTTGACAAGCAGATGGCGGATCTGCTCGAGTACGTCACATAGCAGTTATAATACCCCAGGCATACTTATACTACCTTATCCCTGTCGCACCAGCACCTCGAATCCTTATTAGCATCTTTTTTATTTTTTAGGAAAAAAAATGAATCCTCACATCTGTTTTAACTTTGTTGCTTGATGAAGAAGGGTCAAGAATACTTACTCCATCTATCCAGGTCCTTCGAAAACCACCCCCTGATGCAACCGCCAAACACCCACCCAACCATCTTCTTCATGTTTGACTTTATTCGCAACACCCACAATGCGCTGCTAGCCATCGATGCAGACAAGCTCCGTGCGGGCGACAAGGAAGCCAAGAGGCAGGCGTCCGACGTCATCAGCCGCAACCACTTCACCAACCTCCTCATCGACGATCCTACGGGCAAATTGGCCCTCATGACCGGAGGTGACCCCCGGAACCCGGTGGACTTTGGTCCGGATATCAAGGCCAAGGCGCAGGCGCTGTTAGAGGTCTAAAAATGAGAAATAGCGATACTGGCGGCTCCGTGTGTTGCTTTACACCCGTCAATAATAGGACTGGATGTCCATAACGGCAGGAGGAAAGAGATCGATCGACCGATTAATGAATGGATCGATGGATGCTCGTGTTCGTCGAGAAAGAAAGCTGTTGTGAAGATTGTCATTATCCTGGCTGGTCCAAGGTCATTCATTTATTGACATCTTGAAGTTCTGGCACGATATATGGGATGACAGTGGTCTATTTTTGTCTACACATACTAACAGTCGAGATTCACTCTTTTCTAGTTTAATGATTTGGGAATTCTTGATCGAGAAGACCTGCATATTCCTTTGATCTTACCTCTTTTCTACACCTCTATGGTAATAATGCCCTGGGTGTCTTAGCCCTTCAATCTACAAGCGATGGAGAGAGCCTGCAAAGGCCAGTAAAGAAAAGATCCCGACGTTCGACATTTCCAAGCTGGTCTTTGAATTGGCGATGCTACATCTGGCCAACCTGCCCATGTCCATATTTCTCGATTCTGGAGAGTCCCAGGAACAAAACGATCTCGCCTACGAAGCGAACGGCCATCTGAGACAAAAAAAATGGGATAAAATCTGATCAACCCCTTTTGGTTTCTAGGCCTTATATTTTTATTCAATTATTTCTCAACAAATCTAGAAGGAAATTGTTTACAATATATTTTTTAAACTTGTCGACATATAGCCAAGAAGACATAAAAATAGAAAACACTACAATTATGGCTATCTAGTGAAAACTCGAAAGATGATGAGGCTACAGGCTTGAGCTCGATTTTACATTATACGGTTCCATGAACAGAAGATTAAAGACATGTTTTGAGTCTTTGCCCAACCTCAACCCGTTCCACGTGACCTCGACTTCCCGCCTACCGCTTTCGGCAGCTGACTCCAATGTCACGTGATCTATAGAGGGAGGCGCACTAAATCTGCTATTCAGCGTCCTAGCTGGGACCCGCAACCCGCCAACCGCGATCTGCTCCGATCACGCAATCGCGGCCGCCGGCAATTCGACAGAATTTAGTCCTAGTTCGAACTCCGGATTGAATACGACTTACTCTGTAGGTACCTAGCCAGTCATAGCGCAGCGATTAATGATGGTATATACAGTAGCCAGCAAGTAAGAACATGAATATAATTTTCTTTCTCGGTCGAGACGGCTGAGTCATCAATTGAATTTGGGACCTACGAATTACGGCCGTTTCTGTTTTTTTATCTATTTTCCCCACAGACTTCGTGCCTATCTATATGCATCATCTTGTGGTTCATCCCGGGATTTGCATGATCTCCGCGGAAATAAAGTTCGAGTTTTTGATAAGAGTCTCACAGCAATTATCACATGAGCATTATTGAAAGAAAAAAAAAGACATCAGTTCTTGCCAAAGAAATTTTTCCTCCTTCATACAAATTGATTTTTGAAGTCATAGCAGCATATCATTGCTGGTAACGGCTGTGATACGACGTTACGATGAGAGATTCGAAATGTGGCGAAAATTCGCCCGCACCATTGCTGACGGCTGTGGACGCAACATCACAGGTTCACTTGATTGTGGGCTCGAATCCGCTAGCAGCAGCGCGATGCACGAAATGTCTGGAAGCCGGAGCGAAGCCAATTATCATTGCCCCCGAAGATGCGGATATGCATTTCTTACTCATCGAGCGCATTGAGCAGGGCTCAGCGCAATGGGTGAAGAGAGAGTTTCAGGATGAGGATTTGACGAGCTTGGGGCGTGATGAAGTTGATCACGTCGTTGATGCAGTCTTCGTGACTTTGGGTGGTGATAACCCTCTTAGTATGTCTGACATGTTCTGCATTATATTCTGGAATAGTTATCAGGCTAATGTAAGGACCAGGCGCCCACATATCTAGGCTCTGTAAACGCTTAAGAATACCAGTGAACGTGTCTGATGCACCAGAACTGTGTTCTTTCACGTTGCTTTCAACATATTCTGATGGTCCCCTTCACATTGGGATCACGACATCAGGGCGAGGTTGCAAGCTGGCCTCCCGACTGAGAAGAGAGATAGCCTCTTCGCTGCCTGCAAACTTCGGAATGGCCGTTGATCGGTTGGGCACGCTAAGAAAGCGGATCTGGGAAGAGGATCAGGCCGCAGGACGGACGGAGTCCAAGTTTGAAGTCGAAGACGACGACTCGACCGCTCAAAGCCACACTTTCAACGCACTAGTAAGAAACGAGGATGCCTCTGCTGCGAAAACTCGACGAATACGCTGGCTCTCCCAAATTTGCGAATATTGGCCACTGCAGAAACTCGCGGATATCTCTGATGCGGACGTCGATGCTATCCTCACGGCTTATTCATCAGGAAATCCCGACGTTGGATCGCTCGTTGAGGAGCAGGTCGGATCTCAACGGCGAAAAGGAAAGATTTTTCTTGCAGGCTCTGGTCCTGGACATCCTGATCTTCTCACACGAGCAACATACAACGCCATCAGAGACGCAGATATTATTTTGGCAGACAAATTGGTCCCTGCGCCAGTGTTGGAACTCATTCCCCGAAGAACAGAAGTCCACATCGCACGCAAATTCCCTGGAAACGCGGACCAGGCTCAGGAGGAGTTCCTCCAAATGGGCTTGAAAGCTTTGAAAGCAGGAAGACGCGTCCTGCGGCTGAAGCAAGGGGACCCTTATCTTTACGGCCGTGGAGCAGAGGAATACGACTTCTTCAAAAAGGAGGGCTATGAGCCAGTGGTGCTTCCCGGCATAACTAGTGCACTCAGTGCGCCTTTGTTCGCCGGCATCCCTGCCACCCATCGCAGTGTTGCGGACCAAGTTCTAATCTGTACGGGCACGGGCAGGCAAGGGACCGCGCCAGAGCCACCCACTTATATTCCCACCCAGACAGTTGTTTTCCTGATGGCATTGCATCGACTTTCTTCCTTGGTAGAGAGTCTGACCACAGCACCAGCAGACACTGCGACCCCAATTTCCCGAGTACCGTGGCCTAGGGATACTCCATGTGCGGTTATCGAACGAGCTTCGTGCCCAGACCAGAGGGTGATTCGCACTACCTTGGAACATGTGTGTCTAGCGGTCGAAGAGGAAGGTTCGCGACCTCCTGGCTTACTGGTCGTTGGCGCGAGTTGTCATGTTCTCCACAAACCGGGAAGTCAGAAATGGGTCGTCGAGGAAGGGTTCAGAGGTTTGGGTGAGTTGCGCGGCGAAGGCGACACCACCATGGCCGAAAATCCAGCAGCTACCGAAACTAAAGATCTATAACAAAAACAGTTGTACGGAAATAAGTTTGGGAGACTCATTTGCATGGGACGGTGTATATATCTGGCATTAGACGTTTGAGATACCAAAGACGGGATTGGGTATAGACACAGTATGGGAATTTTTTGGATAAAATAGACAGTTGTTAGCACGCCATACTATACCAATTCACGTATCCTGAATATTAAGAAAATTTCAGATTTGCGCAGTGGTCTTTTTTGTGCATATCTATTGTGGCTTGCTGCCTGAAGGAGAGAACAGTTCAAGCAATAAGTGTAAAATATATAGCGGGTTCATGGTTGAAACGGTTCCTGTAGTGTCAAATTGTCGAATGTCAGCCGTGTGATTTCCAAGGTAAAGACTCCATGAAATATAAGGTTAGTGAGCAATAATAAATTGAAGATATCTAGATATGAGGAGAAATCAGCTATCGTAGAGATAATAATACAGTTTGATACCATGCGGAACCCTGGTTCTTCGACCAAACGGTAATTTTACCGCTCCCGCCACGTTTCGATACCTCTGGACCCGATACACATGCCCGCATCGCGACCAAGCTCCGCCATCACTTGATCGTCGCCTCCTCTTCAGCTCACATTCAGCAAGCTCCTTTCTGACGATCTACACCGAAAGCTGAGAGGAGAGAAAGTGGCACTCATCGCCCATCATGTCTGCGCCAAGTAGCAGCAGACCATACGTGTCCGGCGGACAGATGCTCCAAAGGTGAGTCGGAGTTCCAGCTTATCTGCCAGTCCGTGCCACAGCTGGGCTCGTCTCTCTGCCATGAGCTGTAATCAATAGGAAACTATATAGTTGACGAGAAGCATCGCTGACTTTGCTTTCTATCTAGTCCTCCTCTGTCCGTTCGGGTTATCCGCTTCTTCGAGAGCATCTACATCTTCCTGGGTCTTTACTTTGTTTCTTTGTTTTCGGTACGTTGGTCAGACACTGGTGTTTGCATACTCGTCCCATTGGTCTTAAATGTTCCTTTTGTTTTGCGAAATGCAACCGACTCCCCGGGCCTACCTAGGACTTGACATGATGGTGCTTTCATTTGCTAACGTCTCTCGTTATCTTGCTCTAGCTGGACCCGTACACTGCCGCACAGAGCTCCCAGTTCAACGTCGCCAGGCCACAAAATAAACCCAATACGAGACCTCGATGGGGTGGAGGTAGCTATGGAGGTGGTTACGGAGGTGGTGGTGGACCGGGAGGTAGCGGAGGGCCCAGGAGGATTGGACGGGTGGATGATATTCGAGGACCCGAATGTCGCAGTTGTCAGTGATGGGAAGAACGCTTCACACAATGTATTCTCGATGGTCTTGCGATGACATTTCCTGTATTCATACAGTCACAGATCCGAATAATAACGGATAATGCGTCTCATTCGAACATTCTATAGCAGCATGTAAATATCTACATGGCCATAAAGTCTGGAGAACGTAAGTACAGTACAAAGTACAGCATCTTTGTTTCTATGCCACGATTTCAGATAATTAGATGTCGAACTAAAGACAATGCACGTCATCACGTGGCAGACCCGGAGATCAGTGGATCGCCGATCCAAGGATGTGGGGAAGTAAACAAAGTTCCAACTCCAACTTGCCTAGGAACAGTGCTTCGCTCATGATGAAGTCACGCTTTGTCACACAAACATTTAATTAATTGTTGAGTGTCCCGGATTGTTGATAGTTGGACTTGGTTCTATTTCAAGATCCAGACTTGAAATTACGCATTTCCAGTGCTGTGATCGGCTGCCTTACCCCTCTGTGTCGAACGCCGTTCATACTACATAAATCGATGTGAGTTCTCAAGCACTGTGCAATCTCAGAAGTGAATTGAGTCACCATTTTTTGTGGCTTCTTTACATAATATTACAGTTCTTTTTTTGTTTGCTTGAACTCCTGTTGAGGGCATGGTGATATATACATGTACTGTACATTTTGATATACTTCATAGGCTGTTATGGTGCCCATTACGATGCTTACCATATCTGAAGAGATTATCTTTATCGATAAACTTGCTGATACTGACTGACTGGGTAGCATCTCTATCTACATTGGACGATGTCAGCACAAGTGGCCCCGCCAACCACTGATGCCGACTGGGCTACTCTGATCTCGACCACCAAGGACGGTCTACCCGAATCTGAAGTGGTCTACCCTACACCCGCTCCATCTTCGATCGCGAAGACTATCGACCATACCCAGCTCGATCCCAGTGTAAGGCTAGAGCAGATCACTGCACTCTGCGAAGAGGCTCGAAAATACAATTTTGCCACGGTCTGTGTGAGATTTCCTAATGTAGCTCGTGCGGTGGACCTCCTGAAAGATACCGACATAGGCGTTTCCTGTGTCATTGGTTTCCCCGAGGGAACCCAGAAGACGGCAGACAAAGTCGAGGAGGCCAAGAGCGCTGTGCAGCGTGGTGCGTCGGAGTTGGATATGGTGATGAACTGGCCGCTTCTGCAGCAGGGCAAATACACTGAAGTTTACGATGACGTGCACGCCGTGCGCAAGGCGGCTCCGTCACCGACAAAACTGAAAGTCATCCTGGAGACATCCCAGCTCTCGCGGGATGAGGTCATTGCCGGGTGCGTCATCAGCTCCATGGCCGGCGCGGACTTTGTCAAGACGAGTACCGGGTATAAGGGCGAGGGAGCGAGTGTCGAGAATGTTCGTTTGATGCGAGAGACGGTCGACCTAATTGGGAAAGGGTGCAAAGTCAAAGCTAGTGGAGGCATCCGATCGGCTGAGCGATGCATCGCCATGCTGAAGTCGGGTGCAGACAGGATCGGAGCGAGCGCTGGCGTCAGGATCATGCAGGAACTGGGGGGAAATATTGAGGCGGCTTCAACGCCCCAAGGTAATTTTTAAGGAGCAGAAAGAAAGGGGGGGAAATAAAGCAATGTAGAATTCGACCTTGAAATTCCGTATTTTGAATGCTCTAATGGTGACTTGCTGGAATTATGCAAGTTAACTAAATATAGGTCCTTCGACATCAATTTGTATGTATGACTGTATCTGGCCGAGTTTATGGCATAAATTGGCTTGTAGCATCGGATCAGACAAATGCCTCTCCCGACCCCGGTTCGTCTATCCCCAGAGCCGTCTTGCCAATACTGCCGCCCCGTTCGATGATCCGATGGCCTTCCCGTACACCCTCCAGCGTCAGTTTCAAGCGTTGCACCAAGTGACAAGTGATACGTCCTGAGTCTATAAACTGAGACAGTTCTTCCAAGATTCGATGGTGGGAACCGATATCGACCTGATAGATTGACTTTGTGCCCAGAAAACACCAGACGAAGGACAGAGATTTGGCCATGAATTCCGTCCCATACATCCTAGCCTCACCTTGGACAATAGAGCAGATTTTGCCAAATGGAGCGGCGATTTTGGCGCAGATGTCCATGTAACGATCGGTCGAGTGGGCGATGAATATATACCTTGCTTCCATCAGAACGAGATGAGAAAATTGTCTGTCTGCTTCTCCTTGCTTACTTCAAGGGAATATCCAGATTAAGCTCATTCAGTTGCTTCTGGAGATCCTCCTTATGGTTAAGGACGTGGGTCGCTCCCATCCACTTCGTAAATTCGATACTGTTGGGTCGCGACGCCGTGGTGAAGACGACAGGCAGTTCGAGGACCTGTCGCGCGATCTGGCTCGCAACAGCGCCTACACCACCAGAGCCATTGATGATGAGTAGGGCAGCCCTTTCCCCCTTTTTTATCTCCAATCGTTCTATCAGCGCCTCGTAGGCGGTGAGGTAAGTTAAGGGCATAGCAGCGGCCTGGGTCATGTCGAGAGATTTCGGTTTGTGGCCAACGCTGCGCTCGTCGATGAGCAGAAGTTCTGCATTGGAACCGTGTCGGAGCGGACTGCAGGAAAAGAAGACCTGGTCTCCTGTCTTAAAGAAGGAACATTGGGGCCCGATCGCGACGACTGTCCCGGCACCGTCGTAGCCACAGATCTGATAAGGACGGGGAGTATGCTCGTAGTAGTCTGGATATGCGTGTACCAGCCAAGATCAGAACAACTGGGAGACCGTAGCATTGGATTCCGGGATAAGAAGTATACAGGGATAGTCATCGTATTTTCCAGCACGGACTTTGACGTCAACAGGATTTACAGAGCATGCCTCTACCCTATTTCAGCACATTTAGCAATTCAGTCTATGCAAATGACCTTTACTGTCTTACCGAACTAATAGTTCTCGACCAGTCGGCGTTCCTGGGTCAGGAACGTCTTTAGCTATGAGATTTTCGACGGAGCCATACTTCTCGACGACAATAGCCTTCATGGTGTTATGTGACCAAGAATTGACGGAGAATGGAATGAAGAATCACATATTATGCGTACTCTGATTATCGAACTATGGAGAGATTCGACAAAGACGGTTATGGGGTAGATAAGGCGCTATGGCGTCGATGTGAGGTAATCGTTCCTATAGACACCTAGGTAACCAACCACGAATTAAACACACTTCTGCAGATTGGCATGTAGTAAAGAAGAGAAATTCAAAAGATAGTCTCGACTTCCTTTCCCTCAGGATGCCTTTTTGCGACATGGGATCTTACTGTGGAAGTCCATGCGTTGCATTGGATCAGTAACTTCAGGAAGCTCTTCACATATTATTTGCCAAAATAAAAAAAAAGAAAAGCACTTTTGGAATTGCTTGTGCCTAAGCCTTCGTAATGAAAGTAGATCCATGGAGGGATTCATTGCAGCCGATAAGTTATGGATCGATCGGCGTCTGATAAGATCGGCTGTTTGCCTGTGGGGAAGGTGGGTCCGCTCACCTGAAAGCTCAAGCTAGCAGTAAAAAAAAATCGTTGAACTGCAAACCAAGCTTGTTCACTAGATTCTTTTCGAAACCTCGAAGGTCCTTTCTATTTATTTTTGTCCGCAAACAACGACAATGGCCCACAAATCAAAGGTACGTACGAAATGACACCTCAAGTTGGTGCGGCAATTGACTGAGACTTATCAGAAACGGAAGATCTCCCAGCACCAGACTGGCAGAAACGATGAGCATGTCGACACGTCCAAACCCTCTGCGATCTTCACTCCAAAGGGACCCAGATTACACACGTTGAGCGTTGCTCTACCAGGGAGTATCATCGAAAAGTACGGAGGGCTTGTTAGGATTCAATGCCATCGTGATCACTTACATTGACTAACACGCTCGCGACGCGTTGCAGTGCTAAATCCCATGACCAAAAAACCTTTCTTGCAGGGACAATTGCTCGTGCTCTCGCCGTATTTTCCGTCGACGAGGTCGTCATCTTTGACGACGATAATCCTCCCCGACCCGGTCGCATCTTCGATGATCTTACCACGGACGAATACACCGCGACAAAAGACCCGTCTCACTTCCTCGCACACCTCCTCTCCTACCTAGAGACGCCGCCACATCTGCGGAAGCATCTATTCCCCATGCACCCTAATCTGCGAACGGCAGGGACGCTGCCAAGTCTCGATATGCCCCACCATCCCCGAGCGGACGAGTGGTGCGACTATCGGGAGGGAGTTGTGGTGTCTGGAGATGGCGAGGTACGTGTGCTACATATTATGACAATCGGAAAGAAGCAAGAGTTAACTGGAATATGAAGAAACCTACGCTTGTTGATACCGGTCTTCCGAAAAAGATCCAATTGAACGACTACGACATCCCTTCTAAAACGAGGGTGACCATCAAATTCGGGTCTCGAGATAGCTACGAAAAGGATGCAGAACCGGTGGATCCCGCCGAACCGCGTGAGCAGGCTGGCTACTACTGGGGCTACAGCGTGCGACGGTGCGGGTCGCTCTCCGCAGTGTTCACCGAGTGCCCGTTCGACGGGGGGTATGACCTGTCATTCGGCACCTCGGAGCGTGGCGCACCCATCTCACAAGTCCTGGCAGAGCCCAGCTCGATCCCAAAGTATCGACACCTTCTCGTGGTGTTTGGTGGAGTCGCCGGCATCGAGGCGGCCATTACGGCGGATCCGGGGCTGTTGGAAAAAGGTCTCACACCGGCGACCGCAGGGGAACTCTTCGACTACTGGGTCAATGTGCTGCCGGATCAGGGCAGCAGGACGATCCGCACTGAGGAAGCGGTCTGGCTGGGGCTGATGGGATTGAGAGGGTTGGTGGAGAGAAACGGCTGATGAATCGAAACTACAGATTGGGAAAGAGAAAAGCAAAAAGCGAAGCCTCAAACTGTCAGCATCTGGACCAGTGTCTCAGATGAGTGGACAAGCATACGGAGTACATCCTGATCTGTGGTTTTCGCGTAGCGAAGCACCCGCTCGGCTGCAGGAACACAGGAGTAAGTTAGCAGCAGACGCCACCACCTGCACGAGATCACGCGAGTCGAATCTGCGACGCACCAAGGCGTGTTTCTTGCATCTGCGCGTGCTGGACTCGACTCGACTTGGGCCTCATATGTATGTATGTGCATAACGCTCGAGCTGGGATGCGTATGTCTACGAGCTTTTCGAGTGCGCACGATGATCGCGATGGTGATAATGATGCAAGCTGCATCAGCCTGTCCTATCAATGCCGAATTCAAAGACACGCGAATCACTGTGATTGATTGAAGGGGTAGATTGGAGGAGACAGCTAGGTACCTATTTTGCTCTGAACTCTGTATCCAACCCTGGCATCATCACATCACATGCCATGAGAATCCTGTACTTATCTAGGTTAGATACTTGGGTATATTATTCTCATTATTACTACTACTATGAAAGGACATGCCCATGAAAATCGTCATATATTTGCTGTGCATTTCCTTAGAGAAATCTTCAGTCAAGCCTTTCGTTCCATTCCTTCCATCCCTTCCATTCCATATCATGCATGCATGCAGGTAATTAATTAACTACATCAGTCCTGCAATGATCTACCTGGAACAGGACGGTCCTACATGCCTCGTGACATAAGAGAACGGGCACATGGGACACGGGACACAGAATACGGCATGGGGCGACGACTAATTTACTGATCTGAGATCTAGTCGCATCCCACTTTGATCCATGTGGGAAAGTTGTATGTAGATGCTAATTTCCTTTTATTATTTCTTAAAGGTTAAGACTTCCAGTAGAAAGTGAATGATTATAGTTTTCTTCTCCTTTATGGTGATAGTGGTAGTGGGATTTTCGTTCCAACGTGCTAAATGCTATTATACCAAGGTGGTATCATTGTATCATTGTATCACTCTATCACTCTAGGTAGTATACACTTAGAAATTCTTCATGAATAGACATGACCACTTTTGAGTATTCCTCTTAAGTAAAAGAAAACGCCAGCCCCGTCCATATATGCATGCATCCATAGATGGTATGGTATAATATGATATGATAACGGTATGGCGATAGATGAACGCCATGCCGTGTACAGTGGGTATCTACCTGGGCACATAGATCACTTTTCTGACCAGAAGAGCGTCATAGTCTGCCAGTCAGCTCTCGTCACTCATGTCTCCGGACTCGCTCGTCTCGGCATCGCCATCCGCCTCCCGGGTTCGCGCTTTCCGTAACAGGGCATCCCCGTTTTGCCCCTTCCTCTCCGCGTCGAACCAGGCCTGTCGCCGCTCGAGATCACGCGCTTCCTTCTTGGCACGTGCCACGGCTTTCTCCCGAAGCGACCGCGCGTGTTTCAGCTGCAGCTCGCTCGTGTAGTCCTGCAGACTGGCCAGGTCCGATCGGAGTTGGACCAGCTCGTCCGTCGTGGCACGGCGGGCCTTCTCGTTTGTCGATAATTGCTTCTTGAGGCTCGCGATTTCGGCTTCCAGGGACTGGATCACAGATGCCGAGGAATCGACAGAGTCTCCGTTAGGGGTGGCCGACGATGGAATGGTGCCTTTGGTAGTTACGCCATGGTCCAACGCGGCTAGCTCTGCAAGGCCTTCCTCAATCAGAGCTGGGGGGAAGAAAGGATGGGTCATTGCTTCGGAGAACAGATCAGGTTTGGAAGACCGGTCTTCCGTGCTGGAGGAGACCAACGGTTGAGATGATGACGAAGGGGTCAATTGAACGTTGAAGGTATAATTCGGAGGGACAATTCCGGTGCTTTGGGAGGAATCCGACATTGTTTGGTCATATCGGGGTTTGATAACATTGTGGATCGTATATTGAGAGTCGTTCGACGATGACCGTTGAGGAAATCCACTGGGCGGTAGCATTTGCAAATTCGTGACTGGGTGTGTAATATCCGCGACAGTCGAAGCATACTTCGCCCGCGCGATATCCCACGACAGGATCGACCCGTTTTGGTGTCCGGACAGCAGTATCGTGCCGTCATATGACAGCGTCAGACTCATCGCCGCACCAAATTCCGACGACGGGGCCGTCCATTGGTGTTCAGCATCGATCTGAGATGGAGTCGACTGCAGACGAGCATCATATAGGGGATGCTGAACGGACGGATTCTCATAAAAGTCCACCCTCTGCACGTTTCCGGACTCATACCCAACATAGAAAGCCCTATCTGCCGGGTCGACCGTGATGGACACAGCGGTCGAGGGCAACAGGAACGTCCTCAAGACATCTCCCGTATGGTAATCCCAGACCACAGCCGTGTTGTCTCTGGCGGCGGAGATGGCAATATTGCTCCGGCTGCTGCTGTGGCCAACTGCTAGTGCTGTAATGGCTGTTCGATGGTTCGAGAACGAGCGGAGGGGTGAATTCGGCGGTTTCTGATCCCGTCCGGTGGATGCCGGTTTCGCAAAGGCTAGCAGCCGGGGCAGAGACCACACATGGACATTGGCATCGGGCGATCCAGAGAGGATGAAATTCGACGTGGGATCGACCACGAGAGACGTCACAGGTTGGAGATGGGCGGGTACGGTCGACACTTGGCGTCCGGTGCAAGTCTGCGCAATTCAGTCAGTCCGACAATCCAGACTCTAATTGCGCATTGGTAGACATACCTCCCACAGGATCAATCGGCCTCCCTCCGTCCCCAGCACCAGGACCTCGCTATTTGGTCCTCCTGCTACCGCCGCACTGCGGATCCGCTCTGGGAAAGGGACGGTTGCCTCCTGATTACCCCTGGCTCTGCTGTAAACATGAACGACGGCTTTGTCGGCCTGAGCGGCGAACACATGGGTTGGCGTCACAGCCAGGCCATTCGGAGCGGTGGAGCTCTTCTTGAAGGTGGCTCGCAGTGCGGAGGCGGGCTGCAGCTCATGGATACAGATACCCACATCCTTCAGGGTGGAGGAGGCCGGAGTCTTTGACGACGCCAACACTGAGGCGACAAAGCTCTCTGAGAGCATGGCCGCCAGGAAAGGGGGAAATGGGGCCTGGAAAAAAAAAGTGCTGTACAGTGTCCAGTGTCCCAGTTATCTTCTACATCGGAACTTTTTTTTTCTGCTGCGGGTATGTAGATAAAAGTGATAGATCGGGCTGTTTGCATGGTTTGCGCCGCGCGAATGGATAGATCGAACGCCAAAGCAAGATCGGAGAGCCACCGCTCCTCTCCGCAGTCAACACGTCGCCTACTCACTTGCATCCCCGGGACGGCGTCGACCCGATCGGAACTCTATTTAACGTCTTCTAGGGCCTTTCGTCCGATCTTCTTCTGCTGGATTCAGGAGTGAGGTTAAATTAAATTTCCGTCAATGAGCTGTGACGCGGGACTGTGGCCTGCCGTAACAGCACTTACAGCATTAAGTAAGCAAAGGCCCCTGATCATCAGCTCCATTGATCGACGCCGATCATGTAGTGACATATGCCATCCAACGCTCAAAGAACTAAGCTGAGCCGAGGATTCTTCCTACTGGCGTTTCTGCGGTGTTAGCGATGGCTAATTCCAGTGACCAAAGCTTGCTATAACGCCAGTTCTCTCTCCATCGAATACGAATGTATATCAAGCCGTCCGGTGCAGCCACCAGGATTCAGAAAGCCAGACGAAGGCGCTCAATCCGCTGAGACGAACACTTCTTTTTCGTCCTGGCATGTTTTTACGTTGCTGGCGAGCCGCGGCTTGCGCCGGTGCCACAGTCAAATATGATGCTGCTGCTGGCTGCCGCGGCCGGACGCAAGGGATGTCTCTAGTGATTCTGACTCCCCTTTCAGGTTCTTCACACATGACACAATTCATACCCAACATGCCCCTTCCTTCGTCATGATGCGCGGTCCTTCCAGTGGGAATTCAGTTTGCAACTCGGGTCCCTCTCCCGGCCTGGCCCTGGCCAATGGCCAGCCTCGTCGCCACGGCTCACCTCCTCCAAGTATGCAAGGACACTCGTAGCCGATCTCTCCTGCGGCTTGCTCGTTGTCGAGAGAGCATGGCATCCCACCTGGGAGGATCTGCCTCCGAACGGGCCGTTTTACAGATCTGCCGTCAAGGGGGAGGCGCCCGGCTTGGTTCTTGCTTCACTCCGTATAAGGGCCTTGGACCTCCCTCCCTTCCTGAAGCCGTCAGCCGTCTTTCTGCCTTCCCAGTCGATCGATACGACGCTGTGCCGTTCGTTTGACTTGGTGCAGTTCCATTCAAGATGCCCTCCGTCGAGGTTGACGTCCCCATGGGCGACTCATTTCCTGCGTGTCACTCTGGCCACTTCAACCAGAGTCAGCCGTGCCTTCAGGACAATGGCCCGCCATTCTCCCCATCTTCAGTGTACTCCCGCGCTTCACGAACAAGTCGATCTTATGGATCGCTGTCGTTCCTTCCGTCCACCTCCTACCGTTCAGAGTCTGCAGAGCAGCCCTTTGCCACATCTCGGAGAGCCACGGAACGGGCTCCCATTTACATTTCTCCCTTTCGATCCGTCCGGCAGATGAGAGAGCCTTTTCAGCTTAAGCTACCGAGCTCCCCTTCGTGTGAAAATAGCTACAGTTCTGCTTCGTCCAAGGACCAGCCGCGAACGCTACAGTCGCCCATTGGGCTGCGACCGCTGCGTTCGTGTCGTTCTGACCAGCACTTGGTAGCCGGCGCTCTTGAGACTTTTGGGCTCATGCCTAGCCCAAGTCTGTCAGAATCTCGTATACAATCAAAGCCCGATTCCTCCCCACCGAAACGAGAGGTCGAGGGTGATGATCAGCAGAGCGCCATGACTAAGTGTTCTTGTACGCCTTCGGACCGACTGTGTGAGCTCTGTGTCGTCTCCAGCTATGAGGGACAGATGCCCGCCGGGTCAACAGAACAGAAAGAGACCGACATGACAACGGAACCATCAAATGTTGTTGATGAGGAATGTCGGGAGGTGGAGGAGAAGCCGGAGGAGCCTGGAGCTGAAGTTACGGAGAACATTCCACCTGAGGATCCCATACCAAATCCAACGTCGTCTCCCCTCACTCCATTCACTGAGGCGAAATCCACTCCTGGCTCGTCAGGGAATAGCAAGAAGAGAACAAGAACAGGCACCGTTTCCAGTGAAGCCAGCTGGGTTCCTGGAGATCTTTCCCACTGCGAGTCGTGGCTCCAAGGGGTTCCTCTGGACACTCCGGAGCGCAAGGACGAGAAGGCCATAGAAGCCAACCGCCGGAAATGCCAAATTGTTCAACAGACCAGTCACAGTCGGAAGCCGAATCTCCGAATTGATACTGAAGCGGCCAATAATTCGGTGGTATGTTTCATCTTCTTTGTCTCGTGACCTCCTACTTATTGCGTACAGATGTTTGCAGTTGCTAGCAAGACAAAGCCAAAGCTTGTGGATATTTCGCGCCGTTCCTCTTTAGGGACAACATACTCAGTCCAGATTCACCCCCCGCCTTCTTGGAGAAGACCATCAACCCCTGAAAATTGCAGCAACAATGAAGTCTCCGCGTTTAGTCCTGATACCCCGCAGGAGATTCCTGACAGTGGTTATGCCACTCAACAGTCGAATCATTCTGAAGAAAATCATGACTTCCGCGAAGAAGACTACGTCGACTGTGCACTAGATATGCGAGACTCTTCAGAGCCGCCCTTCACCGCTGATATTTCCTTTCCCTCTGTTATGTTCGGTGAAAAGCCTTATGATTACAAGAGTCGTCCTTCTCCTTCCTTGCGAAAGCCAGCTTATTCCCCGGAGTTCGAGAAGAGACCCCAGATGCGAACCCCTCCACCCGCATCCCCCAAGACAGTCGACCAGGAGACGCTGGAAAAATGGTGGGATTACGAGTGGACGCTGGATCAGCTGGAGATGTCGGTCAAGGACTTTCCGAAATCTATGCTTCGGTTGACCTCTCCGGTCATCATCCTTCTCCGACAGAATCACGAGAAGACATTGATTCGTCAATTCCGGAAGGTTTTCCCTGGGGTGCCGGAGAACCTCCTGGACTACCTGTGCGCGGCTTTGATTGCGCGGAATTACCTGGTGTCGATGGCGTCGACTCATCATCATCGACGCAACAGCTCTCTAACTCAGCCACCCCAAACAACCAACTTGTCGCGTCTCGACAGCGTGCCGGAAAAGGCACGAGCAACCCTGGGCATTGCCTTGCCCAGTACATCTCGATTCCACATCGCGGAACGACTGATGGGCTCCCGGAGCCTGGAGCTCCGGAAGGGCCTGGACCGGATCGTGGACAAGTTGATCTTCACCATCTGTGGACGGTCGGACGAAACGCTGAAAGCTGCCATGGTGGTGTTGACCCAAGTCCTCGAGTCCAAGGCCCCAGCCTATTAAGAGCTTGATCCTGTATTATTGTTACCGCTTAGTATTTAGTTTGATTGTTTATTGTCACACGCACACACACAGTCTCTCGCTCACTCTCTCTTTTGATCACTTCCCAACTCTCGCTCTTATTGATGACGGCCACATACGGCCGCCACTTGAAACATTCCCTTTTCTTTCACTCTCTGATTCATCTGTTCATGTGTCGTTTATACCTCCCTGTTAGTCCCATTTTAATCTGTCAGTAGTATATGCCGCAGTATATGGAGTGTTTTTTTCCCCCTATTCTTTCTTCTGTTCTTTCTTCGCGCGTGGAAATTTTTTTCTGGCATTTCTTGGCTTTACATTCGTTTATTTCAGCAGATCATGTGTGATCCTTTTCAAAAATTTGAAAAGGTTCCGATCTCCGATCTTCATATATTCCTTCATATAACTCCTGTATTTACAAAAAAAAGTACAAAAGTGAGACTAGAGATAGTACCTTTCAGACGTGGCAATCATAGCGGAATTGAAGTTCAATAGCTGAATGCAGGATAAATTTCTTTACCACATGTGCGGAAAATGAGCGGGTAGAAAAAAAAAAACAAAAAAATTAAGGGATATCATATCATAGAGAAGAGGGAAAGAAAAAGGGATTCTTTCACTTCCAACCCCTCTCATAAGAAACTGTCCATGAGCAGTAAGCCAAGTCTTCTAGTTACGAGCGCTGCCATACCAGAGGCGGGTCAACGGCCTCGTCAGCGCGGCCACGATGTCTGCAATGAATCCGTACCACCCCCTGGCGGCGCCGAAGGCATTGAGGAGGTTCACCAAGCGGTAGGTGAAGAGGTCGACCTGCTCAAAGTCATGGGCGTGGATCTCCCAGATGGCCCGGTCCTGGACCACGCCGTCCTTCCCCTCTTGTGTCGCAGCATGTTTCGCCGGATCGACTATCTCGAATAGATCCTCCAGCCGAGGGAGTCTGTCTGCTCCTGCAAGGGCAGTGAGTCCGTCCTGGTCAACGGGCACGCGGACCTTGACCTTGGGCCCGACCACGACGGCGCGCCCGATGATGTCGGGCCGGGACACAAAGTAGGTGGCGGCCTGCACGACGTCTTCAGGGACGCCCATAGCACCACCGGCAAGGGCGACGCGCGCCCCGACGTTGAGGATCGGCGTGTCGATGAAATACGGACAGAGCATATTCACCCGGATCCCCTTCGTGATGGGCACCGAGGCGCGTAGGCACCGGAACAAACCCAGCACGCCGTGCTTGGAGATAGAGTAGGGCGCCTGGGTGATGAGCGGGCACAGACTCGCGACTGAGCCCACCAGGATGAGATGCCTGTCTCGTTCGCCTGGAGGAGACGTGGACGAGCAGGGCTTCGAGCCCGGGTTGCGTTCCAGGTAGAAGAGCGCCAGATGAGTCGTGTAGAGCACGCCCGTGAGATTGACATCGAGGGTCCTGAACCGCGGTGGCGGAGGATTCGGGTCGTTCTCGTAGTCGATCTTTGGGTTCTCGAATACGTACGAGTCCTCAGGGTCGTTGATACCGGCATTGGCGACGACCGTGTCGATGCCGTGGTGTGGACTCAGTCGCACAGCCTCGCGGAAGAAGTCGACCTGGGACTTCCACGACGTCACGTCGAGGTGGATAAAGTGGTGGTTGGGGTTGTTAGTTCCCCGGCGCACCTGCGCGACGAGCTCTTCGCCGGCTGAGACGTTGATGTCGCCGATGATGACATTGGCTCCGTGAGATGCCCACTGCTTGAAGAAACCTGCGCCGAATCCGGATGCGCCGCCGGTGATGACTATCGTTTTACCTCTGATGAAGGCCGGATCGATTTCCAGTGGGGAGGACAAGTCGAGAGGAGGCGATTGCCTCGTCAATGGGGCGATATTATATTGAGGGATGTCACTGGGCATGCTGATCTTTGGTCTTTCTCCTCACTCACGTCTCTTCCTGAATGGACTGAGAAGACAGTATCGAGTCCTTAGGTTGTCCACTCTGCCAAATTTGAACAGTCGATCTCACGCAGAAGAAGACATCCACGGATATACGTGTTATCAGGCACTGAATGTTCTGTCACTGCTCTTTTGTCAACGTTAGTAAATTCTGATCCAGTTTCACATGATCAAAACACACGTGCAACAAATTATTAACTGATGATGATGAGGACAACGAGGTCTTTTGGAGAGGGCGAAAAGCAAAGACGGAACTGGTAAATGCCAGGAAATTAAAAGGAGAAACTCATTTCCAATTTCGGTAACTCCCGGCGATAAGTATAAATCAGGCTTTACCGATTGGGCAATAATAGTAATGGAAAAGAGAAAGACAGAAACTAACAAGAACAATCAACCATGAACCTCGGCATATTTGACATACGTACCTTTGAAAGAAGAATCCCAGTGATGGATTGCTGGATCTGCCCTCGTGGAGGGATTGAATGGCGGTGCTTTAATCAAACCGGGGTTCCCTTACCCGCCTTATATTATAAATTGAGGATTCTAACTTTGACGCAGAACCCTATAATCGACCAGTGAGCGGGAACTCATGGACAAAAAAAAGAGTCCTAAGATGTGCTGCTAAACTGCCTAGGTAAAGTTACCTTGGTACATAGACATACCTGAAGTCTTAGAGCAAGAAATCCGCTGATTTGCTCCACTCAGATACCTCGCTGGTCTGTAGAGCACGTGAAGCAGGCGTTGATTCGGCCTCGATCGGCCCACTCCATCTCTGAACGACTTTCTCCGCTCCAAAGGCAGAGCCTCGTGTCTCCAGCGATCTGATCAGGAGAATCGTTTGGTTGTCATTGGTTGCTTGTGAATTGCGTTGGGCTCATCTCGGCTGTCCTCGGACGACAATCGAGCACGCCTAACCTCCGGATCAACTCCGGCCCGAGAGCTAACCACTCACCGGCCTCGTTTGCAGCGTCCGAGATCTCAATCCATCGATCCTGCAGCAGAGTCAGGCGCTGGCTGGCTGGCTATTGATCGCGATGGCAGCGTCAACAAACAGGCTGCGATGCCTCTACGCATCGCAGGCTCTGAAAACTCCTCAGCCATCATGGATGATGCTGACTCGTCACTACGCTACGGCTTCCCCAGACCCCTCCGCAACCTCTTCTCCGACCTCCGACTCTTCGCCGTCCAAGACTCCCGCACGAAGACGGACGACGACCTTCCGAGACAAGCTGAATGCAGGCCCCTCCTTTGCCGACTTTCTCAACAGCAGCCGTGACAATGCGCCCCTCGACCCTTCGGAGGCATACGCTCTCAAGACCGTCATGGTCGGACCCGCCGGTCGCAAGAAAGAGATGACTCGGTTGCCGCCATGGCTGAAGACGCCCATTCCCGACTCAGAGAACTACAAGCGCATCAAGAAGGATCTACGGGGTCTGAACCTGCACACCGTCTGCGAGGAGGCCCGGTGTCCCAATATCTCCGATTGCTGGGGCGGAAGCTCCAAGTCGGCGGCGACAGCGACCATCATGTTGATGGGCGACACCTGCACCCGTGGATGTCGTTTTTGCAGTGTGAAGACTTCGCGGAACCCGGGCCCGCTGGACCCTCACGAGCCGGAGAATACTGCAGAGGCCCTGTCCCGATGGGGTCTGGGTTATGTCGTCCTGACCAGTGTCGATCGTGATGATCTACCCGATGGAGGTGCGAGACACTTTGCGGAAACTGTCATCAAGATCAAGCAGAAGTCTCCCAGCACCCTAGTTGAGTGCCTGACGGGTGACTTCGGTGGCGATCTGGATATGGTTTCGCTTGTCGCCCGCTCTGGCTTGGATGTCTACGCCCACAATGTCGAGACCGTGGAGGCTCTGACACCGCAAGTTCGGGACCATCGGGCCAGCTTCCAACAGTCCCTCCGCGTTCTGGAGGCTGCCAAGCGTGCAAAGCCATCGCTCATCACCAAGACCTCGATGATGTTGGGATTGGGAGAGACGGAAGCCCAGATCTGGGACGCCCTCCGTCAAATCCGGGCCTCCGATGTGGACGTAGTGACGTTCGGACAGTACATGCGTCCAACGAAGCGGCACATGCCGGTCCACGAGTACGTCACGCCGGATAAGTTCGAGCTCTGGCGTCAGCGGGCACTCGACATGGGCTTTTTGTACTGCGCATCGGGCCCCCTCGTGCGCAGCAGCTACAAGGCCGGCGAGGCCTTTATCGAGAATGTGCTGAAGAAGAGACGTGCCGGTACTGGAAAGGCAGAAGAAACGGTATCGGCGGAGAATGTTGTTGCCGATGAAGCTACGAGATGATTTATTTAATCTGGATATTTTATTTCTTTTTGTACCATACACATACATCCTCTTCTTGCACGCCAACAGGAGTGAACACCTGCTTTATTCTTTCCAATGTCGCATGGCATGTTGTACTGGGTTCGGGCGCTTCACGGGTCAGCCTTGGTTGGCTTGTTGGTTTTTGTTCTCCTCTTCTCCTCCTCCTTCATTCGAATTGTTTTTGACTACGAATCCACCTTCCAACAGGTGTTCAAACGGTCATTGTGCCGTCACCAGGCAGGTTGTTCCTGGCAATCGTCATGTCGCACCCAACTTTGGGGCTTTAACAGCCATCATCCATGACAATAAATAACAATTACCGTTATGTTAGGTAGATATAGAGTTCGATTGAGCTAATTTGGATGTTTTAATAGAGATATGACTCAGGTTCGGATAGTTGGATTTATAGGAGAGTCAACCTTTTCCCTTGCCCCCACCTTTTTTTTAAAAAAAATCATCAGGACTTTTGAGAGAATAATAAAGATACATAAGACTTGATTTAACATGTAGGTACCCAAGTGTAGGTAAATATATTATTTATTTCCAAAAACTACCTATCTACCGTACCAAGCGTGGGTGTCATTGATCCAAGATGTGCGACTCGTCACGGTTCGTTGAAAATAATATCATGTCATGGATCTCCTACCTGTGTTAAAAACTCCAGCTCCAGCTCCAGCTCCGGATTTGCTGCTGAAAAAAGAAGAAAGAAAGAAAGGAAACGCCATTTTGCTTGTTTCCTCCGTTCCCACATCGTTGACAGGTTGTTCAACTGCATTCCATCAGCTTGTTTGTTTTCTTTTCGCTTTCGTAAGTATAAACTTGGTAGGATTGTTGTTGCTGAGGTAAATATGATTCAGCCTACTTGTCGGGTTTTACAGAGTACCTCACCGCAATCAGAAATGGCCCAATGGCAGACGGATATACATGGACTATCTGCATGCCTGGTCGATGTCGATTGACACCCCTGTCTCGTCTTTGCGCCAAACTTCATTTCTCAGTTGCGACCAACTCCTTGATTTCTTCCTCACTCAGCCCCAGAAGGTATAGTATATCGGTCAAATTCTCCCCGTTCAGACGCGTTGGGGCCTCCAATTGCACCTTGGTCTTCCCCCGCCAGGCAACCCCAAGCCCGGCCTCGTGCAACATGAGCAGATCGTTGGCGCCGTCTCCGACAGCCAGAGTCTGCTTGATTGGGATCGAATTCTCCGCTGCGAGAGTGCGCAGCAGGGAGCGCTTCTGAGCGGCGTCGATGATGGGATAGGACGGCACCAGGTTCCCGGTCAGAGTCTGCGTCTCAGGGTCGATCTCGAGCTGCAAGTAATAAAATCAGTCCTGGCAAAAGGAAGTTTTTATGTGGGCTGAGATGCACGTACATGATTTGCAAATGCATAGTCTAGGCCGAGCTCGCCGGCTAGCCATTCGGCCAGAGGTTGGAACCCTCCACTCAGCACGGCCAGCTTGCACCCGAGCGCTTTCAATCCTCGGCATAGTTCTCGTGCTCCAGGGGAAATTGTGATAATAGACTTGAGTTTCTCGAAAACATCGGCGGGGACGCCTTTCAGAAGGCTGACTCGAGCCTTTAGCGACGCAGAGAAGTCCAGTTCGCCGTTCATCGCCCGAGCCGTGATGGCCTGTTTTGCAATCAGCTATACTCTAGGGCTTGCGGGGAGAAAAATACCTACCGCGACTTCCTTCTCGACACCCACAAACTTGGCGATTTCATCAATAACCTCGTTTTGTATCAATGTGCTGTCCATATCGAAGACTGCTAGGCGCTTATATCGCCGGAAGACACTCTCCTTCTGTAGCACCACCTCGACGTTCCACTCCCGCTCGAATCGCCAGATATTCTCATGTTTGCGGAGATCCTCAAAAGACAGGTACTCTGGATTGGGCAATGGAGAAACCGTCACTTCGACGACTCGCGGCTGCTCCTCCTGATCCAGACAGCGATGGGACGAATTTATCCGCTGATACGGGGTATGGAGACCCTCGAGGATTTGCAAAAAGCTCGTCAGGCACAATTGCGACACAAACGGTCCATATAGATGGTCTAATGGTTCTGGTTCCGGTGCCGGAGGTTCCCGTGGGAGCTTCTCGATATCTACCGTGGGCGCAGACCCGACGGGAACCGACGGTGAGGGCAGTCTGTCACCCGATCGAGAAGCGGCTGAAGAATCCGGATGCAGGTTTGGGTGAACGGGCTGGGCGGACTTGTAGAAAATAGTTGCGACGAGCTTGGGGGTGCCTGCGGGGAGGGGATTGGGAGATTTCGGGAAGATGCTGTGCACAATCCCACTTTCCGTCACTTTTGAGGGGTCCGGACTGATTGGGTTGATGTTGAACATGCGCGGCGAGGGAGAATCGCCGGTGGTTCGGCGAACATCACTGATATTCTGCGATATAGGAGTCGCGGGTTTGTACTGTTGGTGATCTTGAATGAACGATCCGCCGGTCAGAGAGCTGTGCCGCAGCACCGGTCTCTCTTGACGAGCGGAACCCTTCGATGCCTCCATTGTCCGTAGAGGACGGGGGATCAATTCGAAAAAAAAAAGCAGACTGCACCGGTCGCCCGGTGGCTTTGGATTCGGGGCCTTTCTTCTAAGGACGGCGGTTGGAACTGGCTGAGTTGCTAGTCCGCACCGTCGAGTATGATTCTCTCGTGGGCGGAGAGTCGCCAGTGTTGCGCAGCTTGCCCCACGTGACAGCGCGGGCTGTTGGCTGGAACCTCAAGGGCCACGCAGGCTAATCGTAGCCCTGCTGATAAGATCTCCATCTCCCCCGCCTCAGCCATTTCCTACTTGCAAGCTGTTGCATCCTTTCGTCCCATCTGGTCTCTCGTTGCCTTTGTTTAATGACTAACGGCAATTCCACAATCACAGCGATGGAGATGGGTTTTTTCACACTGGGATGGTATTCTGTCAACAGACGGTGACGTCATTTCAGTAGATGTAGGCAGGATGATTGCTGACATATCCTCAGGTTGCTGTTCGCTGCCATTATTAGACTGATGCCGAGTAAGGGCCGTGCTCATCAAGCAAGATCAGCGCTTTCCGCAGGATAAATCCACCTGGAGTTATCCACAGTTTTCTCGAACGCTGTCGATACGGTGGTTGGCCTCTGCTTTGTCAGCCTGCTTATCTAATCAGCCTCCGGCAAGGCACAGCGACCTAGTGTGCAAGAATGGCGTGATTTCCACATGGCATGAGCACATCGCTGATTTTTCATCACCGCCCCCCGAAACGGCAGGCGGTCAGGCCCTATGGCGCGCTTTTTTCCCAGATTCGGGCCACCGGGCTCTACAGGGACAGTGAAAACACAGAGATTGAGTCGCGATGATGTGCTCCAGGGCCTCAGCCGAGCCCTCTGCCGATTCCGGACTCTTCCATGGGGGGATTTGTAGGCAGTCTAGGGCCTACGTAGTGTACTTCCCCCGGATACTGTTGGCTGGTTTGGCTTTTTCCTGTCTTCATATTTCTCAGCCTCTGACCTCATCATACTTCCCAGAAGATAGACTGTTAATCCTCAAATAGACTTGAGGATATCAGTTCTTTTCCTGGCCCTGACTTGAATTGTACATACGTATCCAAAAGTGGCATTTTCTTCTTCTGTCTCCGCCGTATCCAAGATGCCTGCAAAGGTACCCTCGACCTACCCGTCTGACACGGAGACGGTGGATCTCAGAGACAACGAGACAGAGTCTGGCTATGCCAGTGGCTCCTCCAGTGAAGCAAGCCTGCCAGAGGTCATTTTCACGAAAACTCATCTGCAATTCCTCAACCGCCAGTTGCAATTCCTTGAGCCCAAAGGTCAGTCATGAACCCTGGATATCTCCCCCTCCCCCCAATCGGCGGGGGCGGGGCATCTGTCTGCGTGCTCGCAAAGAATGATCATGAACTGACGAACGAGCAGACATTCTGAGATGGTGCATCACCACGCTACCAAATCTCTATCAGACCACGGCCTTTGGCCTGAGCGGTCTTGTCATTACTGATATGCTCTCCAAGCTGGAGGTCCCCCGGCCGCAGGTGGTGGACTTGATCTTCCTCGACACCCTTCATCACTTCCCAGAGACGCTTGCCCTCGTTGATCGGGTGCGCAAGCGATATCCTCACATCAACATTCACATCTTCAAGCCTGCTGGCGTCGAGACAGCAGAGGAGTTTGCTAAGAAGTACGGCGAGCGTCTGTGGGAAACGGACGACCAGCGTTACGATTGGACTGCCAAGGTCGAACCGGCTCAGCGTGCCTACCGGGAACTGAATGTCAATGCGGTCCTGACGGGCCGCCGTCGCAGCCAGGGCGGTAAACGGGGTGAACTTGATATTATTGAGGTCGACGAAGCCGGTCTCATCAAGGTCAACCCCCTGGCTAACTGGACCTTCGACCAAGTGCGGCAGTACATCAAGGAAAACAACGTGCCTTACAATGAGCTGCTGGACCGCGGCTACAAGAGCGTTGGAGACTGGCACTCGACGCAGCCGGTGAGGGAGGACGAGGACGAGCGGGCTGGTCGTTGGAAGGGCCAGGCGAAGACGGAATGTGGCATCCACAACCCGCGATCCAGGTACGCTCAATACCTGATGGAAATGGAGCGGAAGCGTCAGGAAGAAGCTCTTTCGCAGGCGCTCCAATCCCAGTTGACCACTGGCCCTACTGAGGGAGTCCAGCAATGAGCTTGATACCCTGATTCCAGACATTGTTCCTTGATGCGACTGATGGCATGACTTTTTCTCACATCTGGGTTCGTTGAGCATTTGGGACGGCGTTATTATCGCGATGACATGTTTGGTTTTTCTTGTACATACATGTTTACGGAGTAGATGGATGACAAAAATATTCATTATATTTTAGACCTGAGAACCAAGTCTCTTATCTATCCAGTCCTACACATAGTCTCCCATACACATTCGGGGATTGCGAGAGTAATCAATCCTCAGGAAGGCTCTATGACTTAAATAGACTGAACCGGTAGATGCGATTAGCAATAGTCATCATGACATGACTGGTAGTCATATTCAGCCGCAATAATATTAATGCCTTAGAGATCAAGCGTCGGTGTCCGGGATGTTCGGTGGTCTGCGTTGAGTCGGTTGACTGATCTGCCGGCACTTGCAGGGCTCGTGCATTCCTTGGCAGGGCACCCGCTTCTGTCGGGCCAATCAGAGACGTGATTGCCAGCAATCACGCAACCTGTCACGGGAATGTCGTGATTTTTGACTCCGCGGAGATGGAGACGGCCGGAGCCGCGATCGGAGCGGAAGTGGGAAACGGCTCAAAATTAAAAATACATTGGGAAAATGGAAACGCGCTTAATTGGTAATCAGTGAGATCGTGATCTACAGAGTATCTATGGCAGATTGAGTACTGTACTCCGTATCTGAAGTTCTTGATATTTGCTGCTATCGCCTTTATCCGGGGCGACAGGGATGGTTCTTTCCCGCTATGTGGGTGGAATGTGCCGTCTCCTAGGAATGTTGATTAATATTAAATCTACCTAGGTATCGAAGGAGTTTCATGGCTCTGCATTATTACTGCTTATGGTATGCAACATCCGGGGATGATGTGGATGACGCTTCAGCTTCCACGTAAGTCCAATAAATGGACAGGCGGTCTGACGACTAATATCTGAAATTTTGTAGAGAGCACCTGTCCTTGTACAGCGTTAAAGACTACGTGTTAAGAGGATATTAAAGCTGATCTCATGTCTATCAGCTGAAGCCTAGGTGCTCGAGCCTGCGCGCCAAGACTGCATGCCAAGACAGCGTACGCAACACCGCATACGTACCCCGGAGATCAGTCAGGATGAATCAATCAATCGGTGTGTTAGATTGCTGGATAGCACTGTACCACTGGTTATGCTGAGTATCCGTTATTAATCGTATACGACTTTTGTACTGTACGGAGTGCCAACAGCTTTATCTATGTAACGCCTGCAAAGGTTGAAGAAGCTCATTCGATGTCGATCTACATTTTGGTGATAGCCGATGTAGCATTTGGATGCGGGGGAAGCACGATGAAACGCCTCAGTCTCAGGCATGGGCGACTGGTAGTGGCTATAGATCGACGATAGCCCATCGAAAACTATCTGTTTCTGACACGAGGCAGGATCACGAGGAGCAGGCATTACATCCGCTGCGTCGATCCCCTTGAGGGAGGCCCATTGATCTCTTATCGTGTCCTTTGAACGGTTACATCGCGATAACGAGTGCAGAAACTTAGATTCGAGTTCTTTTCACTACTGACGATACAGAGTGTGGAATTGAAGATCGTTGGGTAGAGACAATTCTACGATCACGATCGTAACTTCATTTTCTCCATACGGAGCACATGTCAATCAGATAAGTGCTGTACGGTATGAGAACAGGCCCGGATCGGCAGGGGTGCGTCTCCGATCCAGGGATTGGACTAGACTAGGAGGCGTGCGATACGATACGTGGATGGTCCGTATCGGAGGCGAAAAGAAAAAAAAAGCAAGTACGGCGTAGTATCCAGATCAGGCCGGCACCTCCACCGGCTCAGCCAGGATGTCGTCAGCCTGGTTTGGTAATCGATTACTTATTAAATTACTACTTCCTTTTTTTCTCCTTCTGCACGGCTTTTGCGGATGGTCCTTTTAATTCCTTTTCTTCTCCGCTAGGTTGCTCCTTATAAATTCAATTGCGCTGTCGGGGTCTTCTCCGCCCTCCATTCCCCGCCTGCTTACTTGTGTCGTTCACCGTCCAGTTGCTCCCTACATACCACTTAGAGGTTGTCTGGGGACACCTACGTGAGGGAAGAGAGAATCTGATAAAGGGTGTTTGTGTTTTCTTGAGAAAAAAAAAGTCGTTTCTTCCAGCAATGGCAAACCCACCCCACGGCGGTGTCCTGAAGGACCTTAACGCGCGCGATGCCCCGCGCCATGACCAGCTCGAGGCAGAGGCGGAGACGCTGCCTGCCATTGTCCTCACAGAGCGTCAGCTCTGTGATCTGGAGCTGATCATGAATGGAGGATTCAGTCCGCTGGAGGGTACGTTGTGACTTTTTCTGACTTTTGTGTCTTCTTCGCTCTTTTCCCTGCTTTCTGTTCTTCCGCATTCTGGGCTGCCTTTGCCCATTATAGGCCAATGGCCCTTGAGAAACAATTCTTTTGCAGCAACATGTCTACAAGTAATTTAATTCCCTCGATTGCTGATATGATTGTGGTAATTCAGGTTTCATGAACGAGAAAGATTACGATGGGTATGCTTCGCCCGATCCTTTCCTCCTCTCATACAAAATACTGCAGTTGCGCCTGTCAACTCACATGTTGACACGTTGCCTGCATATGCAACAAATCCAAAGACAACAGGGATATTCTGGAGTGGTTATGAGTGGGCACTGGACAACTAGGCTGATGCTCGTTCTTCCTGTTCCAGGGTCGTAACGAATCTCCGCCTGGCGGATGGCAATCTTTTCTCGATGCCAATTACATTGGATGTCTCTCAAGAGGTCATCAATGAGACGGGACTAAAGCCGGGATCTCGGGTTACCCTGCGCGATTTCCGAGATGATCGCAACCTGGCCATCCTGACTGTCGAGGATATCTACCGCCCCGACAAGTGAGTCTTTCCATTGCCATTTTTCGTGCTGCTTCCTGGCAGGACAATCCGGGTGAATTCTAGAAAATTGGAATCCCATTGGTTCTTGGCTGCACCTGGCATCTATCCTTTTCGTTTCAAGTGTTCTCCGACTGAGGCGAGTAAGAAGACCTAGCTAACGCGGTCGCAATTCTTTGTTTTGCACAGGGCGAGAGAGGCGAAGCTGGTCTTCGGCGGTGATGAGGAGCACCCTGCGATTAAATACCTGTACAACAAGGTACATGAGTTCTATGTCGGTGGAAAGGTGGAAGCTGTGAACAAGCCCAATCACTATGACTATGTTGATCTTCGCTGTAAGTATATCTTGTTCAGATGGAGAAAGGTCTCGATCAAAGCTCAGAATTCTAACAATAATTGTATAGACACTCCCGCAGAGCTGCGCACTCACTTCGACAAGCTCGGCTGGACCCGGGTTGTCGCCTTCCAGACTAGGTATGCGTTTCCTGTTACCATAATATGACCCAAGGATGGTCAAACTGACGGCCGTAGAAATCCTATGCACAGGGCTCACCGTGAATTGACGGTTCGCGCCGCCCGCGCCCGTCAGGCGAATGTCTTGATCCACCCCGTCGTCGGTCTCACTAAGCCCGGAGATATCGACCACTTCACTCGTGTGCGTGTGTACCAAGCCATCCTCCCCCGTTACCCCAATGGAATGGCTGTCCTGGGTCTGTTGCCTCTGGCCATGCGCATGGGTGGACCGCGTGAAGCCATCTGGCACGCCATCATCCGGAAGAATCACGGAGCTACACATTTCATCGTTGGACGCGACCATGCTGGTCCGGGCAAGAACTCCAAGGGAGTCGAGTTCTACGGCCCGTATGACGCCCAGCATGCGGTGGAGAAGTACAAGGACGAACTGGGAATCGAGGTCGTCGAGTTCCAGCAAGTGACCTATCTTCCCGACACCGACGAATACAAGCCCGTGGATGAGGTCCCCCCGGGCACGAAGACCCTTGACATCTCCGGAACCGAGCTGCGGAGACGTCTTCGCACCGGTGGTCACATCCCCGAGTGGTTCTCGTACCCCGAGGTCGTCAAGGTTCTGCGAGAGTCGAACCCGCCTCGCTATGCTCAGGGCTTCACCATCTTCCTCACGGGTTACATGAACTCTGGCAAGGATGCTATTGCACGCGCTCTGCAAGTGACGCTGAACCAGCAAGGCGGCCGTTCAGTTTCCCTCCTTCTGGGAGACACTGTCCGCCACGAGCTCTCGTCCGAGCTGGGCTTCAGCCGAGAGGACCGCCACACCAACATTCAGCGGATTGCCTTTGTCGCGGCTGAGCTCACCAAGGCCGGTGCGGCAGTCATCGCCTCTCCCATTGCCCCCTACGAGCACTCCCGCCAGGCTGCGCGCGAGACGGTCTCCCAGGTGGGCAGCTTCTTCCTTATCCACGTTGCTACGCCACTTGAGTACTGTGAACGCACCGACAAGCGGGGTATCTATGCCAAAGCCCGCCGGGGTGAGATCAAGGGATTCACCGGAGTTGACGACCCGTACGAGGTGCCCAAAAACGCCGATCTGGTCGTCGATGTGTCGAAGCAGAGTATTCGGAGCATTGTGCACGAGATCATTCTGCTGCTTGAGAGCCAGGGTTTCCTTGACCGTCAGTAAATAAAGTGCGGAAAGCAGCATGCCATCTGATTTATCAGACGTGTCAGCTGATTTATCACATAAATCTATAAAGAACAAAAAAAAACAAAGTCCGGTTCTTATTATGGACGTATGAGATACCAGGTTGGATTGCATAATGGGTGACAATATTGCTGGAAAATATGTACTTGTTCATCAAGAAATAGATAGACAGGGCGTTTTTCTATAGAAACTCTAAAGCTTGTTCGAGGTTCGTACAGTACAATTCTTCCGTCTTATTTTCAAACAATGCATATGTAACGTAGCTATCACTGGGTCACGCATGCTAGACAACTCTTTTTGCTAGTGAACACTACAGGTAAATATGCAGGTGAGGAATCATATCTATACCCCAAATCTCACCATATTGGCCGTAGAGGACGCTAAATGTCGAGGGAATTAAGGCGCTCGCTGTCATTGGCACAGACGCCATCCCGTTCTGTGACCTGTCCGACATCGCAGGGCTAATTAGGTACTCCGTACTTAGTAACCCGGTATAGGAAGAATTATCTACCACCTTGCCCAGTCAGCCTTAAGCAGCGCCGATAAATGGCGCGTGCCTGGTATCTAATCTAATCACCTGCTCCATCAGTGGAGATTCAATTTTGTCTCTCCGTTCTACACAACTACGTACTTTTTAATCTATGCCCCCGCTGTAGTTAGGTGTATTAGAGACAGAAGATACCCTGTTAATTAAAATTAAAAGAAAAGACACAGCACTATACCCCATATTATTCGAGTTTTTGTGGATTCAGCAATGGCTTCTGCATCATCTTCATCGCAGTCCCTCGCGAACCCAGCCCAAATCGGCTTCGCCAAGGCTTCCTCCTACGACAAATACCGACCAGCCTACACTGACGAGGAGGCTGACAAACTCCTCACAGCTCTGCAGCTGACCGGTCGACAGGGAGCAAAAGTCCTGGACCTGGCTGCCGGAACGGGCAAGTTCACCGAAGTCCTGGCTGCTCGTCCGGAGGGGTTTGGGACCGTCGCCGTTGAGCCGCATGATGATATGCGCGCTGAGTTGGAGAAGAAGGCCCTGCGAGGGGTTCAGGTGCTCAAGGGATGGGCGAGCAGTATTCCTCTTGATTCGCAGAGTGTGAATGCGGTTGTTGTGGCTCAGGTATGTTTTGTTTGTTACACATCTGGAGTATAGATAGTAGATACTGTTGTCGATACTGAAATTGTCATCTCTATGCTCGGACTGATGCTTGTGTTGCAGGCATTTCATTGGTTAGTCTTCATATCAAAGAGGATAATTCCAATCGCGAATAATACATTGTCTCACGTCTGATCGTTTGTGTTTTTCAATATCTACAGGTTTGCCAACCTCGATGCATTGAAGGAGATCCACCGGGTTCTCAAACCTGGAGGTCGTTTGGGATTGATCTGGCATATTGAAGACTGTATGTCCTATCACGCCCTTCCCCTAATAACCGTCATTTTTTTTCCTTCCCAATCTAACCTTGGTGCCTGCCCTAGACAACGCCCCTCTATCCTGGCAACCGACAACGAAGTGGGAATCTCAGATCAAAGACATCGTCTTCGACTTTGACGACAACCATCCTCGCTTCCGGCACGATGTGTGGAGGACCATCTTTAACGAAGAAGACCAACACCTCTTCGCCAAACCCCTGAATGAATGTCAACTTCCTTTCACCATCTTCCTGCCCAAGATCACCCTCTGGGACCGATTCCGTACTCTTAGTCAAATTGCGATTTTGGAGGGTACTGAGCTTCAGGTGTGTTATTCTTTGTTTATAAGACATCTCTGGCTTTTGCATAATGTTGTTTTTTCTGGACTTGATTGTGTTGACTTGAACAGAATGTCCGAGATCGATTCGATGCGGCGCTGCGGGGCGACGATGTCGAAGTCAATGAAGCGGGTGAGGTAGCGTTGCATGGGAAAACATACTTCGCCTGGACAGAGGCCCAATAAGCAGTCTTAGTATATATATCATATGTACTTTCATTGCTCGTTCGTTCCATAATATGAGTTTATCTTGGCATCAATAAGCATCACCTCGCTCGTGTTTCGAGAACTGAGTAACACCAAGAGCCTGCAACAGGAACTGGCTTCATTGAGCATGGAACTTTACTATTGATCCAATTTACAAAAATAGCATAAATCAAATTTCAAATGAGAGTCATCAATTCAATTGGCAATGTTAGCGAGTACTGTAGATGATACGATACGGTGTTCGTGTGCAAACAGACCAAACAGGATCTCCAGACTCCCGACAACTTCAACTCGATCGGAGAACCTCCCGCAATCTGCGACAAACATCGACATCCACACAATGCTTCCTCATCGAAGCAGTGCCCGGCGAATACCGGGCCTCATCAGGCCTCTACGACCGCCCCGCGGTCACAGGAGTCCTCTGTCCGGGCCCCGACTGTTCACCAACAAATCCCAACTTCTCCTGATCACAGCTTCGCCGAATCGTCCTCAGCTGCCCTTCCTTTCCCCGCTGGCTGGCAATCGCCCTCTTCCACCGTGGTCGACCCATCTCCGACAGCACTTTGCCAGACTAATTTCCACCGAGCGGCGCGATTACTACAAACGCCGCATCACGCGCGGCTTGAGAGTCGCGCTTACCGTCTATCTGATCCTTTGTATGTTCCACTTGATGAAAATTGGCATATACCAGGAAGAGATCGAGCACAAATGGCCCACACCGCCCGAGTGGAGCTGGAAGACCCGCTGGTGTCTGCGCTCGGCAGAGGCGCTTCAACACCCGGAGGAAATCGGCAAGCTGATGACCAGCTGGCCGAAGGTTGCGGGATACTTGCGGGAGGTGATCAAACGGCTCGAGGACCCGGAAGGGGAAGGGAAAGGGATCCGGGAGCAGGGCGATGGTGGCTTTCTGGTCGAGGGGGTCGGGAAAACCGGGTATGATGTGTCCATGAAGAGCGAGCCGTGGAGAAGAGGATATTTCCAGGCCCTGATGGGTGCAGCTAAGGCGGCAGAAAACCTGGAGGGCTGGTTGACAGACTGGAAACTCCGTCTCTCTGCCCCGGCAGAGTACGTCGCTGGGCCCTCCAATCCACATCCAAAGCCTTCTCCAGCGGGGAAACCGCAGCTCCAGGAGGAAAACTGTGAACCGGCTTCAGAGCCCCCAGAGGTGTTCTACATCAAGATTCTTACTACCAATGGCTTCAGCACGAAGCAGAAAGTCGACGCCGCCCTGGCTTACGCCGACTGGTTGGACTACAAGGGCTTGAAAGGCACCGCACGGGACGTATATAACTGGGCGATGGATATCGCTGCTGCGGGACTACCCTTTGACGCTGCTCGAGTGGTTGATACCAAGACTGGGGTATTGAAAAACAATAACCAAGACATTGCTTCGGAGAACATCATGAGGGTATCCACTGCGCTCGCGGTCCACCATGCGCGATCTGGAGACCTCCAAACCGCGCTATCCATCTTCACCTCCGTTCTCAAAGCCCGACGCAGGCTGCCAGAAGACCCCAGCCCCAAACCGCGACGCCCGGCTTCCCAACCCACGGGTCACTTTCCTTTCAGTGATCTAGTGAACAAGATCAAGACCATCTTGGTCCCTGTCAAGTACCCTGATGCGCCGCCATCTGGAAATGACCCACCCGTTCGGACTGTTGGCTCCGCCTGCGAGGAAGCAGGGTTGATGACCTACATTGGGGAGATTATCTACGCGACATCCTCTCGAGAGAACGGTCTTGCGTGGACCCGGGATGCGGTGGACATGGCCGAAACCACTTTTATGGAACTCAGCAATGACCGGGAGGATGCTGCAGCCCGAGAGCGATGCATCCAGTGCTTGAAAGTTGGCCTCGACAATTGGAAGACCATGGTCCAAAAGCAGGTTGCAAAGGCTCAGAAGGAGGAGCAGGAAGCCAAGAAGAAGGCTGAAAAGGCCTGGTATGGCGGAGAAAAGCGCGTCCAGGCGAAGACGCAAGAGCGGAAGCGATGGGAGGCCGAGGAGATGATTGTCCAGGACCGCGCGAACCGATTGCTACCGTTAATCGACGACGCTGGCCTCCTGGGTCTGTGATCGGGATAATTCTCTCTTCGTATGATGAACACGCGCCTTATCCCAGAATAGCTGACTGTATATACTGGATTAATGGCAGCATGAAAAAAAACGTGTGGGATGTCATCGTGGATTGGGGTCTTCTTTTCGCATTTGGGTCGGAGTTGGTGTTTGTTGTGTGACATGAATACCAGTTGGAGATATCCACGTCTTCTTGAACAGTACAATGAACTTCTATTTGATCAACTTGAAAGTGGGTTCAAAATAAGGCTGAGAATATTCTCCAATTTATATCATTCACGTATTTCTACTCCGTATGTGCTGTTTTCTGGAGAAGTATTTTTTTTATTTTGCTCTCTCAGCAGAAGAAAGGGAAGACCTCGAAGAAAACGAAGATTGTATAGAATTACTGTCTAGATAGAGTGTCGGCGTCAAAAAAAAACCTTGGATTGGAATACCAAATGTGTACGTATCTGGCCTAGCGCGTGCCATTTTCGGGGACACAATTATTGAACAAAGTTACGTCGCAAGCCCTCACCGATCAAGTTACGGACCCTTGCCTTTAAAAGATACAATGATATTTCCGCTCTCTGACTACACCTGATCTTCCTCCGCCCTGAGGAACTGGGGGTTCTTTCTATCAGATGCGTTTACGGGAGTACAGGTTCGAAGACGCATGGGCCATTGCTGAAATCGAAGCTCTCTGCAACCTCACAGACCCTCTTGCGCTGTACTATCGCCGAATCCAGGGACACAATGGCAATGACAGTGATGGTAAAGGAGTCAAGAACGAGAGAAAGTGGGCGGCCTACGTCTCCTCGTGCCGGAGGTTCCAGGAGATGAAACGGCTTCAGCCTGGAACGGTCTGTCACGTGTTGGAGGAGGAAGTATCCTCTCTTACAGAGCAGGAAGATGGGAATGGAAGGAAAGAAGATGATGACGAGGATAATGACTCTGTTATTGTCGGATTTACGATCTGGACGAGAGTAGGCCAGGACGAGTCTGCGCGGCGATGGCAGGAACGGGGCAGACGATGGGCGACGAGTATGTGTATAATTGATTAGAAGAATAAATATGCTCCCACCTCCTCCTTGTTCCTTAATTAAGGTTACTGATCAAGCATGACAGGGCTTCGAGCAGCTGCCCACTACCTAGGCATCGCTCTCTACTATCCCTTCGATTCCACCATCAACCTAAGACACATGTCCCAGGTTCATCCCATCCTCTTTCAGCATCCTCCACCTGTGGACCCCACGCTGCTGTTCCCCGAACGCTGGGAGATCAATGCAATGTACATCCATCCCCGGTTCCAGCGACGCAGGTTTGGCACGCAGGCTCTGCAGTGGGGGTTGGACCAAGCGATGCGGGAAAGTGTCCCCGTGCTGGTCAAGTCCACTTCCCAGGGGTATCGCCTGTACCATCGCGCAGGCTTTCGATCCCTTGGGAGGCTGGATTTCCGGGGCTTGTTTGACCCTGGTGAGCCTGGGATGCATGTGATGCTCTGGGAGCCTGGATGAACTGCCATCAAAAGATATGCAACACTCTCAGGGCTGATCATCTCAGGAGCTGTCCTACTGTACAGTACGTATGCCGAGAAGTCATGACTTGAGGTTGTTTCATGTCCTGAGCTTACTACATTGCAGTGTTCCTCTTCACCCGTCATTCCATTGTCCATATCTGGTTCTCTGCAAATACGCATCGACGTGGTGCTCGAGGAAAGACGATAATGTCCCTACTTATAGACTACAGGTTGCCATCCGCCACAGCCTACAGGCGCAGTGCATTATAGAGACGACGCGAGTGTTCTGTGGAGCCAAGCAGAGCAGAGATTCGATGCCGTGGGGTGCCGAGTCCAGCAGGGCGTTTTACACATCTCAGTCACTGTGAAAAGCTTTGGTTATTACATAATCGCAGGACTTCCGTGGGCTTCCGGCACGGGCCAGGCCTGGGTGGTTCGTCCCCCGCGGCGGACTAATCAGAAGCGCGGGATCTCCATGTTCTCCGGATCCGGAGTTCGCGGCCATGGAGCGCCCGCCTCATTATGCAATTCCATCCGCCTGCGCTGGCCTCGAGAAAATTCGATTTGTCATGTGGCCACTCAGTTCGTCGGCTTCTCTTCTTCCTTGGGTAAGGATGTACGACGGCGAACGAATCGTATTCTCCTTGTGCACCGCATCGCTGACCGCTCCTCCACGCTTGCCAGTCCAGTCCCTCCAACAACCCTGAGCATTCGAAGGGCGTACTGTCTTTCTCAGCCATGAACGAGGCGTTTCCGCAGTAGCGATACACAGAGATATCGTTTTGTCGCCCGGGGATGCCGAAGAGCTCGGCAAATGGCCGGCATAGCCAGACCCGTATGTCTCGGAGACAGTGGCAACGGTCGACTGAAGAAGGGACCACAGGATGGAGAACACCACCAGAAATCTCCAATCCCCGCGAGGCAGCCCCCGGGGCCCCGTGATGTCCTGCAGCAGCGCGAACTTGCACGAACCGGCCCGACGGAGCTTTCCAGGTGATTCCGAGCCGGTTTTCATTGGCCTCACGCCTGTCGCTGGCCCAGTGCCGGGCCCGAGTTGACCTCATGAGCGCCTTCCTCTTTGCGCGCTCTTTCCTCGAGGTGGCTCACGCTGGGCCATTCATCTCGCACTGCATATGCGCGTATAAAAATGGCCCTTGCCCGGCTGCCCGGCCTTAGGACATTGCATGGACATACACGCACGCACATAGATACCCCCATCCATCTTATCAGGCATCACACTTAGGGTTTATCTGTCCATCTACCACGCCATTCGCGATTCTATAGATTAATATTTAGTCGAGTCTCGACGAGGATCCGATCCATGGGGCTCCCAAAGTTGGGGTTGCCTCGATTGAGGCCGGATACCCATTTCGGAACGCCAACGCCAACTGATGGCGAGAAAGGCCATCATTTCGTCGACACCCCGATCCCTCTCCTGACATGGCGCTCCTTTATCATGGGAGTCTTAGTCTCAATGGGCGGGTTCATCTTCGGCTATGACACCGGTCAGATCTCAGGCTTTTTGGAAATGGACAACTTCCTGCAGCGCTATGGCGAGCCCAATGGCGATGGACAGTATCACTTCACCAACGCACGTTCCGGAGTGATAGTGGCTCTGGTAAGTGTCTTTTCTGCGAACACTCTCCCTCTTGTTCAGGGCTCTGACATGGAATGATTCCTAGCTCTCCATCGGCACGCTGATGGGCGCGTTGGCTGCTGCCCCCATTGCAGATCGCGTCGGACGCAAATGGTCCATTAGCGGGTGGTGCGTGATCCTCTGCGCCGGCATCACGGTGCAGATATCTGCTCCAGTTGGGAAATGGTACCAAGTCGCCTTGGGCCGTTGGGTGGCAGGCCTCGGCGTGGGTGCTCTGTCTTTGCTCGTGCCTATGTACCAGGGTGAATCCGGTCCGAGGCACATTCGAGGGTCGCTGATCAGGTATGGGGTTTGTCTGGAGCTTTTTCTCTTTAGATGTAGCTGACTCTTGCAGTACGTATCAACTCTTCGTCACCCTTGGTATCTTCGTCGCCTACTGTATCAACTACGGAACTGAGGCCCGTAATGACACCGGATCCTGGCGCATTACCATGGGAATCACCTACGTGTGGGCGATCATTCTAGGAGTGGGCATTGCTTTCTTCCCAGAAAGTCCTCGCTACGATTATCGCCATGGGAGAATCGAAAGAGCCATGAACAGCCTGGCCAAGGTCTATGGCATCCCGACAAACCACCGTGCCCTGCACCAGGAACTCGAAGAGATCAAGCAGAAACACGAAGAAGAGATGACCCGTGGCAACGTCACCTGGGGACAGATGTTCCGTGCTCCCCGAATGGCATACAGAGTTGTCGTCGGGGTGTCTTTGCAGGCTCTTCAGCAGCTAACCGGTGCCAACTACTTTTTCTACTACGGTACGACTGTCTTTAAGGGAGCTGGTATCCAAAATAGTTATGTCACCCAGATGATCCTTGGTGCCGTCAACTTTGGTACCACATTCCTGGGTCTCTATTTCATTCAGAACTTTGGCCGTCGCAAGTCTCTCATTGGGGGAGCCCTCTGGATGTTCATCTGTTTCATGGTCTTTGCCTCAGTGGGCCATTTCTCCTTGGACCGGGAGAACCCCGAGAAGACGCATTCTGCGGGAGTTGTCATGGTTGTCTTCGCCTGTCTCTTTATCCTGGGATTTGCAAGCACATGGGGTCCAATGGTGTGGGCCATTATTGCTGAACTCTACCCATCCGAATTCCGTGCACGAGCAATGTCGCTGGCGACAGCATCGAACTGGCTGTGGAACTTCCTCCTGGCATTCTTCACGCCTTTCATCACCAGTGCCATCGACTTCCGATTCGGGTACGTCTTTGCCGGCTGCCTTTTCCTGGCCGCGGCCCTGGTGTACTTTGCCGTCATCGAGGGCAAGGACCGCACTCTGGAGGAGATCGACACGATGTACGTCATGAAGGTGAAGCCCTGGGAGAGCTCCAAGTTCGTGTTCCCCGAGCGGACGGTCTACAACGAAACCGGTGGTAGTTCCTCCGACAAGGTCGAAGATATCGGAGCTTCCCACGTTGCCGACGGGACCGTGGAACTGGAGGAGACAATCTCATAAACCAACCAGCCGGTCATACAATGAACGATGTGGAGATACATCGAAGTCATGTATCATTATCCATGTTTTTCAGCGTTGTTGGATGACTGAAAAGTTTTTTGTGTGTGTGTATGAACGATAGAACGATAGCATGCATCATGTTATTTGCATACCCATACCCATAAATTCGTCTTCGTCCACAAACTTAGTTGGTTTTGCATTCATGATACACCTATCTATCTATTCCATATTCTACACATGTCGATCAGGAGCTATGTTGGGGCAAAGAAAAAATTTATGTGAAGTAGATATTTATCTATCCATCGCAGCTATTCGACCGCTATGTACTGTACATACATGCATATAAATTGCCACCCTTTCCAAAGGAGCTTGTTTGTTGAAGTCGCTCGCCTCTTATGTACAGTACCTAATTATTTGCAATTGCAGATTTCCTACCCACATACCCACCTACGTAGTATCTACATACCTACATACAGTACAAGTGTCGTACGAGTATGTACGTACACACATGCATACAGACACACAACTTTACAGGAAGAAAAAGAAAAAGTATCAAAAGACCTTTCAGAAGGTTTCCTCAAGATCTTCTGATTGAGAAAAAAAAAGTTGGGGAAAAGAAAAGAGAATGATGATCTCTGATCGGATCGGATATCAATCACCCCGTGCTTCCCCTTCCACCACCGACGACAGTCCCATTCGCCAACGTGATTGTGAAATTGGCAAAGTTCAATACAAAGTCCGTGGGCGTGTTGGCACCAGAACCAGCGGGGTTCATGCTCATGTTCATGTCGGTGGAATTACTCTGGGGCATATCGGTCAGAAAGGACGCGATATTGCTTTGCGCGGTAGTCGCCGCGAGTAGATCGTCCGTTTGCTGGAAGATGAACAGCACGGCAATGCGCGCGAAGTCGAGGACGCGGGTTGTCAGCGACGACGACGACGACGAGGAGGATGGTGAAGAAGATGAAGATGACGCTGAAGAGGTCGTCGATTGAGAAGAAGAAGCGCTGCTGGTGGTACCTGTCTGCATCGGTCCTCCCATTAGCATCAGCGCAGTGACGGTTGCGCTACTAGCAGATGACGACGGTGATGGTGTGCTAGTGGCTGTCGGTTCGAAAAGAATCCCGTTGCTGGTGGCAACAGGATTGCCATCATCACGCGCCCCTAAAAAGACCGCCGCGGTGGGAGCCGAAGTTGTTTGCGCTTGTTCAGAGCCTGCGTCTTCGACGGACGTTGAATCCGAAGAATCCGAATCCGATGATAATCCACGACGACGCTTCTCACTAAGACCGTTAAATGATACCAGAGCGTTTTGGGTCGTGCAAGAAACGTTATTCGCGCTGAACAAGCTGAGGATCTCCGCCTCGTTCAGCGGGATGTTGAAGCTGAACTGCGATTCGCTAAACAGCCGTGGAAGAGCGCTGCCCACGGTGGCATTGCGATCGACCGAGGATCCGTCACCGACTTCAGTTGTCGTGCAACTGGCATCATCAGAGATGGTACATTGCCGGCCGGAAAATCCATTCACGCAGACGCAGGCACAAGTGTTGTTATTGTTCATTACACTGACTCCACCGTTCATGCACGGTAGCGACTGTTGGCATTGGTTCGTGTCTGTTACATTGCTGCTGTTGGCTGACACGGTATGATTATGGCGAGGAATGACCACCAGGACGACAGGTAGAATGACCGCAGCGGCAACGAGAAGTAGAGCAACAATGGACAAGAAGATGAAGGCCGGCAAGGGCATCCCGCAACAGCGTCGGCGAGCGTTCGAAGGCGTTGACGTCTGGCTCCGTGTCGTTGCTTCCCGCGATTGCAAATCGCGTGCTTTGGACTTCTCAGGAGGACCATATGGCCAGAAGGTCTTCTCGGTGTTTGGAGTATCGTTACGGGGAGGGGGGAACGAAGCCAGAATATCAGAGATCGACCCAGAGCCTCGATCTTTGCCCGCTTCTCAAGTATTAGTCCACCAATCCAGGCCAAACAGCGCCAGGTCAACTACTTACGACTTCGAACGTTGGACTCCCGGCCGCCATTTAACATGTCCAAGAATCCGAGCCTGCTTGCCGTCCTTCCCCGTTCTAGATTTGAGGCAAGCATGGTGGCGCGTTTGATCAGATCAGTCAAACTCGTCAGGCTTCCTCTGGTCTCTGCTTCCCGAACAGCATCTACATTCAACCGGGGAGGCCGGCGGGATTCTGGTACTTTGTCGCTCATTCCCGGAGCTGGGGTTGCGAGTCCGCCGACGTTTCGTTCTGTTCCTGAAACATTACGGTCAACCTGCTCGGGAGCCTTCGGCGGAGAGTTACCCGAAACGACTGGCGGTTTCTCCAAGTAGAACCCGGAGGAATCAGAAGAATTGGAGGAAATAGTTGATGCTCGACTGTCTAGGTCCACGGTTGATGGGTAACGCAAGCCACCGTCGCCGGAGTCGCGGCGTGTCGCTCCTGCAGACCCTTGATTTTCTGTAAGAGCAAGTCCAGTTTCTTCAGTCACCCGGTGGTTACTCTGCTCAGGTTGCGATTTGTTGTTGATGGTGCGTAGAGCAGGTTTACCGCGCTTACCCAGACTAGCCTGCCTAACAAGAGTTGGCTCTTGGTCGTCGTTGGAGGCATCTGATCTTCGAGAATCATCGTCCGAGTCCGAGCCCGAGTCTGAGTCCGAATCCGGTGTAGTCTCGTCATCGTAGTTTCCTAGAACGTCCGACTCAGGCGGTCCCGACCCCCAGCTCAATGGAATAACTGCGCTTGACGCGTACGAGTCCTTCTTGGGCGAGTTGTCGCTAGACTCCTCTGCAATAGGAGAGACGAAGGGTCCGGGCCCACGAGAATAATACGATGACGGGCCTCGTCTCGACGAGGGCGGAGGAGCGAGATTCGCATTGCGTCGAGGAGGCGCAGTCGGAGCCTGGTTCGTTGCAACTGGTGGTGCGGGGATATTTTCCGATATATCAGTGAGAGCTTCAGAGCGGTAGTCCTTGCCAACCATGGCAGTCGGGCTGACATAACTGTCCCTCTCATCGGAAGTTGGCAACGGCTGTCGCGCTTGGGTCGGCACTGCTGGCTCATTTTGGAGTGGAGATGGAGCATCGCCCGGGCGTCTAGGTCGCAGAGGGGGCGGGCCTCTTGGAGTAGAAGAATTGCTTGGAGCAGGCTTTCCCTGCTGCGCCATTGGCACCGTATTATTAGATCCAGTTGGCGGCTTCCCTCGGGGCTGGAGGCCTATGGAACCTGGAGACTGGGCGTTGTTTCCATATGGGGATTGTGCCGGCAGTTCTCTGCGCACCCCGGCTTCCAGCAGTTCGCGTGCGCGTCGAACTGATCCTCCTGCTGCTGCTGCCTCTTCCCTCCTGCCAGGGCCACCGCCAAAGCCGGGAGGGACTTGTCGGTTTTGGCTCATTGGTCCACCCCCAGGTTTGTTGTCTCAATTGGATATCTGCTACAGGTTCACGACACGTCAAAGAAGCACGGACGCTATGTGCAATCGTCGACGCGTGACAAGCTGAAGCATCGAGCTAGAAGACCGGAAGGAGTTATATCACTCCGTTACTGCTGTAAATGTAGAATGAAATAGCTAATTCGGGTCGACGCCAGGATCGCAACTTGGCGGAAGCAGAGACTGTAAACGAGTGACAACAATCGCCGATGATTCTACCCTAAAGCAATTCGAAGAGTTGTTCTGCCGGGGAGTAGTTGACTAGGTCCGACGAAGTGAAGGACGCAGTGAATATTCAATGAAACGAAATGAAAAAGTCGACAGTATGCAGACCTCGGCTGCCAGAAAAGAAAAGAAAATGGAATGAAGATACGGCATTCAATGCCTGAAGAAGTGAATGAAATGGATCAGCAAATACAAGACCAAGAACTTTCAGCTCGAAGGAAACATGGGTTGGCCTGGCGGTGGCAGTCACCTGCGAAACATCAAACTGGCAATGTCTCACTTGGTGCGTAGTTCGCTGTATGATCGAACGCACCAAGGCAGAGAAGACGACAAGCCTATTCACATCTCACAACACCCCATGGCTCCCCGGAGAGAAAGAAAAAAAGAACAAGGAGAAGAGAAAAGAGCGTCTAGCTCGAAGAAGGAGAGCCTCGAAGAAGGAGGGAAGTTGAAGGTTGTCTACCGCGCGGTTCTGTCGAAGCCAGCCCAACAGAAAGTAAGTTGTCTGAGGCGCATAATTTTCTCCAAAACTGGTTGATATTATTATTGTTATTATTAACGCGGAGCCTGGCGCCCACTAGTTAACGCCTCACTGAGTCGGCTTGTCTAGAGTGTCGCGACTGTCACAGCACAGGCAGGGGTCCTGGTGACTTAGCTAGCGATTGGTCTTTGGTGAAGATAACAATAAGGAATAGCTTCGAGGAGTCGCATTGTCCCAGATCTCGGCGCCACGAATCATACTTTGCGGATAGTATGATTAAATTATTAAACGTGCTCTGCAATGAATCTGTCTTTGTATGCCCTGCGCCACCCAACCGACAAGGATGATGAATCCGCCCGTGCCGAATCCATTACGACGGTCCTTGGCAGCTGAATGGCGTCTTCATCTCGGCGTAAATCACCAGCATTATCGAGAGGAAGGGACGTCATTGGGGGATCGAGGAGTGCAACGATGGAGACTGGCCAAGAGCCCGGCGAATCATGCCAGCTGGGTCTGGACTTCCGGCTCTGTTCTCGAATCCTGGATAGCGCCGGGCAGCGGGCGGGCGGTATTGGCGCGGGTTCATTGACACTGGCAAGGGCATGGCGACGGCGTGGTTTCAGATGGCCCTTGCGCCTGGCTAGTCGTGTCTCATCGACAGCATGAAGCGGGGCTGAGATGGACCGCTTTCAACGGTTAATCCATCGTCGCTGCGCGTCATCACAGCAAGTCTGTGCACTTGGTGCAGCTATCAATGACCCGGTTACTCCGTACGGAGTACTCCGTGGAGTGATAGTCAGCTTCCTGACATTGATGGTAATGGTAGACTGTCCTGGAATCCGAAGCGCTGTCCCATGGTCCACTCCAGCACTAACAGCACGTGCCGTGCACGTTGCATGTGGCTATTGTTCTGCTCCACCTCAAATGAGTAGAAACCATGGGCCAAGATATATCCTCTATTTAATAGAACCCACAATCAAAATCAGTGCGTTTTACTGATCACTCTTCCATTAAGATGGCACTATGTATATACGCTGATGGTCTGCAATGGCCCAAAGCTGACGGAATGGACTATTGATTTCTACTCCTCCTCCTGATAACTCAGCAGCATGTAAATCAACAAGCATAGTCTATAGTATATATATTATTATCAGGACTCCTAACTGGCCTAGGTACTTTCTGAGCAAAACCCCACAAATAACTGCTGGCACGGTGCACGGCCCCAAAGGCTAGTTTCAGCCACTTGCAACCAGCCACTGCAGACCTCTGCCTTATTGGCTCTGATGCTCGGGTACTTTTACTGCTGATAGCGATAAGCAATTCTAAAGATGATGAACGATGCCATATTGACCTTTTTTCAACAATTTCCATCACATTATTTAACTTGGATTACCTTCGACAGATATATTGATCTCTCTGGCGCAAGCTATCTTTGGAGCAAATGAAAGCACCAGCAGATATCTGTTGGGCTCGCTAAAGTGTTCAGAGACTGATCTTGTGAGTGAATACTATTCTATGTGGGCAAAGTCTTCGTATTTTTCAAGTCATGCATATTGGCTAGGCATGGATATTTCCTTGTTCAATTGCCAGTGTCGTGCTGATCAACGTCCTTCCAACATTGGAACAACCCCAAAGCTGCGTTAATATAATTGACCATTTCACACAGGCCTCCTGTTCAATCCTCACGAGATTATTTGTGAATGAATTGAAAACTTGACTGATCTGCTCCTGTAATAGAATCCTCTTTTCAGGACACCTTGCAGGTCTAGAAAAGCATCATTAGAACTCTTTGAGCTGGCAAAGGAGACAAAGAAAATATACCACCACTCATCTGCCATGACGTTATCAGTTGACCACGTCACGAGTCAGACAAGTGGAGGATTTCTGGCTTGAGAAACAACTCCACTCGTCGGAGTTGATGTTTGATTTGGCGACAGCAGCGATCTATCGTGAGATAGATGCGACCAAGCTGTCTGCGCCGCAATGATTCTCGTTACCCCGCAGCTGCCGGCTTATTGAAGTGGCAATTCTCCTCCAGATCGCTCGTAGCATTCGATGCCAGTACATAAAAGCGTATTCTGAAAACTGCCAACAATCTTTCACACTCTGGTCGAAGCAAGCCACAATGTCTTCAACCGCCCAAGAAGGCCCTGCACCAGCTGCAGCCGCTGTCCCACTGCAGGGGCAAACCATCGAGGCCCAGGTAATATAAAAACTTCTATTGATCCTGTGTCATGCAGAGTGTGAATGTAGCTTGCTTACTGATAAGTGACACAGTGTCATTTCTGACGCCGATTCCACCTTTGGTGATACGTGCGGAGCCCATTTTGAAGCACCGTCCAGGTCAATATAAATTTCTGATGGTGGAATTTATATATAGTGATTCTGCTTCTTTCACCACATCGCTTGTGTCGAGTGTGCTTGACTATGTGTATGTTTCAGACCTCTCCGTGAAGCAAGCGCTGCTAACAGTGGAAGGGCTCCAGATATGAGGTATTTCTTCGCAAGTATACCATGGGCGAAGTATATGATATAAGACTCGCGACAGAATGGCCGGAGATACCACCGATTTCGCGAAGGCGAATATCTCTTTGTCAGTAATGCAATAAGCAAGTGGACAGCTAGCTCTCTGCTGACTATGGCTGAAAGCCCAATGATGAGGCCGAGCAAGATCGCCTGGATATGTTGCACCACATCTATCGTCTGATGCTGGGCGGCGGCCTTTACAAGGCACCGCTCCCTCGCTCTCCACAGCGCATTCTCGATTATGGAACAGGAACAGGCATCTATGCCCTTGATATCGCCAAGTCAGTGATCTACACCTCTAACAAGACCAATATTGACCGAAGCTTGCAGCGAGTTCCCAAGTGCAGAAGTCATTGGTGAGAGTGGTATCGCATCAGTCACGGCCCAGAGTTGCAAACGATTGTCTGGCGATTGTCTGACATGAATGTGACCTAGGGTTACACCGAACTGCCAGTTCATCGTTGACGATGTTGAAGCTGAGTGGCCGTATGGGGAAGGTCAAGGATTTGTCTACATCCACCAACGCAATATGGTGGGAAGTATTTCGGACTGGGACAGGTTGTTTAGCCAAGCCTTCAAGCACACAAAGCCAGGTTGCTATATCGAGCTGCAGGAATTCAAGGTCTGGTTCCATTCTCAGCACGGCGAACTGCCGGAAGACTCGCAGATCCAGCGTTGGCAGCGTATCCTGGTTGATGGGGCAGCATCGTTTGGAAAACCTCTCAACGTCGCTGGACAATTGTCGGATAAATTAAAAGCAGCAGGCTATGTGGATGTGCAGGATGACGTGTTGAAGGTATGGATATATTGCATATCACGATGGTCTTCGGCGCCGATGGACGAGTCAACTTTGACAATTGAACGTCCTGCCAACTTACGCACAACACAGGTACCGATTGGACCTTGGCCCACAGACGCAAAACTGCGACAAATTGGCCGGTATATGCAGGTTCACGCCATTGACTCCGTCGAATTTTACTCGCGTCTTGGGCTGGACGGAACTTGAATGCCGCGTCCTAATTGCCAAGGTGAAGGAGGAATTCAAGGACTCCGACAAGCAGCTCTTTGTATATACACATTTTATCTACGGAAGGAAGCCTGAGTCCTGATCCATTGTGATAAATTTCCCCTGCAATTGGATTCTGCTTCTAATATCCAGAGTATTTCAATGGCTACGCAACTGTCTGGTATGTTAGCAGATTCGATATGTCGCAGAAGTTTGTCTATTGATTTGACGCACTGGATTACACCCTTGCTCCTTCTCCTAGTATGTATGGCAGTGTTGTTAACCACGTTGGACAGAAGGGGGCCGACTACGGGTCAGCTTAGGGCTTTGAAGGGTTTATTTTGACATTGACGTCCTGTTTTGGTAGCAGGGGTCAGTCCGCTGCCACATCCACTGATTCTTGTGTTCTATGCTATGCGTCTGTGATCTTCACCTTTCAAGTATATCATCTGCCTCACCCAGCCAGGTGAAGAAATAATGAGGTGCTCGTAGATGCCTAACAATGTCCTAGACCTAGGCCTATAACTAGGTACCCTGGCTTGATCTATTGATATCATTTTAATAATACTCTTGACAAGGAATAGAGCGTACTGGACGACTGGGGCCAGAGGTCCCCAACATACAGCATGATCTTTGGCCTGAAAAATAGTAATATTTTAGACTACCAAGGCGAGCCGTTTTAGCGTTCTAGAACCACGATTTATCTTGGTCGACTGCATCAGGTTCTAGGTCTCTTCAGGCCTAATTGGGGGCTGGGAAAGAAAGAGAGATACTTGGGAGTTGGAAGCTACGCTGACGCGGGCATGGCCCTTCCTCATGTTGCTGCCTCCATAAAACAGTGCCTTCCTTCCGTAAATAATCATGACCAAAACAGCAGGTAGGCCATCCGTTAGGATACGAAGATGCACAACTCGTATCTCCTCGTTCTCCTTTGCGGTATCAGTATTCGCAGCTCCAGTGTACCTTAATTCTGCTCTTGAGCCGGCATATGCCTTGACCACAGTCTTAATTCGAAGAACAAGATTCCTTTCGTTTTGCAGTACTATCATATTGGTGCATTTCATTGTCTGACCGCGGGGATGAATAACTTCATGGCGGCAGGTAAGACAGAGCTCTAGCCTTATCAGCCCCAATGGCAGTATAGGAACAGATGCTAAGAATAGCCATCTAGACTCGGGCTCTGAAGGATCCGGGACAAGCAATTCGAGAAGCCTGACGGAAATGGAAGACCAGCAGCTCGGTCAGAAAGACGCTGTTTTGAAAACACCCGAACGATCAGCCCCCAACATTCGGCGAAAAAGGATACAGGCATCTTCATTGGCGCGCAAAGATGGCTCTCCGGGCCATTCTGTGCAAATGAAACGGATCTTCGAAGAGTCGCACGAGAAGTTGCAGGCGCAGCATTGCATTGCATTCTCCTCCTGTTCGGCTCAGCCTACGAAAAGCCATGTGCGACCCTGGAACCCGATCAGGACCAATCCGCCCTCTGAAGATGTTGGAATCACCACGTGTGATCTTGTTGACACAAATAGTATCCTGGCTCAGGCCTGCTCCTTGTCGCCGGCACTGAGATCATCACCAGCGCTACGAACAAGTTCAGTGGACGTTGGTGTCTCGTCGGCAGCATCGGTTACTATGAAAACCGATCGTTCCCATGCGAAAGAGGCCTCCTGCGGGACGGAAGACTTTCCAGTTGATAAACGCAATTTACGCGGCCAACTTAAATCCCATGGCAGTTCGGGCAGCCAAGCCCAAGACAGCTCACTACAAGCAGATACTGCAACTTTGGGAAACCCCTGGCTGCTGAACATTGACACGTGGCTAGATACAGTCGCAAAGGAAGCTATCCAAGGAGAGTGCAGGAATACCGCAACAATAGGATCTGACCAAACGCTAGCATTGTCGGACCTGGACATCTGCCTCAGCCGTTTTCAAGGCCATTCGCCGAACGGCTCCCGTTCTGCGTCCTCAGACAGCAGCAACAAGGAGAACCATTCACCAGAAGTCGGCTCGTTGAAGAAGGTTCTACTGTGGAATCCTCGAGAGTCCATCTCATTTTCTCGAAGTGACTCGTTGGCATCCAACGCTTCTGAGCCATCCGACACGTTCTATAATGCCTACCCTCGGGTACCTCAACCGTCTCCGACTACCCCTGTTCTTGCTTGTGAGAAAAGACCTTGGCATTCGGTAGTTGCTGGCTCAGCGAGTCAAAGTATTCCTTCACTCAGACAATCTCAACTTCGATCTTCACTTGGTCGGGCTGAAGTGGAGTCACTCAGTTATGCTAGCTCCACCTCTTACCGCGATATCCTCTCAGCGCAGCAGGTCGATATTGGTGATGATGGCAAGGACAATCCACAAAGTTCTGCAGAAGACTGCCCGGATAGTGTGGAAAACGAAGTTGCAGCCCTGAGCCCTCACGTTACGCCGTATCGCAAAGGAAAGGCGCCGAAGAGGCCGCGCCGTCCGAGCTATTATGACTCTGATATACTGTTCAAAAAAGGCTCTCAGGAGGAAGACGTATCTGCGTGAGGACAAAACGCATCTAGCGAAATTGAAAATGCTAATAACGATTGCATCAAGAATCGGACAAGCCGATAACAAGGAGGGTGCAGCGGCAGACCGCCTCTGGTTTGTAGTCAGCGCATGAAGATTCGCAGCGCTCAGCTTCGTATTCGTCATATTTCCTTGTCATCATCTTTATCCCCTTCCCCGGAAGCGGCTGTCACGAGAATGAATTGTCTCTGCTCAATCCTTCTTGGTCATTGGTGGCTTCATCAAATGTCGCACATCCTTTCTGCAAATGCGTCCATCCTTCATTTTAAAAGACAATCAGCATTCCACATATCTTATATGCATGCTTCCTTGCTGAAAAGGAAAGCACTCTCCTTTTCTAAGCTTTCTAGGCTGCCACATGTGGCGCACTCCCCAAACTTTGCTGCTCAAGGGTGAGCCAATGAAGCAATATTGCTGCTGTTTCAGCTTCTAGGTCACAGGATGTCCTGTATTTGTAGTGTTCGCGCATCACTAGAAGATTGAGTTCAATTGTGAATGGTATTGCACGCTTATTCCGGTCTCTTCTTCGAAGTCATTTGCTTGTATGAAAGGGAAATTCGATCCGTCTTGCGGATTGGCTATGATAATCTGATCTCCTTCCTCAATTTATGGACGTGCTCCTCGACTTGCCGCATCTCGTGTATTACGCTCGCCAGTTTCGGGATGTTGCCCTCAATGGCCTCCGTAAATGATCGCTGTGCGTTCTTTAATGATGGGGGAACCAGAATCCCATACCATGACAAGGGATCATCGGAGCGGAATAGTTTCCTGGGGGGCTTGGCGGACTCTTCTCTGGTTTCCTGTTCTGTTTCTGGGGGCTCTGACGACGTTGAAGGTGTTGGAATGTTGCTGGTTTCAGGACTGCCTGGTCCAGACGTCGTGTCTTTATCTTCTTGTTGCTTGCCGGTGCTGCTCACGTTCGTATCACTTTGCTCTGCTTTATCCCTCTGGCCTTTTTCATCTTCACTCTCCTCCTTGCGAGAAATTACAGGCGTGTACTGAACCTGATACACAAGCGACGTACTAGCCGACTGACTGCTCTCCGTCTCCTGATCCGGAGTCAACGAGGGAGTTTTCAGCAACCTTAGAAGAGTACATTCACGCTTAGTTGCTTTCCCTCTCTTCAATTACATCAACTGCTCAGAACTTACAGCCTCCGCGTCGCTTTCATCCGCTGGTCGTAATAATCCTCGCCATATCTCCGCCCGGGAGGAGAGCAATAATTCGCATGAGTGAGCGAAAAGAAGCCCTGCCAGTCCCACAGGAGTCAGAAGGTATCTGCCATCGGCAAGCAGTCTATCGCAAGGGAAAAAAAGCTTTCTGACGAAAACAGACAGAATGAAATCATAGCGTACCGATGACAACTGCTTGCCTATTTCCGCCTGCAACGTCTGGTGGCGGTCAAGCAGGTGCAGATAGCGCTCGAGAAGTGAATCGAGGAGCAGGACTTGATCTTGATCTTGGGAGGTCTTCTTTTGATCCTCAATTTGTCGCTCCTCAGAGGCCTGCCGGGAAAGAGGCGGTGTTGGAATCTGTGCCATTTGATTTATGTACGTATTCTTCGATCCTTCTTTTGCGACTTGCGCCAGTCGGTAGAACCGGGCGCGATCTTCGAGATGTTTGGAATCTTGGGAGAGACAGGCTGTCTTTATCTTTCCATACAGTACTTCTGGAATAACAGCTCGGTTTTATTTGCAATAATTGACTGTACTGAAGGTGGTATACAACCAGTAGAAGCCCTCGGAGATGGTCTCCCAAGACAGCTATGACGTTCCAGCTCGGGGAAGATCTCCCGGAGCGACTTAAAGGCCGAACTCTGCAGAGGTGCGGAGCTCCCTCAAGGCTATCTCCGTCATTTGCGACCCGCGACACCGAGAAAAAAAAAGCCGGTAACGAACTCGCCAGGCTCCAGCTCATCGGCATAGGACTCTGGCTCCTTTGCTATTACGACATTTCTGTTTCTCTGTTGGTCTGCCCCGTTTTCCCCTCTTCTGCCTCCTTCATCTGTCGTGTCATGTTGCTGACCAGACTATCAATCCCTTGCCAGTTTTTGAGCGAGCAGCATCGCCCCTGATGCGCCACCTTCGTTATTGCTGTTACTTCAGGTATTCAGTGCAGTAGTACGTGGGGAGTCTTTTTTTGCGGGAAATCAATTCTTGTATGCAAACCGGCCGATAGAACCGCCGATTTTTTACTTTCGCCTCTCGCTCATCCGACTCTCCTGCAACCGACTCGGCCATTTTTAGTCTGCTCAGACGTCTGACCAGCAGCGACCAACCGATTCTCGTCCCTTTTCACAGTTAATTTTTCGACATCTCCACTCCTCAGGGTCCCATTTCTTGCAATCATGTCTGTGGCGACGATAAATCGGGACACGGCTTTTCAGGTCCGGTCCTTGGTACGTTCATTCCGCGCAGATTCCATGGTCGAATCCAATTGGAGGTCGAGAATTATGGGGGGGCTGATTATCTCTGAAAAAACAGTTCCGCTCTCTGTTGCGTCAGTCGTCACAGTTCTCCCACTATAACTTCCGGGAGTATGCTCGCCGGAGGACAAGGGACGCATTCCGCGAACATCAGAAGGAAACCGAGGAGCGGAAGATCCAGGAGTTGATACAGGAGGGTCTGAAGAATTTGCGGATGATGAAGGTCAGTTCGTCTGTCCTTGAGCGTTACAGAGGCGCGCGCATAGCCCCTTCACAGCGCTGAATAGCATTGCGTATCTTGATTATATGTAGAGACTGATTATCTGTACAGAGGCAAACAGCAATCAGTCAGTTTTACCAGCTGGACAAGCTGGTTGTTGAAGGGCAGAAAACGGTATGTTAAGACTATTCAAGGCTTCTTCCAAGTATCATCACAGGAAACACCAATCTGACACCATACAGGGGAAAGAAACCGGCAACAAAGGCGAAATCGTTCGCCAGAAGGATACGGAGTGCTAGGTAAGTTCTTTCGAGTCTTACGTGGTAGGGAGGCTGAGCGCAATCGACTAATGTCTGTCCTGTAGCTGGGATTGATGGTCACAACATGCTTCTGATTGAGCGTGTTCATTAGCCGCTTTGCCGTCGGATCTTGAGCAGTGACTGTCAGTATAAGTCTCCTGCTCAGGATCTCGTTCTGATGACTGAATGTGCATTGAAGACCTTATTTGTACACATAGTAGACATGTCATTTATCATCCTGTACGCTCAATAAGGAATAACACTCCATTCTAGTTGTTTCTATGATAATTCTGATATAATCTATTGCTCTGTCTCATAAAGCTGAAAAGCTCTTGCAGCACATGCTTGGACATGGACTGCGGCAGTGCAAACATGGAAGTTTGGGTCACGTGGTTTCTGCAGCCTCCGCAAAGGCTCCGTATCCGCATCCGCTTCCAAGTCGCGCAAAGCCAGCGATCCAGCACTACAGACGCGCTGCTTCTCTCGGCGCATTCACCTTTTGGTGGTACATTGTGGAGAGACATATTGTGCGCTGAGTCCCGCTCTATTTCGCTTTCCTATCATAGAAACAAGCAAGTCCTTGTGGCAATAATTGAAGAATACGTATTCGTTTCTGAGCGTCTGCCGCGCCTCCCAAGCTCGGCATCATGGCTCCTACCGTAAGTTGGCCATCTTTTCAAAAGTCTTCGATCTGCCTCCGGGAGAATATTGCGGTTATTTCCGCTTGAGCTGAACCATGCAATGGCGCTCACCCTTCAGATGACCTGCGTGCAATCCACCACGGTCGCAGGACACTCCTTCGCAAGCCACTCAGCGTTTGAGATATGCCAGATTTGACTGACTTCGAACAGTTCAGATCCTCCCGATCGGGTCGCCAGTTTGCCGACAACACTGTCAACCGCAACCGCCAAGGACAGGTTGACCATGATGTCTTCGAGGGCTTACCCGTGCGCCGCTGGGCGCGCCAGCCATATACCTTCTCCCAGGATCCTAAATTGGACGTCCCTGACTCCAGCGCCGACGACGGCGGTTCAAATCAATATTTTCCGGAACTTCCCATGCCAAAGGACAGCCATCTACTATCACCGATGAGTCGGGCCCTCCTTCGTGCGGCGCGCGCAGGCTGTATTTACCTTCGCCATGTCAACAGTGAAACTGAAGAGGACGACAAGGAGACTACAGAGGCTGGAGAAACGGCCCCTGCCACGAGGGTGGAGCGAAGCTTCACAGCGCGCAAATGGACGGCCGTCCCTAAACACATGGAACCTCCAGAAGTGGAATTTCTGGCCAAGAGGAGACCGGGGTTGCCTTCTCTATATGGTGCCTCTGGCACATTGAATGCCAACAACCGTCCACCGATGAGGAAGACAAAGATCAAGAAGGTCGATCCGACTACAGGCGAGGTCTCGGTTTACGAGGTCTGGGTTCCTGAGGGGCATACAGTAGAGGGAGAAATCAAGGATGATGCTGAGGCTTCGCCCGAGCAGAAGGAGGCTACCGCGACGACAGAAACACCTGCTCCTGGGACCACCGCAGAAGTGGTTGGTGTCACCAACGCTGACGGTGCTGTTGCCGCTAGTGAAGATGCAAATACGGTAGAATCCCCAAGCAAACGGCGAGGCCCTCCACCACCGAAACGCAAGGGGAAGGGAGCCGGCAAAGGCCGTAGGAAGAGGGTGATGTTTGCCCCTGGCGAGGGTGCTGATGCGGCTATGGTACACGGTGCGGATGGGGCTGGAGATGAACGCATGCCCGTTGACGGGGAGCAGTTCGAGGAAGAGGAAGAAGAAGAAGGCGAGGAGGGCGAGGAGGGTATGAAAGAAGAAGATGCTGCCCTAGAAGCGAAATCTCCAAGCATTGCTCTGCCAGACTCAGGCACAACATCCGTGACGGAACAAGCTGCTGCGCCAGTTGAGCCTTCTGCTGAAAATCAACCTTCAACTTCTGATCAACAGCCACCCGTTACGGCACTGCCACCAGAGAAGCCGTCTTTGGAGGCTGCACCAGCTCCCTCTCAGGAAATACCGGTCCCAAATGGCACCGACGTCGTGTCTACCTCAGTTCAAAATGCTGCAGACACAGAAAGCCAACAATCTCTGCAAGAGTTGCAGCAATCTAAACCACCTTCGCCTCCGGGTTCAGCGGCACCTCCCACATTAGAGCCTTCACCGGTTGTTGGAACAACGACTAATGATGAAGTTCCTGGAAGTGCACCTGATAATGTACAAATATCTCAGAACGCAGAACCTGTCGCTGAGCCTGCGCCGGACGCAATGGAGGGCGTCGAGCAGACCCATACGACAGAAAATCTAACCGTTCCAGAACAAGCTCCAGCGCTTGAAAAGGCGGACGTTCCAGGGGTTGTGGAACAAACGACAACAACCGGAAACCAAGAAGCAGTGGAAACGGCGGGTGAAGTTTTGTCACAGGCTCCAGCTCCAATTACAACTGCTGAGGTTGCCTCCGCGCCCGTTGTTTCGGAGGCCATCTCCCAGCCGGTTCCTGGGGTTAGTGCCGAGGGAAATGTCGACCTTTTGGGCACTCTCGAGGCGAGTCTAGGGGAGGAGAAAGTGAAAGTTTCTCCTGAACAGGGTGGAACGACTGGATCAGCGTCCGCAGAACAAAACCTGCCTCAGACCACTGCAGTCTTACCTGCACCGGAATCAGCTTCAGCTACAGCTCCAGCCGCGCCACCAGCACCAGCACCGGCAGTCTCTGAAGAGGTAAAGGCGGAACCAGCACAAACCAGCGAACCGCAACTTCAGCCTCAACCTGGACCAGGACCTGTGCCTGAACCAGTGACCAAGGAGGGTGCTGTCGCTGAAGAAAAGAAAGAAGAGCCGGAAGCGTAATCTAATTATACTCACTGACAAAGCAGGCAGTTCTTTCGGCGGATAGGAACTAGCTGATTCCTCTGTTTTTTATAATACCCTTTCTGCTTTCTTCCTTTCCCCTTCTGCTGTACTGTACTGTACTTTACGTGTGTACAATGAAGTAAGTCTAAGTCTATTGGCGTTATCGGCGGGGACTCCATGGAAAATGGGATATATGTGTTTATGGAGTATGGTTTGGTACTTTTTTTTCGGCAGAAGTGTCTACAACTCATCCATCTGTTGTATGAACTGTACTACATACATACAAGAATACAAGAGAAATAAAATGAGGATTTATTATTATCACTTTTGTTTTCGATTCTCTGAGTAGATTCTCTGAGTAGATTAAATAGTGAATGAGTACTTGCTCAATGTCTGAGAAAAGACAGGAAAGCACACGACGTTGCCGACTCTCAGGGAAACATAGATACTAGATATATTTATCTCGTCGCATGTCATTAGAATATATTAGAATATATTTATCTTACCTAGTCAATTAGACCATACGAACTCTTTTTTTTTCCCCCTTTTCTTGAGTCCCAGGTAAAAGTTACACTCAATAACAGACAGACAATAAATAATTGTACTGTATATTTGCCTACTGAAAACCAAGAAAAAAAAGGACAAAAGAATCCGTAAGCAATGAAAACACAGAACATCGTATTCGTACCTAATCTAACCTACACTAACAAACACCCTAACCCACAGGAATCGTGTCAAAACTGTCACTAACTACACTACCCACCTAGTCGAAAAAAAAGAAAAGAACTACCTAACCTAATCAACTAACCTACATGACTTGGTTGATTGGTTGGTTGTTTGTTTGGTTGTGACTTGCAAGGCCTGACCATCAGAACATGAACCTGAACCTGAACCAGCAACGCTATCTGCCTGTCTGCCTGCCTGCCTGCCTGTCTCTGTCCCTGAAAATATCAAAAATACCAAGTGCTACCTAGAAGAAGAAAAAATAAGAAGTAGAAGCAAGGTTTTTTTTTCTTACAAAAAAAGGAGTTCCAAAGAAAAAAAAGGGGGATACGGATACATCAGACAATAATCAAGCCAATAATCAAGGTTTAAAAAAAAACTCCGAAGAAAAGACAAGAAAAGAAATACAAGCAAAATAATCAATTTAAGACAAAATACGAACACCCGTAACGCATTCAATCGGTACATACCAAATTGCAACTCGTTCGCCCTGACCGACCAACTGACTAACTAGGTAACTGTTGAGAATAGTAGCATAAACTCCACAGGCAAAAATATCAAGGAGGATCAAAAGAAAAAAAGATCCAGGAGGAGGGGGGAGAAAAAAAGAAGTGAATCAAAATTAAATGAATAGGCGTCCAGAGAAAGGGAGTCCTTCAGAGACACTTATTCCCGGGAAAACTGGCAGACAAAAATTCATTCATTCATCGACAAAGCTGCTCGATACCAGCTTAAAACAATCAAGGTCGGTGATAATCTACTGCCCACTTTGTGCACCTTTCGGAGTGCTGACAGCTGCTTTCGGAGTGCCCTTTACACTACCTCCTCGACCCGGACTCTTAACGGTGCCGTTCGCCTTGGCCTTACTGACTGGGCTTTTTGCTGTCACAGGTTTCTGCGCCTTTTTGAAACTCGTTGATCGCCTTGCAGTTGCCTTGAGCTTGGTTTTGACCTTCTCCGTCGCTGATAAACGGCTGTTTTTGGCGCTCGCTTTTCCTGCAGTGGACAAACTGCTCGTGGCCTTTGTCGACTTTGCCTTGGGCTTTGCTTTCGATACCTTGGCAGCTGTCTTGGTTTTAAATTTGCTGATGGTCTTCCCTCCAGCCTTCGTTGTTTTCGTCGTTTTCGTTGCCTTTGCTGTCGACGTGGTCCCGGCCTTCTTTTTGGTCTTAACGGTTACACCCTTCTTCTTGGATATGGTCACGCGAGCTTTCGTGACTGCTTTTTTAATGCCGGTTTTGACAGACTTGGCCGTCAATAACTTCCGTTTCTTGTTCACACGGGACGTCGACTCCTCAAGCACACTCTCGCTCTTGCGTTTCGTGCCTGCCGAGCTAGACTTGGATCCTTTCTTTTTCTGGGCCTTTGAATTTTTCTTGTCATCTGATTTCGCCTCCTTCGAGCGCTGCTCTTTTGGTCGTGGTCCTAGGACACCACGACAGGTGGGAGCACCACAGCGGCATTCCTGCACATTCTTCCGCGAGAACGGACTAGAACAGGGTCAGAATAGATGGAAATCAGCTCCACTGCGGGAAGACACTCACTCAAAGTTATAATCATATGTTAGCTCCTCTCCGGTCATGATGCCTCTCTCACCGGCAAAGAGGGCCATGCGTGGCTTGCCTTGGACAGTCCACTTCTCCATCCTGCAGTTTGGCTCACAGGAGTGATTGACAAAGCGTGCAATGGAGCCACGGGTAGCGTCAATGATCATGTTCTGGTCAAAATACATTAAATAATAGCACTGCATTGAGTTAGCATGGAACATAATCATGAAAGCAAATGTTCTCACCTCATTGTTCTTGTAAACTGTTCTCATTCGACGTTCGCACTCTTGTTGAGTAATGATCTCGCCGGTATACTCCACAATGATCTGGTTCGGCTCAAATGTGCGATTGCTACGAACCCCATATCCGCGATCTGGGGTTTTAATGACCTCTACACCAATGTTGTATTTGCCTCCTGCCTTGATGCGCTGCTTCAGTTCTTCGAAACTGCGATTCCCACAGTTGGGGCCAAGGCGACAGTTGGTGTCATCACATTCATAGAACATGTACCGATTCTGGCAATTCTCATCGCAACCAGTCTCTTCGGTACACGTGCACGTCGACAGCTCTACGGGCTTGTTTTCCCTCCAGAAAGTTGCAGCATCACCCACAAACACATCTAGACATTCGGTTTTAGACTCACTTCCAAGCGAAGCGTGGCAACATGTGATGGAACTTACTTTTGTTAACCTTTTTCCATTCATTCGGCTTGGGCTGGCCAGGAGGAAGCGGCGAGAAAATGTCATAGGGCAACTTGAAGTCCCGGCCATTCTTCAGAAGTCTCTCACCAGCAAACATGGGCATGGGAAGTATCTTTCGTTGAGGTTCGACAGGGGCATTTCTTTTGGCGCTCTTGAGCTTATTCTTCGCCTCATTGAGACGGGGGTCCATGTAGCGATCTTGTCCCGTATACAAACCATGCGTCAGCCACATCTTAGGCTTGTATCGAGGAGCAACAGGAGCGGTTTTCTGCTGCTCTTCCTCCTTTGTAGGCGATTCTTTTGTCGCGTTCTTCGAGGGCAGGTCGCTTTCAGAGACCCGACGTTTCTTGGGTGCTGGACCGGCTGACACAGAGGATTCCTGCTTCGCAGGAAGAGAATGCCGGGGACGTAGGCTGGCTCTACGATTCAATACTTCTTTGCTCTTCTCCATCACATCTCTAGATCGTTTGCCAAGAACACCGGTAGCTTTGTCGACAACGCATGAAGCCTTTGAAAGCAGACTCAGACGGGAAGAGCGTCGTAGGGGCTGTGCACTTCCAGCTTTATCTTTCAGAACTGCTGTCTTCTGCTCCTTCTCGTCTTTGTCTTCTTTCCCCGTCTTTGTCGGCTCCTTCTCCGGCCGCTCCCGCAACGAACGACGCCTTGACGACTGGTCCGTGGAAACCTGTGACTCCTTGGAAGCAGGCGTGTCACATCTTGCAGGCTCACTGTTCTCCGTGTCCTCTTGCAAGAGCGTTGGCTGACTGCCCGAGCTCTCCATAACATCAGTACTATGCCGGGGAGAGGAGGGGCGCGAGCCATTATCCTCCGCAATGCCATTGACAAGCGTCTCTCCGGACACAGTACGATCTTTCGCCTCGACAGAAGATTCCGATGCATTGGTCTGGTTGTCCTCTTCGGCCTCGTGAAGTTTCTCCAAACCGCGCAGTGATGCACGCGTCACGCGCGTCGATCTCCGTCGCACCACCGGTTTCTCTTCGCCAGACGCAGGCTCATTGGTACTGGAAGTCTCTGAACGGCTGTTCTCGGGCGTGAGCAATGGACCTGAAAAGTCGACGCCGATTGTTTCGTCAGCAGCGTCGGAGGGTTGGGGTTCGGAGTCCGTCAGGGCGGGCGTGGTTGCGGGCGACGCCATTGAGGAACGGGTTCGACGGGCCATTTTGGAGTCAGCGGCAGCCGCCTGCAGAGAAGTCGAATTGCTGCTCAATGCCGCTGGAGAGAGAAGTTGACGATGCTCTAGAGCATGGATGATGAAAGGGGACGGAAATAACGGTGCGGGAGGTGGAGTACGAGGGAGGTGGTCCCTGCTCGGCCTGCTGATAATAGTAATTACTATCAGGAGAAACAAGCAAACATATGCGGCGTCTTCTACGCGTCCGGGACTAGGTTCAGGCGAGGGGCCCATAGAAGGCGCGAAGCTTCGGGGCCGGGCCTGGACCGTGTAATCCGAACGTCAAAGATTCACGGCCTGGACAAAGAGCTGCTTGAGGCATTACCGGTTCAGAACGACTGCAGAGCCAGAGGACCAGAGGAAAGGCTGGGGGCGGATGAGAGACTAAAACATGGCGGCATCAAGACAGCTGAGCACCAAAGCTTACGCCCTTGCAGGCCAAACGCCATCTGCCGGCTTGCATTCTCCCCCGCTCTCGAGCATTCCATGGCATCGCTGCACGTTCAGTCTGGGACAGCTACAATCTGAGTTTCTATGATGCACAAATTATCTCTTCAGGGAGGAGCACCACGGATTTAATTTGTGGTGGCTTCTAGACTATCATACACAGGGTGCTTTTCTCTCTCCTGCTAAATGACAATCCTGGAAGAGCGGTCCTTCGCACAAGGCTACAAAAAAAAAAAGGACGATATGCGTACAGAATCTCGAAGGGTAGGAAAAGCTGTCAGAATCAAACAATTGTACAAGAGAAGGGAAGCCGGGTTGACCACAGAAGAACGCCCAGGACTTGGGTTCCTGTATGGGCTCCAGGTATCAAGAAAACGAATGAAGGGTGGCATAGAGAAGAAAATGGAAAGGTGGGGAATTGTAGCCGGTAGGCGTAGATATTCTGAAAAGGAAACTGGAAGTGGCGTGATGATCATCGTAACTACACAGAAAGAATCGAATGGTGGATAAAAATATCAATAAGAATATTAAAAGGTAAAGACAACTAAAAAGCCAGTTCTCATATCCAAACAGAAAGGTAGAAGGGAACCAAGAAGAGTACAGAAGAAGCAGTCTTGAGACCTTAGGCTCGCTGCTGTCCAGCGGGATTCGCATCTTGAGGGTTCTGCGAGCTCGATGGAGCGTAGGGTGCAGGAGCAGGCGGGACCGTCTGCATCTCCATTCCTGCCTGAGATTCGAGATCCTTGACCAGATACTTGCGCTTCTGCGTCGCAAAACGCTGATCTCCCGGCTCGTAGGGTCGTTTGAACTGCAAGTACGTGGGAGGCCGCGGTCGGGCCAGAACAGCGATCCAGTTTCGCAGGAAATTCCCTTGGGTGAAAGGCCGGTGGCGGTCCGCTTTCTTGAATTTGTGGGAATTCAGATACTCTCTTGTAGTCTCGCCACGGCCCATGAGGAAGAGATGGTATGCCCAAAGTGACCCAGGATAAGGGAAAGCAAGGACGCCGTAGATTACCATGGCCCACGGCACTCTCCACTTGTTAATCGACTCCTTGAAAGAAACATTCTCCTCGTCGCAATATAAAAGTATATGGGCGAGGGAGGCGCCAATCAGATATAAGGCAAGGATCGTGGCAGAGCTGACAAAGGTAAAGAAGTAGCGATAGTTGCGGCGCCCAACACAGTTGTTCAGCCAGACACAGTGGTGGTCCAGCGTCTCCACACAGTTGTCGCACACACGGCAGTGATAGCAACGGGGAGGGCGCCAGATATTGCATGTTTTGCAATACTTGACCGGCACATCCATGGCAGCAACATCAGATGTAGCCAGCTTAACCATAACCCAGTCGTTTGTGGGAGGGCCGAGTGTCAGGGGGTCTTCTGAGGGATCTGCCAATGGCATAGGGTGTAAATTCCGAGGAAAGATCTTTATCAAGGGCGAGTCAGCAATCCTATTCAGACAGAGAGTGGTCTATCTTACCCCAGGGTCCATGGTAGAAGCGTGTAGAAAGGACGACATGCACAAATAGAATAGATAGGCGAAGATGATGGGAATCGCGGGTGACACATGATGCCATAACCACGGTGCCCTGCGCTAGGTCAGTCTGAAGGATCAACAGTTACAAGTGCAGCAGCCAGACATACGAATAACCAAAAAATAATCCAGACGGCAAGACTACAAGAATGCCTGTGATTATATTGATTGGCTTATCACGGGCATTCTGGAACCTGCCACGGCCCCAGAAGAATGTGTTTCCCGTAAAATACTCGTAGTTCTTGCCGAGATTCTTCTTTGGAGAAGGAGGAGGAGGCTGTCCTTTCATGGATCTGCGCGAAGATGATGCCGTTGACGACAGTCGTTCATGTCCTCCGCTATCAGGACGCCCTTGGTCTTCATTCTTGTTGTGCAAAGAGAGAAACCCCGACCTGAATGACAAGGGCGATTTCTGAGGAGGATCATTCATGGATCCTGGGTTGTATGTCTTCGTAATGTTCAGATGAGTCGGCGCTGGCTTCTTCTCACGCTCGTGCAGCAGCCTGACGCTTTCGCCGAGACTCCTTACCGTGGTGTTTCCAGTGGGACTTGCATTGGACGTATTCCTATCAGGTATGATCGGATCCGTAAATTCTGTTCCACGCGACGGAGGAACTTCGACATCGCCCTGCGCGCCGACACCTTGACGGATCGTACTATTCGAGACCAAACTCCTGCGGTTCTGACTCGCCTCATCCTCCACGTCTTCTGACGCTGCTGCACCCTGCCCTGCCGGTCTCCCGCCACGATGTGCTTGCAGTCTTTGAGAACTCATGGGCCGAAGGAAAGCTTGCGAGGTAAGCGAAGGAACGTGTGTCTTGCTCATCCGACTCACGCGACTGGACGAACTTCCTGGCCGGCCCGATGCGGTGGCTATCGAATTCGCCCTCGTCGGCGGCGGGCCTCTTCTCGATGCGGGGGGCTGTGACCATCCCGGCTGAGAGCCTCTTCTCGATGTGGGAGCTTGCGACCATCCTAGCTGAGAGGAGGTCCCAGTGGGCGAGAGCGGGACGGACTGGTCTCCATCTTCGGAGATGATATCTGTCATGCGAGAGGAAATTCCGCCAACGGAGGGAGGACGGGGCACATCCAGCCCCGGATAGGGGGTGGTAGGGGAGACAGGAGTCGTAGGAGAGGCAGGAAAGGTAGGAGAGGTAGGAGAATTAGGAGCGCTGGACTTGGTGGCCATGGCTGACTGCAGATGCTTTGTTTTCCGCAGGTGTTCGCTATGAGGCAGCACAGTCGTTCATTATGATGCCGCTATGCTACACGGAGATCGCATAGGCACAGGAACATCGACAGGATCAGGAGTTCGACATGAATCGCAGCGTCAAGCGTGGGACGTGGAGGAGCGAAGGCGAAAGAGCGACTAGAAATGAGGGATGACGGCGATCAGGGAGGGAGTCGATGCGATGCCCGGGGAGAGAAAGGTCGAATATATTATGAGAAGCAAAAGAGAAAAGAGCGTGAGGATGAGAGAGAATGACAGCGCAGAAACCAGGATATCATCTGTTGTTATTTCTTTTTTCCTATGCCTCCGACACGGGAGAGGCGACAGAGTTGGACGACTCGTTCCGTCACGCAGCCCAGCCTGACGCCAGGGACCGGCAGCGGAGCGAACCAGGGTTGATCAAACGGGCCCCGGTCCAGCCACACTCCGAACGCAAAAAGGGGGGTGATTAGCTACCTCGAAGTTACGAATTAAAGCCTATACAATATGCACTGCAATAATAACGGACGCGTCAGTGGTCGCTGTGGCTGGTTCCAAAAAGCCTTCGGGGACAGCCAGAGGCCAGGAGCAAGGAATCGAAACGCTAGGACGGAGTACCGCATGTACAGGATATGTGAATAGTAATACACTACAGTACGTACACTGTACCGGAGAGAGCAAATACAGTGGGATTAGCAGGATGGATATACAAGGGTCCGCTATCTGATGCGTAGGGTTTTGGCATCTCTAGGTTGGCCAAGGGCATCGTTTGTGAGGCGTCTCCTGGCCTTGCCTCTGCATAAACGTCATATTAGAAGTTTGAATACGCCCCAGGGTTCGGTACGGGATGGTAGGTTCAGGTTAGGCTTTAATCTGCTATTTTTTACTATATATCCTAGAGGAATGTCTAGGCGTTGTTTAATGTCCTATGTAGCAGTATTCAAGAAAAGACAAAGAAAAACAATATCAGTAATCACCGTCAAAATACTCCGTAAACCTGGCTGGCTGCGTTGGACGATGATGCAGTGATGACTAAGACACGCATCCAGTGGCAGCTCTGTCACCTGACCCGGCCATCATCGCGGTGTCATCCGATGGCGACTCACTCCACCACCCGAAAAGCCGCTTTCCTTTCACCCACATCCTGCCGGACGAGCTATCACCACTCCTCAAGCGAGTCACCATGTCCTCAATTGCTGCTTTGGCGGCCCGCCGGGCCTTTTACCGCCAGTCTTTCGCTCGCCTGCCTCAGCGACGCTTCCAGAGCTCCAAGGTCGAGGAGGCGAACCTCGACAAGGCTCCCAAGCGCGATCCCGAGCTCTACGTACGTTGCAGGCCTGCGCTGCTCCTGCCATAGAATATGTCCGATGCTGATAATCGATTTTTTAAGGTTCTCCTCGGAGTCATGTCCGGTGTCGCCCTGCTTGCTGGATGGTAAATCCAACTCCCCTCCGTACCCTCTCCAGAACCCAGCTCAATATACCCGAACATTACAACCGGATTCGAAATGCATTCGAGCAGCGGAGGAACAAGACCAGTGTTAACATTTGTCCTCAAAATCACAGGTACTTCGGACGCAAGCCCACTTCCGTCACCTCCGAGAGCAACGTCCGTATTGGTGAATCTGCCATGCCATGGGAGCGCGATGAGGATGATGGCAAGGTGTACAAGTACCAGTACCACCCCCACGGCGACAAGAACCAGCCCCTGCGCAACGCCCCCAGCGCTCTCAACACCGTCATTGTTCCCAATGTGACCCTGCCCAAGGTGCGTTTCCTGTGGACTCCCGTCCAGCCGGAGCTCTTCTGGATCGCATTTGTTCCAATGAAGGCAACAAAATGAGCCCATGCTGATATCATCCCTTACTTGATTAACAGGACCTCCACGACCGATTCAACAAGTACGGCAAGGAAGAGTGGGACTACTGAACCGGCAGACGGGGCTGGCAATGGATGATAATATCTCATTTCCCAAGTCAAGTTGGATGGATGGATCCTGTACTCTAGATAGACGATCAACCATCACTGAACAAAAACTTGTGCTTTGGTAGTAGGTGACTCTGCATTTGTTCATATAGTAAGTTGTTGTCATAGCGTCATTCAATCCTTTATTTTCCTTGTCGTCGATTCACGATATTGAAAAAAAAATAGTATCAACTTGAAATATAGGATTTTATTACGTCAGTATGTTTTATTTTTTTTTATTTCCTCTTACTCCATAATACAAGCGATATAAGAATGTGAATCTGAAGCGAAGAAACTCATGCTCCGAAAATTAGGGATTTTGAACAAAACAAAAAGGAGATACAAAGGGAGAGATGTCAACAACTCATGATAATACTAAGATCCCTACACCCGAAAGTCTCCTACTATACTATCACTGCTGCTTAGTCGCCTCGTTGCCCTCGCTGGCCGGTTTCGGCTTGCCGGGTTGGTCCTCATCACGGACCGACCTGTCCTGACCGGCTGCAGAGGCTGGCTTGTTACCAACAGCGCTCTCATCACCTTTCCCCTTGCCGCCCGTCTGAGGGTTCTGACCTTCCACGTCCGGGTGAGGCGGTGCGTGTTCAACCGCCTTCAAGTGCACTCGGCCATGCGCGTCAATTACCCGTGTTTGAGTTTCGTACTTTGTTTCAAACGAGACCTTGCCTTCTTTCTTGAGAGAGGCAACCTGCTCCTCGTCCAGCAGGTTGCCCTCCTGGTCACGGTACTCAACGCGCTCTTCGCGACCAATTATGTGGGGTTGTCCAGGTTGCGGGATTACAACGCCATCATTGCTTCCATCTTTGAGGACTTGTTGATTTGCCAGCGCTTGAGCAACAGGGGACTGCTTCGGCACCGACTGGATGTTGACAAATTGCGTCGTGTATTGGCTCAGCTAACGCCCATCGCAGTCAGCGTCGAATCGCGTAATGGATGACCCTTATTGTCGGACTCCGCGGCGAGGAGGTTGCCATGGTGGAGGACTTACGTCAGTATAAAAGGTATTGCAATCGAAGTCCCAGCTATCGAGAAGTTTCGCCCGCCTGCAGGCGTCGCGGGTCCACGGGTTGCCGTACGCGAGCGGAGAGTAGATTGTGAAGATCGCAATACTGAAAGCGAGGAAGATCGCAACGACCGCTTTGCCGATCGCGGGCCGAGAGCTGAGACCAAGCGTCTGGATGCGGTTGAGCACGAAGTCGAACATTTGGGACAGGGCCATAATGGCAAAGTAAAGTGCCGGGAGATAGTGATGCAGGAACAGCTGGCGAGCCATGAGATAGAAGGGAAAGTAGTGGAATGCCCAAGCAAGCGCCGTGGTGCCAATTTCATAGTCAAAGCGCTTGAACGTAATATTCTGGTAGTCGCCGTAGCTACGCTGCCACCGGAGGATGGCAATACCCTTGAAGATCACATAGATGGCGATGGCTAGGGAAGAGGACCACCAGATCAATGGGTTTCCAATAAGGTACACCTGGCGATGGTCTCGGCCCCAGAAATTGATACCACGGAGCAGCGTAGGCCAGGACGGCGGCCGCGAGTCCCAAGCATGAGATTCAACCAAGCCGGCATTCGTCACCCACATTACTCTCTGAAGCTCCCAGAACTTACCCAGGAATCCCGGGTTTCGGTAGTTGACTTTCTCGGAATCTTCGCGCAACGTGGGATGTTCGTTCGACTCGATGTACCAAATGCTGTTGGGAAGGGTGCCTCCTCTGGCGCAGGTGACCTCTTGTTGTTCCCATCCCCAGTCGGGGAGTTTCACCTTGTGAGAGAACAGCGTACACCCGGTCATGAGGTGAATCAGTTTGAACTTCGTTTGAATGGTCCGTAACCTCTTCTTGGCTTCCTCTCCCTCGGACATGGACTTGACGATTTCCACACGGAAGAGATCGTTGGCGTCTCCAGGGAAGCCCTCATACCCGTAAGCAGAAACCTCATTCTGCCAATCGGCCTCCGTGATCGGGGGGCGGATGTCATGGGAGTGGATTCTCCTGTGTGTCATGAGGTGGTACAGCCTTATCGTGGCTCCATCTTGGATATACTCGGCGGTCAGGTTATCCCATGCGAACGGGCCTTGTACCTCGCCGTAAGGACCAAGAGGCTGCGTCGCATTCTCTATGAGGAAAAGGTTGTTCTCATCTTTGTGCGGATACAGCGTAACTTGCTGCTGTTTGCTTCCGGTCGGATACATATGCCCGTGGGAATGCAGATAGCCACCCTGCGTGTTTAGGTGACGGATAGTGACTCGGGAACCAAACGCAACATCGGCTGGGACGTCTTGCATGCCTTTGGAGTTAAGCGTCGCTTGAAATTCAGGAGACATAAAACCGTCCCCGTCTCCCGGATTCACCAAGCAGAGGAAGTGAATCGCAAACGTTCCGACGTAAAAACCGATAGGAATGATGATAAGGCAAAAAAACCGAGCAAAAAAGTGCTTGAACCACAGACGCTGCATCATATGGAATTAGCATTGTTTGCCAGATATCCCATTGGGAAAGCGAGACACTCACCGGAGTCACCGTTCTTGTGTCGCCCAGAAGAACCCAAAGTTGGAGAACAGTGAGAGAGCCAACCCAGGCAGTTGTGAAAAGTCCAACCCATTTCACGCTGAGCGTCGCACCTAACGAAAGGCCGGTGAGAGCCAGCCAAAACCACCAGGGACCCCGAAAAGCCTTCGAAGGGCCTTGCTCATGTTGATTCGTAAAGCTAAGAAATGACAGGGCTGTGAGGGCAGTGAAAAACACGAGCGGCGAGTCGAGAAGAATGAAGCGGGACTGAGTAGTCAGGGCGTTATCTGTGTCTTGTCAGAGCCCAGCTTGTATCCTCATCCAAATGTCAATAACGTACCAAACGTGACCAAAACAGCTCCCATCACTGCCGTCGAGGTCCGACAACCGGTAGCCTTCAGCGTCAGGAACATGAGCGGCACGGTCAAAACGCCCAAAATGGCGGGCAACAAGCGCATGGCGACATATGGAACCCCCGGTTCGAGGTAATCCTTTCCAATGTCCTTGAAATCGAATTCACCATCGAAACCAGCAAGCCAGCCCGCGAGAGTGATAAGCAGTTTAGCAAGCGGAGGATGAACATCCATGAAGAACCTTCCTTTGATATATTTGCTGGCAAATCCACCGAAACTATAATCGAGACAAATATTAGGCACTATACGGCAAGCAGTCAAGAGAAGGAGAGAACTGACTGGACTTCGTCAAAGACAACACTGGTGGGCTGGTAGATTCTGAAAAGTCGAACAATCGCCGCCACCAGGGTCAAGCCAGCAAGCCATTTGTAGTCCGATGTAGGAAGCTTAAAGATATCATTGTCCGTTACCCCCTCCGATCCAAAATCCAAGCGTTTCTGCGGAACGGGTTTCGTCGATTTTGGCTTGGGAGAGCGGCTGGGTGAACGTCGCCCACGGGACGGAGGCCGTACACCAAGAGCCTCTTGCGACATGGTTGCAGATTAAACGGCGTATTTCAAAATAATAACAACAAGATCGAATACAAAGGAAAAAGATGCTGAACGAGCAAACAGTTTACAGGCGCGAGGTAACCGGGACAGGACAATGCCAGTCCAGCGCCCTCAGACTCCCCGCCTGCACAACAAAAGGCGAAAGATAGAACAAGAGGCTTAACGAGAGGCAGGAAGAACTACAACATGATACCCCATGACAGGGGGCTGGAGCAGAAAGAGGACGAGGTGTTCAATGGACGAGTCGTGGACGAGGTCGAAAAGGAGACGTTCCCATTCCAATTAGGTGGCCGTATTCGTCAACAACTCGTGGCCAGCCGCGCGGCGGCAGTGGAGGCGAAGCACATGCAACCGGCCAACTTACTGCGGTCTGGACGTTTGCGTCCGGTAGAAAATAAACAGGAGCCTACCGTATGATTAATATCAGCTATCAAACTTAAATATAAAACAATTAGAATAAGAGTAACGATAATAATACGATGAAAATTAAAATAACTAAAAATAGTTTTGCTATTTCTTGTTTGAAACACCCTGCTTACATAATAGCACCGGGGCTACCCGCGCGGCTAGTTTGGCGCTAGCGCCAAGCCGAGTTAGGCGCGAAAGGCATCTTAAAAGATTACATAGTACCTGGGAGCAGATAGTCAAGCAGACCTCAACAGCCTCGCAAACACGACAGCAACGCACCATCGCAGGCTCCTGCAAGACGCAGACTGCCTACCGTGAAGATGGCTGCCGTCGCGACCAACGGTACTGCGGCGTCGACGCCAAACCTCTCCGACGAAGTCAGCAAGCCTCCGGAGGGAATCGTCTTGCCTCCCAAGGATATTCGGGGTGAGTTACCGACGCGTCGCTCGAAAACTGTTTCGCAGGAGGCATATACTGACGATTTCTTGTCATATAGCTATTGTTGAGAAGACAGCGGGATATGTCGCTCGAAACGGCCCAATCTTCGAGGGTGAGTGGTATCACTGGTTGAGCTGATATCGACTATGATCTGACCTAATCGTGCTGTAGAACGTGTCCGCGAAAAGGAGAAGAACAACCCGAAGTTTTCATTTCTTAATCCAAACGACGCATATGCACCGTTCTATCGATGGCGACTCACGGAGATCAAGGAAGGGAGAGGGACTGCTGTTTCAGCGGGGCGACCCGGAGAAGCGCAGGCGCGTGAGCCGGAGAAGCCCAAAGGCCCAACTCAGCCTCCAGAGTTCCATTTTTCCGCTCGAATGCCGATTATCAATGCACAGGACTTGGAAGTGGTAAAGCTGACGGCGCTGTTCGTGGCTAAGAGAGGCAAGTCCTTCATGACGACATTATCGCAGAGGGAGGCGAGGAATTTCCAGTTCGATTTTCTGCGACCACAGCACAGTCTTTACCAGTTCTTCACGCGATTAGTAGATCAGTATACTATCTTACTGCAGAAGGACGGTGTTGACGAAGCTACATCGGAGAAACGCCGCTTGGCAGAGTTGGAAAAGAATGTGAAGAACAAATATCACATCCTGGACCGGGCTAAGCAACGGGCAGAGTGGGTGAAATACCAGGAACAGCAAAAGCAAAAGAAGGAAGAGCAGGAAGAACAGGAACGCATCGCTTATGCGCAAATCGATTGGCATGACTTTGTCGTCGTCGAGACGGTCCTCTTTACCGAGGCCGACGACCAAGCAGAACTGCCACCCCCAGCGAACCTGGGTGATCTGCAATCTGCATCACTCGAGCAGAAGGCGATGATGTCTCTCAACCCACTTCGTATCGAGGAAGCCCCGCCAACAGACCAGGATACACCTATGTATTACAATGCATACCCGCCTGAGCCTCAAGCTGCACCAGCACCTCAACCAGCCGTTGAACAGCAACCTGCGCAGCCTCAGCAGGCACCCGTTCCTCCAACAACGGCGGACACCACGCAGCAACCTGCACCTGCACCGCCTGTTTCCGCAGCAGCAGAAGAGGAAGAGCGACGGATCCGTGAGCGAGCAGAGGCACGCGAACAAGCCGCCGTCGCTCAGGCAGCAGCCAAGGCTGTTCCAGGACAGCAACCCATGCGGATTCGCTCCGACTACGTGCCTCGTGCACAAGCGCGGCGGCCCAACCCATCGGCAGCCACCGCGCTCTGTCCCAACTGTAAACAGCAAATTCCCGTCAATGAACTCGAGCAACACATGCGTATCGAGCTCTTGGATCCGCGCTGGAAGGAGCAGCGTGCTAAGGCTGAATCGCGTGCTGCAACGACCAACCTGTCTACCACGGACGTGGTTAATAACCTGAAGCGTCTCGCCAGCCAGCGTAGCGACGTCTTCGATTCTACGCCTGTCGTGCCTGGCGAGGGTGGTGGACCTACCGACCCAGAGGAAGAAGCGAGGAGGAAGCGAGTGGCAATGGGATCCGGACCCCCTGGAGTCCCCGGCTATGATAATAGTACCACTGGTGCCCCTGGCGTCGTTCCTCCTCCTTCATCCATGCCAACAGTCGGCCCTGTCGGCACCGTACCGAACCCTCAGACCATGAACATCCAAGAACAAATCCGCAATATCCACGAAAGATACGGCAGTGGTAGTAGTACTAGCGGTACACAACACCCTCCCGGTAGTGGACCCTCTCAATAAAAGAGACTCTCATTCCGCATAAAAAAGGGGAAAAAGGATTCTTTGTTTAAAATATATTCCTCCTTTTTTTGTATTTCCAACTATGATTTCTTCCGGCGAAAGGTGTTGGTTGGTCTATCGGGTTCGTTAAGTGATTGATTGATTGATAATTGATTTGATCGATCATGACAATTTAGGGTACATGACTTATAACAATTGTTATTATTATTTTATTTTATCCATTCATTATTACAGTTCGTTTCACGAAGAGTACTTACTTGAGAGATGGGGCAGATCTGAGAGAGATCCATCTCTCTTAAAGTTAGGAAACTACATGTATGATAGGATTTTGCTGCTCTCTCACGACTCGGAGGATATACATTGCTTTTTCTTTCTTTTTTTTCAAAAAAGAAAAAAGACTCCTCTGTCACTATTGTATGTATATATGTACAACTAGGTCGATTATTATTATACTTTTTTTTCTTCACTGTAGTACTCTGCAACTACTACTAACTACGAGAAAGGAAAACTAGTAGACTTCTTTTTTTTTGGAAAAATCACTGTGTTGACTCTCTCAATCGTTATCAACTGTGTTTAGTAGAAATCCTCGCTAACAGTAAACATGAACCACGTAAGCGGGTGTACTAACTATTCACTTGACACATCCCCGGTTCAGCAGTCAGCAAAGGACATTGGCCTCAGAAAAATCATGAACATCCAGTACGAGGGCGAGGCTCGAAAAAAAGCACGCCCAAACAATGAACTAAGCAATCATTGCCGATATAAACGAAAAAAAAAAGGGGGGGGAAGATGAACATGAAAACATGGAGACCACTCAAAATGCAGAGACTGATGTGAAACCGATCAAAAACAGTGAAAAACGACGAGAAAGATCTTTCAGTGGACAATCAGGTATGTAAGACTCGGAATGACGTCCCCTTCATACCGAGAAACAGAATAAAGGATCGACAACGATAGTATTTATTCGAAGGGTAAAGCAAGACTGCTCCAGGCGTCCACGATGCGTATTAAAAAAAACGTAGGATATGTGCAAGGGATTCGACAACGTAAGATAATAATAATACAGGGGCGAGCAAGTTGCTCAAGAAAAATGGAAGGGTAAGGGACATGAAATTAAGGTATAAATAAGCCCTGAACCTCCCATCAGAGGTCCTGAAGGATTCCAGTCGGGTAGCAGGAAGAGCGGAAGCAACGCAAAAAAAATGCAGAGAGTAAGGGTGCACGTGCTTTATTAATTAAAATGGGGTATCGGAACACGTCGTAAACGGGATAAAAAGGTGAGATAACGGCAGGGACGAATTGGAAATGATTATTGAGCAAAAGCACCAGGTACGGAGTCTTCTGTTTTCGACTCCGCTTCTTCCGAGTCACGTCGTAACGGAGTCATTGGCGGCTGAGGCTCCTTCTCCAATTCCGAAGAATTGGGCTCCTGGTCAGCGGATGTAGTAGTGGCAAGGGAATCACTCAAGTTGTTCTGCTGATGTTGCGTCTCCACATCAACATCGTTGCGCTCATCCGCGTCCGTCTGCGTAGAAGCGACCTTGGTGCCGTCATCTTCGGTTTGAGTTGCTTCTGTCTTAACCGCAGTGATAACAGTACCGCCGATGGAAACCTTCTTGACGTCGGAAACGAACGGATCATCTGTGGCAGAAGACCCCTCAGGACGAGGTTCGCTACCTCCATTGGGCGCAGAAGCAGGCTGCTGATCTTGACACGGGGCATCTTCCGCACGTTGTGGCTGCTGTGGACTGGTATCGACTGACGATGGATTTCTTGAGCTGTCGGTCTGAAGAAAGGTTGGAATGACGCCTCCGCCAATTCTTGCCCAGAAGATTCTTTCCCTCAGGCGGACCGTCTCTTCCCAGGCCTCCCTCTCTTCCTCTACGTCGCCGATACGAATGTGTCCATCCAGGATTAATCTGAGGTAGCCTGTGAATTCACAGCAGGCCCGCACCTTCTCCAAACACAACATGCAAAGCGCATACCGCTGAGCGTTTTCACTGTCAGAGGTTCGGAACCGATGCGTCCGCTCGTTTTCGGGGCCTTTTCTTCGCTCGCCACATAGAGAACAAGGAAATGCATATTGCCGCGCCACGGCCGGCATAGGCTCCACTATCAAACCACCGTCACAGATGCTGCTTAAAACGGAACGACGGGTGAGCCATGAGATTGCGGGAGCCGTGTCCAAACGCAATGCTGGTTCGATATCCTCGGCGAGGACACGCTTGTAAAATCGTGTCTCTTTCAAAGGAATGTGGGCAGCCGGGGATTGGGGGCTACCATTAGGCGAGTGAGCAGCAGATAGCGAACTTGTTGATCCATTTGGGGTGTGATGATAGCCTGCCAGGCTGCCTAGACCCATCACGTTTAAACCTGCGTACGATCCGCTGGAGACCCGGCTAGGCGGTTTAGACGTCTTGGCTTGGTTTAACAAATCACGGAAGTCCTCGTACGCTTGTACATCCGTCCGACACACGGGCTTGATCAAATGGGAAAAGCTGGTGGACGGGGGCAGGAGAGATATCTCTGGAGCCTGGGGACACGGGGGAAGGGGTGTTTGATGTGTCCAAGACCCGGTTGCCGTTCCCTTGCAGCGCCGCGGCGGGCGATGGTGGAGCTGTCGACGTGTTCGTATGAGTGTCGACTTCATCCCGCGCACCATTCAGTTCCTGGATGACCGCCTTCAATTCCGAGAGCTGTTCCTGCTGCGATGCGACGAGCATTTCGGTATCCTTGATCTGGGCACGGAGTTGCTCGTTCTTCTTTTCTACCGCCTCGCGTTCGTGCTTAGCCGCAGCGACCATCTACATGGCTGTCAGCTCGAGACTATATTCTAAATTTCCTTTCTCTTAAACTCGTCCGGCTCTCACCTTGTTTGCTTCCTCGAAGAGTGCAGCCGTCAAGTTCTCCAGTTCCTGCTCAATGTTCTTTTTGTCTTTCTCCACGAGCAGTCGTTGGGCTCTCTCTTCTGCTATGGCGGCCTTCAGAGACATGATTTCCGATTCCACATCTCTCCTCTTGACCAAGACGTCGTTGGCGATGTCATCCCGAAACTTTTGATTTTCCAGTTCGAGTGCGTGCACTCTGTCTTGTGCCTTCTCCAATTCCTGTCGGGTCGCCGCAAGCGAGTCATCGAGGGTCGTCTGGTTGTTGATCGCCTGAACGAGCTTCACACTAAGGGCGGCGACCTCGTTGCTCAAATCTGGATGCGGAGATACGGACGACTGAGACAGGTCGGAGGTGCTGGCTGTTCGAGGATCTCTCAGAGTACTGAAGCTGGTTTCGTCGTCCAAGCCGGCGGGAGAGGGTCTCCGAGCAGTCGAAAGGGCGTTGGTTGACTTCATTTTAAAGAGGCTTCTACCAGGCGAAGGGGATCGGTTGCCGGAGGAGAGAGATCTCCGGTGATTGTTCGGCCGGGAGATCATCTTGGCTGTTTGGATAAGAAGTTTGGGTGTCCATAAGGGTGAAGAGAGATGAGACTGAAAAGACCAGTTAGCATGACGACGAGGAACATAGACATCGGTCGAAGCAGGATCCATGGGGGAACTCACTCAGCCATGACGGTTGATCGCAGCGACGGTCTGCACGAGATGTCGGTGCCGGGCACAGCTGTCGCGATCTCGGGAGCCAGACCAGGAAATGCACAGTATCAGGACGCTTGTCAGGCGCTGTAGAGACGGTCAATCGAGTAGGTCATAGGTGGGACAGAAACACGACGCAGCCGGGACGAAAGGTCAGAAGGACGAGAGCATGTGAAAAGACCCCGCCCGTGGATGTTGCCTGGAATCTCGAATGGTGTCACCGTAGCCGATCTGGACAGAGCCCCATTGAAGAGAGAGAAAAGAGCGACCGAAGAACCGTCCAGACCGCGGAGGGAGCACGATGGAAAGAAGTGTAAGGGACGGAGCGTGGCAAAGGCAGTCAATGGGCGAGGTTCGGCTGCGGTTGGCATGGACCGGCAGGGACGGAGAGCAGAGATCGAGAGGAGAGAGACTTTGAGCCGGAACGGGGGAAGGCCGTCGCTGGTCGAAGCGGCCAGGCTAGTGTCGTGGTCTGTACCCGTCTGCCAGATGCGGTGGTGCTGCTCCGCCCGCGCGATCCTCCGGTTGGGCCGCGAATCGCTGCGGCTTAGTCACCCCGGCAGGGTCACCGGACAGCGAATCACCGCTGGCGGACAGAGCTTAGCTTGGAGTTACTGTAATGAGCTCCCCAGCAGAGTGCTTCTGAAACATCCTCTGCTGCGATTCATGAGGGACAAAATAATAGCCACATTAATTAATGTACTGAATGATGCCCACTGCCGTCCTGAATAGATGGCATAGGTCGCAGTGGCTGCGAATTCCATCCGGCGGACTAAGCGCCAGGCAGCACCAATGTGCCTGATCCGTCACGCTGCCGTGGTACCTCGACTCGCTCAACACGGCAGTGATTGGCCGATGCCCCGTTCGTCGATTCCAGTGATCTTGATTAACCGCCTGGCCTGTGCACGGGATCCTGGTCACGATCGCCATTTCTGGGCCTTCTCGACAGCACTGGGAGATGCTCCAATGTTAATGCGCTCGAGGGGTGATAGAGAAATCGCGACTCGCCTTCAGAGCGCATCGCTGCACGAACAGACAGTACGCACCTTCCAGTTGTAGACTAAGTTCCCGGTTGCGCCGGGCAGGAGCGATGACGAAATAGATGGCTCGAAGTCACCCCTGCAAGAGCGCCATGCTCTCGACACTGTCCACTGATAACAAGCAGCAGAGTTTAGCGGGCCCCATCGTAACATCATGCAGCGCTGGATGACAAGCGTCATTGACAGTTCTATTGCACCACAATGATAGGCGTGTCGTTCAAAGGCATCTGCACGTCGGCGCCTATCGGTTCGCTCTCCCCCGCTGGAAGCCTCAGGCATCAAAGTGGGGGTAGCTTCAGCGTTCAGGAACACATCAAACCTCCGCCACCAAACAAGCATTTCTTCATGCGGATCTGATTGATACTATCTCGACTTAGATCAAACCCAAGAAGCCAAAACTTTTCTGGACAAAAAGCAGCATCATAGCATCTACAGACCGGCACCTCGGAAGCTCTTGGACCCTTTTCCGCCGTCATAGCATCTCCGCAGATTCTGAAACACGCCCACCATGGCGGATGCAGAGTTGGAAGAGGTTGGTTCGCAGCTTACCCCGCAGTGACAAAAAAAAAAAACGAACAGCAGCGTGTTTGAAACCACCGAAGCGGAGAAATACTAAGACATTCGGGTCCTGCGCAGATTAGAAGAGCCCGTCTCGCACAGTTACAGCAGCAGGCGGGCCGGGGAGGGCCTGGCGGTGGTGAGGGTTCAAGCCAGGAGGAACAAAGACGGTAAGTGTTTAGAGTTGCTGAGCTGGCCCTCGAAGAAGTTGGAGAATGCTTCATGCCTATATTTATGGTTTCTTTCCTTTCTTCTTCTTTCTTTTCCACTTGAAACTGCGCCGTGCGTTGAATATGGTCAACGCCGTTGGTGCGGGGCAAATTGTCATCCTCGGTCGTCTGGCGTGTTATCGGATCTCGCGTGACAGGTGCTGACCAATTTTCTTCTTCTGATCAGGCAAGCCGAAGGTATGCAAACTCTCCAGCATCTAAGAGCGCATGGATAGCGCCAAACGAGTTTCAACAGAAACTGACCTTTCTCCATAGCTGAGCGACGTTCTGCCATTCTCTCTCAGATTCTTGAACCTGCCGCCGCGGACCGTCTGGGTCGGATACGCCTCGTAAAAGAGTCGCGCGCCACAGATATCGAGAACCGTCTCATCATGATGGCCCAGACCGGGCAACTGCGACAAAAGGTGACAGAGGACCAGCTGAAAGAGCTGCTTGGGGCAGTTGCGGAGAACCATCGCAAAGAGGAGGAGGAGCACAAGATTGTGATCAACCGGCGAAAGGGTGGCTGGGATGATGACGACGACCTTTTGGATTTGTAGCATTCGCGGCCCTTATTTTTATCTTTACTTTCTTTTTTCAACTAAAATCTGGGTTTGCATATAGGCATGTATATTTTATGAGTTGAGATGTGCTTTATGAATATCAAACCGCACCTTACGCAATCGGAGTGTGATCTTGTTGATCATGATTCAGGTATATCAGTCATTGGAGGAGGCGTTTTGTATATACTGTACTGTACATGTTTTTGGATTTCAGAGTGCGAATTGTCCACCATTATCGAGGGTCAAAAAAAAAGGAAACGCGTTATTCCAGACCCATTCCTAATAATACAAATACGTGAAGTTGGCTTTGCAAGCCATCGAGTTCGTCTACTTGAAGTCTTCAGGCCGCGTTCTGCGCCTGTCTCTCCTTTTCCCTCTTCTGCTGTTGCCGGATCATCCGGCGTATCTCTCGCAGGTCTGGTGGCCTCTCGATACCCAATTCGGCCCGCAGCTCGTCGACATCCCGCTCCAGCTGCTCTTCCCAGTAGACATTGATGAGCTCCTCGCTGTTCAAGCCGCTGCGCACCGCCCACGGCAGGTGCAGTGAGAAGAACCGCTCGCGCTCGGCGGGCTTCAACCGCACGACAGCGAACAGGCTCAGCGCCGTCATTGGGATCAGCGTATTCAGGAATTCGAACGCTTTCAGCGCCAGTTCGCCTTCCACCATCGTCGGAAGACCGGTTATCGCGTGGTAGAAATCATGGCATTCGCGGTATCGCTGCATGACGTACGCGCACTCCTCATCGTCGATGTACTGCACTCTGTTGCGAGTATCTGGCGAGACGCCCTCCCGGTCCAGCCAGGCCGCGTATGTGCGGCCCACCGTGTTCTCGGGGAGCGAGCGCAGGTAGGGCAGTGAGAGAGTCTCCGAAGTAATACGGGGCCGGTCCCGAAGGATACGCCGACCAGTGGGATTGGCCAGCATAGCATCACGAAGACGGTAGATAAAGTAGGGGGTTGCGGTGGCTTCACCCAGGGCGGCAATGAGATCTGAGTGGGTCAAATGCAGGGATTAGCAGGATGCCAACATGTAAAAAAAAAAACAAGGAATAAAAAATCCTACCGCCTCTCCGAGGATTCAACAACGATCCCACCGCAGAGCCCACGGCCAGGGCGCCGCGCTCGACAAAGGTCAGAGGGACATGACCCGGATAGTTCGGCGGCGGGCGGTTCAAGACGGAGAATGCGCGCAAGGCAATGGAAGCGCTCAATGGAGGAGGAGGATGATGGAAGCCCGTTGCTCGAACAGCGAGCGCGCTCGCTCCATGCCTCACAAGCGCCGGCATCATCGATCAATGTCTGGATGGAAATGAAAGGTGTGCATGACGCTGCAATGCGAGCAGCGTGACTGATAACGGATGGTCCAGCTCCGATGGACTCCGTACACTGACTGGATCACTGGGCTCCATGAGGCCGGATTTCTGTCCCCGGTTTAGCGTGCCTGCCTATTTGGGAATAGTGCCATCAGTCGATATCATGTCCACTGTATAAATCTCATGGTGGCCCTGCGAATTTTATCAATGTTCTCCATTATCCTGATTTATTTTTCTTGATTCTATATTTCTCCACACTATTGTTAGTCTTTCACCTACTCTATCCCTTTTTTTTTGCTGTGGCTTTTTGGTTTTTCCTAATCCTGCTTCTATCAGCATTATTTACTAGGATTCTAACATATAACTGTATTTCCTATTTCTTAATTGGAAGACCCTGCCATATAAATTAGTGGGTGCGATTGTGCATTATGACCTGATTATTCCTTAACCTGTCCCCTTAGCTGGCACATTTCGCCGTCGAATTCTCCGCCCAGTGAGCGATGTGTTCTCAGTACTGCTCATTCTTGGCGGCGATGTTGTGGCCAGAGCGCTCGCCCAAGTCTCTGGTTCACCCGTGACGCCGATGGCTTTCTCGTTTGGTGTGTTTCAGCCAAATGCGTATTTTAGAAGACGAATGTTGATGTACTGTACCTACCTATCTAGGATGGGTCGCCTACGCCGTTACCACCGTCGTGTCCGCCGTCGGCGAAAACAGATTGATGCCGCTACCGGACTGTGATTGGATTTACATGATAGGATTCGCCACGAGTATTGTCCAGCTCGGTATTGCGGCCATCCCGTGCGGTGTGTACGGCGACTGGGGAATTTTGCTGGTCACTGCCAGTGGGATTGTGCTGTCTTTCGCTACTGGCGCCCTCGCGCAGTGGAAGCGTGAGAAATGGGCATGTCGCCACAACACCGAAAAAACGGTGGTTCTGACCAAAGGCAACGGCAGTCAGCATGCAATTGTGATCATTGGTGACAACAAGGGTCTCGATTTTGAGGACCTGGCTACCGGTCCTGTCACTCTGGGTAATTCTGCGTCGTCTCAGACTAGGTTTGCTTTAATCGTGCTCGCGGCGCTGTGGATCTTGCTCCTTATCACCGCCGCAAGCCTGCACCAAAACACTTGGTTCCTGCTTGCAGTGGGTGGGATAGGAATGCTCCAGAACATCTTCGTCGCAGGCGCCAGGCGGACCCCGAAAGACTTCGGCGTGCCATTGGTCTTTGAAGCTGTCATAGCGGAACCTAAAGTCATGGACACGCTGTTCGCAGTTGAGAAGGCGTATCCCCGTGTGGGGAGGAGTATGAGAGAGACGTTTTTTCCAGCATCATTGCACCCGAAAGAGAAGGAGAGGTGGGAGGAGTTTGAGATGGTCGCCGATGCTTTGGATGAGTCGATGAAGAGTGATGGGGAGAGAAATGGTAACATTAATGCGAAAGCTAGTGATAAGCAATCGCATATGCAAGAAGCGTACACCGAGAAAGATGGGCCAGAATAATACCCAGGAAAAAAAAAACGCTCAAGGTGTGAAGATATACAAGTTTGATATGGTATCCATTGGTGTCGTAGCAAATTGTCATTGATGATGTCTTTACTCTGTGCCTCTAAAAGTGCTGGCGACCAAATTGCTAACCCTCCATCTTCTTCAACCTTGACACGCAGAGTTCTTGGGTAGAAGCTGGCTGATATGATTGATAAGACTCCCTTTTCGTATTCCTTCTCGGCTTCACGTGGCTCGGCGGAGCACGTGCCGGGGCCTGCTGCAGCTTAGGGCTTAACCCCGCCATTCTGGACTCTTCGAGTTCCGACCTGGCCTGGTAATATGAACAGTTGATGTTGGAAAGAGAGGCTGAGAGATGACATCTGGCCGCGGTTTGGCCTGCGAAGAAGAATGAAACAACGAATCTACAAGGAGAAATAGGTTTACTGCCATTCGATCCTTCTAATCACTTAGATACCCCACCATTTCATATTTCTGTACCTACAATGGCTGTTTTCTTCGTTTCCGGATCCAAGAATTATTACGAACTTGCAGAAAGAAAGTAAGCAGTCGAGATGGCAACTGATAACTTGCCTGGAGAAGAGCATGCTGCGTTCATGCGGTGGGCGATTTCTCAAGGCGTCGAAATCAACGGTGTCGCACCCGCAAGGTTCCCGGGACGGGGTATAGGAATGGTGGCTTTGAGGACAATCGAAGTACGAGAATTGACCATTGACCTGTTGGAGTTTGGCATTCGTGGACACTGATTTGAGACCCTACGAAAAGGAGGACGAGATCATGGTGGCAGTTCCCCGGGAGGCAATGTTGACTATTGACTGCATCCCTCCGTCTTTTGTCAACAAATTCTTAAATGGCATCTCGGTCCATGGGCTCATTGCTGCATTCCTCACGCATGGTGACCCTGAGCTCCTGAAGAAGTATGACCTTTGGCGAGCTGTATGGCCTAGTCGTCAAGACTTTGAGGAGGGAATGCCCATCCTATGGCCAGAGAGACTCCGAGTGTCAAATTCCAAGTTCCAGAGCAATTCATCAAACCCGATAGCTTTGCCCCCTTCAGCTTCAGGGCTGTGGAATTCCATCCGGAAGAAGCCCGTCGAGCACGAGTATGAAACCAAGCACCAGAATCTCCTCGCGCAACAAGAGAAGAGACTGCAGGATGCCTGGAGAAGCGTTACTGCTGTCTTTCCGGATACCGACTGGGAGACATACTCGTATTACTGGCTGATTGTGAACACGAGAAGTTTCTACTACCTCATGCCAGGAGAAGAACCGCCGGAAGACTCAAATGATGCAATGGCATTGGTGCCGTTTGCAGACTACTTCAACCATACGGATGATGCAGTCAGTAATGACTCTTAAGAGTTTCCCTATTATCACACCAACATCTGACGTTCTTTCTTTTCCAGCAATGTGATGTGAACTTTGATGGAGAGAGATATACCTTCAAAGCTACTCGACGCTACGGTACTTTCTTGTGTACCATACACATATGTGGGGATTTCGGCTGACAGAATGAGTGATCTAGAAAAAGGGGAAGAGATATACATGAGTTACGGACCTCATCCTAACGATTTCCTCTTGATTGAATGTGAGCTCTCGACTCTCTTGGACTGTTTTAAGCTGAGCGATATGAATTAACAGAAGATGTAGACGGCTTCTTCCTGGACGAAAACGAGTCAGATGCGATCTATTTGGACGATATCATCTTCCGGGATCTGACCACATCAGAGAAAGAGGAGCTGAGACTCCATCAGTATTACGGGTATGTACTGTATAGCGAGGTTTTTTGCGTAACTGCTTTCTCCCTCATGATATGAAAACTTCCCATCTTGTCATTGAAGTCATCATCATCCGCACCTCTCACCTTGATACTCATGAGACAACATCCTTGCCAATTTTTTCCCCTTCTCTGGTTTCTTTCTATATTTTCCTTTCGTTACACGTTCTGTTTCTAATCTAGCCATCCTGTTCTACAGAAACTACCAAGTTACGAGCTCCACCGGCCCATGCTTCCGCACCGAAGTCGCCGCCTGCTTGAAATACATGTCGCGGAGGGACTGGGCGAAACTACGTCCTGGGATGGGGTCATTCCATTCCCAACCCAAAGAAGACGAACGCGGTCATCCGTCGCTGGATAGGGACATATGTGAAGGAGGCTGACGTGACCATTGACATCTTGGAGAAAATGCTTGAGAAGGAGGATGATGATAAGGTTAAGACGAAAGTCAACACGTTGATACGACGGTGGAAGCAGATTAAACGGCTGTGCGAGCAAGCTACGACGAATATGAGGGATGATGCTACGGACTAATTAGGGAGGTAGGCCTTGTATGTCATATTTTTTTTCCTATTCTCTGCCGTCTTCTGGCGAGAGTGGGAGATGAGTTTATTGCCAGGCTACCACTAAATTGGGTGTGGTTTTAAATAAAATTCACCGTTTTAAAAAGGAAAAAAGAAAATGAAACGCTGTACAGTGACCTAAAAGTACAGGGAAAAGTGAAAAAAAAAAGATCCTGATCCGATCAATCCTCCTCCTCCAGATGCGACAGATCCAGCGGAATAGCCCCGGCATTTCTCTGTGTCAGAATGTCACTTTTTCCAATGACCATCTGCATGATCAGGTAGTTCAACGCACACCTGATCCCCAATTCCTCCCCTCGGCGAACGATGTACCCGTTCATGTACTCAATCTCCGTCTTTTGGCCCCGCCGGACATCCTGGAGCATCGAACTGGTGTTCTTTGCCGTCTTGTTGGCCAGATGCACCGCCATATTTCGCAATCGTTCCGGCGAAAAGCGGGAGTTGATACCCGGAACACCCTGCAACTCAGGCAGGGCGCAGATTACGGTAGAGATCTCGATGAGGAGCAGACGCATCACGCGGGTGATGTTGTAGTTGTAGAGGAGTTCGCCGTTCTCGCAGTCGAGAAGCACAGTGAGGGGGTTGATCACGCAGTTCATGGCCAACTTCTCCAGCTGGTACTGGAGTAATGCTGTCGGCGTCTCTGCGACGGCCACAAGGGGCGGCGTGAGAGTCAATGTTCGGAGGAGATATTTTGTGGATGGCGCCCAATCCTCATCCTTCTCTTCGCCGGCTTTGAGACGACCCCCCGCCGGCAGAGGACTGAGAATGGTTGTCCCCACCCCTGTGTGAGAGACCCGGAAAGGTTCCTGTCGTGCTAGACCATGTGAAATAAGACCCATCATGTAATGAGGCCGTCGGTGCGGGTCTGGGAAAACCTTCTCATTGAGCTCCTCAACCGTTCCCATGCCGTTCTGGAGTAGAAGCACGGTCGATTCTGGCGTCAGACGGTGGCTGACGGATTTCAGAGCCGTCACCGTCTGCTGGGCCTTGACCGCCACGATCAAACATTCAATCTTCTCATCGTCTTCCTGAGACTGACGCAAGTCCTCGTGAACATCCTCGATATGAAGCTTCCCATCGGCATCGACCACATCATCATGCGCTTCGCCGTTTGGCTTCCAATACGGTAACGAGTACCACGTCCGGTCGTTCAGAACGTTGATATCGAAGCCCGTCTTTATATCGTCGAGCCCGTTCGTGTTGATAGACAGGCATCTTTTTCTTGCCAGCCAATCCGCATAAAGTCCCGGGTTATGTAGAAGGAGCGTAATTGGGGGTGGGGATTTTCGAGCCGCCAGTGAATGTGCCACAAAGGTACCGACGTTTCCCAATCCTAAAATATGAATTCGACCAGACAGGCGACGCTTGTCCGTTTCCCTTGATATCTCTTCGACATCTTGCATCCACGTTCTCCGACTCGGCCCGCTCGAGAAGCATCGGCATGTGGCCCAGCGGCCAACGTCGGGGCTAGGAGCGTGACATGTTTGCGGTGCGGACTGGAATATCAGTCCAATCCGCAATAGCGGACGGTGCAATAGTTTGCCAGACACTTTGAAAGATTGAATGATGAATCCCCCAGAAAAGCTGTATAAAACCTTCAGGACGGATGAGGGCTGAGTATTGGCCTCAGGCTCTCATTATGAGCAGCCAATGAGACTCCTGGAGAGCTCAGGAACAAAATAGCATGGGATGATGGGGCAGAAAATGTGATTGGTCCTTCTTTTCAGTCACAGCCGTAGAAGGGGCAATGTTGACGCTTGTCGTGTGCTGTGTATTTACCTGCGATAATACTTTCACGACTGACGTAAGTTGATTCCAACCGCGAACTCCGCCAAACTACCCACTCACCGCCTGCGGGCAAAATCCGTCAGAAAAAAAGTTCGCGGCACAGCGCGTTCTTGCTATTTCTCCACACAACCAATGTACGATGGAGGTTGCTGACCTGATGCCGCTTGTTGAGCGGCTTGAGGACAATGTCGATGACCTGGAGGAGGTTTTGCAGCCCCTCTTGGAGAGATCCCTGGCCGATACGTCAAGCAAACTACCGCTGCTTGACAAAGCCAAACTGCACGTGCTCCTCACGTACACCTTGGAGTCTCTGCTTTTTTGTATGTGATCACAGCTTGATTTCTTTCCTGAGGACTTTTGTTGCTAATACACTAATAGGCTACTTGCGTCTCCATGGTGTCAATGCTAGAGAGCACGCCGTGTTTAGGGAACTAACTAGAGTGAGGCAATACTTCGAGAAGATCAAAGCATTAGAGACGGAGCCTGAGAAACGGACCATGACTCTGGATAAACAGGCTGCCGGTCGTTTTATCAAACATGGCCTTGTAAGTTGACATCAGTTCTGCTCATGATAGTCTTTAAATTGTTAATTCTCGCCCAGGCTGGAAACGATAAACACGATCTAGAGCGCGCCGAAAAAGAAGCAAAGGAAAAGGCAATGGCCCAGATGCGAGCGGCGATGTTAGCCAAGAAAAGCGCGACCAATACACAAGAACGTCAAGAGCAAAAATCATCTGAGAGTAGTTCTGACTCCGACTCCGACTCTGACTCGAGCTCCGATTCTGAGTCGGCGAGCAATTCTGATGATAGCGAAGAAGCAACAGCGCATGGCGAACGAGCAACGAAACAAGCTGAGCCATCTATACCTCATAAATCCGCAAAAGCAAAGGCCAAGGAAAGACGGGAACAGGCCAAAGCTGAAAAAGCACTACGAAAGCTCAAACAGCAAGCTCAGGGCGCGCAGGGCGCGCAGACGGAATCTAAAGACGAGGCCAAGAAGGCGCGAAAGATGAAGAAGGAGAAGAAGAAAGCTAAGAAGAAGAAGAAGAAGCTTCAAGCCGCAAAGGAGAAAAGAGCAGCCGGATGACCACCCCTAGTCGTTGGCCGTTTTTCACCATCTCTGCCTTCTAATGCCATTATGGCTTTTGGAAACTCCCGTAGTAGGAGTCTCGAATCCTTCGCTGTCGTTCGCTGACGGTCTTTCTTCTAATGCTGTATATTTACGGTTCATGATGTTCCAGTTCTTCATTCTTCATATGACGTTCAAATGCGTTGGCGGCTAAGTGGCGTTTGGGGAAAGGAGTTACATGTTTAGTGTCTACTTCTGGGTTGTTATCAATAGCAGAGGAAAAAAGATTGGGAACGGGTTTTCCTCTTATCCATCATTATACTTTTGAGTCATTCTGACTGCCTGATTTCGATGGCTTTGATAGTTTATGCCAGATGATTCCCAAGCGACATATCTGATTGGGAATTTTTCTGTACTGACCTTCACATCACACTTTACTTCACACATAGATAAAATACAAAGAATAGATTTATCGAGAACCTTCTTCTTAGGATTTTACTAGATCTTATGGGATGAATCATATCATAACAGATCGCATGTTCTGTCCATAGCTGGAACTATCCTTAAAGCCGGGAGGGTTCGCGGCCCCGACCAATCAGCACGGCCGTCTGCGGCATTCGCCTCGCCTCGGTCCAACCCGGAGGCGCATCGGGGCTTTGCGAGCCAAACTCCGACTTTCGAGCTTCTTCTCTCCAATGACTGGCCTACTTTTACTACTTCAACTTCTCATCGAGACCATCTCACACTCTTTCTCTCTTCCAACGATCAATCCCCTCGCTGCGCTACGTGCACTATCCGATCGCATCTGAATCGCATCTGTCTTTTCCATCGCTGAAAAAAACAACCACATTTTCATCTAAAATGCCTCGTCAACGCCGTGGTGCCGCCACCCCAGCGAGCGCTCCTACCAGACCAACTGCTGCTCCCGCCAAACCCGCTGCTCCTCAGACGCAACACCAGCAGCCTCACTCGACTGCTGCTCACCCTCCTGCGCCGGCTGCCCAGCCGCAGGCGCCTCCTGCGGCTCCTGCTCAGCAGCAGAGCTCTGGCCCCGGCCTGTTCGCCCAGATGGCTTCGACCGCTGCGTAAGTGCGCCCGTTTTCTATTTCAGTCTCGATGTGGAGGATGAAGGATGTGCCTCGAGCTTTGAATCGGCAACGACAAAAGAATCTGTATTTTCGCCACATACGCATATTCAGCTTGAGGGCACCGGATATACTCGACATCGGCTTAGTTGGAATGGGAACATAAGCTGACAAAACGTACAGTGGTGTCGCAGTTGGTTCCTCCATCGGCCACGCCATCGGCAGCCTCTTCACTGGTGGCTCCAGCAGCGCCCCTGCTGAGACTCAACAGGCTCCTGCTCCCCAGGCTCAGCCTATGGACAGCAACCTCTACCAGAGCAACGCCTGGGAGAACTCTGCCTGTGAGACGGATGTGCGAAACTTCCGCAAGTGCATGGATGACAACCAGGGCAACCTGACCATTTGTGGATGGTACCTGGACCAGCTGGTATGTTGAACAATGTTTCTCCCTTCTTTCGACAGGAAGTAATGGATGCTAACAACGCCCGAAAATACAGAAAGCTTGCCAGGCGGCTGCCAAGCAGTACTAAGCTGTTTCCATCCATCCATCCATCTTATCTGTCTGTCTCTGATTTCGTTTATTACAATAAAATGGCGGGAACTCTGATCTGAATTCTTTCAATTCAAGCGCCTCCTAACCTGGAACCTTTCTTTGGGTTTTGGGTAATGGAAATGGATCATGTCTTATTTACACCATCCATTTGATTTGCATTTGCATGTCATGTGATCGATGAGACCCATCATGTACCAATTATTTTTTGTTGTAAATTTAGCAAGCAAGCAACCTGGTTGCTGTTGACGCATGTGATTCGCTCCTACTACATCACGCGTCTCCTCTCTAAATACAAGCTATAAGACAAGAAAAGAGAAAGAAAGGAACAAAAGTGACAGAATAGAAAAAAAAGAAGAAAAACAGATAATACAGAGATACTCCTCTCATATTTGACCTCCCCCTTTTATAAGCGTATGAATGGACGATTCAACTTGTCGGTAGTTTTACAGCAAAGAAAGGAAGTACGAGGAATACATATCAGTAATACGCCAGAGAAATACGAGGACTAGCAGGGTAGCAACGACGCCGCCGCCCTTCTAGATAGAAGGTTAGGTAGATAATGTATGATTACGTCAGGGTCAATCGTTCTTCCGATCATCGTCTCTTCGAGGCTCGAAATTGAGCTGTTTTAGGAGTTAGTAAACAGATGAAAGATGATGGATAGAGAAGGGAGAAGGAAAAGGGGTAATTACCTGATTCCCATTGTAGAATTGGTTGTTGTCATGCTCTTCCCTCTGGTCTCTCAATGTCCGGATGTTGATCCCTCGCGATGACGCAGCAGCGGGTCGGGGTGGTTTGGTGTTGTTTACGAGTTGTTGAGAGCTGTTGTTATTATTACTACTACTGACAGGAGTGTTACTGCTGCTTGCTGCAGAAGTTGTGCCTGCTGGGCCGTATCCAAGAAATGACCCAACCAGCCCTGCTACCGTCCCAACGACAGCGGAAACGAGACTGTACCCCGCGGAGATGGCCCGGACAGGGAGGCTGGAGCTGGAAGAAGATGAGTAGGCCTCAGTGTAGGAGTGCACGGGAACCATGACGAGGTTGGCAGTCGGGCCCAGGCCCAGCTCTTCCAGCGTCCGCTCTTCCTCGGCGACAGAGATCGTATGGCTGGGAAGAGGCGTCAGCACATGTTTGAGGGTGTACGGCTGGTTGCCATCGGACCGCTGCTCGTCGAGCCAAGGACGCACGTCGCCGCGGACAGTGGCCGAAGGAGGGAAACTCGTTCGCACGGAGCTGCCGTCGAACAGTCGGACTTGGAGACGGTATTGTTGCGGTTTGGCCGGAGACGACCCAGACGCTTGTGTCACTCCATGAGTAGCCCTAGCCTTCTCTTCAGCCTCTCTGCGCTTCCGCTCCTCCCTGTCTTGCTTGATCTGGTTGCGGATTCGTTCCCGTTCCTCCTTTCGCTGCTGCTCCAGCTTCCGTTGTTGCTCCCTCCACTCCTGCAGATCTCGCTTTGACCGATCTGCGACGGACTCAGACTCCTGAGATGCTTCCACTGGTCGTTTCCCGGCACGGATACTTTCTCTATTCCTCCTTTCTGTGTCTTGCGCTTGTGGTCGCGTATGGCGGTCTGGCTGAGCTGGTGGGTTGGACGCAGGCGGAACGTTCGAGGTGTCTGCAGGAGGACTGGTCGTGTTTGCTGCCGCATTCTGAGGTGTCGACTGGACTGGAGCTGTCGGATTAGATGTGTTCGGTACGAGTACAGCCTTCAGACGTTTCTGAAAGTCATCCTTCGGAGTGCCCGCAATAATATACTCCTGGATCATCCCATTTCTACCGCAGCCTGTTAGTTGTCATATGACCATAGAGAGAAATTGACGGTTAATCATACTTTATCACCACTACCGTTGGAAATGTATTAATCGGACAAATGGACGTCAGGAAGCCAGCTTCCTGGGTGCCTGCTGTCAACCGAAGAGTAACGGCATTGTCTTTGACTAGTTGAGCGATCTGTTGAATCGGTTGGCTTGTCTTGTCCCGGATACACTCTCAATAAGACGCAGAGGCGACTCATACCTCATCATCAAAATATTCCTTCTCCCACTGAGCACTTTCCTGAGCATCGTCTGTCGGGGCATCATCCTGCGTTAGAGCGATATTGTACAGAGCGGGGCCTCGATTAAGTACGAACCTCGAACGAAGCAAATCACGGACTTTGCTTCCTGGACAGCAAGCGTAATACCGCTCTGGAGATCCCCTTCGTAAAACATCATGAAGACCTCATTTTCATGTGAAACAATCTGGCATGGGCGTGTGGTTGATGACAGCAGAGCATCCGCCTGGGCTCCGCGGCGCATGTGAACTGCAGCTATCGTGCACGGGCCACACCTTCTTTCCGTTCTCCGGAGCGTGAATTCTGCGCGGTTGCAAATTATTATTGTTAGGGATTCCCTCAATGGCTCACAATCGCCCTGTAATGCTCCCGAGTCTGTGGTAATAAACAGTCTCTGCCACTCGTTTCATGCTTCCTCACTTTCCAGCTATCAGTTCGACATGAATTCTCCATTTTCCGGTCTCTATAGGGCCGCGTCCGCCTTCTCGCGGTCATCACGGCTTCTGCGGAATACACCTCGATCTTCACCCATTCCCGACTCAGTATGCGCGAAATGTCGCAGACAGCAGATACGCTTCAATAGCGGCCGACAACTAGCAGACGACCCCCAATGGGTTTCACCCATCGACCAGCCCGCGCAGATTGTGCGCGTAGGGAAAAGGCATGGACCCGGCTTGATCATTCTGGGTACGCACTTGGCAAAATTACCCCAAATTATCCGGCCTACTTTCGTTCGATTATCCCAGTATAGTGGCTAATTATTATCAATCGAATAGCACTGATCCCGGTTACTGCATTCATCTTGGGCACCTGGCAAGTGCAGCGTCTGGACTGGAAGACCAAATTGATCGCAAAACTCGAGGATCGGCTTGTGCGCCCTCCCCTTCCGCTCCCTCCCAAAATCGATCCGGACGTAATATCGGAATTTGACTACCGTCGTGTTTACGCCAAAGGCCATTTCCGGCATGATCAGGAGATGCTTATCGGCCCGCGCATGCACGAGGGCGAGGAAGGGTTCATGGTGATCACACCACTGGAGAGAGGTCAAGGGGAAAGTACGGTGCTTGTCAACAGAGGCTGGATCTCTAGGAAGCTACAGGACCAAAAGGACAGACCTCTTGGCGTGCCAAAGGGTGAGGTCGTCGTCGAGGGCTTGTTGCGGGAACCGATGAAGAAGAATATGTTCACTCCAGAAAACAAGCCCGAAGAAGGAAAATTCTACTTCCCAGATGTGAACCAGATGGCAGAACTAACTGGGAGCCAACCCGTCTTGATTGAAGAGACAATGGGTGGGTCTTCTTGATTCTTAGAATACATGCGATTGAGCTGATCGAATGCTGTAGTACCCGATTTGGTGGAGACTTACGACCGACAGGAGAAAGGGATACCTATCGGTCGCCCTCCCAAAGTCAACTTGAGAAACAACCACCTCCAGTACATCTTTACCTGGTACGTTGTGCAACGCAGTCGATTTACCTATGCCCCATCAGCATGATTCATAGACCTGAATTAATTGTTACTCACACTGTGACCAGGTACGGGCTGTCACTGGCGACATCAGTCATGCTATGGATGGTTGTCCGGAAGCGTCCGAACGAGGCGCTTCGAAGAGTCAGGCAAAGTAGACAGTGGTAGTGCGTATATATGTATATCATGGTGCATTCCAACTCCATTTAGCGACATTCACAGACTTAAGACTTAGGGATGTAGGCGTTAAGGGGGCAATGAAAGTCGCATATCCTGCAACAGTTCCTTTGGGAGATGTTTTTGAGCTAGGGAGAATACAGTGTTTGAGCTGTTAATGTGCCGTTGCCTGTTGCAACTGCTTAGCAAAAAGGCTTTGATGGGGATTCGGGGGTTCTGACCTTCGCATCAGGGTCATCACATCACTTTCGTCGATGGTCTTGCGCCCTGCATGCTTGGCGTACGTTGCAAGGTCTTCACTTGCTTGTTCAAAGAACCATTCCGATGCCTGCTCGATGGCAGCCAGTGCCTCTTTGCTGATCTTTGTTTTGGCTCCCGAGCCGGTCCTGGCGAATCGCATGGCCAACCTTTTCACTACTCCGGAAGGGAGGTTCGGAACTGGGATACCATGTCGTGAAAGCTTCTTCTGCTTTCGACCCACTGGGAGAGGTTCATCCCGTAGCCCGCCTCCAATGATTCCAGGAGTTCCAGCGTCTGATACTTGATCGGGGACGTCAACGTCGAGCCCAAAGTCCCCAGCAGCCGCAGCGTCATCATCAGATGATGGGAAGCCAGCGTCGGGTTGCGCATCGGCCGTGTTGAGCATGAAGTCCTCGTCATCATTGGCGAGCGCGAGGTCAGGTTCAGCCGCGCCTTGACCACTGGGAGATGGGAAATTGAATTCCAGATTAAACCGTCCGAGATCCTCGGTTTCTCCTCTTGAACTTTATCAGCGCGATTAGTCTAGGTAGTAGCAATGTCTTTACGTACCCTGCGTCGAAAGCCCCTTGGCCAAGAGTCGTATCATCCTGTGCCTCCTCATCGTTGCCCTGCTGTAGTGTCGTAACATCACCAGTTTCCGAGGCACCATCAAGCCTGCTCAAGTCACCAAAATTCTCGCTCAGTCTGACGTCCCCGAAGCTCATTCTCGATAGTCTTGCTCGATCTTGTTCACTCATTGCTCTCCGTGGATATTCGACAGATCTCTGTGTGATATCTTCCTCATCGAATGCCAAGGAGAGCCGGGGGGGCGGTTCAGGGCTGCCCTCCTCGATCTCTCCAGTGTCCTCGTCGATTGGAAGCGAGAGACGTGGCCGCTCCGGAACAGGTTCATTATCGAGCTCGTCAATCTCATCTCTTTTCGGTGGTGGGGGTTCCTCTTCAGGAGACGAACTGATCGGCTTCGATATGGGAGCCAGTGCTATTCAAGATGTTAAGGTCAGTCGCAATGTCCTGCGTCGTTCCCAGCGGATCGAATGACCGGAACAGCATTGAGTAGTCACCTTTCCCGAGATTTTTCAATATGTCAAATGGTGTCTCCCTCTGCACGCGACCACTTCGCCGTCGGTCTCGTCCAGGAGTGTTGGCAGCTCGTCGCTGAATAGCCCGAAGTCCAAAGGGGGTCGAAGGCGCTCCTCCACGAGGTGTCCGCCTGGCTGCTGAACGAATGGCAGTGGGAGTTAGTGTCGTAAAGCGGCCGGGAGTGACCGGATCTCTAGGCATAGCTGCCAGCTGCTGGATTCAATCGGTCAGCCAGTTCATCAGGTAAAATTGTTCTCGTTACTTACTGTTGTAACCGTTGTGTCTCGATCACCACCCCCTCCACTGCCCGGCGGCGAGGGCCTGTCGCTGGATTTAGGGGTCGACATTGGGACGCGAAACAATTGCTTCAAAGCAAGCGAATAATGAACGTGTGGGTGTATACGACAGGAAACATAAGTCCGAGACCCACGTCGCCAGTACGCCTCGTGGGGTGATTGATGTGACTTCATTCAAAACAGTGTTTAGCTTCCAAGGCACGCGCTGCGGGTGGAGCTGCTAGGCGTTGCCGGAAACGGTAATGCGCCTATCGATAAGATATGATGACTAAGCAGATGCTCAAAATTTCTTGACCATTGAAACAGCGTAACATAGGCTATCAAAGTAACCTGAATATTTGCCCTCTCAAATTCTGGAGGATTTTTAAACATGGCCGAAAAGCCTTCGGCACCATCTTCTACACTGCCCGCCAAAAAGGCGAACAAAAAGCGGAAGAGACAGGAAGTGGAGGAGTCTTCCAAGTCTGAAGCCGCGTCGACAGACAAGACGACCAATGATGCTGAAGGACCAAGCGCGAAGAAGAGAAAGCGCAATAAGGACAAATACAATAAGAATAAGGATAAGAAGAAGAACAAGCAGAAGCAGAAGCCCAAGCAGAGGCCGAAGCAGAAACCAGAGGAGGTAGTCGTGAAAGAGCGAGAAGGAAAAGACGGCATCGACGAGTCGATCAGCAAGATGGATGGTCGCTTGTTGGCGGATCATGTTATGCAAAAGGCCAAGAGACATAACAAAGACTTGACGGCGGTAGAGTTGAATGATCTGAGTGTTCCAGGTGAGTCATGTTTGTTTATTAGAAATGATTTAGCTATATTGTGTTCCGGCAGTGGAATAGAAAACTAACTGGCGGGCTATAGAGCAAGCATTCCTTGATACTACATCATTCGAATCACGGACTCTGGCTCAATTGCCAGCTTTTCTGAAAGCATTCAGTCCCGAGCAAGGTGCCGGTTTGTCGAAGGCTTCTGAAGAGAAAGGGTGTCCGCATACGCTTGTCGTGACTTCGGCAGGCCTTCGAGCAGCCGACCTTGTGCGGTAAGTGGTTCATTTTTTCGATACAGTCTGATGGACTTGTTTTGTCCTCTTCTTTCTTTACTGTCATTATCCCCGTCAAATTTCGTCACTGACAATTCCCAGCGCACTACAGTCATTCCAAAACAAGGAAGCCATTGTCGCCAAACTGTTTGCTAAGCACATCAAACTCGACGAAGCCAAGCAATTTCTTAAACGGGCTCGAGTCAACATCGGAGTTGGAACTCCTATGCGAATAATCGATTTGATCGAGTCAGGTGAGCCATTCTTTGTGTTTGTCTAGCACTAACATTTCTATGCATATATGCACATATGAACTGTTCATTTCACGGAAGATTTTCATATGGCTAACCTAGATCTTTTTCATTTTTCATTCTCCAGGAACCCTCAAAACGCAGGAGCTGGAACGCATCGTCATTGACGGGTCCCATATCGACCAGAAGAAGCGCGGCATCTTTGACATGAAAGAGACGCACTTCCCGTTGCTGCAACTTCTGACACGACCGGAATTCCGGGAACGGTACGGCGTTACGAAAGGGAAAGGCTTGAAGATCCTTGTTTTCTGATTGAAGGTTACAAGTTTATGATTGTTCGCATCTAGAAGGTCTTTTTGTTGTTGAACTGGTCATGAAGCGCCTGCCCGTGTATGATTTTCTTTTCCTTTTTTTTTTGGTCACGTATCATCAATTACTGTACACCAAGTTTCAAACGTGAGGTTATTTCCAGTAGGACTGTGACTAAAGTGCATAAAGTCATCTGCTGCTCGACCTGATATATCTTGTAGAGTGACATTGTCGTTACTGTTTAAATAGAATAGAGAAAGAACGAATGAAAACGATCTAAATGAGCCATTAGAACAGACATAACACAAGCATTAGTCATGGCTGTTAGATCCTGTCATGAATTGCTTATCTAAAAAAGCCGGGGAAAAGGAAGTTTCCAAGTCTGCTTGCGCCAGCTGAGCGGAGCTAAGAATCAACCTTTTCAGATCGAATCCTTACTTCTGGAGTCTGGATTGTGCAGCACGAGAGACTACTCCACTCTCGCCAATTCATCCCCAAAGAGGCAGCATTCGAGTCATAAACCCTGCTAGCGTCTGCAGAGGATCCGGTGCTTCGGACACGACCCGCCGTGCAACACCCCCTCACGCTGCCACCAATGGCCCGCCCGGTTCGCTGCAGCCCGGTGGAGCGAGGCCGTCTGTCGGGTCCGGCAAGGTGAACCGAATGCAGGATGGTAGCGAGCTTTCCAAGGATCAGTCTCTGGCAAGAAACTCAATTCTCTCTCTCCTGTTCTCCCTTTTCTTCGCTGTCTGGGTGCTGCTCTTGGGCGGGCTGACCCACGTCAATGATATGACACTGGCGTCTTCCACGCTCGAGACGGCTACCGTCTCTCCTCCATCGCTCGACTGTCCGCCTCTGAGATTATCACAAAGTGTACAGCAATCGCATGCTATTGCTGAAGCCGATACCGTCCGACCACGTGCAAAGCGGCATTCTGACGGAAGTGGCAAGTCTCTGGGAAATCGCTCGCGTCCCTTGCAGCAGCCCAGCCCGCCAAAGGGCGTCAAGCGTGCCAGAATGGACGCCCCTGATTCCCCACCAAAAGTTGATGAGCCTCTCCAAGTAGATGTAGGTATCCTTCTGAGTAACTGTTTCTACGGGGAGTATGTTGACCGCCTTGTATAGAGCGACGTCAGCGACGGCACTTCTACCCTCAATGAACGGTCGACTATCGTCTCCTCCATAAGAAACTACACCTACGAGAATGGTCGTCGGTACCATTCTTACCGCGCCGGCCAATACTTGCTTCCCAACGACGACCGTGAGCAGGATCGCCTAGATCTGGGGCACCACATTTTCAAACTGATACTCGATGGGGAACTATTTCGGGCGCCCATCGAACCACGATGTGTGCTCGACATTGGTACGGGGACAGGCCTATGGGCAATCGACCTGGCAGATGAGTATCCCGATGCAGAGGTGATAGGCATAGACTTGAGTCCCATCCAGCCGTCTTGGGTACCCCCGAATTGCCGGTTTGAAGTCGATGATGCGGAAAGCGAGTGGCTATTTGCTCAACGTGGGGCCTTTGACTTCATCCATGGGAGAGCCATGTCGGGGTCAATTGGCGACTGGCAAAAACTATTCAATCAGGCCTACGATCATTTGCGGCCGGGGGGCTGGCTGGAACTGCAGGAGTATGAGACACAGGCGACTTCAGATGACGACACCATCGATCAGGCCGTCCATTTGAAGTTGTGGCAGGATAAGATCAACGAGGCCAGTCAGATCTTTGGCAAGCCGTTCATGGCCTGTACGTCACACAAACAACGCATGCTGGACGCAGGGTTCGTCGATGTGACCCAAGATACATACAAGGTAGGCAAGTTCCGGCGAGAAGCAAGGTATCGAATCTCAGGCTGACCTACGGCCGCGTAGGTTCCCATGGGCACGTGGCCTAAAAACAGAAAGTTGAAGGAGCTGGGCCGGTTCCAGCTCCTTCAGATGATCGAGGCCGTGGAGCCGTTCTCTCTGGCAGTCTTCACACGCATATTGAAGTGGACGCCGGAAGCGACGCGCGAGCTGATGGAACGGGTCAAAGCGGACCTGTGCAATCCACGGCTGCATCTCTATTCTCGGTTCCACTTTATTTATGGGAGGAAACCGGAGAAACAATAGCATTGCATTCTTCATTCGTCTATGCATATTCGATTATGGCACGGGACGGGTGTTCCTTTGTCGACAGGCGTTCTTGGAAGAGGTCGTTTTGGTGGTAAACGGGGCATTGGGCGGCAATTGGGCTTGCATAATGCTTGCATAAATACTTGCGTTCTCTGCATGGCTTCCATAAATACTTGGGTAGATATTTCTGTTCTAGACACTGTATATAGGGCTATCGCGATTGATATGTCGCGATTGAGGAATGTGTATGGATGAATCCTGGTAGCTTACTACGACAATGCAAGAGTACAGTAGCTGGATAAAGTGAAAAAAAAAGAAGGAACGTCTGACCAAAGCTAGGAAATCATATAAAGAAATAAATTTTTTTATATTTTATCAGAATTTTAGCAAAATAAAAACATACAACAGCATTTGTATGTCTTGGCTATTCTGAATCTTTGAGGGAAAAAAAAAAGAAAGAAAAAAAAAGGAAAAGGAAAAGAAAAGAATCGCCGCATGATATGTATGTTATATTCAACTATGCTATTGAATTGCGTCGTCGGGTTGGACGTTTTGTTACACAAGAAGGGATATATATATATCCAATGGAAGTATGGAGTAGTTTTTCGATGTTGCTCAGAAATAATAATATAAACGGCTTTCATGTTTTTGTTTTCATCAGGCATTTCGGTCGAGAGAATCTAAATCTCATGGCCAATGCACCGCAGAAACTTTATCCTGCACCCTGTCCCGGACAATGTCCAGATGCTTTCCTCCCACATCCTCAACCACGATCAAACCTTAACTCGGGCGAAAGCTTGGATGAGAGCTGAAGGAATGAGCGAGGACTTTGCCTTTTTTTTTTAGACAATATCTTCGCGTCTCTTTCAAGAACAGCAGCTCGAATAGCTCAGTTGGTAGAGCGCTTGACTAGTAATCAAGAGGTCTGGAGTTCGAGTCTCCATTTGAGCAGCGTGTTCTTTTTTACTTAGCTTTTTTTTTTGTGGGCCAATTTGTTGGATATTCATAAATCTTAATCGAGCCGCCATTCGAGCATGAACCTTTTTTTTCTTAACTTTTTTTGGGACACTTCGAAGAGACCATAGGTTGCTACATTCGGCAAAATTTTTCAGGAACAGCTCGAATAGCTCAGTTGGTAGAGCGCGTGACTAGTAATCACGAGGTCTGGAGTTCGAGTCTCCATTCGAGCAGTTCTCTTTCTTTTTTTTCTTCCTGGCTTATTTTTGGGCATCGTAACTTTTTTAATTTCAAGAGAACGGCTCAAATACTTCTTGTTGGTAGAATGACTATTATGGACTATGTATGCATCATGAGCTCTCCGATGTGACGGTGCTTAGGCAGATTAGTCGGGCGAAACCAACTAAAATCGGCAGTCACATGACCAGAGTCAACGCCAGGTGGTCTGTGCACTAGCTGCTGCCGGCCATACCTATCAACGCGCCTCATGTAGATATTCGATTTTCTTCCTTTTTCCTCCGTAGGTTCGAATATTATTTTTGATTGCAAGGTAGCCGGAATCATGTGCATTAAGGCGATGAGAGATTGCCGAAAAAAAAAGAGCGAGATTTTGGATGGGTAAATTAAGTAAAAACATACAACAGCTGGGATTCGCTGGTGGTCACCCACCCAACTACTAACCAGCCGGCGTGTGGCTTAAGTACGGCTGAGCGGACGGGAAGCCCTGTTTTCCACACCCTATGGTCGTATGTGCTAGATAGCATCTGATTAAGGGATTATATGGAGAGAGTTATGATGGTCAACGGGATATATATATGACCATACTTGCTTTGTCGCTCTGAGGATGGTCGGCGTTTGTCAAGAATTTTGACGGAATGAACGCTGGCGTGTACGTAGTATGTGTAGAGTACCTCGATTAGGTAGACCTTCGTGACTGGATTCAGAGATCGCCTATCGGATGCGAACCTTGGGTATGGGGAACTACGGAGTCCCCACACTAGAGAGGCAGCCGCCTCACCGCCTACCATTCGGCTGGCAGAATCCAAGCAAAATTTCCCTTTCAAAAAAAGAGAAGCCAAAAATTCCACTCACCGCCATCATCTTCCTGTCAAGTACTCGACTGGAGGGCAGTCGATCTTACGACAGAGCTTTAATATTATTGTTCTTATTCGGTGTTTATTAGGGACTTTTGTTTTTACTTTTTAGTTTTGCTCACTGTTGCTGTCTTATTCAAATCTCCTTCAATTCATTGATTCAGTTACTTAAGAAGCAGACAAGCTGAGAGAAAATGGGCGACAAGAAACGCAAGCGTTCACAAAACCCTGCCGAGGATGCTGATGACATCGTCGAACAGCAGCAGCCTGAAGGCAAGAAGTCGAAGCGGAGTGACAAGCAGAAGAAGTCGAAATCGAAGGAGGAAAAATCGCTAAACAACGAGGAGACCGTTGCAGCGCCGCCGGTGCAGGATGAATCCGCTACTGCTAACGGGGAGGACGATGAAAAGAAGCGACGGAAGAAGGAGAAGAAGGCAAAGAAGGAGCGCAAGAATAAGGATGAGGACGAGGGCAAGGACAAGGACGGCGACACGGAAATGGTAGACGACACTGCTGCTGCTGCTGCTACGGAAGAAGATGGGAAAGCAGAAACCAAGGCCGATGGAGATGGCGAAGCGCCGTCTGCTGATGCAACTGCCGA